CAGGCAAAAACATTTCGAGGACCCTGTCGACAAATGAACATTCAGTTTTTTTCAACAGAACACTTCTCGTCCAGAGTATCAAAACAAGCTTCGACGTTCAAAATCGGCGACCTGGAATGATAATTACTCTTTGCCTTCTCCTTATTTAAATAGAGAATCAAAGCATGGTGGTACAGAACGTCTATACAACGAAGTTCTCGGTATAACGAACGATTTTCTTTACCCCGGTAATAGCAACATTTATTAAAAAGAACTTCGATATAACGAAGCCATGTTATAGCGAACGCATTTTACCTGCAGTCTCTTGGTCCTTCCATGTTATGTCGAGGTTCTCTTAAACCGAATCTCTCACAGCCGCCATGTTGGAATGGCACACCACGTGACACACGACAGAAAACAGTCTGGGGCCAAATTGGTAGCAAACTCTGCTGATAAACTCTGATCTCAAAACAAAAGTTAAAAAAAAGGAAACTGAAACGTATTTTTTGCTGGTTAAGCAACGTCCGTTGTAACCGAAATCTCATTCTTAGGCTGAGTTTTTCTGCAACTAAATCTCCTCCCATCGCCGACGGAGCCAGTTTGCCAGCGAATTGTTCTTATAATTCCCAAACAAAGGAGATTGGGTCACTGTACTATAAGGCCTGGCCGTATACTGAACTGACTGAGCTACACAATAGGTTCTGTAAGACAACATTAATACAAAAATCTATGACGAAAACCAAGGAGAATTAGCTTTCATAGTATACTGTTGTGACTTTTTCTTTCCTTGCACACATTTTTCTTGAACTCAAGTAGTCATCTTCAAACGAGCTTAATTAACAACAGCGAACAACTGCACCTTAATAAAAAGGTGAGTTGATGAGTCTCCGACCCACAGTGGTAGCTACGTCAGTCCGCCTTGTCTCTTCTCGCAGACAAAGCCGAAATGCTGCCGAGGAGACTATGAACCCACACAACTGTGCTTATAAGATATGTCGCCGAAACGTAATTCTAATTAGCACAGCTGATATCGAAGTATATTCAGTATTTGGACTCTTGGTGTTTCTAAATATTATGGTTTTCAGCTAAGCAGTCTCTGAACCGTAACAGTAAAGAGTTTTTAACTTTGACAGTACAATACCTTCTAACTTTCCTTCTGTGTATAGCTCTGACGAATACCTCAGCAAAATTAACAAATAAATGTCGCCGAGCAGTGCATACAAGTACGATTACATGGTTAAAAATATTGATATTCTAGATTGTAAGGAATGGAAGATACAGGAAAAAAATTAAAAGCATCAAACACATGCCCCCTCAAGGATCGATCTGCTATCGAATGACTTATCAGCTAATACACGCAAAGTTAACATAATAATACATAAATTGACAAGAGTTGCCAGAGGTTCAGCGCTCATTTGCAAATAGATATATTTTTAACTGTTAACACTGTTGGCCAGAACCTCTTTAGAACCTCTAATTTGATAGATTCTTGTTTGCCCAAAGCTCTGTTGTTTCAGAGTTGGGGTTCATTGTTAGTTTTGTTTGCATTAGGGCTATCTGTTGTTTTCTAAACCAATCCTGTGAGCCGTTCTTAGAGCTTCCGGCCCACCCAACAATTCTCTGCATGATTGTAGATATGTTTATAAAAGATATGTTAGACAAAATAGCAATCTTGAAAACGTTTAATTTCATTATGTATCGGGTAATTGGTAGCCAGCGGAACGGTAACTGAATATAAAGATTTTAAGGAACAAAAATGAGCAAGCAACTCTTGAAGTGAGTTAAGTCTTAATCTTCAAGTTATTTCCCTTTTGGATTTAACGGTTGTAGCAACAGACAACCCAATTTTTCTTAATCTGTCCACATGTCTTGCCGAAAGGCTAAATCTAAGCAAACAGTTAGATTATGGAAGTCGCTCCTAACTTCAAATGGATAATCACATACACTTAATAAGAGAAAACGATCAAAAAGTTGATGTAAATTGTTAGAACGACAACCAACAAATGGAGGTCAATCAACTTAATGAAGGCCTTGTTTTGAAAACGAGACAGGTGCAAATTCAGTTCGTGATCAGCCAAGAATTACAGTATTACAGTCAACTCACTCCAATACGGACACCTTTGGGACCGGCACTAAGTGTCCGTCTTAGAGAGATGTCCGTCTTATAAAGAGTCAAATAAGGGAATAAACAAAGGCAGGGACCAACTCTAGGTGTCCGTTTTACAGAGGTGTCCGTTAAGAGAGAGTCGACTGTAGTCCCAAGTCAGGCACGTCTTTTTCAGTAATCTCGCGCTGTGTGCCTTTCGCACTACAACAGAATGTTAAAGGACAATGATTAACCTGGAAGACAGAAAAAAAAATGTCAACGTTGAACGTATAATCATAATCTTGGGGCCTTTTATGGCGACCACTTGAATCCCTCGTGATACACTACTCAGATTAGAAGTGTCAGTCATTGCAGAGATGTCCAGCTTGTAGCTAGAGAGTCAAAGAAAATGAACGAAGAACGGCAGAGATCAACCTAGACGTAGGCGAGCGCCTTATAGAGGTGTCCGGGATAGTTGACTGAAGAGTAGAAACTGCTTTCAGTGAAAAACATTTCCCCAAAAACGTATTAGCTTCAGATCTCTCTTTCCGACCTCTTCGTAAACACGGAAGGCCGCATACCCGAAGGTAGTTTGAGAGTACATTTACTTAAGACGTTTTAGTTTCCGTGGATTGGTATTATTTAAACAGGAATTGATTATATAACTAAGACCTCACAAATGGAGATCGATGCGCTGTTCTCTCCTGCGGAAGATGTATTGTTCTATACATATATGGTGGAAGAGGCAGCGTGGCTGGGGTCTGATCCTAGCTAGCACTGGACTTCTATTTGTAGTTAGCCAGTCTCAAGTCCCGCTCTAACCGCTAACTGGATTTGTTTTACAGCAGAATAGTCCCGAGTTCAAATTCTTGTAAATAGTAAACTACTTTGCCTTAGGTAAGCTAGGATACTTAACCCTGTTATGATTTGTTTGAAATGCTTGTTCCAGGCATTTGCTCAGCCCCACTAGCCTTTGCTCTATGAATATTGAATACCGCCAAAGGTAAATAAAGGAATTTTTTTTATGATATATTTTTTTCAGTTTGAACGGTCATCCGTACGGCTAAAAAGAGTGGATTTTATTTGTCACCTGGATTAGATTTTAGAAAAAATGGCCCTAATATACAGTCGACTCCCGATAACTCGAACCTTCAAGAAAAATCGAAAAAGGTTCGAGTTGGCGGGTGTTCGAGTTATCGGGAGTTCGAAGCAATTAACCGGAAATAAGAAAATGGGATTGGGAATGAATGCAAGTAACAGGCTCACTTCAAAACTTGATAAATAAACGGTGCTGGACGCTGTATTTAAACTGGACTGACAAAAATAGGAAAGACAAAGAATACATAGTTGTTAAGGTAATTTCAATAGTTCGGACTGCGGTGCACTTTTTTTCGACCTGTCAGGCGCTTTATAGGTTCGAGTTATCGGGGGGTTCGAGTTACCGACGGTAAAAAATAAAAGGAAATGTGTAAAGGAAATCCAGGAGAAATCGATTTTGGTTCGAGTTAGCGCGAGGTTCGAGTTAGCTTGGGTCGAGTTCTCGGGAGTCAACTGTACACTGACTGCACTACATTCTAGTTTTACTTACTGGGAAGAATTGACTTTTAAAATTGCTTTTGAGTTATCGTAATCGGGTTCTAATCGGTACGCGTATGACGCAAAAAAAACAAAACAAAACAAAACAAAGAAACTGACGACCCATCTTGCATGAAAAACCTGCAGGTGTACCAATTGATGCGTCTTATAACAATGACCCTCCCGGCCCATCACGGATCACACGGTGATTTATATCGTTTTAAAAGAGAGTCATTCTCTGAGCGTGAAAGCAATCCCTTGGGCGAGACCTTCGAGCGCTGTACAGGGATTTTTAACAGTCGGCAAGTCAGTCATGGAAACGTCCATTATTAGTCACAAAACGATATATAGGAGAGCTATAAAATGTCTTCTTTTAGCAGGTAAGTTTTCATTTCATGTCAATGTGGTTTTTGATCCGGCTATAAATCGAACACAAACTGACAAGTCTTCTGTAAATCCCAGTACATGGCCACAGACGAAGAAATGATTTTCCATAACAGGAAAAATCATTTTCCTAGACCAGTGCTGCGGTCCGTGCTCAAGCTATCGTATTTATAGTTTAAAGGAGAAATAGTTATTAAAGAGTATTCTTCTTTCCTAGTATTTAATCACGTTTTGCCGAAAGTGACCCGTTCGTCAACAGGTGTTCGGTCAACATCGTTGATGTCTAAGAACAATTTTTGTTCAGTAGCGTTCCAAGGTTAAAAATGGTGCCAGTATTATGTGATCTCCCGCTGTTAAAAGAACAGGTTACTGTTATAAGTTACCAAAACAATTATTTCACCGACGGATAATAGTCATTCTTGTCCACAGATCGCGTCGTCTTCGAGCGGAGCCACTCGTTAAAAATGTAACCGAGAGGCTCCTGGAGACAAGACTAGTGGGATAACCTGTTGCTTGACGGTAACCAATTTAGAATAGAGGACAATAACCATTTTACAGTTGCAAATGGGAAACGAGCCCGGAGTTGACCTGGTTTTGATACATTCCTTCCTGCTTTTTTTATGTAAATCATGTTCTTCTCATGCTAACTAGTGTTTTTTTCAAGCATAATTTCCACAAGAAAAGCGGAGGGAGGCTTGTATCAAAACAAAACCAACCTCGACCTCACGTTCATCACTTGCTGAATCCGCGGGCCCCCAGATAAATCGAACCCTGGGTTCTGATTGGCTGATTACCCGTATTGGTCCCGAAAGAAAAAGTTATCTTTTAGGCCATACAATATGATTATATGCTCTATTGGCCAAGTCTTTCATAGGGATATTCTTTCTAAAGTTGTTAACATTTCGCTTTAATATTGCGTATTTTATTATTTTATATCAATAACCGACAATTCATATTACATTTTGATGAATTAGGTCTGTGCCAAGCATTGGATCAATCGCTCTTAGACAACATAGCGACTAGTCTTGATCTGAGATTTGACGTGTTAAACAACCTTATTGGTGGATGCCAAGTTCGTTTAACTTTCACGAACAAAGGTCGCCGTGTTATAAGTGGTGATAACTGGACAGTTTATTTTAACTCCATAAGAAAAATCATTCCCGGTTTTACACCTCGGATAAAGATGGCTGTGGTTCACATTGATGGTTATCTCCACAAACTGACGCCTACCAGACATTTCCCAAGTTTACTGCCTGGTAAAGAACTGAAATTAGATCTTAAAGCTGAATACTCAATTGTTTCTAAAACCGACGTTATGCCAAACTGGTACGTGGTCGCTCGTGGTTTGGAACCAAGAATAATCCACAGCACTGCAGGAGAAAGTATGAAATTTGTGGGCCCGTTTGACACTCCCTCTAAATGGAAACGCTCAGGACAAGATATGTATGATCCCTTCACGCCAGAGAAACGGTTCGACAATATCAAAGTCAACGATATTCGCAAGGCTGGAAACCTTATATTACCCACTCCTTCGGCACTCAAGGTTAAAAGTATATCAGAAAAAGTGAACTTACGTTGCGGAAATTGGAATATAATTGCCAGTAGAAGTTTAGTTAATGAAGGTCAATACTTAGCAGGTTCGTCGATGCATTATTATTATTATTGTTGTTGTCGTTGTTGTTGTTGTTGTTGCTGTTAAGATCATCATCATCATCATTTATTTTGGGGAATGTAGTGGTGAGAGCACTCTCCTTCCAACATTTTCTGCCAGTTTTCAAATCCCGGCGTCGACACCATAAGTAGGCGGAGTTTGTTGTCGGTTCTCTCCTGCGTTCCGAGGGGTTTTTCTCCAGTACCCCTGTTTTCCACTCTCCTCAAAAACCAACTTTTCCAAATTGGAGTTTGACCAGCTAGGAATCAGGTAGACGAAGAAACACTATTTGAATGAGCTACCTCTAAATCTTTATTTATTTATTTATTTATATATTGCACACGTTCCATTGGAATATGTCTTGGTCATTGAAGACCAAGCAAAACTGGTCAACAAAGACAAAAAATGTACATGGAGATAAATTTATGACCTATAACTGACCATTGCCTTCTAGATAAGAGGTAGAATTTACCAATACTAATCCCTTCACAGGAAAACTTAACATACCAGTCATGAAATCCTCAAAGTCAAGAAAGTTTATCGAACTCAAGATTGGTACAGTGTACATAGGGGATAAGAAGAGCGAATGCGATGAAGCTTACAATTTGAATGTCGATCCTCAGAAACTGGTCATTCGAATTGTTGGTAATACACCAAAGGCTGTGTTCTGGGGAATTCAGTCGCTTTTAAGTATGTTGAGCGATGGAGAGGTACCCTGGGTTACCATTGAGGACTCACCAAGATATGAGTATCGAGGACTGAGTATAGATGTGGCTAGAAACTTCCTTCAAAAGAATGAAGTTATGAGGATACTCGATGGCATGGCTATGTTTAAAATTAACAAACTCCATCTTCATCTAACGGATGATGAAGGTTGGCGGCTGGAGATTCCTGGACTAACAGAGCTCACTGAAGTAGGTGTACAAATTTAAGAGGTTGGTGGGGTGTGACAGATCAGAGGGACAAAAGCTAGGAGAAAAGGAAAGAGTCGTCATGCATTGTAGAAACCAGCTGAAGCGACGACAAAAGATTATTCCAAATGTTATTTGCCAAAGTTTATTTTCTCAAGTTTTTGAAAGGACCTTGGAAATCCAGCAATGGCCATGTTAAAACAAATTTTGCTATCCTGGGTCTGATACATGATGGTGACAAAAGAAGAGACAACTTTACTTAAAAGACTTTTTTGTTTCTCTTCGCCTAAATTTTTCAAAAATGTATCTCATAGTTACTTACAGTCAAACCGCCCATAAGACGCACTAAAATTGGAGGCCTGCCGGGCTCCTTTGTGCCGTCGTTTACCACGTTTGACTAAAGGACAGAGCCAAGTATCCAGGCTTTACAGATGTGTCCAAATTCTAGCCTAGAGATTAGTTTAAAATTGGTATCTTCAGGACCAAAACGTCGCCCCATGTGATGAAATCGGGATTCCGGAATCAGGGTAATTTTTGCTTGTGATATCTGGAATCCTGGGCTTTGGATTCCGGAATACAGCTCAAGGAACCCATTGAAAAACCAGGAATCCAGGTTTCACTGAAAAAGAATCCGGAATCCAGGACTGCCTTGGATTCCCTTACATGGGGCAAAAAAACAAAGTTTTCAAAATAGAGGGATCTCCTGTACAAAGGTAGGGAACTTTGAAACCAACAATGCATAAGGAGAACTTTGATCGTAATTATTGCTTAACTCCTAGATTGCCTCCCAACGGTGTCATGACCTTCAAGAGAAGCATTGCATTGAGCCTCAGTTAGGGTCAGGTCCCTTTAACAACACCTCTGGCACCGGTCATTACTCAGTAAAGGACTATCAAGAAATTTTGACATATGCCAAACAAAGGCATATTGACATTATACCAGAGTTTGATCTCCCTGGTCATTCGCATGCCGCCATTACAGCCTCGGTGAACCGATACAGAAAATACTTTGATATGGGCAAATCTGAGGATGGATTGAAATTCTACTTGAATGATCCGGAAGACAAGTCATTTTACGAATCAGGTCAATTCTTCCGCAACAATTCTGTAAATCCATGCTTGGAGTCAACCTATAATTTTGTAGAAGAGTTGATTTTACAAGTGCAAGCTATGCACGCAGAGATTCAGCCGCTCAAAGTCATCCATTTTGGAGGAGACGAAGTCCCTCAGGGTGCTTGGGCGCTCTCCCCTGCTTGTCGACGACTGTCTGTGAAGACAAATTCTCCATATCAGGGCTGGAAAGCGTATTTTATCAAACGTGTTACTAGCATTGCGGCAAAATATGGCTTAAATCTTGGACTGTGGGAAGATGGATTGCTGGATGCAACGTTTACACCACTAACGCGAAGTGAATTGAGGAGCGATGTGGTTTATGGTTACGCCTGGGGAAACACCAAGAATCTTGGATATAGACTGGCTAATGCTGGTTACAAGGTCAGTTGATGATCCGGCTCCTCAAGAGTTCCCATGCCCGCTGTTTTTTTTTTATTAGAATCTGATGATGTCAATCTTTGAACATTTTTTTATTGTGCATACTAAACAAGGGCACCCAACGAGAATACAGTTCAAAACCACTTAAACATAGCACTGTTTAACGTATTTTAGTATTTAAACGGCAGATATAGGCATATTTTTATCCCCTAAAAATTCTTCAATTGCTCTGATTTCCTAGCTGAAAGTCTATTGATTCGAAAATTATAGGGACCAAAACTTACCTCTTCGAAAATTTCAGCCAGAAAAAAGGTTTCCGAAAATTCCAGGTGACCTTTTTAGGGTAAAAATCCGTTAAAAATGGTCAATTATACCATTTTTTTAGATGTTCGAAAATCCTAGGAGAGGCAGGAAAGCAAGAAATTTTACAACAAATGTTCCAAAAATTCTAGATCTCAAATTGTCTTCCGAACAGATATTTTCCGAAAATTGACGTTGGGTGCCCCTGAGCTCTGCGCAACTGAAATGACCAAATTTTAAGTTTACTTGATAACGAGAACGGCAAGGCGATAAATTCTACACCATCTATTTCTGAACTCTGGCCTGGTCCCGTCTCTTCAACTCCTTATTTCCTGGTTTTGTTCCTTGAAATGGGCGCTGAGGAACTCAACATTGTTTACAAAAGGGGAACAATCGAGCTGCATTTGTAAATTTTTATAAACCCTTCGCCCATTAGGTTGTAATGACGCAGGCCTCTCATCTTTATTTTGATCATCCTTATGAGCCGGATCCTGAAGAGAGAGGTTTATACTGGGCCACAAGATATACTGACACTCGGAAAGCTTTTGGTTTCATGCCTGAACATCTGTACGACAGCTTGGAGAGTGATGGAAACGGGATGCCAATCAATGACTTCTGCAGCACGGCGGGTGATTGTGTGAGACCAAATAAACTTCAAAACATTGTTGGTTAGTTGAAAATACCAGAAAGCTAGTTCCTAAAACTCATTTAGGTGGAGAAATCACCACCCTGAAGAAGGTTTTGAGATCGGATAGTACTTAAATGTAATTACTTTACAAAAAGTTCCCTCGCTGCCTTTCTCAGTGTTTAGCTATTCTAGCTATTCTGTTGAAACACTCCTAGTGTTTGATATTACTTCTCCATGTTTAGATATCAGATGAAACACTTCTTCTTGTGTTTGGTATATTACTCGGCTTAGGTAACAGACATTTTTTATCAGATGAAACTCTATTTATATTTAGTTTATTACTTTCGATATCAGATGAAACACAGCCTCTGTATGGGTATTTGCGACGAAATCGAAGCAGCGACTATTTGAGATTAAAGCGACGATCGCATTGCCATTCCACTCATTTGGTGCGATGACGGCAATGAAAGCTGTCAAAAAATGTGCTACTGACACAATTAGAGTTTTTGCCGTCGTCTATGTGGTTGTCCTGAGGTCGCTAGTAGCGTTACCACGCAAAACAATTGTTGATATGCGACGATTATGCGTGAAAAACGGACGATTTGATGGAAAACGAGCAACGAAACCGACGTAGGGATGTGCCCTGGATGGGGAGATTTTCACGACTGGATTGACTATGACGGATCAATTTTTTGAAGTGATTAACTAGAATGGGGTCAAATTTTCGACGGATTTTTGGGGGCAAACGTGGGATTCAAAATGGGAATATTTCTTTTAAAAATCATTCAGTGTTGTTGTTTATTAAATTTAAAAAACGGCTCCCATTGACCGCAAAAAATTCAATCGAAAAACATTGATAAGATAGATGCATAAAAAGAAATTGTCTAAAAATTTTGGGGGGAAAATTACATTTTTAAATTTCTCTAAGATAGGGTCTTTAATTTTCCAAAAATAGACTATAACGGGGTAGGACTTTCTTACAGACAAATGTACATACCCAGGAAACATTAAAAAGTGGTTCTAGGTCCCGGGGATTGCATGGAAAACGCCCTCAAATCTTTTTCAGTAGGTGCCCTTAGGAATGAAGACTTTAGTTTTCAAATCCTTATTTTTCAGAACAGCCATTTTACAGAAGTGATTAAATATCTAATACAAAATATATCTCACGCCTTCTTCGTTTGATATGTTACCTCCGTGACAAAATATATACATGATGATTTAAATGAAACACTCCTTCTTGAGTTTGATATGTTACCTCTCAGTGTTGAAATATCAGATGAAACACTCCTTATTGTGTTTGATATATTTGATAGTTACATTGTATTGGTGTTTGGATATCAGATGAAATATTCCCTCTCGGGTATAATATATTACCTCTCATTGTATAGATATCAGATCAAATACTCCTCACTTGAGTTTTTTAAAAAATTACTCCTCGGTATCTGGATGTTGTTTGATATATAACTTTTTAAATATTAGCTTTTGATACCTAGCCGCCCAGCACTAGCTTCGTTTCTCCAGAATCAATGTTTGTTCCTACATTTTGTAGGTATGTCAGGATCCGTCTGGTCAGAAACAATAAGAACCCCGTCACAATTTCAGTCAATGATATTCCCAAGAATTCTTGCTGTGGCGGAGAGAGCCTGGCATAAGGATGATTGGGAGGACGAAAGGAATAAATCACAGAGAAACTGGATGAGGAAAGCAAGTTGGGAAAAGTTTGCCAACACCCTGGGTTACAAAGAACTGTCGCGACTGGACAACCTGGGAATAAATTACCGCATTCCTCTACCAGGTGCCAGGTATACCCTTTTGTTTTGTTTAAAATACTGACATAAGTATGGATACAGATGATACCAGTTGTATTTGTATCTCATTTTAATCACGTGATGACCAACGACAACTTTTAAAATTCCTTTTCAAGGGTTGGTCAACAGCATTACAGTGCATGCAAAGTCCTGCTCAAGGAACCCTTGTTGTTACAACACAATTACGATTTTAAGAATTTAACTAATTTAAGTCATTGGGCCCTTCAAATTTCTCAACTGTCTTTGCCTGGGGAGGCATTTCCTGATTTCGAGAAAGTAGATTGTAGAATTAACTAACTGTGTTTTGTTTAGAGCGCATGTCATTAATAAGAGACGTCCGAGATAGGATAGCTAGCGCGCTGTTGCGATGGATGTTTTACAAAGCGAATAATAATACTGTTAATATCAGTGAACTTTTACGTAGTATAATCTAACATTTTTTCTTCATGCTTGCCACACTTGATGGATTATGAACATTCCTAACAGCCAGAAACATATTCATACTCTTGTTTTCTCTTTTCCAATTTTTAGAATCGTCGATGGTGTCCTCAAAGCAAATGTAGCATTTCCTGGTCTCAAGGTTGAGTACAGTATCGATGATGGTAAAACTTGGTTTGATACCAAAGGAGCAAATGTCACCAGCGGTAAATTACTTCTAAGAACTAGGTAAGAAAATACCCATAAGTCATTTGGATGAGTTTCCCGCGTTCTTTTCTTCGTGAAGTTTTATAACAAAAGGTATTTTGTCCCTCTGCTTTGAGGAGTAATAAAGGCACAAAACCTCAAAATTTGCTTTCTGTTAAACCTTTTTCACTAGATGCCGGTTTGCCACAAGTTTTCTATCTGGCGGAAGATCGAAAAATCGTACGTCCAGACGTGAAGTAGGCCTGGGACTCTGTGTTAGATTTGCTAGTATACTGCATGGTTCTGGCATTGCACATTTTATTTTGCTGCAACACTCATGTACAGTGGAACCTAGATATAACGACCCTCTATATAACGAAGTCCTCGGTATAACGAATGATTTTCATTTCCACAGTAATAGTAAAGTATATGAAAAAGAACCTCGACATGACGAAACCTCGATGTAGCGAACAAAATTTGCCAGTCCCTTGGCCCTTCGTAGCATCGAGGTTCCACTATAACACTATATGAAACAATTCACAGGTATTTTTCTTTTTTCATTATCCTCTCCCTTTATGGGGCTTTTCAAGGATAATGAAACAAATAATTGAAAGCCAACTGGTAGGAGGCAAACAAAATGGCTATTTTACGAGCGTGGTCGTGAATCTGAACTCGGGACAAGGGCACCCAACGACGATTTGAGATCTAGAATTTTCGGAACATTTGTTGTGAAATTTCTTGCTTGCCTGCCTCTCCTAGGATTTTCGAGCCCCTCAAAAATCTTATAATTGCCCATTTTCAACGGATTTTTACCCTAAAAAGGTCACCTAGAATTTTCGGGACCCTTTTTTCTGGCTGAAATTTTCGAAAAGGTAAGTTTTGATCCCTATAATTTTCGGATTACTAGACTTTCCGATAGGAAATCCGAACAGATCAAAAATTTTTAGGGGATAAAAATATGCCTATATCTACCGTTTAAATACCAAATACGTTCAACGGTGCTAGTTTAAGTGGTTTTGAACTACATTCTCGTTGGGTGCCCCTGTCGGAACTACCGAGAACAAATCCAACAAGCGGTCAGGGCGAGACTTGAACTCAGGCCTTCCAAATTGCAAGTCCAGCGCTTTAACCGCTCGGCCACGCTGCCTGAGTCCTTTTCAGGAGTTACTATAAAGAGTGTGAGTCAAATTGCCAACCAGGCTAAATATCTTGCTAGAATATCATTAAACGTCTTCACTTGGGGAAATGCACAAAGTTTGTAGGTACCATTTGTCACCAAGTAAAATTGCTCTCTTGAGATGCTGAGTGCTGCAATAAAGTGTTGTGAGCGCCTATTCAAGTTCACCCCAGCAGTGGGAATTTGACTCATAATGGAGATCCAAGGGTGGGGAAATTGACTTTTGAAAACCTGAAAAAGGCAAATTTCCCGTCGGTTGCTCCTCCCATCAGGGGGCAAACCATTGATAGGTACGTAATATAACAGACACCTCCCTAGAGTTGGTCCCTGTTGTTTAGTTATTTTTCTTTGACTCCATTTAAGATGAACACGTTCGTCCGTCTAAGAGATAGCTGACTTTGTTGTACTATGATCACTAACGCGACGTGGTGTTGAACTTTTAAGCCTGACTGGTTTATAGATCGTTTTCACATGATCTAGCAGCTTCCATATTGATGTTCAAAAACAATGAAAGACATGAAACGACAGCCATGCTGGCGTCCTAAACAAATCCTGAGAGGGTTGAACTCTTTTCTTTTGTAAACGCTTTCTTTTGTTTCTATAAATTTGCATTGATGAGTGAAAACGCTCCCTAACAGTAACGGCCTTATCGATCTCCAGTTCTCTTTTTATCCTTTCTGTATCTAAAAGTGACTAGCGTCTATCTAATGTCTTGATATTGTGCACTTAATCATCACCGCAGGGGGAACTTAAAGAGTTACTAAGGCTACTAGTTACTTTTCTATTTTACGGGGTTTTACCATCAATGAGATCCATCGTGTCCTGCATTCCTACAAACCACCATTCATGTTTTATTTTGTAGGTCTGCTGACGGGAAGAGAACAAGCAGGATAGCAAGAGCTACTTTTTCTACAAACGTTTAAAAGAGGATTTTGCAACCACCGTATTTGTATAATTTTCCTTTAGAATGTGACGGCTGTAAGTAGTAGGATTAAAGGAGACATTTTAGATTGGCTATTAAATATTCACTTCTCTTTCTCTCCAGGTTGCTGTGCTGTGCACTCGGCCTCATTCCTTGCTTGTGCGGGAAAATCCCTGGGGAACAAACTTAGTTCCTCTGGACTGCCACAGTCATTTCTTTCCTTATATTCAAACCTATCACTACCAACAGTGTCTACCTTGCACAGCAAGCGTTAACTTGCGAGGAAATGTTATAGGCTATACAGGTTGGTCCCCAAGTTCTTCTAAGGGAAGGCCGGTGCACGTGTCTCTGGTTAGGGTATCATGGGATATGATAGGGCAATTGCAGATTGGGGTATTTTAAGAACTGCTCTAATGCAACCGATGTTTAGTGAAAAAAGCACTCATTTGGTTAGACGTATCATATTTTCCTTCTGTTTATTTCTTATTTTTATTGACAACATTTGTCCATGATGGCTATTTTGTTTCTGAGATTAAGCTGAGCTTATCCTCTACGCTTGAATTTCCACAAGCCTACTCACGCGACGTCTGTCCGCTGACCTGAAAGAGTGCACATGAAAAGTTAGTACAAGTGACCAGCTTCATCAGCCTGCGTAGCAAGCGTTTCCTCGCGAGGTTCGTCTAGAAAGCTGGGACAAGAGCAAAAAAAAAATGAATGACGGGGGAGGGGAATTCCTCCCCCTTCAACCTTTTTTTTGCTTCCGCTCTAACTTTCGTACAATAACTCGATTGGAAACGCTTGCTACGCAGGCTACAGCTTCATTAAAATGTAAAGTAAAACAACTATTGATGTTTTTTTTTTTATTATTATTATTGCATAAACTGACTCCAATCTAAGCTGGGTACAGTGAACTCTCTCTTAACACACGCCTCGACTAGAAGGATTTAAATTTAAATTAATCATCCTTTCCCCTTATCAGGGACATTTCAGGGATAATGAAACAAATAAATCAGGGGGGACATAACAATGATAAGAATTTTGACTGGTAGAAGGTGAACCGGGTGGTTATTAATTTTAGAGGCGTGGCCGAGGATTTAAACTTGGGACTGGGTGGAGACCTTAAAGGGAACCTCCACTTCAACAAAAAGATAACTTTAAATCTCAGGAAATAACTGTTACAGTCAAGTCAATCTAAAATATTTTTAAAGAAAGCGTTTGTATCCGAAAGAAATAACTTTTAGATTCGCCTATTTTTTTGTTTTCAAATTTTGCGGGCGTCGCCATCTTGAATAATTGTTATTAAACAAAAGGCTCTTTGTGTCAGAACAATAGAGCAACCGTTGTCCCAATTATTCAAGATGGCGGCGCCCGCGAAATTTGAAAGTGAAAATAAGCGATTTTAAAATTCACTTTTCCTGATATAAAAACTTTTTTTAAGACAAATTTCGAACAAATATGTTTATCAACATAATTTTAGTCGATTTAAACTTATTCTGTAGTAAGAGTGGAGGTTCCCTTTAAGTCGGGGCCTCTGGATTACAAGTCCAGCATATAACCGCTAGGCCACGCTGCGGACACCTCCCGAAAGTATCTAAAACTCATTCATGGTATTCTTCGATAATATTCGTTGGCTCTCAATAAGGCGGACGGTGTGTTGTCAGTCCTGAGGAGTTACAGTAATATCCGCTGTAATAGCTGCTGTTTAGAATTGTCTACCTGGTTCCCAGTATAACTCGACCAGAAACAGCCATCCCCTCTGTGACGTCACCCCATGATAAGCCACCATCGGTGCTGTACTGGATTGTTAATCCGGGGATGGCGGAATTCACATCCAGCTTTTGGTTAACAATCCTAAGTCGGTAGTGATTATACACAGAGGTTATGAATCAAAAATAAACCGGATAGCAGCATTGTACTTTAGTAAAATTATATCGAAGAATGACATAGGGAGGTATACAGAAAGTCGATAGCTTTACCTATCTAGTAGTTTTGACAACTAGGAGACTCAGATCTTCAAACGCATACATTCTCCCTAAACCATGACGAAAATATGATTTCTAGGAAGTGCTGCAGCCCTCGGGATTATAAGCTTGCTTGTTCAGGAACGTGGACATTGTAGAGACCATGGAGGTTCAAAAATGAATGGCTACACTGAGAAGAAGTCAGTGCTTTAGCAGCCAATATTTGAGGCAAATTAAAAGGGCTAGACTCTGGCAAAATTACTAGCAATAACCTGTCCAAGCAGCCGTGTAGTTAGTAATTTGTTTTGAAAAACAACAATAAATTGACATTAACCATTTCAGCTCATAATTCCTTATCAAAAATTATACCTTTGCTGAAGTGGGACCTTTTCCAAAAAGGAATCCCGTACCCTGTCAATTTGGGGAAGTTGCCGTGGAAATCATACCTTGTCTGTGTGACTACATTTCCTATATCCTGAGAAAACAGCCGACATTTGCCACGCTACCACTGGTTTCCCCGCAAAATGACGTCTGAGAAACGAGCGCAGAAATTCCATACTGATAACGCGTCACTACCCAGATCTGGGTAGTGCCTCTGATTGGTCGTGCCGCGTGGGAATTTTGATTCAACCAATCAGAAGCACTACTCAGATTTGGGTGGTGAGGTGTCATCAGTGTGGGATTTCTGTGCTCGTTTCTCAGACGTCATTTGGCGGGGAAAAAAGTGGTAGCGTCGCCAAATGTCGGCTGTTTTTTCAGGCTACATTACCTACCTTTCCTGTGTTACTACATTACCTTGCTCCAGGGACTGGTACGTGATAATCAATGTTCATTTTATCTAGTCGCGCCAGTTCTTTGTGTCCTAAGCTGTTGGCGAACGCTTCCCACTCGAGGTTTTTCACTCTGTTACGTTTCGCAATATCAGTTTCATTCTCAAAACACCCCTTGTGCCAGGCTCTCTCAGCCAGTGCCAGCAGTCGTGGGAAAATCATGGACTGGAGTTGACTTGGTGTTCTCACCGTTTCCGACCAGAGAGCACCAGCCATTCCTAGATTACGGAAAAATAGGACCGTTATGGTTTGTTACGGATTTCTTTCATCAATTTTGGTCCTGACGTTATATGACAGCACTTAAAGGCGAGGAATGAAAAAAACAGTTGGGAAAACTCTAAATCAACCCTATCTACAGTAGGTTTACCTTACCTACCATTATGGCCAGGAGATTCACCCACCCTACCCTCAGAAAATTAACCCATCATACCCATAGTCCCACAGAAGATTTCCCTAACGCCCCACTCTTAGAAAATTCCCCGATGAATTTTTTGTGACGACGAAAAATATTAGTAACTGGTAGAAGCCTACTAAATCGATAGAATTCAATCTTTCCCTACAGAAAATTAATTGGTGTGGTTACACGGGACAGTTTAACGGTTGGTAAATGGCCCTTTTAACGTGAGAATTTGGTGCAGTTCGTGTGACCGGACTACTCAGGACTACTAACATAGCACTTGAAATTTTGCTTAAATTTTACGTATAATTTCAACAGAACATGAAATGCTACCATGTTCAATGGCGATCATTACCGAAATAAGGTCGCAATAGCGTGAATGAAGCCAGCTGAAGCCGTAAGAGCCGCTAATTCACCTTAGTGGTTAATTCGTTTATAACCACATGTTACCACGGTAAACTTAACCCACGTTAAAATTACCACGGCTTTTTTTACCATGGTAAATGCCACTTACTGTGGTTATGTGTGACCGCACCTAGTGTTCATTGTATACTGGTGTGTTTGTGACACCAGATCCTCCTCAAAATATTTATTTACATGGCTCCAAAGATATGAGATGATCGGTTTGTTCTTTGTTTCTCAGGTTTTTTTCTTACCTATCATCCTTTCCTTTCTCTACCCACCTGCGATGTTTTGAGGTTTCCTGAGAGGGACGCATTTCCCTTTGTACATATCCTCACACAGGTTCACGATAGGGTCTCCCATTCTCGTGAAATCAGCGTTAGCATAAATTTCGTCCGGCATGAAACCAAATGTTTTTCGAGTGTCAATGAATCTTGGGGCCCAGTAATAACCCCTCTCTTCAGGGTCAGGCTCGTATGGATGATCAAAGTAAAGATGAGTGGCCTGGGTCAGGACAACCTTTAGAATAATAATAAAAAAAATGTTTACATCCGCAACTTCGTCCCTAGGGGATGGGAGGGGGCGGGGGCATCCTTCCCATATTCAAAGGGGAAAAGATCCACAGGCGAAGTTGTAGGGGAAGGGGGAGCAGTGGAAGGACACTAAACAAACGCTTGGAAAAGGAGGTTAGGAGCCTAGTTATAAGCTAATTTTCTTCTTCTTTTTCTTTTCTGTTACCAGAAATATCACCATTGGAAATAACCCTTTTGCTTTCATTTCCTACTGATCGCTTGATGTTACAGTAGTAGCGAAAGAAAAGGTACCTGCTCATTTTTTAAATACATGCCCCAACTAAAATTTTCTGTTAAATTGCCACTTAAATTGCCGTCCGTGCGTTGGAATCCCCCCCCCCCGAAAAAAAAATACAGGCATTTTACTTCAGCGTATAGCCACTTCCTTAAGTTGATCTTGTAAAACAGCTACTTGACTGGGACAAAAAAGCCAAAAAAGAGGAAAATTAAATACAGAATAAACTGAAGTGGAATTGAATACCTTATAGTCAGCATTAGCTAATTTGTAAGCCCGGTCTCCTTGTCCCCACTCCCACACGTTATCCCAGGCATAAGCGTAAACGTTCTTGTTCTTAAGATAACTACGATCATAGGGAGTGTCCTTGACTCCAAGTACGCCATCTTCCCACGCTCCCAAATCAAGACAGTACCTGTGTAAAGAATATCAATTTCAGCACTGAAGCACACGTACCAACTCCGCGTTTTGGTCAGTACCTTACGCATGTACACGACTATATCAACCGGCGGAATGATTATCAAATTGTGTATAGAAAGTTACCATGATGTTATAGAGTTATATTACCTGGACGAAACGTCAGCCACTCTTCGCACAAAGTACTCTTTCAAGTCCTTCACGATAGAGGGACTTGTGAAGTTCAAACCCAGTTTCTGCGCTAATTTCTTGCAAGAGGGGGACTTGGTCCAGGCACCATGAGCCACCTCATCTCCACCGAAGTGGAATATCTTTTAGAGAAAAAAAGAGTATATCTCTTTCAATGGATATGTGCAGGAGCCCATAACTCTGATATTTGTGATACTTCATCTGTTCAGTGATTTCAATAGGATCGCTTAACTGTTTTTTTTTTCTTTTTCTACACTTACCTTTAATGGCTGAATATCATGATGCATGTGCTTCACACTGGACACAACGAGCTCTAAGAACTCATAAGTTGACTCCAAACACGGATTAATGGCATTATCAGTAAAGAACTGCACTGACAGGTACTTTGAAGTATCAAGCGGATCCGACAGCAAATACTTATTAGCTTCATTATCTTGGCCCACAGCGGCGAATTTCTTCTGTCTTGCCTGCATGGCTTTGATGGCGGCGTGTCCATGGCCTGGCATGTCAAATTCTGGGATTACCTCCACATGCCGCTCCTCAGCGTATTGCAGAATCTCGCGATAATCGTTCACATTATAAAATCCACTTCCAGAGTTCCCCGTACCAGGTCCCGAGCCGAGTTGAGATCCGAGACATGTCTCTTCTTTTACGTCGTGACAGCGTTTTGATCCCATCTTCGAAAAAAGAACGGAAACTCAAATAAATAATTCTATTTACCGTTAAGTGAAGAGATTTTTTTCATATTTTTTGGTTTGACGGGAGCAAAAGTATTTTTGCTGTTTGCGCGAATATTATCGGCTTTTACAAGTTCTTGGAAAGTGACTAGGACTCTTTACACACAATTATTTTCTGAACCAGGAGCCCATCATGGGCTCCTGCCTGAACTTATTTGTTACTATTGTGGAGAATTTTGACGACTTTCAAGTTAAATATTTACCCATGTATAAGCTTATTAATCGGATAGATAGATAAGCGATTTAACTTTTTTGTAGCGGTTGATGTCCTTACGAACCTCAGTAAGTTCCGGTAATCCGGGAATCTCCAGTCTCCAGCCTTCGTCATCAGTCAGGTGAAAGTGAAACTTGTTTAACTTGTACATTGCCATGGCGTCAATCAATTTCAGCACCTCACTTTTAGGCATGAAATTACGTCCCACGTCAAGCTCCATCCCGCGATACTCATACCGCGGTGCATCATTGATAGTCAAGTGGGGTACCATACCGTCTGGTTCATTGAGACTGAGAAGGGACTGGATTCCGTAGAAAACGCCAACTTGTGATTGGCCAGTAATTGCAATGCTTTGTGCACTTGAGTCGACTTGCAGTCTGTATGACTCCGTACTGCTGGATTTAATACCATCGATTTTTACCTCACCAATATTTAAACGAATCTGTCGAAAACTGCTCATATAATTCAGTTGAAGACCCACTTTCCCTGCATAAATACGAATGAAGGTAGATAAATAACAAGGCATGACTTATGATTTGTTATGATTTCACTCTCGCAAAAGATTAAGCAATAAGTGAGTATGGACGACTTTTTTCTATTTTTGTGGAGCTTGTTTTTTTTTTTTAACTCCTGCTTTCATCCGCCTTGTATCCCACCAACCAAGTGGCCAAATTAACAACTAACTCCAAATTAACAATTAATTAACTTAAAATTTCGAGAACAGTATTCTTGTGGTAGTTATACTTATACCGTGACTCAATCTGCCGAAATTGAGCTAAGATAGACCGAAATTCCAATGGAGTTTGTAGCATGAAGACTTACCGCAGGCCAGTGGTCTTACCTGCTAAGAATTTCGCTTCGTTCTTCAACCCTTTTCCAGCTATAATGGCCCAGTCTCCAGTTCTTAAATTTACCTTCCTCGTCTCATCAAGACCGATTATCTCAGATGGACTGGGCACAATTAGCTGTCCTGGTTTCTTCAGATCGATGATGTCGTTAATTGAGTACCGCTTCTCGGGTGTGTACGGATCGTATTTATCCGAAGCAATCCTCTTCCACTTGTTAGGTGCATCAAATGGACCAATGAATGACAAATCTTCGCCTGCAGTACTGGTGATTGTACGTGCCTGTAATCCGTCAGCGGCAATATACCAGTTAGGCATCACATCTGTTTGGGCTACGTCCCAGTTTTCTGCGTCAAAATCTATCAGCAGGGACTGGGAACCAGGCAAACCTGGAAAGCTGGCAGTTGGCTCAAATTTGTGTTGACACCCGTTAATATGGGTGACCTTGATACCATGACTGCCAGGTATGACGTAACCATTTGGATTGTGCTTTGTGTGGACTGGTTCTATAACCCGGATGTGGCAAAGATAAATGGCCCAGGGTGCATTGGGAATCGGCTTTGAGCCCGCATTCGACAGGGTCATGCGAACGCGGTATGATCTCCAGGTGTCTTGAAAGTTATCCAATACGTCATAGCGGATGTCAAGATTGGATGCGATATAATCCAGAGTCATTTGATCCACATTTCCACCAATAACTAAAAATAGTAAAATTTAACCAGTGTTTTAGTGGATTATGCTCTTTAGGTGATCTGAATAATTTTGCACTTTACAAGATTTAACGATTATTGCCTCTGCGACAAACAGGCAAGTGAACTATCCAATTCAGCCACGACGTAAACGACAAAATAAGGAAATTGTTTAGGAGTTTTACCTTGTAAAGAGTTCTTGACGAAACTATGATTTGAAAAGAACCTCTTAAAACCTTTTTGTTTGGAAACTAAATTAAATTAAGGACCACCATTGCAGTGAAACCAATATATTGAGTAACACTGGTTCCTTTGGTACAACTGTTAACGTGCTTCTAACCCTTTAAGATTGGACATGAAATCTGAAAATTATAAAACTGATTAAGCTTTTGCTTACTGTTTCTTTGGTGGCATCTCATAAAAAGTGTAAAGTTGCAGACATATGTTGAAAACATAAACGTTGTCTATAATAAAAGCAAAAAGACGAACCTTGAATTACTAGGCTCAGAATACCCGCTGCAGCTACAATACAAGCTTCCTTTGTTTTCATTCTACTTCATACGAGAGTCCAGAAGTAGAGTGAGTGCGGTGTCCTCTCCGAGCCAAGAGAAATCTTAAGATTTGGCATGTGACGCGACGTGGTATGGAACATAAGGCACATGAATATAAGCTGGTCACACAGAGGCTGAAGGAACGTTGCAGTTGTGTTCTCACTTGTGTCAACATAATCTCAACATGGCACTCAATAACTGACGTTTTCCGAAAGCCAGGTTTTAGCCATTTAACTGTCTTTGAATTCTTAGTCTGTCATCAAACTTTTCTGCCTCATAAATGCTAGAAACTTTTGATGGATCGCACGGCTTTCTAGGAACTTCAAGGACAATTAAGAGAGAGAGGAAGCAGATTTACTGTATCTAGTTTCTCATGACAACAAGCAAAAATTAAAATGAATTGTATGAAGTCAACCTTTTCCAGCGACAAGAAAGTTGAAATTCTCGCATCTTTTTCTTAAATAGTCTTTGCAAAACGTTGTAATGATACTTAGTATTTATTTGAAACACTTTACCATTGTTAGACTATTTCTATGCCTTTCTTAAACTATTCCATTTTTACGAACTATTGTAGTTCAAAATATTATGCAAAAGGGAAAAGTCGCCATTCTCCTGCTTTTAGGTTCGTTTGGGTGGAGGTAACCCTTCTGAACGGTCTCAGTTCCTTATTTCCGTCAACTTAATTCGAAAAGAAAACTTAAGATCACCGTCTATATTCTATCGGTCGAAAATTTGCAAAAGATGAAACAGTTACACAGCTGACGAATTTCAATTTTAATCAAGGTGTTCACCTAAAGCCGTTCAGTTTTTTTTATCTTTTTTCTTGGTCACTCTCCATGCGGTAAAGTTACACATTTCTGGTCTTGTTTGCAAAACCTATGGCAATGTCTACTGCGTTATGCGATTTGGTCGCTTTGAGGCACAAAACAGCCTCAAAAAGTGTCATAACGGATCAGAGCAAAGATGGCCACGACACGTCAACCACCGAGATGAAATGCTAACACAGCAGACCAGGTGGGCCGGCAGTGCTGGATCTCTTTACTGGGACAATTAGAAAAACCATTTGTTTCTTTCTTCTTGGTGATGCTTTGAGAAAAGTAAGGGTAGAGTGCAAAAGTGTGAAACACTGCTGCAAGATGTTTTCTCCCTAGTACTAGGATCGTCCTAGCAAGGCCTTTTCACATGGTGCTAGGATCTTCCTACTTCTCAGCTAGGAAGATCCTGGTACTAGGAAGATCCTAGGGCTAGGGATAAGTACAACCCTTTAAATGTAAACTGAATACATATGTCGCTAATATAATCTGCTTTCTAGGAGGCTCTTCTGAGTCCCTCCAAGTAAACGGCCCCTGAAGAATCCATTTAAGGTCGCTAACTTACTTTATCATCACAGGTCATACAACTAGTTTTTGAGCTCCCTCCCCCACCGATACAACGACCAGTTTCTTTTCTGACCATTGGAGGATTAGTTCAAAATTTCTGTAGGTGAGCTGACAAAGTACTTGGCTGGATAACTGAATGAATGTTATTCTTTCATTGATAGTCTTATTGCAAATAGACGCTCGAACAACCCAAAGGCCGAACGAGTACCCCGGTGAGCTTCGTGAGCTTCTCTATTAAGCGTGGGTTTGATCATAATCGTCCCAGTGTCATCAAAATCGCATGAATCGAGTCGAAATGTTTTTAGAAGATCGATCGATCACATAGTGGAAACACCAGACGCGAAACGATTCGATCCAGACGACTGAGGCCCATCTATACGTTGGTGCCATAAATAATCATTAGGGTAAACGTCCCGCGGTATCAACCTGTAGCTCAAACACTGAATAGCGCTATCCACCGGCCGGACGTCCGATGATTATTAGGGAAATTAAACACGCTATCCCTTGGATAACTATTTATCCAATAGGTAGCATTATCCGCTTTGCTAACTGAATTGGGACCAATACTCGGTTATATCGGAACGGCTATCGGAACTGGGCTTTATATAGACGCGTCTCTGATATCAAAACAGTCTTATTCTTAAGAAACACTTCCGTCTGAGTACAGCCTACACTGCACCTGTATCGCAGAAGTCATGGGTTCAAAACTTGTGCAAACCTGAATATTTTTTTCAGACGCTACATTCTCTTCTCCTACATTTTAAATATATGAAATTTTTACATATTAATTCTCGAAAATTTATTTTTCATTACCATTGACCTAAATGATATTGATCGCAACTGGCGCTGTCGCTCTTGGAAAGAAACTTGTTCATTCGGGGACTCTAATATAGCCACTGTCGCTAAAATACAATTTTCCACTTTAACAATCGCTCTGTAATGAAAGTCTCCAACCAGAATTATATCTGCTTGAGGTGTCTGATGTTCCAAATTCTTCTGCAGTATTTCTAAACATCTGGTGTCGCTTGCCAGAGGTCTATCCCACACCAAACACAAAAGACTTGTTAAAACATGTAAACAACACATATATCTTCCTAAGAGTATATTTCACGAGCACACTTTAACCCCACTGTTGTTCTTCTGTTTCACTGAAATCTGCAATATAATACAATTTCTGTTTATAGTTACACCATCAGCGAACCATTTCTCCAAACAACTGAGTCACTGACTCATGCAAAATTTGAAGGACATCAGTCATGACCAAGCGGTGGCTGCTCAAATCGGCACGCAATTAGTAACATTTTGATCAGACCCTTGGATTTAGAATTAAACGTTGTGCTATTATCTCGGTGTTTTACTACAACATGGAGAAGAAAAAAAAGGAACCGTTTCCGGAAGAACCATAGACCTCTTTATTAAAGCAAGTATACACTTCAGTTACCCAAACCGGCGAAGACTACTAGGTTGTGGTTAATTATCTGGAGCGATATTGGCTGGTAACCGGTCATTTCGCCCCGGTCACTTAGTCTCCTACTTTCGAGTCACCCAACAACTGCCTAACGACAGTAGTCTGAAGTGGGCGTTTACGATACCAAACAAACTAAGTTGCACTTAACGATGCTAAACCCCGGTATTAAGCAAATGCACAGGAAAATATTTATGCGAAAGGTCTGCGTTGTAAACTTTTGATTTTGATATTTGTTTTATCAGACCTGGATTGGATATTTTTACAGTGTCTCAGTATACACTTGGCCAGTGCTATGCAAACTTTTGCAATATATTTTGTGTTTTACGTGATCAGAGTTGCGTGAAAAATTGATTGAATATTAAGTGCCCAGAAACAAATTTTAGGGCCCAGCGAAGCAGAAACGGACCAGTACTGCAGATTTATGTGTATCATGTTTGCAATGAATCGACAAAAGTTCGATGAACGTGTTCAAAGGTACAGTAATATGCATGCATGCAGCCTGGTAACCGACGAATAAACTATGTGTGAGAACATTTTTAGAAGATTTTAGTGTGTTGATCCAGACTGACAGCAACAACAGTTGAAAAACTAGTAGAGATGAAAATAAGGTGTGTTTTCACAAAACTGGTAAAATTGTTTTGACCTGAAACAAAAGCAGTCATTAAGCAAATTTTGCCGGAACGGAATTTTCCTGTTTTAAGCATTATTGCATAATGCTTTCTTTGCAGTAAGTCCCTTTAAGTATTTAATTTGTATACATCAGTGAAGAAAGTGAACACCATTACTTAAAATTTTTAAAATTTTAGTACATCACAATGAAAATCAAAGAACTGTTGAGTACAAAAAACCAAGCACAGTCAAACCTAACTTGACTGATCATAAAAACCACCCTCACATTACGTATTTCTTGTTCGTTTTGTATTCACTGACAGCGTCATGTCACGTTTAAAGCACAGTCCACGACGTGGACGGTCGAATGCGCAAAGATACAATACAATGTACATAAATAAAACATTGTTTAGTTGCGCGTTGCTGATATAAAAGATCTATCGAATAGAGCTTTGCGTTCAGTCGAGTAGAGCTCGCCAAGGTATCGACAACACATTTCATAAGTTTTCTGCAATTAGAACTAACAAAACAGCAGCGATGAAGACTTACAGTTTCCTGATAGTCCTTTTCCTCGCCATGGTATCAGTGAATGCACGGCGTTTCCTTCACACCAAAGAGCACGTGAAACGCTTCTTCCGCCCAGAACACAGGCAGTATCTTTCCGACACGACTATGTTACAGCTCGAAGATGAGATGGAGGTGAAGAAGATTCAGCAGGTACAGGAAGATGACTCCACCAAGTGCCTGCCTGTCTGTGAGCCCGACTGTGATAAAGTAGATGTACCCGATTATTTATTGGTAAGTATATTACTCAACAATGTGCAATTGCTTAGACGATTTTCGCCTTTTTGGACATAAGTAAATAGGGCAATATCACAGTTTTGCCATACCTTTGAAAAATATCTTAAGGTAAAAACGTTATAAAATGACGCCTTTAATAATTCTCTTTTCTCTTCCTTTCCAGGAAAACTCAAGTTTCCACAAATTTGAAGATACGCCCATCAAATGCGTGCTGGCTTCCACAGTTGTCTTCGAAAAGAATCCTGAGTATAAATGCAAATGGCTTGGTTTGTACTTGTTTGATTGTTGCCGAGCCTGTAATGCCGAATACGCGAAATGCCTCAAAAAACATAAAGGTCTCTCCGGGGGACCTGAATACTGCTATCGCGAAGACAACTACAAGTGCATGTGTAAATGCTTAGCTCAGCATCAACCCCTGGAGAAAAACTTCCTTTTCCCAACCCCCACTCGCTAAGTATGAACGGATATGTCATAGGCTCTTTTATAACCGATTATACTCGCTTTCTTTCCTTGGTGACAATGAGTCGATATATGCTGTGTATTAACGAATGACGGATTTTTTTTTTCATCACCTATTTTCAAGTGAATGTATGTGTAAATTTGATTATAGATTTTCATCTTATCGTCATGCGTTTACCTGAAAAAGTTTGTAATTAGGTTGTGATGCGTGAAATAAAGGTTTAAAAGATTAAAAACTGTTGTCTGTCATCTCTGTTGATGCGGGTTAAAATCACCCACCTGGGCCCCATTTCTCTCTCGTAGTTTGATTAAAAATAAAAACACAAACAGCGGTGATAAACATTGTGAGTTTTCGCATTTTTATGAACTTGACGTTTCGTATGCTATTCAACATAAATTTTCCGAAAAAGTGATCTTACGTGACCGTTAAAGAAAATTCTATACCTGGACTGAAAACGCCCTTTATAAGTTATTCTATACCCACCAAAAATCAATCACAAAAATTGGTTAAAATTGATACCGGCCTATAAAGACCTTTTAGCTAACTTCTTTCAACTTTTGAACCGAGGCTGAACGTTAGAGTTTAGTTCTCATTTTATGCTTTGATTGCTGTCTTTTTTAAAGTTTCTTCTAACGATCATACTCTGCCAAAACTTTTTTAACCAGGCCCAATTATCTTGAACCAGGAGCCGATTACTGCTTGAACCCTTTGAAATAATATAAGCTTTTTTCTGCATGTACTGTCCGAGAAATGAGCAATTAATACCGAAGTGAAAAGACTAGCTAACCGCACAAAAATTGACTTCGCACTTTCATAGACACCGATTGTTTTTCTGGCTTCAAAAGGATTTTAATAACAAAGTTATTTCGACCATAAAGATAATTGTTTATGACAAAGTGGCCTTTCTTTTGTAAAGAAAAATATGCTGGATTACTAATGCAATCAAATTACATTGGAAGCCAGGTAGCGTTTTAGTAAGGGAAAGTGGTCCGATAAGTGAAATCTTAGATTTCTTTTGCAAAACGTAGCTGTTAGTGTTCGTGTTTGTAAGATAGCTTGTTATCTAGCTAACCCCTTTGAATTTACAGAACCGTAAATTTTCCGCATTCAGTTAATGACGGTAAGATGGCTATTTAGATCATGTTCATGTTGTTATCCAGGGAAAACAATTTAAGGTTTGTTTTAGGCAGTAGGCAAAGACTAATTGATTTTATCTTTTTGTGAAAATGTTTTTGTGATTGAGCTGATACAAAACAAAAAATAATCATTTAAATAATTGATCAAGTTCTTGAAAATACACCTTATGAGCACGTAAGATAAGCAAACCCTCCTTAGTGACAAAATCGTAAAGTTTTGAAAAAGAGTTTGCTTAGTTCCGGTTTTCCAGTGAGCGCCAACGCGCGGCAGTGCACTCACGAAGTTCCTTCCTTGCTAATTTAATAGCGTCGTATTGTGCTAGCTTAGAGACTTTTGGCCTCACTTAATTATAGAACGTATAAAGAGCATTGTTAGTTTTGCCGACGAAAAATAGAGTAAAACAAAGCAACTTGCTTTATGTTTTGCTTTGAAGGAAATTACGTCCTAAACTCAATTTCTCAACTGCCGTTCACTGACTAAAAGATTGATTAATGGTTAGCTGAAGTTCGTTTACTGAGATAACCTGTTCTAACCCTGAAATCTTTGTGCAAATTTGAGCTAGTTCTGGGTTGGTATTTGTTACAAGGCTACCAATATCAAACCTACGTATTTAAACAAAGCTTATTTTTTCACATTTAGTGGAGCGGCGATAGAATGGCTATTGTAAAGTATATTTGTTTTTTTTCCTGCGAACACAATGGGATTTCATTTTTTATTCAAGCTCAGGTGCATTAGTATATAGGGATGATTGAGCTCGTCAAATTTACGAAATTGCTTGCTTAATGAACTAATAACTATACACAGAGTGATTGTTATTTAAATGACGAAGTCCAGGAAGCGGCCCTTGGTCCCCACGCCAGATGCCTTCTCTTAAGAAGTGCTCATTTTTATGGGAAGAACGTTTTTTTTAGTTTGCAAAAATTTGTCGAAGTTCCGACTTGCAGTTAGCAATGAGAAGTACTGATGAAGTGTTGTTCCTTTTCTTATTGACTTAATATTAAGTTTCCTTTGAATTCTTGCTTCATTGAACAAGGAAAATTCACGGTACTGTAATTTTAATAACCGGATTAGTGGCATTCAACATCAAACCGGCCGCCCCCTCGTCAGAACAGGCGTAACAAAAAATCACTCTTGTAGAAAAAAAGATTTCTAAAAAACAAAACAGGGTTCATCTTGTAAGACTTGCGCTCGTTTTTCTCTGTTTTTCATTGAAGGACTGAAAGTATCTTTGTCAATACCTCAACTGCCTTGCTTTTAGTAAAGACATAGTCACTTAAGGCCAAACCACAGCTTGCAATGTACGTGCCTGCACTTTGAACTAACTAACGTTACGCATGAGTGAGCTACTTCTTATTCAATTCTCAAGGCAACGAATCAAAAACAAGAAAATAATATTTTCCGCTTTGGTGGTATAAAAGCCCCTTACACACCCAAGATTCATTCAGTGCAAAGACGCCTTTTGAAGCGAACGAGGTGTCCCGTTAATAGTATTGTATTTCTTGCCAACATGAAGTCCATCATAGCCGTATGTGTTGTCGCTGTGGCTATCACCACTTTTACAATTCCAGCAGAAGGGCAGTCCTCATCACCTCCTGCTTCCCAACCAGGTTTAATAACATCGTTTACATTACCACCAACCGAATCGCCCTCCAGAATGCCCTCCCCAAAACATGGCTGCAACTGCAAGGAAACCTGCGAAGCTGTTCAACACAGCCAGGTTCCATATAAGGACAATGTAAGTCTCCCAAAGATAACAATGTTTAAAAACTAGCTGTTTGAAAACTCAAGCGTTGTTTGAATGTTTAATTTAAGGCTTTCTTTAGAGTTTACCTCTTTTTTCTTACAATCAGAGATGTGTTAGCAAACGCTTACTTAAATCGCATGCCTTAACGCCCGTCTGACTGGCACAATTGTTCTATATTGCTCTGCTGTTTTCAAAAGACGATCTGATTTATTTCAAGTCCGGCGTTCTCTTTTAATTTTATTTCTACAGACCTAACCGCATTCATACACAATTGACCATTAATACATGTTACCAGACCAGAAAATATTTAGAGCGCAGTCTTGACTTTATATGCTGCTCTTAACTGAATCGAACGGGTTCTTAGATAAATTTTGCCCCTTTCATTTCTCCTTTAGAAAGAATAGTGATGTTATCTATTCATGTGTTTAATTTTATTTGTTATCATTCTTTTGCAGCGAGAGGATGAGGCTAATTATCTCAGTTATGAAAGTTACCCGGTCTTATGCCGAGATGCTGCTGCTAGGTTCCTTGAGCCACTCGGCGGAGAAAAACCACCGAAGAAGTACATCTGCAAGCAGACATTTGACTGTTGCCGAAAATGCAATGCTATGTTTTACACTTGCTTGAGTAAGAAAGCCCCGTTTGGTGCTTGTATGCGCGCGGCTTACAAATGTATGTGTCGCTGTATTGACAAAAAATCTAACAAAGAGCTTCCTTATAAAAAGTAAGAGTAAAAGGGCTTATTGAACACTTTCATAACCTGAAAATTTTTATTTGGGAACTCCTGATGTTTTGTAAACATTGTATTTTGCATGCCTTTGTTTTATTCAACTTTTTGAAATGCACCCAAGTTTAAACCAATGTTGGCTGCAAATAATGTAACAGAGAGTGATAACTGCCTTGTGTGATCTTATAAATAAAGGTATCGTTTTTAAAATGATGTGGCTGCATTTTGAGTTCTTTTTTAATCTTCGAGAATAGTTTAGTTCACTTTTGTTTTTTTTTACTTGAAATTGCAGGGTCCTTCAATCGCTGAAAGTAAATTAAGTTTACTTTTTCTAGCCCTTCAGATCTGAAAAAGTTCATGAAATCTTTCCGCTTTTCTTCCATTTCTTTGTTTATCTTTGTTTGCCTTTAGAATTAACTTCTTGCTTCACTTGTCATAAAACGCTGCCATTTAAATTTGAAACCATTAATTCAGTAAAAGGTTGATCAAAAGCTAACGTCCCCCAAACAACCAATGGACTTTGAAGAGAAAAGAAAAACCGAAAATAGACGGAAAAGATTTAGGGCCAGTTTACATGGAGGTGGGTACCCCAGATAGGTGAGGTAAACCACGGTGGGTCACCCCACCCGAGTCATGTAAACGCGATGAAATTAATTAGATGAAAGATTATGCGGACAGCAGCCTCGTACCCAGGCCAGTTCGCGCTATCCGAGTGAATTTTCCCGACAAGCTTGACAGGTGACGTCACATCCGAAATCGCCGAAGACGACTGGGAACGAGGCTGTACGGACAGGCGGGTTACCTCACCTACCTGGTGTCCCCCATCTCCATGTAAACAGGCCCTTTAATCAATTCGACTCAATTAATCAAGAACATTTCGGAGGATGACTTAGAAATTATTTCAGTAAAAAGAAAATGAGCGACAATATTAATTGATAGCATATTAAAGTAAAAGTTCTAAGTAAAGTCTGCCAAAGTCAAATTATCGATTTTTGCCAAACGGCTGAGTTAGCTATGCTGGTATAAGTCAGTAAGAGATGGGCTAATATTTCAGATGATAGATTTTAAATAAGCGGTAAAATTTTACTGCAAGTATGCGAGGTGATTACTAAGGTTCAAGTACGCCCAGAGTTCAGTCAACTCCAATCCCAACTGACTTGTTCTATATAGCACAAGAGTAACTGATTGCGTAAGGGTAGTCTGTCGCTCAAGGGAGAAGTTATGGATGAAAGCTTCTTGTCTCAATCACGGCCTTCAAATCGAACATTCACGCGTTATTAAACCGCTTCTCAAAAACCACCGTCGAATTTTTCTGTGGATCGCGGGCAACACTTTATATAATTAAATCCTACTCACTTAAGCGACACAAAAGCCGCAGCTTGTAACGGTTGACTTGTTTTCTTTAAGAGGGTGCATGTTTTGAAAGACTTTTGCATGAGCACTCATCAACCTTTGCTGGATGCTCCGCGGCATACGGCATTATTAAGCAAAGACGTGCGTTGAATGGAAATATTGTTTTGTAGAACGATTTTAAAAAGCGGAATGTATGAAATAAAGCATATTGAACTGTGGATAAAACAAAGATTTTATAAAAATGACTTTCCACGCAGTTTTGTGTTCGGCCTCAGCGGACAAGAAAAACGTAAATGAAGTAGATTAAGCTCGAGCTCGATTTGCCAATTTTTTATTACTTTTATTCTAAAAAAACGCAAAACGAACTGAAACCTTGTATTGGCCCGTAATGTTATGTTTCACTTGGAATGTTTTTACTGATCGATTACAATGAAATGGTTTATTCTATTGATGTGATAAGTAATAACTAAGAGATTGCAATACGTGGTGCAAAGTAGTTATACTGGAAATGAAATTATTCTCCTGAAAAATTTAGTCACTCTCATTCACATTTATAATCTAACGTAATTTAAAATATATATTTTACCCGCACTCAGAAGGAGCGCGCTTCTCTGAAATCTTTCATGTTCACTTTGCAATAACAAGCATGATTGCCAGAAGTCGTCTTCCTCAACTCAGGCTTTTTAACTCAATTTATTTATAAACTAGGTAGGGCTCAGAAATAACTGCGGAAGATGGTGGTATGTAGTCCGCTGCTAGCAGAATACTTCAATGATAACATACGAGCACTAGTGAGAGCACAATATCAGACTCGTCCCGCCTCACTGAACCCACCTGCGGGGCATGCTAATGGCCGGAAGGCGTTCAGACTCTAAGGGCCTGTTTAGGTTTATATGATAGGTGAGGTGACCCGCCGCATCCATGTAAACAGGTCCTAAGGTGGCGGAAAGGCAGAAATTCAGTATTAAGCTGAAAAAACCTGAGCAAGGTCAATAGATATTTTCTCTCCTTAAATTCACTTTACTCAAGTTAGGACTTAATGCGTAAGAGTCTTCAAGTGGAACTGGGCGTCGCCTCGCTTATTTAAGAATCATGCTTCACTAATTTGATAATATAATATATAATAGTATATACTAATCAAAAGTAAAATGTTGTAACTTTTTCTCAAAACTGTTTGAATCCATAAAAGAAACAATTTGTGTAACTGATCATGTAAAATTTCTTTTATTCACCACCTTATCGCTAGTTTTACTTAATTTCAATATATATTCTTTCCATTTTCAGAACTATTGTAGATCATTTTTACATTGGATTAGAAATTTAATTTTCCTATTTTTCACTAACATGTATGAACTTAAGAAACGTCTTTTGCTTCCAAAGAGAGACCGAAATAAACCTCTAATTTTCATTTAGTTTTTCGTTTAGTTCCATTTCAGCAAGGTTATTTCGCCAACTCAGTCAGCTCTGACCATTTACCATCACATCACACGTACTCTGGAACGCACGCAATCTGTCCGTAACAACTGACTTTCGTTTTCTTTTTAATTCATTACCATCCTTTAATAGTTATGTTCAGTGAACTTTTCTTGGAACATTCACTGGCGCACTCATAAGCCGTCTTCAAACAGGTCTGTCGGGCCGGAGTAGATTTCTGCACACAATTGTGGTATTGTCCATTACATGTGCGACAACATTCAAAGAAACAGAGCTTCATGTACGGTTTGTTTTCAATATCAATTGTTCCGGATTCTTTGCAGAAAATAGGGTTGTTTTCAATCCAAATAAGTTTCTGCAATAATCAAAATAGATAAAATAGTAAAGATTGAAATAAATCTTTTTAAAAAGGCAAATAAGTAAAATATTTACCGATGATGATGTAGGAAACTGATAAAAACTATTAATCAACGCAATTTACACGTCGCTGTATTACTCATTTTGATCCCCGCTTTGGTGTATATTCAATTTGCAATCGCTTCTTGGGTAAACGGAGTGCAAGGCGTTTAACTTGAAACACGCTTGAATGAGCAATGGAATAAATCACAAATATAACAAGTAACTTTTCTACCACAGCTCTCGTTAATGAACCAGGCTTTCCTATTCTTCATTCAGTTTTGTCGTTAAAAAATTTTGTAACATCTTGTTTATATCTGAAGTGATAATAGAACCTGTGTGACTTCAGTACAAAGACGGAAATGATATTGTATCATTATTATCAGACCGAATTATAGCGGACTTACTTCGATTTCAGAGCTGTTAGGATCTAGGCAATAATCCGCGCAGTTGCACGAAATATCTCCACCCAGTGTCGTTCTGATTTGAAAATGTAAGCTGTCTTCAGTGGTTCTGCTGGCTTCGACTTTCCTTTTTCCTGACGGTCCTGTGGAACCAGTCATCCGAAAACTTGTGCTTGCCGCATGAAATGTATGTTGAATAGAAGCAAAGAAAAGCGAAAAGCATACTAGGAAGGAATACTTCATCTGTCCCTATCATGTACTCAGTTTAAGGGCATTTTAGGTTTCATCTACGATTCAACTGCAGTAGTTATTACTAATAAAAAATACATTAGACGTTTAGGTCATTTAGCCCTCACAATTTCGAAACTACAGTACTGCAATGGATGAGTGGTTTTTAGGTATAGTACTGTTGAGTGTTTTGTTCAGATTCGACGCAGTTTGATTGCTGCCGGGCATCCGCCGGCAGCAGACCATATTCATGATCCATTTGAGATTTTTGGTTCAACGGTTCGATGGTTCGATGGTTCGATGGTTCCAGTTCGATGGTCATCTGTGACTGCAGCGCTGTGCAGTCAGCGGTTTGCTTAGCTGCCGCAGCTGTTTTTCTCATAGGAGCAACCCGCCATTTTGTTTTGCTCTCATGTAAGATCTGTGCAGAAATCGTAGTTTATCGGATGCTTGCTGTCTTTTTAAACGGCCTAAACGGTAAGAACAGTTCAAGACGTATTGTACGGAACATTTTTTCGGTTTATTTTTTTTATTCAGGTTTCAAGATTAGTTATAGCGAGTATTGTTTTGTCAGATTGTTTAATATCTCGGTAATCAGGATTGTAAGTTACATAATTTTGTGAATTATTAAAATGAATTACAAAATGGTATTGAATCCTTAGCGAGTTTTATGAATATAAGCATATTTGTCATCGTGATCGGTTCTTTTTTTATATTACGCTCTGAGTGTTTCATAATGCCAGCAAGTCTAAGTTATTGACTTTAATAAAAAACAATTCATATGTTCAACTGTTCTACAAACTGTCTTTGTCCTATTCGCAGTTCGCAACTAACGGCAGCACTTCCCTTCTCAATGAGAACTTCTAGTTATAGTAGTGCATTGTCATTACTGTCAGTCTAACTCCTTGCACAGACTACCCAAGTTTATAACGAGCCATGTACAGCAGACAGCCCAAGTTGACAATAAGAATCATATTATATAATCTGAGCTGCCATTTGATATTATTGTCCATTTAAATTATCCTTTTATCTATTTCAAACATTTTCCGTAGTTTTTTTTTGTGTGTTTTCATTAAAGAGTTCGTCGCGTTGCTTATTAGAAGTCTCTCTCACTCAGGGACCTCGGGGATGCGGAAATTTTGCATTAATTTGTACGTGGCCAAAATCGCGACTGCAACGTAAACAGTGTCTTGTAACAGGCGGGTCTGTGTGAATAGGAGCCCTACTTTTCCGAGTTATAACCTAGTTCACGAATTGCCTTGCTTTATCAGGTAAAAGTAAAGAAGCTTAAAGACAATCGGATTTTGGTCAGCATCTTTGAACAGCACATCATGCAGACAGATCTTCATATCGCTGTTTGCAGCGATCCTTAGCCTTTCACAGAACTACGAACCGATTATTTAATCACCGCGGAGTAAACAGTAGAGTAAAAGACCACAACCAGTTTAACACCAGCAGTTTTGTTGTTGGTTTTACAACACTAGTGTTAGTGGGTTTGAACGTAAACAAACGCTGGCGTGTTAGCTGTGCAGTGAATAACATGCTCAGGAAAGCCGTATGGAGGTTTCTTGGCCGCGCTGGTCTGAAGTCTTTACTGTTCTTGGTTATTGTTTTACATGTCGCCATTTTTGTTGCTGTGAACTTTTATTCAATACCAGACAATCACGAAGCAGGTAGGTAAAAACATCAGCAGCAGCAATGTAGTCAACCGAGCATGTCATGATTGCAGCAAAGAGCTAAGGCAGCTTAAGAATTGAAAACGAGTCAAGCTCTACTCCGAATCATTCACCTCTCCAAAACAAAAAGAATAGTTCGAGAACAAGTGTCGGATTGACTTGAAAAAGAAAAAAAAAAAACGAACAAAAGAACACCTAAAGATGTATTTTGTCAATCTCCTTCCGGATAATTTTTTCATTCGGTAGATATTTTACGAGCTTGAAATCTCTTAAGAATATTGCAGGTGGCGGTTAACTTGGAAACAGATAAGCCGACATCATTGTCAAAAGTGAAAGTAAGCGTAATCTTTTCCCAGTTTTTTTTTAACAAACACTCAAATTTGTGCATGATTTTGCAGTAATTTTGTATTCATCTCGGCACAATCTTTGGTTGTAAAAAATATATATATTTTCGCATTAATATTTCCTCGGTAGGGATGATTGTCAATGGATACGATTTTGATTTGTCAGCCCTTTCAAACTCTCAGTGTATTTTCTCTTCTCCCAGCAGTTCAAATCCTTTAAATGCATGATTCCACGAAATGATTGTTATTACAAGTACCGTCTTGTTTATTTTTTATATTAAAAAACAGACACTAACGAGAATTATATCATTGCTTGAGTAAAACACATTCATAACAAACGCGTAATTTGCATGTTACCCATCACGCTGTGAGTATACTATAATTTCAAACGGGGCCATCCGCCGTAACGTCAGACAGCATAAAAGTTATATTCGTTCAGTTCTACCTTGTGTGTAAAACCGTCAATGTTTTAGCCTTCGTGGCTCCGTATTAATACTATTTTTTGACTTTCCAATTTATTACGTTTGCGTTCGACGCATCAAAAATACAAACTATCAGGACATGAAATACCAAAAAAGTGTATATTTATATATCTTCCGTGATATTTTGGGAGGGGAGTGGGCTATGTACATGTACTGTGCGTGCGGCGTGAAAGGAATAGTTTATTACTTCTTTGGCATGGTTAATTTTCGAGTTGAGTCTGCAATGTGGTTAGCCTGCGAATAGCAGACGCATTTCCAGTCGTCCGTTCTCTCCCTCCGAAAAATAGCGTCGCTATTTTCCGGAAAATAGCGACGCTATTTTTCGGAGGGAGAGAACCAACGACCGGAAATGCGTCTGCTGTTCGCAGGCTACAATGTGGTAAGGAGGGTTTAAAATTGGGTTTGTCTTTTATCACAGGATAGCGGTTCATTTCTATAATAGGCCCGCGGAGGTAGAGGAAATCACTTATTTTGGTCTGATGTAGGGTTAGCATTTTAGGACGTATGCTTTACACCCCCACCAGAGTTTTCCTTGGTTCACCACTGGTCGCCAGTAAAATCTTACCGAATCCGCTCTAGTTGTCGTGCAAGCCAAGGTTAAGATCAGAGTTGAACACATCCGAAATTACTTTCTGATTTTATTGCAGAGTTAGAATGCATAAAAACTTTGGTTCCCGCATAAAAACAACAACAACAAGTGTACTCAATCGAATTTTAAAATAATTTTGTTGTTATGCCTGAGTGTGGGAACCAAAGTTAAAACATTTATGTTACCCGCCAAGAAAAGAGGAGCTATTCTAAGTGGGTTACAATACAATAATATAGTCTCTTACTCATAATAATTACAAACTTCAAAGTTCTGGAAAAAAAGAGAGTAAATAAAGAGAAAACAAAACAAGGTAGCACAATTAAAAAGGTAAAACTGTAACCAGATACTGATCTTAACATCACTTTATCTAATCATGACGCGCAATTTAAGTACGCTGATGATTCGACAATTATTACTCCTGTATGGAAGGAGGTAGACTACTCCGATCATTTAGTGTCACAGTTTTTAGATTGGACGAATACAAATGGAATGTCTTGCAATCCAAGCAAATGTAAAGAGTTGACGATCAAAAAGAGAGGCAATCGCGATCTCTATTCACCTATTGGGATGATACCAAGCTGTAAAGAAGTAGAGATTTTGGGCGTCACCTTCCGATGTGACAGCAAAGTTTCAGTGCACGTGAAGAACAAACTTATTAAAGCTAACAAATCCCTACATATCCTTAGAACGCTGCGCAAAGAGGAGTACAATCAGTCAGAAATAGACCTTCTCGTTATTACAATAGTTCTACCTAATATTAATTACGATTATCTGTCTACACCGCTTACGAGTCCGATCTTACACCTGTAAAATGTTTCTTAGACCTCTGTTTTAAAAGGAAATATACGTCTAAGCCTGTGAGTTTTTATGATTTCTTATATAGAGAGGCTAGACGGTAAAATTTTCAGAAAAGTTTCTAATGCTAAATGAGGACATCCACTTATATCTAATATGCCTCGTGTTAAACCGTCCAGTTACAATATTAGGAAAGAATTTTTTTTAAAATCTAAGATTAACACCATGCGTTTTAAAAACTCTTTTATTAATCGTTTAGTTTTTAAATATGAATTAGCTATGTAATATACTAGATTTTTTTAGTTCTTACTTTTACCTTTTTAAAATTTCTTACACTTACTTGAATGTGGGGGGATTTTTATCTTTTGATGAATAAAGACTTTATTATTATTATAATTATTTAGATACGATAGTAAAAGAAAACTATGGATGTAAGGAACGAGAGCACTCTAACTGAATAAGGAGTTAAGGAATCTTATACTGATCAAGCTTATTACACTTGCTTTCCTACCATTTGTGTCCGTTTTGAGTCACTGGATTGTTTCATGAAAGTGAAAATTTTTATGTAAGAAAGAATGAAAAATGTTTCTGTGCAATAATTATAAAGTAAGTGATCTTATATATACTGTGCGTATATGTAACTCCGTTAAGCAAGCGGTATGCTCATGTGGATTTACTACTCTTCACAGGGGGCAATCCACTTGTGTTCACCGCTCTGAAAGGTAACGAATCTGAAGTTATACATCGGTTGCTGACGTCTGGTGTTGTTAAGCAAACAAGTTTTTTACCTACAACTCCGACAGTGCCTTTGACTCAACATATCATAGACAGTATAGCCCAAAATATGGAGGTCCGCTTTCAGATCCTGCAGAGTTTTAATAGTGCGGTCATAACTTTAATAAATAAAGGATCGGCACTAATTGGCGGAAACCTTTGGGCAATTTATATGTGTCTAGCAACAGGATTGGAGCTTGGGCATCTTGTACACAGAGAAGATGGGTACGTACTACCTGACAAAAAATCGATCAAACTGACTCATTTGAGTGGATGTTCATTTAAAATTGAGCCAACAAAGGACTTTAAAGCTATCCCGCCAGGTAAATCAATAGAGATCATGGTCCATATCGGTTTAACCGAGTCGAGGAGTGATCTGGCCCCCAGATGGTACGTGGCGGCGGATGGACTGGAACCAAGGATCATTCCCAACACTGCCAGTGAAGAACTTGACTTCGTATTTTTCCCACCAAAGAGAAGAAAATCGTGGGATAGCTTTGTAAACTGCGATGCGGCTGATCTTGGGAGTGCTCCTCTTTTAGTTATCCCAACACCTTCGGAGGTTTTTGGGTTCAATGCAACGAATAAACTATCTGTTGATGGCAATTGGATTGTTTTTGGGGAACCGGGATTAGAAGATGAAACAAGCTTCCTAGCAGGTAATTGCAATATCTGGTTTTCATGCAAACGACACTTTCGAAAACTTAGCGGGGAAGACGAAGTTAGCTCGCATGGCGTAGGTGCGTAAGAAACATGAGTCTGGAGGATTGTATGGAGGTGAATGTTTTTCACATGCGCACGCAAGAGGGGGAATCCAACTACCAGTGAGCTGAGGTAGCTTAATTTCTCTTAAATTTACCCGAAACGAACTTTTCAGCCATTGTAAAAAGAAACAACAAAACAAAAACAAAAACCCTAAAAATTTAAATAGTCAGCTACGTCTCACTTTACCGTGAATCCACTCACAGGCGGCTCATGCTTTGAATTTTGAACATTTTTGACGTCATTTGTATGGTCTATAAGAGTACAGACATTGGATATAGTTAGGTATGTCTATAAATAGGAAATTTATAAAAAACTTTTTTTCTCTTCAGGTAAGCTTAATATACCAAAATCCTTTTCACAGTCTACGCGCGACAAAGTCATCAAGCTTAAACTAGGGAGAGTGTCGGTACAAGGAACTGAAATATCCTCCAGTGAATCGTACCTCATTCAAGTCAATACTTCCGACCTGTCAATCGTCATTACTGGAACTGGGAATGCCGGAGTGTTCTATGGTGTCCAGACTCTTCTTGCCCTCGTCACCAAAGAAGGACAGGTTCCTGAGGTGCAAATCAGAGACTCTCCTCGTTTCTCATATCGAGGGCTGATGGTTGATATTGCGCGGAATTTTCAACCCAAAAATGAAATATTGAAGCTACTGGACGTCATGGCGATGTACAAAATGAACAAACTTCATTTCCACCTCACAGATAATGAGGCATGGCGACTGGAAATGCCAGGAATCGAGGAATTGACTTCAGTGAGCATAGCCTTTCCCAGACGTTCAGATAGTAGAGCGCGGCCCTCAGATGGTGGGGAGCGAGTTAAATCGTACGCGGGGAAAACAAGGGGAAAAACGAGGGGGAATGGGTCGAGAGCGAGGGAACATTCCCCTCGTCAATTTTTCTCCCGCAGTCTACTATCTGAACCCCTGGTGCAGGCTACAGTAAGCAAGGGATCGGAAAATAGAATTTGATCGTTTTATGAATATTTCTGTGAAAATGCGTCATGTGAGAATGTTGTCGGAATACTTGAAGGAGGATTTCAACAACTGCATGGGCAACTGTTTTTCCCTTTAAGTCACCTAACAAATTTTCCCTATAGCTTTTTTCTTCTTCTTCATGGAATAAACTCCTTGAAATTGCTATTCGAGACAGTTCAACACCCCTAATTGGCTTCAAAGTATACCGCCATAAACCAGTTACCAGATTATGAAAATGGCTTGGCGTTTAAAAACTCTTATTCTGTAAATCGGAAATAAAGAACGACTTATCCTGCATGTAATGGAGTACTGTTATTAAGCATTTAAGCCCTAAGAATCATCAGCGTCAAATTTCTCCTTGTAATAGCAATGCTTTGTAAATCAGAGTGGTCATGAGAATTACGAACATGATCACACAAGATGAATGTAACTGATGCTTCAACAAACTCTCCCTACTACTTCTTTTGAAAACATATAGGGATAACAAATGAGAATTTGAATTTTGATCTTAGGGTTTCAAGGGTTTATAAAGCGAGAACAGTATTCTTTGACGGCGCGATTAACGTTTCCTGTTCGTTTCGTTATTGTTTAGGTCGGTGCCAGAAGATGCCATGACTTACAAGAGAAAACCTGTATCTTTTCTCATCTCGGCTCAGGTCCCGACACCAGTACCTCGGGCACTGGGTTCTACTCTACTGAAGACTACAGGGAAATTTTACGTCACGCAAAGAGACGTCATATTCAAGTGATTCCGGAGTTTGACTTACCAGGCCACAGTCATGCCGCCATTAAAAGCATGATAGCTCGTCACGATAGGCTGGTTAAGGAAGGAAAGGAGCCTGAAGCAAAGGAGTTTCTTTTAAGTGACTTCAAAGACGAATCTCAGTATTTCTCCGTGCAATTTTTTACAGACGATACAGCCAATTCTTGTTTGAGGTCGACATACAGGTTTATTGAGCGGGTGTTGAGAGAGCTAACAAACTTACATCACGATATTCAACCCCTGACTGTTTTTCACTTTGGAGGAGATGAAGTTCCCGAAGGAGCATGGAGGAAATCACCCGCGTGTGAAAAGATTGCTAAAATCTTAAACTTTACATATAAAAGTGTTCAAACGCACCAAAAATTAAAAGAATACTTCTTAACACAAATATCAAATATTACGGCAGAAATGAACCTTGCTTTGGCCGGGTGGGGAGATTTCTTGTTCGAGAAAAGCAGGCGTACACTTATTCCAAGAGATTTTTTTTCAAATAAGGAAATTTATTCGTTTTCGTGGAGTGTGACAGGTGCAGTAAAAAACCTCAAGGAAGTTTCTTTGATGGCTAATCACGGATACAAGGTGAAAATCATCATGTTTCAATGTATTCTTTTTTCTTGAATGTTAACGTAAAATCTGAGCTTCTCTAGTCCTGTCAGCTCCTATAAGCTCACCATGCATATCGCACACTTATAGCAGTCATCTCATAGAATATCAAGTGAATGTCTTTCAATCTGTCAGATCAATTGAAAATTTTACATCTTTTATAACCTCCCCCACAGAAGCTATAGCAGCCTGGTCCCCAGACGTGCCCTATTTTTGGTGAAAACCTCGACATCTTGACACGACTGTGAGCCATGACGTCGCCCTACAAACCCACCCATTTTTCCCCAGTATTCAAGGAGACAATGGGGCAAGAGAGAACCACTCAGGACCAGGCCGACATCCCATTTGTCCATTTTTTCAATAACGATCATAAGGGATGACTATATTGGCAACATTGTTTTTTCGGATTTAGTAACAAATACCGTATTCTCATTGGATAACAAGATATATCTATTATCTGCAGGTTGTGTTGTCAAGCCCAGACTATATCTACCTTGATCATCCTTATGAGCCTCATCCCGAGGAACGCGGAAAGCACTGGGCAACACCTTACACTGATACCAGGAAAATCTTTGGTTTTGCGCCCGTTGATCTTTACAAAGACATCACCTGCAATTTCAGTAATTGCAGCCACGCACAGCAAAACGTTGTAGGTAAAAAATGTTTTTATATGCAACTGCTAGACTGTTTACAAATTGTCGTGTTAACTACAGAATGTTGACTTCTGAGATGCCGCTCTGTAGACGCAATTTGCCTCCTAAAAGACATTCAAGAGCTTTTTAGAAAGATACACAAATAAAGGGCTCAGTTTAAATTATGAGTTGAAAAAGTAGTTTATCAAAATCAGCTAGTTTTGAAAGCTGACTTTTTCGAGCGCTACGTTTTCGTCAGAGCAAAGTGCCATCTCTTAACATCACCTTTTTTATCTCTTTGAGCGCTTCACCCTCTTGAGAAAACTAATTTTCGGTCAGCCATCACGTGTTGGGGGTGTGACTGCAAAGCATCGGGATTTTTTCTTAGTCGAATTTTTTCAATAAGATTGCAAGCTGAGATGGCTCAGATTGCTGTGCGTGTAGGTACAGCTTATCGACAGACGTTCCTCAACCCACATATAAAGGAGACTCTACTAACGCGTCCAACGTTTGCTACAGGTATCGAGTCAGCGTTGTGGAGCGAGACAGTAAGAACTGCGGAACAAATGTATACTATGCTCTTCCCTCGGCTTCTTGCTGTGGCAGAGCGAGCCTGGCACAAAGCATCATGGGAAGAGGTCACTGACAGGCTGGCGCGAGAACGTCAAAGGACTGGTGACTGGGAGAGGTTTGCTAACACTATTACGTACAGGGAACTGGGCCGACTGGATGAGATGGGTGTACCATACCGCGTTCCTCCACCAGCCGCAAGGTAAAAAACAAGAGTGTACTTCTGTTGTCATTAAGAAAAACCTTGAGAATAGGCTACAAGTCAGACTATCCGCTCAATCAAAGTTTACAGGAGGTATCTAACGTGGGGATGAGACATGACTATATTGTAAATTGTTTCTGTAGGATTACAGGGAGGAAACTTGAAGTCAGGACTGCACTGCCAGGCCTTAAAGTTGAGTTCTCGCGAGATGATGGAGAAACCTGGAATGATGTCACAAGTGGTGGCATAGAGGTTGATGGGATATTAAAGTTGAGGACAAGGTAAGGAATTAGGGTCGTCCAGGGTCAATTATTCTAAAAATATTGTTAGTGCCTACAACTGAAAGATGAGCAGAAGCTCTCATGCACGTACACCTCAGTTGAGTGTTACGGGGGAACTGATCACATGAAATCGTTGTGCCCTTCAGTATTTCGTGTTTCATGAATCCGTCTCTACCCAAGACCAACACGAAAGCGTCGTGCTAGAAAAATCTAAGATTTTCTAGTAAGATTTGTTGAATTTCTGCTTTGCGACTTGATTCATACAACTTGGTGCTCTGACGTCAGTTTGTGGATAACATTGGTGAAGATGAATGAAGAGAGAAATTGTGGTGTTTTCCCTTGAGACACTTTCTGATAACAAAACTGATAAAAGCGGCCGCATAGATGGACGGTTTGGTCTCCTTACTTTGGCGTTTCAAGCCAAACACGGTGTTAAATTGCTGTGTGGTGATTAAAGGGAACGCATTCCTAGCGCTAGTTCCAGCGTTGACGTCAGACACTGATGAAGAAGGGGTTATTTTCGAATGAATTACAGTCATCTTAAAAACTCTGAAGACAATACTTTTTTGCTTATATTAAAGAAAACACATCCTTTCTTCACTGGTTAAAATCACACAACAAAATCGTCTGAGGATGTGTTCAGGTGTTTTTCATGTTTATTCTTTTGTTCATTGTTCTTTTTTTTTTCTTTATCCCTTCATTTCACTGTTTAAGATCCGCTGATGATGAACGCGTGAGCAGGACGGTCGAGGTTGAAACGCTGATCCCTAAACTAGCGGACAAGAAAAAGGAGAAAGAACAAGATTATAAAAAAACGAGTAAACAATTACATCACATACAGTAACAATCTCCCAGCTAGTTGACTTACCACGTGAAAGGTTAAGGCCAAAAAGTGCAGATTTCTGATTAGCCTGTTCCAGGCGTTCAGATGGTGGGGAGCGGTGCGAACTAAAAAGGAGCGCGAAAAAATAAAAGCAAGGGAGGAGGAGAGGTGAGAGAGGGCCTCTCCCCAGTCCCCCTCTACTTTTCATCGCTTTCTTTACTTCGCACCGCTCTCCACTATCTCCACTATCTGAACGCTTGGAACAGGCTAAGTGCAGATCGAACCTAAAGTAACGGAAAACAGAATAACAAACCACTTTACGCCATGGAAGAAATTCTTGCAGCGCGCGATTTCAAGAGAAGAAGATTCAAAACCTTGGAGTAGTTCAGATAGAGAAGAATATTCACAACAAAAGAACACAACAGAAAGAAGCTGAGGTGGTATCTAAATCCAAAGATATATCAAATCAAACCAATACTAAAAACGTGCACATAAGAAAGAAAATTATCGTTTTGAAAAACAATTGAATTAGTTCCAGTCACTGAGAAGGATAAAAAAGATGACCTATAAGTTTCGTGTAGATTAACGCAGCCAAAAATTGTACTGACGGTGCTTCATGCATTTATTAACAAAGAGATGCTTTCGAGGACAGATGCTCGTCGCCCCGGAGTGTGTACAAGTAGTGTGCTGAGCATTGTTCAGGCAAACTCTTAACATCTCCATGGTAAATCGCTGGAGGGGAAAGGGTTCAATGTAAACTGTAGCAAAATTATCGCAAAATCGACAGAAAAATGACTACTACAGTAGCCATGAGTTTGGTCATATTTGACGTCATCACGTGGGGTGAGCAGCCTTTCACTGTGGGCTTTGCGGTGGCCACTTCCATCTCAACAAGCCTGCTATAACGAGACCCATCCGCTGACCTGCGAGATTGATATAAAACAGGGTATCATTAACAATAATTCAATTTCAAATTCTAATTCTGCCACTGGTTAAGGGGCATGCGGACTAAAAATTTGACTAAGCAGGTCAGGGTTGCTTTTTATAAACCTCGTTTATCTTAACTTAGGGAAAAACGAGTTAAGTTTTCATTAGAAAGGTGGTTTACTCTCCTACTGTTTGGAATTTTCTTAACATAGGCGTGACTAATTTGCAAGCCAATATCACCTAGAAATTCTGGTCCATGTCAATTTCCTAGTTTTAGACTTGTCACCATTTGTTTGATGTTTATTTCCCAATAAAAGCAGCTTTAAAACTGTCGAAACCTTTTTGCTAGGGGCGAAACCTTTGTTGTAGGGGCGGAACATATTTATATCAACATCGTCCCCAGGGCTTTTAACTTGTATTTATATGGCAAAGAGCAACCAAGCCCTGAACAAAATTTAAGATTAATCAAAGCGGATGGGTGCAACTGAAAGCACATTATCGAATCTGAATATGAGTTCAGTCACGCTGAGTTTGGTACACAATAGGCCAGTTTACAGCTGTGGACTTAGTAACTTAGTCTTTGAGTGAAAGTCAGGCTGAGGTTGACCTTGTTTAATGATACAACCTCTTTCCCATTCTTATAGAGATTAAGCTTAAAAAATACTAAATTACATAATAAGGCAAGAAGGTTTGTATCAAAACAAGGTTAACTCCAGCCTGGTTTTAACCTGTAACTGTCAAATGGGCTATTGCTTCTTCCCATTACGTACCCTGTCCACCCACCAATGGCATTTTGAGAGACCTTTTTGCCAGTCCTACGTACCTGGTCCGTAATTTAATCCTTCCTTTTACTGTTGTATCACTGGTAACGTCCTTCCAAGTTATGCCATCAGCGGAATACTGAACAGTTAGTCCTGGGTAGATAGCTATGGTCTTCAACTTGCCATCTTCAGCACTACCAATATAAAGAAAAACGGGGAGAATAATGAAACAGAGAGGGAATCTTAGGGCATTAGTAGGGAGAGGTGCATTTCACTTAAGTTATTTTTAGATGTTGTAATTAAACGGAAGTCTTATTCCTGAGACGTCATACAGTGGCGGAATTGCCACAAAATTGAGTAAAACGTAAAAATGACAGCTCAAAACGTTAAGAGAAGGTACAAATCAGTGGCGGATCCAGGGAGTCCCCTTTAGTTTTAGATCAAACTGAGGCCCGAAGGGTCGAAAAAAATGTTTTTGAGCCCGCCCCCCTTATCTCAGGGTTTGGACGACCGGACCCCCCCCCCCCTCCCTTATTTGAAGGTCTGGGTCCGCCACTGTAAATAACACAGCAAATAGAAAATGAGGCTCTGCTGGACAAAGTTAAAGAAGATGGAAACGGATTGCAATTGTGGTTTTTGAAAACTCGTTAGCCTAACAGTATATCAAAGTTCATTTTTGTTGTTTGTATGGTTGGAGGTAACGCTTGGGAGACAGACCATTTGACACGAAGCTATGATTTTGTCGTTCACAAATAATTTCTTATGTTTGTCCATGGTCTCAATTCAGGACGTGTAGCTGGCATTATTAAAAAAATTAACTGGAAAGCCATGCAGGACACAGCGCCTTTAATTAAGCCTGCTTCTGACCTGGCCCCTGGGGGTGGAACACGATATTGTACGCCCATCTTATCCAGTCGAACCAGCTCTCTGTTCCCCAGGGCACCCGCAAATTTAACCCAATCAGCTTTCATCATTTCGTTTTTTTTTTTCCTGTCGGTAATATCTTCCCAGGATGCTTTGTGCCATGCGCGTTCGGCCAGTGCTAGCAAGCGAGGGAAAATCATGGCGAACATTTGGTCAGGATTTCGTACGGTTTCTGTCCATAAATGACCTTGCATTCCTAAAAACACAGAAAAAAGGCAAGAAATTGAGAATCAACCTAAGTGAAAAAGAAATTCACCTGAAATCAAATTTGAACTGTAAAACAGTTACATAATATGCGGAAGAAACCACTTATAATTTTCTGTTGAATCAAGAGTTGTGTCTTCAGTTAGTGCTTTGCGCTATCATATTTGGAAATGAATAAAGTTCATATAGAATGTTTTATGGACAACAGATTTGCTTTGGAAAATAAGGGAATCACGATACAATATACCGTGGTACATGAAAGGCTTATCTCTTTAGGTACGGACCATAAGAAAACTTAGGGGGGGGCAGGGGCGAAGTACAAAAACAATATTCGCGCAAGGGGAAATTACATGAAAAAAAATTCATGCACGCCAATTAATCCTAAAAAATATTCACGCTATGGGCGAAAAAAAAATTCATACAAGGAATTTGATGACGTAAAAAAATTCCTGCGGCTCGAAAACTCTCCCCCCCCCCCCATAACTCTTCTAATTGTCCGTCCCTTAATCTCCGTTATATTCAAAAGAAGAAAGATGTTATGATATAGGCCCATTGGCAGACAGAATTTTTTAAGAAAGCCATACCTACAACATTTGCCTTGTGCATTAAATGAGGACAGACGTCTTGAGTTTTGCAGAACTCTTCTCTGGTTAGCGGGGCTCCGGTGCGTTTTACCTTAATATTTGCATACAAATCATCTGGCATAAAACCAAATACTTTTGGAGTGTCCGTGAACCGAGTGGCCCAGTAAAATCCACGCTCCTCGGGGTCAGGTTCGTACGGGTGATCAAAATACAAATGAGTGGCCTGGGCCATGACTACCTGTGAAATTAGGAAAATATCATGTTATGGGAAGAGCTGTTTGTATGTTAATTGCTTTTTTTATTTTAATAAATGGGATTAAATGGGTCCTCCGCATTGCTTAAAACCTTGCTTGCAGAGCAGAGCAGGACTGGTAACTCGCTTCCAGGGTTTTTCAAGTCTTGTAGGCAATCTTGCTTGTTTTGCTTACTTATTTCTTACTTGGAAATGATACGATGCTATTAAAATAGGTTTGGGTATAGTAAGTGGGGTATGGCGCGTTTGAAGAAAAGATAATGTTTGGACCGTACCTTATAACCAGCGTTTGCTAGTGCATAGGCTCTTTTACCGCCACCCCATTCCCAGATATTGTTCCAAGCATATCCATAGACTTCCCTGTTCGCCATTAACTTTCTATCATACGGAGCACTTTTGACATCCATAAGGCCATCTTCCCATCCAGCGAGATCGAGGCTGTAATTGGCTGTGATATTAGAGATACGCTGAACAAAATAATCTTTCAGCTGGTCAGCAATTTTCCCTACGGAGCTATTCAGTCCCAGTCTCTGCACGAGATTATTACACGCGGTGGAGTTCATCCAAGCGCCATGAGCAACTTCGTCTCCACCAAAATGGAATATGGTCAGCGGTTGTGAATCGTTATGCAAGTTCACGACAGACTTGACCACGTGTTCAACAAAAGTGTAGGTGGATTCCATGCAAGGATTTATGGCGTTATCGGTATAGTATTGAATGGATAAATATTGAGATGTGTCGTTGATTTCATTTAACAAATACCTTTCTGCTCCAGGCTTATCTCCCTGAGCTAGTAATTTGTTGTATCGTGCGAGCATAGATTTAATAGCGGCATTCCCATGCCCCGGCATGTCAAATTCAGGTATGACTTGTACGTGGCGCTCATTTGCATAGCGGAGAATTTCCTTATAGTCATTGACCGAGTAACTTCCTGACCCCGAACTGGTGGAGTCTGGGCCCGAGCCAAGCTGTGATAGTAGGCACTGCCCGTCTTCTAGATCAAAACAGCGTTTACTGCCAACCTGAAAAAAAAAGAATAATGATAAACGAGAACTTAGTGTACACAATATGCCGTACACATGTGTGTGCTTCCTTTTGTTTGAAATTAATTGTCCGCTTGGTCAGAGTTAGGCCCGTTTCAAACGTTCGTGCTACTCCCGTGCCGAACTCAATTCATAAATTACAAATGCATTAGAATACATTTAAAAGTTTGCTGAACCGTTTCTTTATTACTATGTTTTGTTTTCGGCAACAGCCGTTCTATTCGACTGAATTAAATTCGACGTCTGAAACCAAGTCGTGCTAGTGTCGTGCTGCAGTCGAGCTACAGTCGAGCCAGCTTAGCGCGGCAGTAGCACGACGTTTGAAACAGGCCTTAACAGTGCTGCACTTCGCAGCAAAACCTCCGGAGGGCAAAATGTTGGCTTAGGGTTAGGTGCGCAGTTTCCCAAACACGTATAATAATCCCAACCTTCCACCCTTTAAACGACATGTCGTTCCTTTATGTCATGTTATTTTAATTTACCTCAGTAAGTTCCGGTAACCCGGGAATCTCCAGTCTCCAGCCTTCGTCATCAGTGAGGTGAAAGTGAAACTTGTTTAACTTGTACATTGCCATGACGTCAATCAACTTGAGGACTTGGTCCTTAGGGACAAAGTTGCGTGCCACATCAAGGTGCATTCCTCGGTATCCATACCTCGGAGTGTCCCTGATTATCAGTTTGGGGACTTTGCCTTCGGAGGTCCTTATTCCAAGAAGCGTCTGCACTCCATAGAATACACCTGAAGGGCCCTTACCTGGGGTTAAAATTGAACACATTTTTAGAAGTAAAGAGCGATAAAAGATGTGTAACAATAAAATGATGTTCGACGCATAATCTGATGAGTGACCTTAGTCAAAATTTGTGCAAAGCACGCATGCACAACACAGTTTGGGTGATCAATCACTATTGCAACTCAATCGCTGAACTGTTTCAGTAAACGCACATTAACGGATTTTAGATCGATACCACAATATAGGAAGGCTCTTTTTAATTTAAATTCTGCGTATCCTTGACACTGGCAATCTGATCAAACTTCCATAGAACATTAGAAGTTTAATGTGAGATAGTGTTTTTCTGCGGGCTTAAAAATCAACAAGGAACACGCCAGAAAGAGTGACTTTTTATTTTTTCAGAGTGGATCATGGGTAGAGACTGACCTGTGATGGTGATGGCATTCTTGTCAGCGTCAACTTCAAGGCTGTACGACTCATGCGCACTTGGAAACTGCTGACCGCTCTTGCCAGGCACAGAAACGTCGCCCATCACGAGCTTGATTACTTTATTTTTTTGTGGTGTCGAGGTTACTGTAATCCCAAGTTTGTCTGTTTTAAAATGAAAAAAATACTCCACATGTTTCGTAAAAATTATTTGTCTTGCCTAAAACAGCTGAGTCACCCGTCACAAAAGGTAGCCTTTTGACAGCAAGCAAGTTCAGGAAGACGAAGCACGTTTAGCCCAGACCTACCGCTTTTTCGGCTATCTTATTCATTTTTAAAATGCTATGAACCTTTGAGAGAACTGTTTTCCCCGTGTCATCCGGCCTGCTGTCACTTTTCAAAGCCGCGACCTTCTTTTGCGCCAATGGGCCTTCTCTAACAATACTGTCAGAGCAAGTTTGCCCTCATACTCAGGTGAAGGCACACTCCAATGCCGTTTCAGTTTTTCTGTGTGTGAGCTGTGCGTGTCACTGCATTTTTGAGACAATTTGCAAGATAATCAGTGCATTTGCAACGCTTTCTCTAGGAAAGGTCTTTTGGGAATGGATGTGATAAAGAACGTGATAACTTTTTCAAAAAATGATTACCGTAAACTTCCGAAAATAAGCCCAGGGGCTTTTATTTTTCAAAGGCTCTTTTTGAGGGGCTTATTTTTGGAGGGGCTTATATTCGGAGGGGCTTATCTACAGAGGGAAATTGGCGTTTCAAAATGGATTGGGCTAGCTTGTAGTAGGAAGGCAATTTACGATGTTTGCTTTGTTTTACTTTGTATTCGAGGGCAATTTCCAAGTACAAGCCCCCCGGAGGGTTTTTTGCGTTACGATTTTGGGGGGCTTATATTTGGAGGGGCGTATCCATGGAGGGGCTTATTTTCGGAATTTACGGTATTTCTTTATAATACCTTTCAGGAGAGCAGCTTCTTTATCTAGTCCAGCCTCAACGTTTATTAACCAATCTGACGTAACAACCACGTGATACTGTGTATCAATGTTCATATCCACTGGGGTGGGAATGACTTTAGTTGCCGCTGTCTCTAAATCTGACATAAAGTATTTGGCGTAGCGATCCTCAGGAGTGTATGGATTGTACGAATCTTCGACAGAACGCTTCCATTTTTCTTTGGTGTCAAAATTTCCTACAAATGTAAGCTGTTCATCATCAGTATTGTTTATGACTCGCGGGCTTAACCCTTTTGCCGTGACGTACCACCTTGGCATGATGTCAGTTCGAGCAACGGAAAAATGATCAGCCTTGAACTTAAACGTCAAAGAAGCACCAGCAGCAATGTCTTTGAAATCACTAGTGGTTTCAAACTTGTGGAGGCAGCCATTGATGTGGGTCAAACGGATTCCATAATTTCCAGGGATAACGTATCCTGCGGGGTTATGCTTCAGATGCTTCGATTCCATGAGTCTGATATTACAGAAGTACACGACCCAGTCGCCGTGCTTGATGGGGACTTGTCCTTTGTTCGTTAGGGTTATTTGCGACAGAAAAGTTAACTCAGACGCCAAATTATCAAGGACATCATATCGTACCTCCATGTTGGAAGCCAAATAATCAATGTCCCCTTGAATAGAACCTAGAAAGGCATTTTGAAGAAACTTAATTTGTTTACTCTTGGAATAAACACGGATTGCAAACAACTGGCAAAATTCGTGCATTTTGATGAAAGAGATCATATTTATGTCCACTGTTCCCATTCTGCCATGTAACAGTCTGGTTTTGATGACAGTACTCTAGTACCCGGCCGTGGGGGGGTGGTGGTGCTACTCCCTATAATGGCCTATGAGGGGATACTCCGCCCGAATTTGGATATCCTTACGTGACTAAGGCCTGGGGACTTTAGCCTGCGAGCAAGATCTCCTATTTGGGCAAGCGAAGTGAGCCTCGGCTCCTCGCGACTTCGCGGCTAAATCAGAAACGAATTGAATTAACCGCAAAAACAGTGGACGAAGATCCTGCTAATTTAAAAACGTTGGACCTCTAGAAAAGAGATCCGAATCAGCCAAAATATTAAGAACCAAAAACAAGAAGTCCTAAGACTACTGCAAAGCTGATCAGAACAACGTGTATTGTTTTTTCATAACAATATTTCGGCTGGCCATACCAGCCTTTACAGATGTCACTGAACTTATGATAGGAATCACAATAATATTGATACAGCTGTTGATAAGTAACAACAGTGACATCTGTAAACCTGAAGAAGGCTGGTATGGCCAGCAGCCGAAATATTGTTATGAGAAAACAATACACGTTGTTCTGATCAGCTTTGCTGTAGTCTTTGGATTTCTCGTTTTTAAATTAGAAAGGCTAGCATATGACATTAGAAGTCATCGTAGCAACTGAGAAATTCACAAACATTGCATTGACAATGGTGTGAATCATTGAAAGTGACAAGTCAGTGTCAGAATCAAAACAGGATCTGTTTGTAGCTATTGCTCGTTATTGCAGCTGAAATTAGGAGAAGTCATTAGCCAAGGAAACAGAAAAGTCGGGTCTTTCTGCAGGTAACGCATCACAAAAGAATCAAAGGAACCGAACAATGGATTTCTCCTGGGGACTTTATTGTTTGGTTGTATTGTTTCTTTTGTTGTTCCCCGGGGGGGGGGGTACTCCCTAATATGGGCTATATAGGTATGTGCGGCCCCAAAGGGTAGGGTTTTTCAGCCGTTTTGGTCATAAATTGGGTATCGCTTTTGCTATTTTGCCGCCATTTTGGTCATAAATAGGGTAACGATTTTTGCACTGTAGTCTTGAATGCACTTTTTTAGAAGAAGCTACTTCCTTCTCATGTCTCCCTCCTTCCATCCGCGCTTTGTCTTCCTCTCCACCGGCTACTTTGTAGGCTAGAAAATACTAGCAACAAAAGCCCTTCACAAAATAGGGTATCAAATTTTTGGTTAGGTCATAAATAGGGTAGGGAAAATCGCAGATTTTGGTCATAAATAGGGTAAGGGTTTTGGGAAGCGGGCCGCACACCCCTACCCAATTTTTCTGTGAGTACCCCCCCCGGGTGTTGTTCGTAATCGGTGCCTCGGTACCCACAGAAGGACCGAAAAGTCGTGATCGCTTTCTAAATTAAGTTTCTGCACTACCAGCCATTTTTACAAGGGCCGAAGTCTTCTCCATCGCATTATGCTTCAAAAGGTGTATTCATCCAAATAATGAAGTCTATCGGCCCGTATTTTCCTTTCTCCATTTTTCTGAGTTTTTTCATTTTGTTCATTTTAATTTCTTTATAAACGAACAACGTTTTGTTTCGAAAGGTGAAGCTTCGGTAGGTCACCGTGGCCTATTCGTTCGAAAGAAACGAGAACCGCGTGAATAAATCGATAGTTACAGGGCGATGGTGTAACCCGCAATGGTTTAACGCTCCAAGTAGTCCTACTGGTCCACAGCTAGCATGAATGCCAGGATAGCAAAATAATTTACACAAGCATGTTTTCATAAGTATTTCCTTTCATAACTAACCTGCGACTATTTGCAATAAAACAGCCATCGCTATCCAGATATAAATCAGTGCCATGTTGTGAGGTCGACTTGTAGCAAGTCTATAAACACATCCGTCTGTCTGCTACAAAGGAACATGATCCTATGATATAAGCCACCGTCACGATACGCCTGATTAACTATAAAATCGTTAACTTTTCTCTCCGGGGGGTATTCCTGGGAATTTGTAGCGTGGGTGTGCCGTCCGGCTCTTAGTGTGTGTATTAATACCCTGGGTACCAGAGGTTTTTCTCGCGCGCGACGAGGAGCTTTCGCCGGGTGTCGGCCGCAGGCCGACATGTCTTTGAAGGCTTTTCGCGCGGGTCACTTATAAGACTTGACCGAAACCGGAAACCGCGCATGAAAAGTCTCTGGCACCCAGGGTAGTGTAGTAAGCGTTTCCAGATAGATAGATAGAGATAGATAGATAGATAGATAGATAGATAGATAGATAGATAGATAGATAGATAGATAGATAGATAGATAGATAGATAGATAGAAAGATAGATAGATAGATAGATAGATAGATAGATAGATAGATAGATAGATAGATAGATAGATAGATAGATAGTTAGTTAGTTTATTTAAAATCATGTCGCAACCGATAGATTGAATTAGGCGATTATTTACAAATAATTATGATTACTTAAAAATACTACCACTAATATAAAACAAAAGAAGTAAGGCTGATTTTTTTTAAACCAAAATTTGGAACGCTTCACGATTATGCGTGTTATCCGCTAATAAGCTAATCTATATGGAAAAATAAAAGAAACGAATAACAGAAACAAAACGTGGATACATTACAGCAAAATTGAGATTTGCAGGCTGGTGATACGCTCCTGGATTTGTTAAAAAACACAAAATAAAAAAACGAAATCGACTGGAAACTTCTAAAACTATAGATCAGGAACATAGTTTAAGCTTTTAGGGCGCTGGATGTCAAAAAATTTCGGTGTGTTTCCTTGGTTCGACCTAGATGTATTAAGAGCAGGGAGAGGCCGTGGAGCTTATTCTCGTTGTTCTGTACAACTTCCTTAAGAGGCCCTGACTGTAAATATCGAGAATCCGTCGACAGTTGCAAAATTTCATAATTTATTTTATTCTACCGAAAAGAACCTTTTGGTAAACTATTTTTAAAAATGGAAACAAAAAGTTCCATCGCGCTTTGCTTTTTCCGAAAAACCCAAAAGTTCAAATTATGCTGAGGCGGCCCCCGATCCCCCGAAAAACAATGAAAAATTCTGCAACTTCGCTAACTCCGTACGCGACAACGCGTTCAATTCCCGGTTCGCTATTTTGGATATTGGTAAAAACACCCTTTGTATTTTAAAAAATGTAAACTTCATGTAATTTTGTCAAGTTTAAGAAAACATAAAAACCCGTTGAAATAACCCACTTTCAATCTTTTGGGTTGAGGTGAAATAAAGGCCAACTTTAAAGGCCTATGAAAATCCTAGGATATAAATTTACTTGTCATATTGTACATCAGGTGAAAGCTTTATCCTCGTAGGTCATTATCTCCAACTGTCGTTTTTGGCCGGAAAAAATTAGCGCATCCAGTTTGAAAAGAGTTCGGGCTATTTTGACCAAAAATTCAATCCAAATTGCTGAGCGGATGTCAGGTCCGTGTGGTTTTCGTCCATTTCATTCTCATTCAATATTGAAAATTGAAAATCAAAACTTCACAATCGTGATTTTCAATGTTTGATCCTCAAAAATTGAAAATCAAAAATTTACAATCTCAATTTTCAATTTTTGTTGCTAAGAAAGGTAAAATTAAACATCATTCTTCAATATTTTGAAAATCAAAAACTAAAAATTGAAAATGGCCAGTTAGTGGGTTTAACTTTTTGTTTTCAATTTCCTCTTCCCAAGATTCAAGCTATTAAAAATTCAAACTTAAACAAAGCAATTCATGTGCAACAAACTGCAAGAAACGGTGTTACTGCCGGGTGAAATCCAAAATACTGAAAAATCATTTTGATTTTCGTATTTATGAAAAACCAAATTGCCAACAGACCAAAAATACCTGTTATGGAAGGGGAGGGTAAAACCGGAAGTGGCGCGACTGCAAACAAGATGGCGGTCGTCTTGAAGTGAAGGAGTGTTCTCAACCTCGTCCCCAGGGTCTCCTCGCTTTCCAGAAGACCCTGGGGACGAGGTTGGGAGTGTTCCGTGTCTTCGTCGAGCTGTCTCTAGAGGAAATGTTACGCCAACAGCAGTCTAAGGCCTGCCTGTATCATGGCCGAGACGTTTTCAAGGAAATGAGCAGAAGTTTTTTTCACTGGTAAGTGTGCTTTTGTTGCAACCTTGCAGCATTACTCTACTCAATTACTCTACGCAGGGTAGAGCGTTTCAGATCGGCAGTAGAAAAGAGGGACTGTGGACTGTGGGCTGCGGACCACGGAATATATAAAACACGGACCAGGTATAAAATGCGAACTACGTGCTGTTTTAGTTAGACCTTCTCAAAGTCCTTCGCTTCTCATTTCCGGTTCTCGCTCTCTCGCTCGCTTGCCGCAGAAAACTTAAAAAATCTACCGCTCGCGCTTCGCGCTCGAGAAAAAACAAATGAGTTCGACTTGTGGGCAAGTCTATGTTTTAGTCTGGTAATATTGTAACTCGACCCTAACCAAGTATAACCCCTTCAATGTGATGTTCACGTTCTAGTGGTAGCCGTAGGGTCTTAAATATATATAGCAAGACCGGTTTTGGAATCTAAGATGAACCGATTTTATCCGAAACAGCCACAAAAGTCATAACAATAATAATGAAATGACAAATGACTTACAAGTGGCCCAGTTTAGGCCAAAATCACCAAGAATACCATAGTTTTTCACGATGACCAAAATACATAAATCTCTTCCTGTCGGCAGACCAGTCGTCTCTGGTAACGGTGGCCGCCGCAGATCACACTCGCACTCGCTTTTAAAAGACCAATCGCGCAAAAACAAGAGTAAGTAAGTAAGTAAGTAAGTAAGTAAGTAAGTAAGTAAGTAAGTAATTTTATTTAACCACATATCGCATATGAGCTATAGCTCGTTTAAATGCAAATGTGCCATAAAAATTACAACGTGATAATTTACATAATCTACATGTACAAGTAATGAATAAAAATAAGAAATAGAAAAATTAAATCAACTAAAACATAATAATAATTTAAAAAGAGAAAATATTGGTAATCAGATTGTCTATTTACAAAATTCACAGTTGCAGTCATACGATGAAGACAACTGTATGTTTTGTAAGTTTTTCCTAAAGATAGAGAGGGACTCCGACATCCTTATTTTGTCTGGTAGACTGTTCCATTGTTTGCCAGCCTGGTACGTGAAAGAATGTTGCATATAAGATGAGGTCGGTCTTGGAAGAACAACCTGAAGATGGCCCCGTAGGCCGTAACCATTGCTTCGCAGTAAAAACATTTCCCGAATGTAGTTCGGTGCCTGGTTATAAATGCTATTGTATACAAGTTAGTATCAGTGCTTGTTCTATGCGTCGATGTTCCAAGCTTTTGATATGTACAGTTTTAAGTAGCTATTCATAAGCAGTCGATTTAGAGTAGTTAAGAAGAGTCCTAAGAGCAAATGCGTTGGTTGACTCTAGTTTTGCAGACAAACCTTTACTTAGACCTATGAACAATGGTGATGCGTATTCAAAGTGAGGCAGAATAAATGCTTTGCACAGTTTAATCATAATATCTGAGGGTATAAATTTACGAATGCGACGAAGAATTGAAACTTTTGTGTTCACTTTCCGGCAAATTTCTTTAATATGTGCTTTAAAAGAGAGTGAAATCAACAACTTTCAAGATTTCACGAACACTTTCCGCACAACAATAAATTTTACTCTCAAGCTGTCATCAAAACAGATTGTTTTCCTCAACACTGAAGTTTTTAAAGGACCAAGATTCATTCAAACACATTTTGAGACCTCCTAAGCCGACAGAAACGTTTCAAAATACGCATTTCTCCTCATTTTACCCTCTCAGCGTTAAGAAGGGCTTTGCATATGGAGAAGCTGTGAGCGCGAAACGTTACTCACAGGACGATCGTTTTAATAATCCCACGTTAAGACAGAAAATTCTTCACGCGCTTTAAGAAGTTTCGCTACAATAATGATGCTCACGACGATAAGGATGTTAACAAAGTTTAATTGAAGCAAAGCGATGAGCCGTTAACAATGTTGAAAAGAAGCGATGCGAAGCGAAGCGATGATTAGGCGGTGTAGACGAAGAAAACGATGTACTAAGCGCTTTCGAAAACTAAGAAATAAATACAGCGAAAACTAGATAGTTAGATTAACTATAGAAACTACCTTAAAACTACGAAAACAAACTTTGGATTTCATTAATACGATGCAAAAAGGCTTTATAAAACGTAACATATCATGCACAAAGTGAAAAGACTTACTTCTGTGTCCGCTTTACGGCTTTCACAGCGTTGACGTTGAGCCTTACTTTGATTTTAACACGATGACACTTTGACTAGAACTGAAAAAGTTTCTTGAGCACGTTCGACAATGCTAACTAATACAAAGGATAATAGATTTCCTTGTTTGTAAATCATACATACGCAGGTATATCCGCGGCAAAAACCACAAACACTATAAGTTAATAACGCAGACGAAACTACAAAGGGTTCGATAGGAAATACCTGGGAAATACGAAAAACCAGAATATATTTGGCGGTAAAAGAAGCCTTGCGCTTATTTAGAACAAACTCGGTCAAGGAATAATTGGAGTTAAAGAAGAAAGAGTTTTTAACTCGCCTTACAGAACGAGGCTACCTCCGGGACCTTGTGGAAAGAATCCTAACGGAAGTCCGCTTCAAATCGCGCCCTGTGGCTTTACAAGACAAACCCAAAACATCAAAAGAGATTTTGCCGTTTGTAACGACTTTCAATCTTGCAACTCCGATTCTCAAACAGATTCTAATAAAACACTAGCACCTTATTACAGGCAAAAAACACTCGCGCAAATATATCCTAACGCCGCCAATGTTGCTTATCGCAAGGAAAAGATCTGTAATAGATTTTCTTGTTAGAGCCAACATTTCTTCACTTTAACCACAACATTAAAGGACTTATACATAGTTACGGTCGAGTGACAATATCATTAGACCAAAACATGGCACGTAGTTCGCATTATTTACTTGGTCCGTGTTTTATATACACCCAGTCTGCAGTCGGGGGTCCGCAGTTCGCAGTCCGCAGTCCCTCATCTAAAACGCTGTACCCTGCGTAGCGTAATGCTGCAAGGTTACAACAAAAGCGTACTACTATGAAAAAACATTCAGCTCATTTCTTTGAAAACGTCTCGGCCATGATACAGGCAGGCCTTAGATTGCCTTTGGCTTAACATTTCCTCTAAAGATAGCTCGACGAAGACACGGACCCATTCGCTCACTTCAAGACGACCGCCAGCTTCTTTGCAGTCGCGCCACTTCTGGTTTTACCCTCCCTTTCCATAAAAGATATTTTCGGTCGGTTGGCAATTTTGTTTTTCATAAATACGAAAATCAAAAAACGATTTTTATTTTGGATTTCACCAGCAGTAACACCGTTTCTTGCAGAATTTGCTACACATGAATTGCTTTGCTAAGTTTGAATTTTTAATAGCTCGAATCTAGGGAGGAGGAAATTGAAAACAAAAAGTTAAAACCACTAACTGACCATTTTCAATTTTTAGTTTTTGATTTTCAAAATATTGAAGTATGATGTTCAATTTTACATTTCTTAGCAACAAACATTGGAAATTGAGATTGTAAAGTTTTGATTTTCAATTTTTTTCCTGGGGGAAGGGTACGGCCACGTACGCTAAGCTGCCTTCTTTCCACGCACTCTATTCTGAGTTTTTACGCAAACCCCAATACCGATATCTGTCAGTGATCAAAACAATTTTATCTTCAATATCCTTTTGTCATGAATAAGTATTTCGGGGCATTTCGGTATTTCAAGTGACAAGAATGATCGATTGTTAGCAGTTCTTTTGGATCACTTCCGTCGCTTGAAGTCTGTCCGGGTTATCCAAAATTTTCAAAAAAAGTCGTTCGTCTCTGGTATCCCGGCCCAGAGCCGATGTACCCGGGTATACTTTGAAAGGGGTTTACTACCATGCCCAAATAGAAGAAAGGGTTTCGATGGTTGATCGATAAGAAGAAAGTTGACTCACTGCTACTAATTCCACAGTCCCCTTTAGTTATAGAGGACTTTTTCATTAAAACAAAAGATGAAAAATTGTCCGTTTTTTTGTTTGTTTTCTATTTTTTGAAAAAGAGGAAAAATTATTCGCAACACTTGTCATTTTTCTTGTTAAAATGGAATTATGGAAAATTGGGCGATAAGTATGCCATTTTTCAATTTTTTCATTTTTTGAACAAAATGGAAAAAATGAAAAAATGGTACGAATAAATATGATTTTTTGATTTTTCTGTTTTTCGATTTTTTGGGAAAAACGGCAAAATAGAAAAATGATCTAGGACTCGGAGATTATTTTATTTTTCTCACTTTTCTAACAATATCAAGAAAATAAAAATAGCAAAATATCGCTTTTAGCCGTTAACAGTATTTTTTGTATTTTTGAATTTAACTTCAAAATTAGAAACATGAAAAAAATGATCAAATTTCCCGACCATTTTCTTTTTTTCTCTTTTTTTCTATACTTTGAAATATGCAAATATGATAAGGATAAGTAATATTTCCTTTTTCTGTTTTTGTTGGAAAAATGACAAATTAGATTGGCCGAAGTGTGCACGGACTATGGAGGAAACAAGATTAAAGACTGATCACTCGCAACATGGTAATGATGAAAAACCATTTATGCCACCAAAATTAATTTTATTTGTCTTGATTTGCGGAAAAAAGAAAAAAAGAAGATTAGTTAAAGTTAGTTATTCATTCCGATAGGGTTTCGGCTGTTTAAGGCGGGCACTGAATTATTACATTCCCTTTTCAATACACTTCGCTGTTACATATAGGTAATATAGAGGTCAGCAAAGGGCCAACTACTTTTTTGTAATATTGCAACTTAGTACCCTTAAACCCTTTGGCGTACAAGGTAGGGGAGTGGGTGCAATCCCCGGAAGGTTTTTTGAATCAACCACCAAGACAAGTCATCACATACCCACTGATACTTTTCTTTTCTCTATCAGAACGTTAACCTTCTCCCCAACAAATCCCAAACGCAGGTAGCTCGGTTACTTAGTGCAATGTTAACTAGCCAATGTAGTTTTAATCATGTGGATTTTTCTTTAGTGACTTTTTCCTTTGTATCGCCCGTAGTTAGCTTTAAATAACTAGACTTCCTCGTTATGACCTGTGGACCAAAAAAAGTATTGCCAATCCTCTTTGAAAGATAATCAAATTTTCCTTTATTTTATTAAGAATTTAATGTCAAATTTGGTGATTTATGTTTACCCGCACCCGCACCCGCGACCTCTACCCGCGAGTCGCGACCCGCCACATACGTTTACTACTGTGGCCCTGGGGCACTGGGGCGGCGTTTTAATGTTTTTGTTTTGTTTTGTTGTTTTTTTTGGCGGTTATTATCTATGCATGTGCACATTTATATCACACAGACTGCGGAGTCTAATACTGTGAGCTTTTTGCCGAAGTTTGGGCTTTCACTTTGTACAGAGATTGAAGGGGCCTCCCGGGGCGGGCACTTGGGTATTTTTTGGGTGGGTATGTGCCGCCCTGGACTCCAAATTGGCACCCCGTTCTAAAAAAAAATTCCCCTAAAATTGATACCCCGTTCTAGAAATGGGCCAATTTTTTATACCCCGTTCTAGAATTCGCGCTAAAACTGATACCCCGTTCTAGAAATGGGCCAATTTTTTATACTACGTTCTAGGGTGCAACAAGAGTATAACAGTTTGCTTCAGTAACGCATTGAGCCGTATTTTTAAAAGTAATCTGTCCTTGAATAATTTCAAATGGTTGCTTACAAAACTGGAGCTTTCATGCGTTCGAAATATTATACCCCGTTCTAGAAAACGCCTTTGAAATGGATACCCCTTTATAAACCAGGAGCTTTAAAATCACGACCCCGTTGGGCGGCACATACCCGTATAGGTAATATATGGGAGTACCCCCCCTCCCCGGGAGGGGCCTCCAGTTAGGCGTTAGAAAAGCGGGGGTTACGTGAACGTGACTGTTCTCGGATTCTGCTAATTTAAAGCAAATTTATATTGTCGATCTAGCCTGCGTAGCAAGCGTCTCTACGCGGTTTAGGAGCAAAGAACGAGGAACGAGAGTCAAAGACCGCGCGAAAAATGGCGCAAGTAAAAGAGCGGGGAGGGAGTGGGGTTTTCTTCCTTCCCCTCCCCCTTCCCCCTCTTTCATTTTTTGGCTCTCCTTTTATTTGTCGGGCGGTCAAAACCGAAATCCCGTTCCTCGGTCTGTTTTTTGGCTCCGAAACTAAACGGAAACGCTTGCTACGCAGGCTATTGTTGATGGGGCTCGCTGAATGTATAAAGATTACGCTTCTTTCCCTTATCATTTTGTTTTTTCACCAGCGCCAACCCCCGGGGGGGGGGGTACTCCCATATATTACCTATACGGGTATGTGCCGCCCAACGGGGTCGTGATTTTGAAGCTCCTGATTTAGAAAGGGGTATCCATTTCAGAGGCGTTTTCTAGAACGGGGTATAATATTTCGAACGCACGAAAGCTCCAGTTTTGTAAGCAGCCATTTGAACTTATTCAATGACAGATTGCTTTTAAAAATACGGTTCAATGCGTTAACAAGCAAAATGTTGTACTCTTTGCACCTTAGAACGGAGTATAAAAGATTGGCCCATTTCTAGAACGGGGTATCAGTTTTAGGGCGAATTCTAGAACGGGGTATCAATTTTAGGGGAAATTTTTTTAGAACGGGGTGCCAATTTGGAGTCCCGGGCGGCACATACCCACCCAAAAAATATCCAAGTGCCCCCCCCCCCCGGGGCGCCAACAAAGAAAGCACGTAAACCAAGGAAACCCAATAACCACCCCAGCCAGTTTTGTGCTTGAAAAAGGGCCCCCAGAAGTCCTTGCACGACTTAACGTCATCGTCGAAAAATAAAAGAGGAAGCGGAAATGCGAGGAAATTTCCAAGAAGTCTGCCTCGAACGTGTTTCGTCTGATTCCTCAAGGTTCGTGGATAATAACAAATGCTGAAAATAAGTTTAAAGCGTATCTTCGGTTAAAGATGTCTTCTCCAGGACAAGGAAAAGGTAACAAGCGAAAATCAAAGGGAAGGGGAGGTACAGGAAGAGGAAGAGGGCGACAACAGCTGCCATCGACAACACCAGGAAGAAGTCAAGACGCCGCGAAGCTTCCTGATGAAAAGAGTGCGGATGAAGGACAGTTAGCCGGGGCAAGCTGTATAAGTTCTAATTCAGCAACACCTGCTAGTTTTTCAGATTCAAAAGCCCAGTCCGAGGATAAACGCGGGCGGGAGAGCCGGTCTAAGACAGATTCCAGTTTTAAGGCTTCATCAACGCCTACAGCTCCTGTAAAGACGAAAGAGACCACAAGTCCTGTAGAACATCGTGAGACGCTGCAGAAATCAAGCCGTCCTTCTCCTCAAACAAATGAGCCGGGAAAATCAATGCAACAGCCATGTTCAGTAAAAGCTAGTAAGGCAGGAAAGTCACCTTCATCATCTCCATCGTCTTCATCACCTGCCAGTAGAGGTAAACTTATTTTAATAGACCTTGTCACAGTTTTCGACGCCATCTTGACGAGTAGGCAAAACGGTGAGAAATGACAGTGTTTGTATGAGAAACTAATGTCGAATAATTTCCATAAAACGGCTGTTCTGAAAAAAATATCAATTGTAAACACTAAAGCTTCAAAGCAATTAAAAGATTGTCCTAAACAATTCTGGGGGCGTACCTGTACTTAAATTTCTGCAGAGGCTTGCATATTTGTCTGTAATTTTCCCGGGACTTTCTTAGAGACAAATGTATGGACAATTTTAAAAAGTGGTTCTAAGTCTTCTGGTGCATGTAACGCCCTCAAATTTTTTCAGTAGAATCCTTAGGAGTGAAGCTTTAGTTTACAAATCATATTTTTTTCAGAAGAGTCGTTTTACGGAAATTATTTGACATTAGATTCTCATACAATTTAATTTCTCACGCACTTGCCTACTCGTCAAGATCGCATCGAAAACCGTGACAAGGTCTATTTTAAAGAAAAAATACGGTAACCCTAATCCTATCTCCTAGTGGGTAACACCTGACACTGATGCATCGATCTCATTCAAGCACATACACCGTCTATTTAGCTGGTGTGACAGGAGCTAGTATAAAGCATTTATTTATTGTTAAATACCTAACTGGCACCTGGCACTGTTTTCCTTACCCTTTATTTATGGCTCAAATAGAGCGTTTTCACATGACGTCATGGCGGCCATACAAGTGCATGGGTGTTCCAAAACAATAAAACGGCGGCCATATTGATGTTCCAAACCAATCCTGTGGGAGTTGAACTCTTTTCTTATGTAAACGCTTTCTTTTGTTCCCATAAATTTTCATAGACGCTAGCCACGTGAGTGAAAATGCTCTACTGTGAAATCTCTTTATTCTTTTAACTTTTTAACTAAGAGTCTAAAAGTTAGTATCTCTTTTGAGTAGAGCACCCCCTATATTTTTATACATACCAGTAAATGCAGTGATACCGGGGTCTGTAGTCTGTGTAATTGGAAGTTATAGTTTAACTTTTTCCTTCTGGTCCTTAGCTATTATATATAGTGATGTAAAACTACAGTAAAAACATGTTTGGCATAAACTTATTAAGGTTAGCTACTTCTATATTGGTAATGCATTGTACCGCATACTAATTACTAAGAGCCGAGTATCAAATAATACTTACCTATAGCCAGTGGCCAATTAAATGCAATGTGTAGTTCCAGAAAATATCCATACCCCCCCCCCGACGGAGGGCAATGGAAGTTCAGAGGGGAGGTGGAGTCCAAAAGGAGGCAATTTCCGAGGGGGTGGGGTGGCCTCTCGAGTCTTTTGTCTAGGGGCTCTGAGTAAGATTGATGAGCAAGCTATCAGTTACAGTGGTGGATCCAGGGAAGGGGGCCCCCACTTATTTGTGGACCAAACTGAGGCCCAAAGGGCCAAAAAATTATTTTTGGAGACCGGGACCCCCCCTTATCTAAGGTTCTGGATGAGCACCCCGCCCTATCTCAAACTCTGGATCCGGCACTGTGTTATTTTACTTTTGAATGGTCTTTCAAAGCAAAAGGTATTGTTTGCATTGACGATCTGTTATTTGCAGTTGGCTGAGTGCTTTTTCCATGGCTTGCATGACAGTTCATGTAGGATGATTGTTGGCAACTAATGAATAAACTTCCGGTTATCTATCTGTTGCTTTGTTACACAATATATTGTGGTAATCAATGTAATGTGGTCATCAGGGTTGTCAGAAGGTTTTGAAGTAGATGACCAAGTTGTCAATGTAAGTGGCCAGTCCAGGGATATTCTATTTATGAAGAAATGCCAAGCAAATGACAACCCTGGGTCATGTTCTAATAAACCTTTCTTCTAACATGTTTTTAACTGAGAGGAAGCAGAGCTGTAGCTAGTAGGGGGGGGGGGGCAGCTGCCCCCCTTGGACCTGTTATGCCAGACACATCAAGTCTCTGGATGGAGATGTTTTCTTTAGACTTAGATATTTTGATTATAGTGTCTTGCAATAATTGTTTGCCATTTTCATATTAATTTTGAGGTCGATTTTTCAGGGGCATCTCAAGACAAGTGCTGAAAATAGTGTTTGGGAGCCTCCATATTTGAAAATTGTCTGGGGGAGGATACCCCCACACCCCCTACAAGGCTTATGCCTTCAGCACTAGGGATAATGCCCCCCTTGTTACAAAAACCTTAAGCTACGGCCCTGGGAAGTAATTGAAGTTCATTGGTCTGAGAGATGGCATCACTCTGTAAGGCAAAAAAATTATTATTCGAGATTTAACTTGACACTGCATTAACATAAATATTGAGATTTTTTCTCTCTTTAGTGTGGAAACAATGACAGGCTTTCGCATTAAAGTATAGTGCAAAGGCATTTTTGACGGAAATATTCTTCCAGGAGGTACCCAAAAAAGTTGAAAAATTACAGAAATTCCAGAGGGTGGGAGGCGGGTATGACAAGCATCCTGTGAAATGAAAACTCCAGCGGGGTGAGGGTCTAAAACAAAAGTGCCCTCCATGGGGGAGGAGAGGGGGGCGTATGGATGTTTCTTGGAACTACACAATATATCTTTTATTGATACAGTAGACCAGCCTTTGAAGGCTCCGACCATTGCAAGTGATACTACTGCTGATGATGAAAGAGATGTTAATAAATTAACAACCAAGTTTGGTTCTAGTTTGACTTCTGAAGGTAAAAACTTGAATTTTTAACTTGTCTTTGAATGAAATGTCAATTAACTTGTGAACTTTACAAATGTGCCTGTTTGATAGATTTCAGAAACTACTTCTGTTACCATTGGTAAATCATTCTTTTCTACTCACCATGATGACCATGAGGTTACTGCAAGTTGTGGATTTTTTCTTCAGAGCCCAACCAATACTGACTCAATACCCGAAGACTTGATATAGCAGAAAAGGAAGGTGCTGCCCCCCCTGGGGGGGAGGGGTACTCAACAAATGTTTATATGGGGAGGCTCAGCCTGGAGGTCAAACCCCTTATCCTTTTACATACCATTTTTCATGAAAAAGGTAGCCCTTTTGTATACCTTCTACTGACAAATGGCACCCCTTTCACATACCTTGTTTAGAACGTTGCATCCCTTTTAACTACTGTAAATGCTCTGTCTTGTAAATAGGAATCAATCATAAAAATAAAACGTTTTCTCAACGTTTAAAAGCCTTAAAATTCATCTGTTAGCCCTTTTGGGCCCTTTCACAGACCCAAATGACAGATTTCACTACCCTTTTATATACTTCAACGAGTGAAATCCCTACCCTTTCATATACCTGAAGCCTGCAAAAGATACATGTACCCCTTTTGGGCGGAGCCCCCCCCTTATAGGCCATTATAGGGAGTATCTCCCACCCCCGTGTGCTGCCCTTTCCTTTATAACGATTATATCTGTATGGCTCAGATTACAATGTAGAATTGCGCATAACACAGTGCCCTTAATTTAATACAGTTAGTGCCTTTAATTTTATTAATTCCGTGCAAAATATTACATTGACAACTGGATAAAGTAGGTAAGCTTAAGTATCACTGATGTATCATTCTTACCTATAATTTTATCACAGCCCGCCAAACTCAAGGAGCTTACCATCGTCCTAAAAGGCCTGACTATGGCACTGAAGGCAAACCTATTCCATTAAGAGCAAACTCTTACCCCATTAAGATCTCAGCTGGGCTTTCTGATCTGTATCACTATGACGTGGACATAACACCTAATCTTAAAGAAAAAAGAGAAGTTGTCAATGAGATCATTAGAAAGTACAAAGATACAACATTCCAAGGTCATGTACCTGCTTTTGATGGGAAGAAGAACTTATACAGTAGAATCAGACTTCCTGTGGGAAATGGACAAGGAGTGGTGAGCAAAGTTTATTATTCAATAAATATTGTTCATCTAAAAGTAAAGTTCGTTTTTTTGTAGTGAATTATCCCAGTTTGTCTCTCCTTTAATCAGTTCAGTTCAGTTTATTTATTTAGCCAACTGAATAAAATACATATTAACTATCAGGGGTGTAGCCAGTTTTTCGACTAGTTGTAGCCCTGGCTGACTTTCATTTCCACATATGCTGAAAATTGCACAAATGACTAGTATGCACTGACCTCACCAACACTTTGAGCTCTTAAGCTTTCTAATTCTTTTAGCTCACCCCAAGAACGCGTCTGATTTATTACAAGCGGTGGAGTGATCAAGCCAATAATTTGTAGGCCGGGGCCAACGCTATCTATGGGCTGGCTACGCTCATGATTAACAGAAACTCAGGGTCAGGGTTGAAACTTGCAACTCTCATATGTTTGCTTTGTCCGACAGCTCGTGAACGACGTAATGAAATTTTACTCCAGGTAATTCATGGCTTACATGCAACAGAGACGATGGTTACGAAAACGTTATCAAAGATGAACTCGCGCTGCCTCAAACTTTATGCGGCAATAGCATATTCGATCTCTTTTTGTTCGTCAATTGTTAGCAAATGTTTCTGGAGTTGAATTGTGATGACTTTATCGAGGTTCAGGAAAAGAAAAAGAAAGTAGTTGTCTTGTCGTTTTGGCCACCACACAACCGAAACGTGAAGTTAGGCATTCTCACGTCGAAGTTGTGCCATGACGGCAAAGAAATGTACACGTACAAAAAGGCTTGCAAATACCTATTTGTTGTACTCTGTTCATATTCTTCTTTTTCTTCTTTTTTCGAATATGCAGTCTGAACTCAGTGTCAAGTTAAGCGGTGAAGGTGGTGGTAAGGACAGACATTTTAAGGTTGGTTCTTTACAGGCGTAACATATTGATCTATTCAATTCCTCTCTGCGTCTTATTTATTTTGTAACTAATAGACAGTATGTGAATAATGGTTTATTAGAAATCTATAAATCTCTCTTGAATGATCCTTAATATCTGTAAAACGGTCGTACCTACGAACTTGTTAGACATTTTTTCTCGTGTAGATTCTTTCTATTCCTGTAACAGATCTGCATAAACTGATACTCAGGCTATATTGGAACAAACAGGGGAATCTTCCAAAACTGCAGTCTACTCCTTAAAGGCATTCTCCTGGACCCTACTGTGACCTGCAACATCACTGAGAGAAACTCCACCCCTTCCTAGACATCACGTGGAAAACGGGAGAAGAGAGAACACCTTACCGGACTAGGCAGCAAAAAATTGCATTTAAGTCTAACATTTCTACAGCTTTTAGAACACTAGAAAACTGTTGATGTTGATTTCTTATTACAGAAAATCCCAAGCCTTCATCTGGTCGTTGCTAAGTAACTGTTTTTAAAGTTCCCCTTTTTAATGTAGAAAAGTTATGGCGGGGATGGAGAATTTAAGAGCTGCATGAATTTGTTTTATCTTTTATCTTTAGTTAACTTTGAATCCCCTTGCATGTACTTTTTTGTACTTTGCCCCCCTCCCTTATAATTTTTCTAATGGTCCGTCCCTGATGCTTATTTCCTTTGTTCACGCATCCTTTTGGCTTATTTCTATCTAATTTAGTCTTATTACTAGTCTTATTTTATCTCATTTAATTTTCGAACTTCCTTGTTGCTCATTTATCTTTTCATTGGTGTAAACACTACCCTCCCAGATCTGCAATTGCTGGCTGTTCAGTAGCTTTCAGCTTTAAACTGCAATGTCTCAAAAACTATGATGGAGGGTTCACTGTTGAACTTATTTACCAAAAACACTGTTTCTCTCGTTTCTTTCCCGCAAGGTGAAAGTCCAGTTTGCTGGGCAAGTGAGTTTATATGAGTTGAAAAAGTTCTTAGACGGTGAGGGCAATGGACAAGCCCCTCAAAAGGCTATTCAAGCTTTAGACATCATAATGCGTCAAGGGATGCCGTCTCTTAAATTCATGCCAGTTGGGAGATCATTCTTTCCTATATTTGATGGGTTTGCCCGTCCGTTGGGGGAAGGTTGTGAGGTACGGTTTGGTTTCTATCAGTCTGTCAGGCATTCAGAGTGGAAGGTACCACTATTAAACATTGATGGTAGGTAGTTCTTTGCAAGTAACCGTATTCATTTTTAAACAGTACAGTAAAACCCCGCAACTAGGAACCTGGATTTTCCCAAGTTAGTCTAAAAAGGTTCTTATTTATAATATAACTAAGATAAAACGCGCGTTCCGATTGGTTAAAAACCTATGGTTTATTGTGCCGGTAAACTCATAGAAAACTCCGTTTTACTTAAAGTTCATTCAGTATAAAAGCAATAGACCACACTTCCTATGGGTTTACCGGCGTGATACTCCACTTGGGATGTTCGGAGAACACTCGAAAAGTAAAGAAGCTTTTCTTGTTCCCCAACATCCCGCGTGGGTTGTCACGCCGGTAAACAGAAAGTGTGGTCTATTGCTTAAATAAATGGCAGTTAGCACAAGTTAATGCTATTTAGGTTATTTAATAGGTTCTTATTTTCCAAAGAAAAAAATATATTATTGGAGAGTGAATACCGTATTTATTCGAATAAGCGCCCAACCTCGAATTAGCGCCCACCTCGAATAAGCGCCTATCCTAAAGGCAGAAAACGTTAATAGGCGCCCAGCGCCCAAGCCTCGAATAAGCGCCCACCCCGACCCCTCCCCTTTCCCCTTCCCACTCAAACTCAGATAAGCTGTATCTGCTTCTGGGGCGACTAACCCATTTGCTGACGTTACGATGTCGGACATCGAGGAAGCAGCACCAGAGAATTCATTTATTGACTTGAGTGACAACGAGATTGAGTTTGAAATTGAATAAGTACTAATAAGAGACTTCCCCGAAGACGGAATTTTTTTCAGAGTATTTTACAGAAATCTTTTGTTTGTTACATCTTTTCGCGTTTTGTTATTACTACAATAATAACATTAACAATAATTTATTACATACTGCACTTGCTGAAAATGGTGAATATTTAATAAGCGCCCAGCCTCGAATAAGCGCCCACCTCGATTAAGCGCCCACTCTCAGGGTCCAAAAATTTAATAAGCGCCCAGGGCGGTTAATCGAATAAATACGGTACTATTAATTCTTGCTGATATAATTTGTATACTATATTTAATTTGTAATTGTATCAATAACAATTTTATTTGATTTTAAACATTGGCATTTACATTGATAAGGCACCTATATCTCCAAAGAGGATTCTGAATGTTGACTCTGTATCTTATTTGCCCAAGTGCACAGAATTTTTTCACAGATTTTAGAAAATAAGAACCTCTTTCAAATTTTAGACTTAACAGATTGTTATATAGAGGGGGCTTAATTGGCAAATTTTAGCCAGTAAACAGGTTGTTAGAATTCAAGTTCTTATTGGTCGCGGGGTTTTACTGTACTCAACCTTTCCGACTCCCTCTACCCCTCCCCTTACTGGAGTCATGATGAGGTGGCCCAGTTTGAGGCATCCTCGGAGGGCGGTTACTGGGGTCGATAAAATGTTGGCGGTGGAAGTTTATTGTAACTTTCACCACGAACATTTTATCGACCCGACTAACCGCCCCTGGGTCTCCGAGGATGAGTTTGAGGAACTTGGTCGTTGGTTACACAGAAAGATAATTATCTTAAATGCGGAGTCTATACATATTTGTTGCTTGATTAGGTTTTGTACGTCTTTTAGTTTAGTAATACCTTCTTAATTATTATCCCCCTTTTTAGTATCTGCCAAAGGATTCTCAAAGACTCAACCAGTTGCTGAATTAGTCTCGGAGGTTTTTAGGCTAAAACCAGGCGAACTTGAGAACCCCGCGAGAGTAAGAAAGTTGAACTGGGACAAGTTTGTTGAAGTTATTAAAGGTATTTTTACGATCTCAGTTGCGCAACGGTACCCTATCGATGATAATCAAAAAAAACGGTCAACGGATAATTCTGAAATAAAAACGTTGAATTCAGAAGTGGTATTTACTTACAGTTATGTACTTAAAGCTTTCAAAATGGAACAAGGACTTAATTTTACTTACCTTCTATGCTTGACTGCACTCATATGGTAACATATACAATTACGTGAACGTGGTAGATAAGGAAAGATGGGAAATTTTAAACTCGGTGATGAATAAAAAGATGTAGCACGCGAAGATTATTTCATCTTCGTCATTATGAACTTGTAATAATAACAAGCAAACGAACAAGAAATCAAACATTAAATTCGATACGACATTCATTGAGGATTTTTTCACTTTTCCAAAATTCTACTTCCCAGTCTTGTCCACCATCACATATTTTGCTCATACATTCCGAAATTGCATCTTCGTGTAGCCTTATGGCGAATAAAAGCACACTGAGGCTGACGGAACCGTGATTCATGTCTCTTAGCGATACTGTATTCCCTTTACAAAATGCTTTTTGTGATTAAATTTCGTCTTTGGTAATATGTTACATTTTTTTGCTTTCTACCACTCAGGGCTTCGTGTTGAAACCAACCATCTTCCCTACAAAAGAAAATACACAGTGTGGGGCGTGACAAAGGATTCAGCAGATAAGCGACAGTTTGAAATCGATGACAAAGACAGTGGAAGGAAATATAAACTAACTGTGGCTGAGTATTTTAAAGAAACTTACAAGATGCAGCTAAGGTGCACATTTGCTGTTTTTGTGTGATTTATAGAGATTTTATAGAATCACCTTTACTGCAAACGTCAATGTACACCAAGTGATTTAAAAGATTTGTTCTTTTACTTGTCGTTTACTGTTTGTATGACCAAGGCCAAATGTCGAACCTTCCATGAGGCGAATCGAATAATATAATTTGGGTCGACCTGAGTTAAGTTAAGTTCGTCTTTTGGGTGAGACGTCGATCTAATAAAGATAAAGCTTCGAACCAGCGGGTCTCAAATGCCGGATTGCGATTGCTTGAATTTTCCGCGTTAATTTATCGGGTTCTCAGCTGCTTTAATATCTCAAATATCACTATAGTGAAAAAGAGGGTCAAAAAATGTGCAACCACTTTCAGACATCCCGGGAACGTTCACATAATTTAAGCCATACACTATAATAAAAAGTTTATTTTTCAAATTCACAATCTGCCAAACATCTCTTTTCTAGGACAGGCAAATTATCGGCGACTTTTTTGGGAAATGATCCTGCGCTCCTCCGAGTGTGTGGCGGAAATCGAGCTTGGAAAAAAAAAACATTTAAAGCGTATGCACGAAGTACAACGACTGATATCGACAGTTTTACGAGATATTCATAACTGGAGAACAGATGAGCGCATAATTTTAAGTGTTTACGCGCACGTGTGACACAGAGACTGTGAGCAAAATGTTTATTCAAAAGTAACAAACAAGGAGATAAACTAACATCAAAGCCAGGATTCGAGCCAGGACTCGAGCGAGCCAGCACTCAAGACAGGACTTCGAGCCTCAATCCGAGCCAGGACTCCAGTTAGGACTTTTCTTATCTTTCTGTAAGCAAAAAAATAAATACATAAAAAAAAAAAAATAAACAAAAAATAAACAAAACTAAAATAAAAGCAATAAAAGGGACGCCTAACCTTACTCGTAACCTCCTAACCCTAACCCTAACCTAACTCAAGGCTATCCCTAACCCTAACTTAACCTTAACCGTAACCCTAACCCGAGCTTTCCTTCCATGATTGCCACGAAAACCCTCCTAATAATGGTCATGAGACTTTCTGGACGTGAAAATGGCGAGAAAGCGAAAAATTGTCGAGTCCTGGCTCGGTATGTAGGCGGCATCCTTACAAACGAACTCTGAATGGTAGTAAACCTTGTTTCAGTGATTTTCATACTCAATAAAAATAAAGAACTCTTTTGAAATTTCAACCAAATTTCATGACAAAACTCTTTGTGCGTTTTTTGCGCCCCCAAAATCACTCAAAACATTGCAGCATAGAAACAAATGCGTGGAATGTAATTAACCAAAGTTACCTTAATTACACATCTTACTTGCATGAAACTCTGTTTGCTGTAAAAGTGATTGTAAATCACTCTATAGTCGCTGTGTAATCATTAAGACAAAAGAACTGTTCACTTAGTTGCTTAGTCGGACCGTCCGCTTTGAGTTGTTGTGGTTATCGATACGATACGAAAGTTTAACTATCTGAGGAAAAAAGTGCCCATGAAATGGTTAGAGATTCGAAAAGTGGTCAGGGAAAGCTCCCTTTAAAGCCTCTTTTAAAAAATATTAGTGAAACACTACAGTGGATTAGCTTTAATTTTAAAACACACTTTTTTCATAGCCATTTGCTTTCTACAAACAACGCGTTCCTCCCAGGTAAAATCCCTGGCCCAGTTCCTCGAAAAATTTTTAACTTTCGTTGTCTTGAAACACCGGCAAAGAATTTTAAAACTTTTTTACTGGATGTAATTCTTGGCCTCCGGAAACTGGGCGAAGCATTAATCATGTCCTAACAACATTGGTTTGAGGCTACATCCCACACAAGTTAAACTATGAAACAATAGGTTCTGGTTTTTATTTTACTCATCTAAAACGTCCTAATTTAAAGCAAGACGCTTATTGAAACGAATACCTGCCATTAATACTTACCACTATAATAATCAGTGGCCGTTGCTTTTAGATACGCTCATCTGCCTTGTTTAAAAGCCGGACCAAAGAAAGACCGTTATCTACCAATGGATGTGTGCACAGTTATACCTTGTGAGAAGAAACAATTAACTGAAGAGCAGACTTCAAACTTGATTAAGAGCACTGCGCGCCCTGCACCCGAACGACAACAAGACATTGACGAATGGGTAGGCTTTTTTTGTGCCAAATTTCGATTGTCTTATAGAAGCCGGGTTTGGGAGGCAAACAAAACTGACTTGTCAAATAGGGCTGAAGAATAATGCCGGAGTGAGACCAGGGCAAAGAAAAGGCTACTTCCGGCCCGTGTCCCTTCCAGTTTCCAGTGACATTTGACACGAGAAACAGTTTTCAGGTAGGGGCCGAGGTAGAGGGCAGATTGAGGTATTTGAAAAGATGCATACAGGCTCTCCCCTTCTCTCCTCCCGCCGTTTCTCACTCGTTCGCTATTTCACTGCTTGCTTGCTTTTTTCGCTCGTCCTCACAGAGCCTGGCACAGGCTAGTGTATCTCACCGATATAATAGAGGGGATAACGTTTTTACCGAAATAAACCTATAAAACCAAATATTTTATGATTTTAGTTTGTTTCATTTTTACTTTATTAGGTTTATGAAAGGGCTAAACTATATGTAGGCAAATTCAAAGGAAAGCGAATATTTTGAACTGATTGATGTTTACTGAATGTTTCATGTTTTTAGCAAAGTAATACAAAGATTTTTTTTGCAAACCCACACAGGCTAAGAAGTACGTGGAATTCAGCGCCGAGTACTTAGACAAGGAGTTCGGAATCTCTGTACACTCTGAAATGGTCGAAGTGGAAGGCCGTGTGTTACCAACGCCTCATCTTTCTCTTGGGCAGCAAGATGAAGTACTGACCCCTCAAAAGGGAGGATGGGATTTACGCGGCAAACATTTGCACAGTGGAGCTCAGTTAAGTGTCTGGACCGTGGCGTGCTTTGCCATGGAGCCTAATCACCACAATGATGGTTTGTTGAACAAGTTTTTTAAGGCATTGACCAACATGTCGTGTCGGGAAGGAATGGAAATGACAGAACCAGTTGATTGGGGATACTTCCGAGGCAGACATGAGGTAAGATAGGATTTTGGGGGGCATTTCTTGATACTGTTGAAATCACTTTTTAGTTAGCTTTTAAGTTGTGTGGTGACTGTTATTTGGTGTCTTGATATTTGCATCTAACCATTATTTTCAAGAAACGGAGACATCCAAACGGTGTTGACTTCAGTGGTGTCTCCTGTCGCAGGATGGTCCAGGTTTTTTTTTGTGCTCCTTACTGTATTTTCCAAACTTACGAAAGCATGCGATCACGTTTGCTTTAACAATTATTTTCTCGCCCTTATTTCACTCTTGGTGTACTTTTGTCGCCTTTATACGCCTTTGTTTTGGTCTCCGTAGAGGCGTGGTGGCCGAGCGGTTAGCACCTCAACCTTAGGACGTGTAGGTCCCGATCTACTGTCTTCCTTCACGTAGGAGGGAAAAGCACCCAATCCACGGGCGGTAGTAACAGTAATACTCCTTACCTAGGTTCTTCTTGCTACTGAAACCGAGTTATGTACATGTGGGCCTCCTCAGCTCTTCCTTTTGGCTTGTGTGCGCCTTTATCTTATACCTCTTTCGCTTGCTATTTCATTCATTTTCATTTGTCTGTTTGCCGGTTTTAGGTAGACGGTTCATTTCGTGACTGGAAGCAGAAATTTCCAAACTTACAGCTTGTCATGGTTATTGTTCCAATGAAGAATAAAGAAATTTATGCTGAAGTGAAACGAGTGGGTGACAACGTGATTGGGATTCCCACCCAATGTGTCAGGATCAAACAGGTTGAAGAATGCAAACCGCAAGTCTGTGCCAACCTGTCGATGAAGATTAATGCAAAACTAGGAGGAGTGAACCATGTTATTCATCCTTCAGTCAAGTCACTTGTGTTCGAACAACCTGTTATTATATTTGGCGCTGATGTAACTCACCCCTCTCCCCTGAAAATGAAATTCCATCAATCGCTGCTGTGGTGGCCAGTATGGATGTCAATGCTGCGAAATACCATGCGCGAGTTCGAGCACAGAAACACAAGAGGTCTGGAGGTGCACAGGAGATTATCATTGATCTCGCGGTCATGGTGAAAGAGTTGCTTGTTGATTTCTACAAAGAAACTAAAGGAAGGAAGCCTAAGCGTATCATATTCTACAGAGACGGGGTAAGCGAAGGGCAGTTTGATGAAGTGCTCGTTCATGAAGTGCGCGCTGTGCAAGAGGCCTGCGAAATGCTTGAAAAAGAATATCACCCACAAATCACATTCATTGTTGTTCAGAAAAGACATCACACAAGGTTGTTTTGTAAAGACAAGCGAGATGCATCTGGGAAAGAGCAAAATGTCCCCCCAGGCACCACTGTGGATAGAGGAATCACCCACCCCTACGAGTTTGATTTCTATTTGTGCAGCCATTACGGAATTAAGGTAGGCTGTTAACTTATCTTAAAGATCACATTTTGAATGGACCTTTTTCACTTGCCTGTTTTGTTTTCACACTGTGTTTTCTTGTTAGAAATAGAAAGTCGGCTTGTCAAAGTGAATATATCAAATTTAAAAAGAGAATTTTCCCTTGATTCCTAGCAAACGGTCTACAGTCCTTTCCCGCACTCCGCTCCGGTGGCGGGGCACACATGATGTAACGAGGTCAAGGCTTGGGTGGGCAATATCATACAAACTCGTACCGAATTTGGCGGGGAGTTGGTACCTTTTCCATAAGAATGCGGGAAAGATTTCACTTATTGACCAGAAAACGTCTTTGAAAGAAAATAAATCGCTTTTTTGTCTATTTAAATGAATGCAAAGAAATATAATCATCGAAACGAAAATTAATGTGAAAACTGAGCTTTTAACCTTCTGACCAGTCTGTTTTTGGATATGTTAGGTACCTTAACTCTGTATCATAGTAAGTTAAGCTTTGTGGTTTAAACTTCATAGATTAATTAATTAACTACTACTATTAATTAATTAAAAACAGAAAAAACCTCTTTGGAAGTTGTCAGTTGGTGGTACTGTTTGTTGGTTTGTCTTTTCATTTTTTACTAAATAATAGTTTTCTGTGATTTTCAGTCTGGGATTTTCGAAGTTCATTAACTAAAAGCGTTCTTTTTCCTTGTCTTCTTCCTTGTGTCGTTTCATGCAGGGGACAAGCCGACCAACACACTATCACGTTTTATACGACGAAAACGGTTTTAAGGCTGACGGGCTTCAAAAGCTCACATATCAACTGTGCCACGTTTACGCCCGATGCCCGCGGAGTGTTTCCATGCCAGCCCCCGCATTTTATGCCCATTTGGTAGCCTTCCGTGCTAGATACCACGTGACTTATGGAAGGTGAGAGGCGTAATAATAACAACAGGAGGAAATGGTAATAGCATTTTAGCTGCCTATTTGCACCCTACCTTACATCAGATAAACTGGTAATTCTTGAAGCTGACACTTGATATACTGTATTTTAAGAACTCTCGTCTTAAACGATTACTGAGCACTTTTTCTGTTGTTTGTTCTCTACCTAGGGACGGTAAAGCTACTGATTTGGAGACGTCAGCCAAAGCCATAGAAGTTAGCGACAAAATGAAGCAGTCGATGTACTTCGCTTGAGCATCTAAACGACAGCAAAGCTACACGATTGTTGCTGAATTTCTCTTAAAATCGTTGCTTGTTCCCTCGTCAAGGGTAAACCCAGGACATAAGGCTAAAGTTAATGAGAAACTAGAATCCCTGTTTTGGGGGTTAGTTTTTACTTAGTAAAAAGCTAAGGTTAAATTAACGAGTACGGACGAGATCAAGGCAATAACGCTCTTGCTCCAACGGAGTAACAGAAGGTCAAAACGCGCATGATTAGATTGCGTTCTGTATATTCCATTTATTCTTAGTGTCGATCTTAGTGGTAGTCCAAACTACTATTGCTGGCTACATACGAGCATTCTGGAGATTAGGATTGGGGGCCCCTCTAGTCGCCCGCAAAAATGTTCAATATAGAGACTCAAGCAACCTTGTTCCCAGGCTCTATCTTCTTCCCGTGCCCTAAGAAGAGAGACACTCTGGATGAATGAGAAATGCTTTTCAAACTTTGCTATTCCCTTGCTTTCTATCAAAAACAGTTCAATTTGCAACAAATTCCGTTTAACCCACACACTACTCGTCAAAGTGGACCTATTCATCTTCACTATACTTTCGAATTTCAATGAGCATAAAAAAAAAAAAAAAATTAAGAAATGTTGTTCGAGTTTATGTGGATCTTGATCGGAAACGCTTTCAAATTTGGATAGAGTGTGACCTCGAGATAGCCAATGGCAGAGATCCCTGATGGAAAAAGAGAAGAAAAGAAAAAAATTTCAGCCGTGTAACAAGGGATTTTAACACTAAGGGCCCACTCAATCTTTTGATGAAAGATAATTTATAATAAACGGATGTAATGCTAAATGTGGATTCTCCTAATACAATATCATGTTAACAAATAGCTGAATATTGATTGACCATAAATGTTCAAGAAGTTCTTCATTTTCAAAAACGTCGACAACCAGATGAGGCCAAGAGCTACCCTTAACTTAATAATAATGACGATAATAATAATAATAATAATAATAATAATAATAATAATAATAATAATAATAATAATAAGAAGAAGAAGAAGAAGAAGAAGAAGAAAAAAAAAAGAGGAAGAAGATAAACCAATCTCTATTTAAGTATCAGAACAATAAGTAATATTTACAATTTTGAACTATATCGTATTGTTTACAAATTTAAAACTAAACATATGTCCACGATAGAAAACTAATTACAATTATGAATAATTTAAAAGTGGGAAAAGGAAAATCAAGCATAATGATAATAATAACTTTATTTATATAGCGCTTAATCAATAATTGCTCCAAGCGCTTAACAATGCCAAATTAAATAAAAACAAGATTAGACGGTACATATATGAACAATAATTATTTAAGAGTTCAAACTAATATATACTATTCTTTACAATAGTTCAAAGGTGTGTAGTTATCAAATAATATTAATATGAAATACTTTAAATGTCCAATTCATCATGCCATATATTTTATTGCTGTTCATTAAAGTAATTAGCTAAGAAAAATGTCGTGGTCTGTATTACTCTATATGCAACAATGGCCATTTTGGCAATATTGTTACAAGAAATCTATTTTGTTGTCATTGAACACTGAATTAATTAGCACATTGTAAAGTTATAACAGAATATTTGTTTTTTCAGATAATTTAATAAACGTTTTCGAATTTCTGTCTGTAGTCCTCCCGCCCGGGCGTACTCCGGATTTATAGTGACGCGGAGGAGAGAATGGGGAAACATGAAAACCCTCCGAAATCCCTCGAATGTAAACAAAAACCCAAAGAATCGCCTGAAAAGAAATTAACAACCCTAAAAAAAATGAATTTCAAATGGAAGAACCTGTCGTGAATGGTCTGGACGTTTGGAACATGCAACTATCTTTTAAACAAATGTAGAGGTACGATATAGAAGCAACAACTGCAAACTGATCCTTACGGCGATCGAGAAGAATGACAATAAATAGGCAGTCTATGACTACATGTGCCTAGTGATATGAAAAATAGTATCATCTGCAATGACTACACGACACAACAACAACAAGAAACTTTATTGTGAAATAAGTATCAACTGTAACAATTCATAATTGAACAAAATATCACCTTTGTCTCTTAGCCCAAATAATTTCTGATGATTACTAGAAATACGTATCTCGCAATAACCCTCGCGAAACTCGGTTTGGTATTAACGGCACTCAAGTTAAGCCCTGTCGGTCGGGGTTAAGAACTGGATGGGTGACCAACTGCGAATATCGTCTTAAAGGTCCATACGTTGCTCTTTCTTTTATTCTTCTTCTTTTTTGCGTATTATGTGGTGTTATCGTTAACAGTGTATTGAAAGCAGATTTAGTATTATTTCGGCATCCGGATTTAGAAAAAGACAAAAACAAAGAACAAATATGGCCCGGTGCAGTTCGCCTGAAAATTATTATGGAAATTCCATCTTCTGTAGAAGTTACTGATCGCTAAACAAGGCATATAACGACAGGATTCGGCAGGAAACGCTCGTCCACGGCCACTGATCGAGGGAAGAATCATCAACACTTTCTTCAGTTTCTTTACCGAGAAAGCAAGAAAATTCTAGAAAAATCCCTTCATGCTGCTTTTAAGATCAAATTCTTTGAAAATCAACCGAAAGTTGAGCCTGGCTCTGGAAGGAAAGTAAGATAAATTTATCTTAAACATAGAAAACTTACCAACGTCGTTGAACAAACGCGCAATGTGAGCACAAGGAGCGATCGTAGCAAAACGTAGCCAAATACGTCATGTCTTCTCGGGATACGAAAATCAAACGAACATTGCTCGAAAGTGGTCTCGGGTTGTTGGTGAAAGAATACGAGAAAAACCCGAGTTGCGGACACACACGTGTGCACGATAACATGGTGCCTTGGGCTCTACGAGCACTAGGCACAAAAATAGATTCTTCTCTTCGCCGAAAGGATTAATTCGCAGTTGTTTTTTCAATTTTTCCCTTTTTCACCACGAATTTTACCATTTTTTGAATAAGAAAAACTCTCTGGTAAAATCAAACTAACCCCAACAAATACTAGCATAAGATCCGAAATCGCCAATTTCAAACCGTAGAAAATTCTTTGCAGCTCCCGGAAAGCAAAAATCCGGCGTCATGTACCCCGGCTCTGTAGATTGTTAAGAAAGCAAAGCAAAACAAAACAAAATTCCAATTACTAATGAGAGCTGGACGTCATTAACGGTGAACAAAGTTAGTAAAGAATGTTCGAAGAGAAGCGTAATTCGGAAAGGGTTGGGGAACTTGGACATAAATCGCTCCATAGTTTCGCTGTGACAGCTGGAACACTGAATTCAAAGTACACCTTCACGTATGCATTGCGTATCTATATTTTTCTATTGCTGGAATGCAAATAAGAGGCAAACCTTCGAGAACCCAAAGCTGTTGGCTGTCTGTTCAGCATAAGTTATAATTTTCATGCAGTACAATAATTCTGTATAGTCCAGGTCACTGTCGTGAACGGGTTTCCGCCAAATACTCCCTCTCGATATGGCTACCCAGATCTGCTTTCATGGTCTTTCATAAAATTAAGGTAACAGATTTTCAGTTCTACTAAGATTCTATGTGACGCAATGATCAGCGGCAAGGTTTTATTGTAACCTGTGCCTCCTCTCAGAAAAAAATCGCCAAGGCAGCCCGGTGTAATTCGCCTTTCGGCTAGATCCGGATTCAACTCGGCCCAGTCTTTAGTGGTGCGACAAAAAGAGTCTGGCTTTTCATTCTCTCCCCCAACCCACCAGGGGGTAGGGGAAGAGTATTCCTCCCCCTCTCTCTCCAGTCCTCGGTGGGTTCCCGACAGCCCCGTCTAGCGTCTAGGTGTGCGGACCTTTTGACGAATTTTGTTCCTAGGGTGGAGAGGGAAGGGCACTCTCGTCAGGTTTCGAGACATTTATCGCACTAGGATTGACGGTGCTGTAAAGAGAGTATGGTGTGTCGAACCTGTTCGAGTTTATATACATTGTTTAACTAAAGGACATTATAAATTACTTGTGAAGTGAATTTCTCATAAGTAAAAAAATTGCTCCCGCCCCAATCTCCTCGCGGTTTTTCTGCCCTCCCGCGTTTATTACTTAGCGCGCCCAACCAAAACCGCCATGCTACGCAGGCTAAATACTTAAGCACACGTATCAACTCTGCGGTATCTACCCTACGCATGCACACAACCATATCATCCCGGCGGTGGCAGCCAGGTCCCCATTCGGGACTCATCAGTATGGCATAGCCCCAGGTTGCGATCATCGACCTCGCCGTTTACTGCCGAGGCGAGTGCGTGCAAAAGGACTCCTTTAAGCACCAGCTCCTACATGTGAAAATTACAAACCTTCTACGGGTAGTAATATAAACAATTAATAGCATGATTTTTAGGTGATATTTGGCATAAATACCACTCGTGATACTTCAAAATTGTCTCAAATTTCACTCGCCTAACGGCTCGTGAAATTACGTATAACAATTTTGAAATATCACTCGTGGTATTTATGCCAAATATCACTACAAATCATGCTATTACCTATACTAATTTTGAAAAGTTAGTTTTCGCAGGGGTGGCGATATGTAATCTTTTGACGCCTCAACTGGGGCACTTTGTAATTCAGAGCACTTTAAAATGAAGTTTGGCTGAGTCATGGTAATGCACACATGACTGACAGTGAGCTTTTAGACTGTACAACTGATATTTGCCCATGTTATTTCATCCATTATTACACAATATAAGTCCACCCCGTCATTTGCTGAAAGGTAATCTGTAATAAATTCGGCTAAATTAATGTACTGCATTTGCTATCATGGAAACAAACTGATCTTGATTGCTCAAGAAGTTCTAACTTCGGTAACTTTCACATCAACGTGAGGTCAAAAAAGGCTACACTTCAATTTGCTGCAAATTTCTTGCTGAAATCTTTTTTAAAACAATACTTTGGCAGTTGCTCAGCCAAGAAGAATTGTGTCAGGACTTAACCTGGCCTTCGTCACTCAAAGTCACTTCACTTCGTCTACTACTTCGAAGTTCTTGGAATTAGCAGATCTAAGTGACGCCATATCTTTACGCAACTGTCATTGAAAACGCTTGTAGAAGTCTCGCCGGATATTGGTACAAATGTTCGTGAATGTAATTTGTTAGATAATCTCTTGAGCTATATAATCCTCCCTAAAACAATAGTCAAGATGGCACATTTATTATCACAAGAAATCCATTTTCTCGCCTTTGCATAGTGAGTAACTTAGCACAAAATAAGGTTATAATGGGATATTGATTATTCACATGATTTTCAAGCCTCTTACTCTGTAGTTTTCCACAGGGGGAGACTTCGGATTTATGGTTACGGGGAGGTGCAAATGGAGTAATAGATTATGAAAACCCTTGGAAACCCCTCGGACTTGAGGCAAAACCTAAAGAATCGCCTAAAAAGAAATTAAATCCCCCCAAAATCCCATAATGAATTTTAAATAGCAGAGCCAGTCGTGGAATATGAAAACATGCAACCATTTTTTAAACAAATGGTGTGCTTGTATGACATAGAACAAACAACAGCAAGCTCATCCACGCGGCAGCAATTGCTCTCCTCGCCGTGAAAGTTTGATATTTTTTCTTCAATTTTGCCTTTTTTACTGATCCAGTTCTTGTTTAGAGATCCTGTCACTGAATGCATTGGTTTTTTTCCCGTAGTTTTGCTGTTCAGTGCGTTTCATGTCTAGATTGAAGTTTTTACCCCGAATTTTACTATTTTTTTGCTTAATAAATACTCTCTGGTATTATCAAACTAACGCCAACAAATACTAGCCTTAATTTTCTTAACAAAAATTTACAATATCGCGAATTTTAAACCCCTAAAATCCTCTGCACCTCCCGGAAACGGTAAATCAAAAGTTACCCCCGGATCTGTAGGCTTTTAAAAAGCAAAACAAAACAAATTCAAATTATTAATGAGAGAATGGAATTTTTTTTGTACTGTGAATAAAACTAGTAAAGAATGCTAAGAGAAACGTAATTTGGAAAGGGTTGAAGACCTTGGACATAAATCGCTCCAAAGTTTTGCTATGACTGCTGCAACAAATTCAAAGTACATTTCACGTACGCATTGCGGATCTATATGATTCTTCACAGCAGGTATTCTCAGGAGAGTCACGCAACAAAAAGGCCTGGTCACTTTGAAGAGTGGAGCAACATGTGAATGTCCATGTGAATGAGCTATAATGTGAAGATGCCAAACTGTTGTCGAATTTACTGTCGTTGTTGTTGTTTCCTCTCACTTCCCTGACCAAGTATTTAATTATATTAGACGTACTTGTGTCGAAGTAATTTCGAGCGGAATCTCGCGGTAAGGTCTTTTCCTCATTGTTAATTTCGTCATTTCCTATTATTAACCCCGACGTTTTGAGCAGCTGTGCAGTTGATAGGTGTTGTTTGAGGTTGTTTCTCTTTGCTGTCATTTGCTTAAGTCTGATGATTTAACCTCAGACATTGCACTTCCAAGCGTGACTTCACCGGTTAGAAAACACCTGATAGGTTTATTTCGTGACCCATCCCTGTTATTTGCGTTTTAATCTCAAAACAAACGAACGTCTCCCATATTCAGTGCAAGTTTGTTTTGCCTTCGCAACCGATCGACACTTTTGTTGGCTAAATGTGAGTTATCGAAGTTGTTCTGAGTTGTTTTAAGTAGATGCTCACCGAGCAGGTCTCTCTAACACTGGTTTTCATCTCTTTTTGTGCTTAATTTAGCTCAAGTATCGACAATGGGTCTTCTTTCACTTGGATCGCCTTTATCCTGGTCAGAAACGAAGCAATACGCCGATCATGTACGAAAACATGGCATACTACAGTTTCTTCATATTTACAACAAGCTTAAAGATCGAGAAAATGACTGCTTAAAGTGGGGAGACGAGGTACAGTGCTGATTTTTTTTTCACCTCAAATTTGTTAATTAAACATGCATTCAGAAACGTCTTTAGCAAATCATCGTAAACATGACAGTGCATAATTTTGCGCTTATCCTTGTACAGCTGTAAGTTGAGGTTTTCACTGACCTAAGCTTTATATTTCGTCGTTCTGTGTATTTCAGAGTAAAAAAATTTTCTTCCATCGAGTTTATAATTATCGTTTTCCTAAGGTGGAAATTTTCACTATCATGCAAACGGCACAATATGTAGATACGTAATAATATTATTGTTATGTAAAGCGTTGCTGTTGACACTGTGCAATAATGGGCCTAAATAATCGCTTAATTGCAGAATACTTGTAAAGTTATTAGCCCTTAGCTGGATCAGGAGAGGAAATTCATTCAGTGAAAGCAAAAACTGAAACAAAAACTCCAGAATACCTATGTAACTGTACCTACCCAACCGGGCCTTGGCATATTTTAAGTGTTTGCAAAAAATGCTAATATTTACTTTTTGTGGTCCTTTGCACCCATTTTATCATTGATACAGCAGATAGGTTACATAATGATTCCTCTTGCAAATATGGTTGTTTACTAATCTTGTTGACCTTCCCCGGGGGCCTAGGCCCTAGACCTCTTGCAAACAAAGACATACAACAAACTAGAACAAATAAAAAATCATTTTGTTTTTGGAGAATTCTGGGTCAATCCGGGAATTGTAGAAAATTTTTATGTTTGAAGTGAGTTAACCGTTAACTATACTTTTCCCACATAAATGTACCCCTTTGTACTGTCATACCTCAATCCATTGTTTTCTACCCCCACCTACTCCTTCCTCTCTTCAGACTGGCCGTAAAGCTTGAATTAGGACTCTCTACCTCTCCTGATCTATTGCAGTTCTTCAGGCTTGAGCGTAGCACCCCTCTATGCCCCTCAAACTTATACGCCCCCTTGGTTTACAAGGTTTGAGTACAGTCTCCTCCTTATCAAAACATTTCCTTGTAGTCTTTGTTAATTCTTAATCATGTTTAAGTAGAGTCTGTCTCCCCTCTATTCCCTGAACCCATTTGGCCTTGCAAAATTTAAAATATCAATCTTGTAGGCTCTGGTAAAACAGTCAAAAAACTACTAGCTTCCTAATTTCTAAGATGCAGACTGTGTACACCATTTTCTGCATACGAGCTTGGGTCAATATTAACAGTACCCGACTAGCAGTGAATATACATGGGTAGATTACCTCTTACAATGTACCTTAAGAGAATTGGCTGGTCTACTATGCTCATGCACATGTAGAGTGTTAATAATAGTACCTCATTTGGAAAATTAAGGTCCCCTTCCTCTATGCCCCCTACCAATATATATAAGCAGAAGCAGCTGTGTGTTAAGGTCCCTGTTGTTTTGACATTCTCACAGAATTTATTGAGAGCCAATTGTTCAAGCCATGTACCTACTCTAAAATTACATTCTTGTGAGATGTAGTTGTGACAATTCAAAAAAATTGTCAATAAAAAATTGTTACAGCCTTGACATGTCTCCAATAACTTTGTTGTACTTGTTGTATTTAATTACATGATTATCTGTTCTTCATTTTCGAGGAAGTGTTGAGCTCAACAGCTTGTTGGCAGCTAAAAATGTTCCTGCTTTTGATTATTGCTAGGTGGAATACACATTGCTAAAATTCGACCATGAAAACAGGAAGGTGTTCAACAATTTAAGGGCAAAAGAAGTTCTTGATGTCCTGCAACTTGATGAAATAAAAAATCCCAGGTGACACATAATATTCCTTTATTGTGGTAAATTCTGGTAGTGCCTACATGTAGCTAGACCAAGCAGTTGTTAACGCATATGTGCATAATGTAAGAATTGCTGGAAATCCTGTACGTCAACCTTGTCGCTTTGCCTGAATTAAGACTACATAATATGTAGCGTAACCAGCAAGTCATCTTCTGATACTGGTGCCCTTAACTGTTCACAAATTACAATAGGTGCATGTATAGTACATCCTGAGTCATGAGGCCCAAATGGCCCGAGCTTAAGTCCGTTTTTGTTACGTGTTTAGCACCTCAAGTATTATAATGTTTTATTTTATTTTTAAAGCACAAACAAGACAGCATGGAGACCAGAATATGCTGGCTACATGGTTGAAGGTAAAGGCTTTTTTTTAGCTGCAAATATAATAATAATATTACTAAATCATAATTGCAGCAGGTCATATTTTTAAATCACAGTGTGATCCTTTTTCTTATTTGACTTTTAATATTATGTAGACTCCTGGTCGCTTAAAAAGGTAGAGAACGCTATCCAATGGATAAATCCCTTTCCAATGAATAATGCAATTGGTTTCCCTAATACTTATATCCTCTAGATAATAATCAGTGGATAACATTATCCACCTTTTTAACAACTGGGACCTGCTAATTTTCTTCTCTATAGGGACTCCTGGGCAGCCATTTGGTGGCTGTATGAGGCATTTTAACATGATTGAAGCTAACATGAAATTGAGGTATTTGCGTACATGTATTTGATCAGTTCATCAACATTAAAACTTAGACATACATTATTGCAACACTTTAATTGTGCTTTTACAGAAACATTGGCTCTTTATACAGTTGTAATCAAGGGAATTTAGCCGGCCAGGAAACCAGGATTGATACTTTAAATAATGTCATTAATTCCTTTGCTTTAGAAATCCGATGAGTTCAGTCGATTTATTGTTTAAATTCACCTTTACTGTTGTTTGATAAACAGACGGGAAGAAGTTCAGAAGAATTTGACAGAACCTGGAGAAACAGTTCAATCAATTGTTGCATTTCCCAGGTAGATATCTACAGATAAGTGTTTTGTAATTAACTGGACTGAATATGATTATCTGGGGAAGTTATCATCAGTTTCTTTTCTGGTAATTGTTCAAATTTCAGTCACTATCTACTTTAATCCCTTAATTGAGTATGCCACCACTGAACCAAAAAGTGTACACTGTAGTTGTTTAGACTAGTGTCATACTCCAATATATTAATTTTATTTCAGACTTGGGTGCCCGAACTTTACGTTTCCAAATTTCAAGCCTACACCCGGAAGAGGAATAACAAGCTCACTGTTTTTCCCCGATCAGGCAATTTTCCAGGGGCATCCAAGATTCAGGTTTGTTACATGTAACTGTCCAGAAGTTGTATCCTGCAAATGTGTAAGATCAATTACATAGATTTACATATAATAACTTTTGTTTCTTGTTTCTATCAGCACCCTGACCAGGAATATCAGAGAACGAAGAAGCACAAAAGTTGCTATCAATGTTCCAAGTAAGTTAACTTTAATTTGTAGGTGATTGCATCAAATTAATCATCCAAGTCCTTTTGACTTTTTTTGGTTTTGCTTGTCACTGTGTCATATTCAGTTTGTAAACAATGTTGAAAATTAAGTTGACTTGAATGTATTTTTCATCGAGTACGATTGCAAGTTTTCACACCAGATTTGAGTGCCTTATAATAGTCAATAAATTAACATGCCAATGTTATCCCTAACATTTATATATGTTCGTGGGGTACACAGTTAGCTTGAAAAACTAAAGTTGCCCTTTCCTTTAAGATGTTGGCAAATTAAGAGCTAAGAATTGCTTGCAAAGACCAGTAGAGACAAAATTACATGGGGTGCATGCTATTCCAAGTTAATCACTTAATCTGCTGTTATAAAATTGCACCCAAATGTGGAATATTTTTTATCAACAGTCTTTAAAGATGTGAATACTCCTTCTCCATTCATTGAAAAGTTTCCTGAAGTTGAGGGAGAAGGTGCACAGGCTGCCCAACCTGACCACATTTACTTGGATGCAATGGGCTTTGGCATGGGAATGTGCTGTCTCCAGGTACAGTTACAAACAAAACCAAAGACAAAGAAAAGAAAAGAAGTGGCACTAGCTAGTGTGCAAAAATACGTAGACATGTTTAGTCAAAATCTCAGACGTACACTTCTTTAGAATAGACACCTTGAGTTAGATGTTCTCCAGTCATTGCGTGTTAGTAAGTAAGATAATATTTTTTGTTTTATTATAGATGACTTTTCAAGCTTGCAGCATCAGTGAGGCAAGATATCTGTATGACCAGTTGGCAGTTGTCACTCCTATTGTGGTAAGTTAAGATACAATGTATTATTTTACTAGAAAAATTCTCATACATTGTTAAAGTTTTATGGTAACTTTATTAGGTGGTTTAATTTCTACTGAAAATTGATTTGGAAACACAACCTAACTCATTGTCATAACTGTTGAAAAAAGTTTCTTCGTCCAGTTTAAAAGCCTGTGAATTTGCTTTAGTATTAATCCAGCCCAAGTGCCTACCCAACTGAGTTCTCACCACTAAAATCTAAACACAAATTACACTGCAGAATTATACAGATGTTGTGGTTCAAACTGTACTTTCACTTTACTCTATTTTATCTCAGATCCATTAACATAACCTGACACAAAGAAAAACACAGGTCAAAGTTGTTAGACATTTTTAACCAAAGAAAAATTTGAACCACAAACCATGCATCACACTGCCAGATGTTCAAGATATGGCTTAATTTATGTCTTCTGGCTGAGCTGTTTAAATGATTTTTTGTTTGCATCATTTTTTGCCATGTGCAGATGGCGCTGTCTGCCGGTACTCCTATACTACGTGGGTACCTCTCGGATCTGGACTGCCGATGGTGTGTTATTGCTGGTGCAGTGGATGATCGTACTCCAGAGGAGAGAGGCCAGGAGGTACTAGTATGTCCTTCTCTAGTATGACGTTAAAAAACTGTAAAATCATTTACAATTAATTCGCTTAAAAAAAAAAAAAAAAAAAAAAAGTTATTTTCCCAATTTAATGAAAATGCACTTAATTTAATTTTAAAAAAAAAAAAATGTTAATAAAATAATGATAATAATAATAATAATAATAATAATAAATAATAATAATAATAATAATAATAACATTGCATGTAAAAATGCAACAGAACAATTCAGTTTATGCTGATTATTTTACTTTCTCATACACTGTAATAATAGTCAAGTATTGACATGCATTAAGTCATAATGCAAATAAATGTCAGCATTGTTATACTGTCTGATCTCAATCATTAATTTTCTAGAAATATTGTGAAAATCACCTTTTTCATTTTTATATCAGTGTGGCTAAAATTGTTATTTCTTCTTTTCAGCCCCTAAAGGAAAACCGATTTGTGATTCCCAAGTCACGATATGATTCCATTAGTACTTATCTGTCTCCAGAAGGAAATAAGTACAGTGATATTGACTTGGTTCACGACAAGGAGATTTATCAGCAGCTTGTGGATGCAGGTTTGTTTTTATTCTATTTAATTACATGTACACTGTACTTCTGCCACAACTCCGTAGTTTGGAACCCTCCTGTGCATGACGCTGATAGCCAAATGGCAGTCTTCATGTTTGTCAGTTCTTTCATAACTTTCTTTCCTTATACTTTAATGATTTCTGTCTGTAGCACTTGGAAAACAATTTAAAACAATAACAAAACAAAATAAATATAAACTCGTGTCTTAAGTTAAAATAAGACAGTCTGTGCTTACTTGAAGAAACTGCTTCAAACTGTTGTTTTTATTTGGTGAAATTATTCATGACAAGTAAATTTTTTAGTGAAATCATTTAGTGTCTGAATTGAATTCCTGAATTTTAATGAGTTTTAATTTCCTTTTACAATCCTTGACTTGATCATTGTTTTTTTTTGTCGTGATAATCAGGAATTGATGAACAGTTAGCGCAGCATTATGCTCATCTATTCATCCGTGATCCTTTGACATTGTTCCATGAACATATTTATGAAGATGACGAACAGCACACTGATCACTTTGAGGTACATCTCAGTATACACTGCTTTCTCACCTTATTCAATCAAAACATCATTAATTTTTTCCTGAAAAAGAATAATTTAAGATAATATGTATTGTAATTCGTGAGATAAACTCGCGTGGCACACATCACATCTTTAAAACTCTGTATTATTCTTAAACAATAATTTTCAGTAGTTTCAGATCTGAGGGAGGAGCATGGGAGAACTCATCCCCCCCCCCCAACCTGAGACCCGCAGTGCCGAGTCACAGAGTAGCCTCGTTTTGTCTGGAGTGCCCCCCTCCCCCCCATCTCATCTTCAGCTGTTATAGAACAGTACAGATCGATGTATTTCACAGAATTATCTTGATTTCTTTTGGTCCCAAACGTTGCTTACCATTTGATAGGTAAACCAGTCGGTTCACGGTTTGGATAAATGTGAAGTATTAAAAATTCAGAACTTACCATTTGCACAAGCCAGTGCCATTTATCGAAAAACGGTCGCAAACACCTGAAACTGGTATGACTGATGTGTTTGAAGAAGTGGAACTGGAACTTCCGTTTGGAAAACCGTGTATTCCGACCGGGAAAACAGGATCACCTTTTCAGACCTTATTTTACTCCCGGAAATTTCCACTGGAACGACCCGAAATGGAAAAATGGTAAAACACCTGAAAGATGCAGGAAAGCGTACATTGGGATCCGTGTGCCTTGGTGGAATGGGATTTTGATTGTTTAAAGAGTGTTGTGTCTTGTTATTCAGAATATCCAATCAACCAACTGGCAGACAATGAGATTTAAGCCACCTCCCCCTAACTCATCTATTGGCTGGAGAGTAGAATTCAGGCCAACTGAGGTAAGAGGAACCTGCAGAACGGGCGTTATTTTTCGCGTTTTTCAGGCGAGCTTGGGGTGCGTGACACGCACGACGTTGGAAGGCGCAGTGTCTCGCCCCTCACGCCCGCTTTGTGTTTACCTTCGCTCGCTAAAAAAAACGCCTAGTGAACATAACGCCTGTTTGCAGGCTAAGGTAACTATTGAAATTCTAAAAGTATTACTACTTTATTGAAAACATGTAAGGCTTCTCTCAAGATTCAAGCAAGTTGCTTTTCAGGGTGACTGTGGCTTTTATTTCAACGATGAAAATGTTCAAATAATACGTCACTAGTAGCATTTGTTTAGAGACATATTGGTAACAGGTTGAACTGTTTGTTTTTTCAAGGTGCAACTGACAGACTTTGAGAATGCTGCCTATGTGACGTTTATAGTGCTTCTGACGCGGGTTATCCTCTCATTTGACCTCAATCTTCTGATTCCCTTATCCAAGGTAAATAAACAGGTTTTATCTGACTAGGTTCATGCTCTGATAACTGCTCCATCTAGAAAGCTGTACACATACCACTGTATGACCTAGCCAGATGTTCTTTCCCGCTCAGTTTGAACCGTGAAATCCCGATAATGGTTGTCACGAGCATTCTGTATTACTTTCACTTAAAAAAGAACGTGAGAAAATATTTTCCAAGAGCATATTATATGGCCAAATATAGATATTCCTTCTTGAGGTAACAAATCAGGAAAATCCAAGCTGGCGAGATAAGCCCGTCTCGCTCGCACGGCAAGCCAATCAAAACGCAGTATTTGATACATTTAGCTCATCCACCGAACCTGTTTATAGTAAAAATTAACCAGTGAAGTTCTGCTGCTTTGGGGAGTTAGTTATTTTTATTCATAGCAGTATAGTATTGATAGTGGAGGTATTACTGCACTGAAAATTGAAAAGATCTGTTTCAGCCCCAAAGTGTCAATTCAGCCCTGCAGGCCAAAGTCTGATTCAGCCCTTCCTGGAGCCATTTGAGCACAATTTAGGTCAAAAAAAAATCTATCCAAAGTCTGTTCCAGCCCACGGTAGGGCCCATTTCAGCCCTGGGACCAAATAAGCCCTAGCTAATTGGACTGTATTGGCCCTGATTTAAGGGAGCCAAATTAGACTCAAAAATAGGACTGTATTTTACGCAACGAATCGGCCCTATTTTTAGGGCTAAAATAGATCTTTCTGATTTAGACTGTGTGTGTTTTCATTAGCAATTACCCCGTTAGTGAGTAGAGGTTGTCCAATTTGGCTTCATTAATATCCTCTCAGGTTGACGAGAATATGATCACGGCTCAGAAGAGAGACGCTGCTCGTCAGGGCCAGTTCTACTTTAGGAAGACCTTGAAGAAATGTGAGTGGATGATAAAGTTAGTTTTTTTGTATGTAACGGATAAGAGATCTAAGCAGGTACTGTCATCCAAACGCGTTCTCCAGAGAATCTCGTAGGATCGTCTGTTTCTATTCTATCGCTCGCCATTTTTGAGTTCCAAAAATCCTCCGTTTCAAAATCAGGTCAAATGCAAAACCTCTTATGCGTAGAAGAGTTTATTTACATGAAATTAAAAATAAAAGTTGATATCAAAGTCTCTGTTCTTACCCAACTGCAAAATCCTCTTGTGAGACATTATTCGGCAATTAAGCAGAACTTTGTAACATTCAAGCTGGTTTGTTTAGTTGGGTCCCCAGTGGCGTAGGAAAATGAAACCATGCAAGGAAATAAAGTTGTTTCCTGCGTATAGCAGATATCGTGAGAAAGACACAAAGAAATGGTTGTTTCTTTCCTATCCTGCTCTCGTTAGGCCCCACGGTGGTTAACGGAGATGCGGCAAATGAAGACGAAGCTTGTAAAGATGAATTTGAGCTGATGTCAATTGACAAGATCATTAATGGCAAGGTTAGATTCGCTCAGTTTATGATTTTTGTATTTTAATTGGTCTTGGAGTTCAGCGTTTGTTACCACTTAGGGCCTGTTTACATGGAGATGGGGGACCCCAGGTAGGTGGGGTAACCCGCTTAGGTGGGGTAACCCGCCTGTCCATACAATCTCTCATTTTAATGTGATCACGTTTACATGTTAGGCGGGGTAACCCGCCACATGTTACCTAGCCTGAGTATCAGGCGTTTCTGGGGGAAAAGGGGAAAGATGGAAGCGAAAAAGGAAGAGAGCTGAAGGAGAGAAACGCCTGACACAGATGCTTTTGCTGGAGCCTTCCACCCCCACACAGCATGATTCGATACCATCCAATCAAAATCACATCCGGTCATTGGGTTGTCAGCTTCACGTGTCAAAAAGCTAGCCTAAAATAGGGTCAGGGCGTATTGTGTGTTATCCAATCACTGCCACACCCAGATTCTGGATGTGTCACACGATTTGCTGAATGGTTTTGTGTCAGGCCTTCCTTTCTCTTCTGCCCCTCCCCCCTCCCCCATCAAAAATCTCCTCTCCCCTATCCCCTTAGGAAGGCCTGATACTCAGGCTACATGTTACCTCACCTACCTGGGGCCCCCCACCTTCATGTAAACAGGCCCTTACAGTCAACAAAGTGACAAATATACCACCCTCCGCTATGAATGGATATCTTGTGGTTCAATTATATACGTAGTTTAAATGTTTCAGTAAAACCTGTATCAGAAGACACCTTTACAACCTTGGCAGGTGTCAGCGTAATAGAAGTGTCCGCTAAATACAGCTTCGTTTTAAATGTGGGAAGAAACGTTTGAAACATACTAAGCTACTCGTCCGCTTAATACAGGGTGTTCGCTTAATATGGGGTCTATGCGATCCGCTACAACAGGTTTCATTGTAAGGCCTTCCTGATTGCATTAGCAAATACAGTGAAACCTGTATCAGAAAGACAACCTTACATCCTTCGCTGGTGTCCGTTTTTAAATATAGGTGTCTTCTAAATACAGGCTTGTTTTACTTAAAAGATGAGAAGAAACGTCTGAAACACACTGAGCTATTCGTCCGCTTAATACAGGGTTTCCGCTTGCTATTGAGTCCGCATAATATAGGTTTCACTGTATTTTTCTTTGTTTCTGTGGTTCCGGTAAGGTGTGATAATAGTTTTAAAACAAGGGGGAAAGGGTGAATTGCACCACAGCAGCTACTTTATAATCAATCAATCACTCAATCAATTAATCGATCAGTCAATGAATCAAGGCAATCAATCAGTCAGTCAAGGCAGTCAATTAATCAGTCAATCGATCATCGATTATAGTAAATAAAGTTCAACGTTGGTAATGGAGCGCGACAGATTTCTTTGTTATATGTTTTAGTCAGCTTTTCGAGACTTGTGCAAATTGTTGAATCATCGCTTTAAACTAACTGAAAACTAGAAAATTCAATCACAATATGTGAACCAAACACAAAAACAAAAGATTGTGCACGGCCAGGGAGCTCCCAACATAAACTGCAATACGGTTGTCTTACCTAATTTTTGCCAGCTGTCACAAACAGTTCCTCTACTATAACTATGACTGATGAAAAACAATGGACGCTGCCAGATTTCTTGTGTAGTCGATTCTTATATTCTTTTTTTCACCTGTTTTTAGGATGGTGAATTTCCTGGTCTGATACCACTGATTGAAAGTTACCTTGGCAACGTCGATGTGGACATAGACACGCGTTGTACTATTTCCCAGTACCTAAAGTTTATCCAAAGGAAGGCTTCCGGTGAGTTATACTGAAATACAGTCAAGGTTAAAGATACAGTCAAGGTTAAAGATAGCGGCGCCATGTAAATTATGCCGGACAAAAGCTCTCTGTTTGGGGAAAAAAATAGCGAGGAAAGGGAAGGGAAACGGGGGCGGGGGGGCTTTTCCCTTTCCCTATCGCGCTCGACCAAAGGCCTGTTCACAAGCTAATGGTTTTGCTCTTCAAGTACGCAAAACAAACCAGTTAGGTAGGTTAATGATTTCACAAAGAACGTTTCAACCTGGCAAACGCTACGGTTTTTTTTGTTGTGGTTTTCGTTTGTTCTTCGTTAAAGAAGAGATACGGCAGCTTCCGCGTGGACGTATCCCTTACTACATGAACCACAAAGGAAAAACACACCCCAAAAAACGCCAGCTACGCAGCGTCAGCGTGTCAGTGTTCAAAAGTGTAATCATCAGTCCCAGGGTTAGGTTAAATGGCGCGCTTATTTTGTTTTGCAAATGTTCTTACCTGAGTTTAAGTATTGCATCAAGGTAAATTACAAAATTTGAGCAGGGTGGGTGAGTTGAAATCTGGCCAAAGTGCAAATGGTGAGGAATGTCTGTCTTATCAATTTACCACAATGTTCATTCGCATTTGCCCGTTTTCTACAGGTGAGCTGCTGACCACAGCACAGTGGATTCGCAAATTCGTAGAGGTGCACCCTGAATACAAGCAAGACTCAGTGGTCAGCGAGAGCATCTGTTATGATCTAATGAACACTTTTGATCGCATCACTCGGGGGGAACTTGGCGCACCACAACTTTTTGGAAAACCCACATCCAAGACGAGCGACGTTCTCTTAAAGAAATGTCTAGAAATAAAGGAAGAAATGAAGAAAATTGAGGCAGAAAAGTAATTTAACCAAAACAGTCGCTTGTTTTTAACTCTTGAATTTCCAGGACGCAACCTAACGCGGGCCGTGAATTTCTTACTTTTGATTCTGTTCTAACCAAACTTCTTCAACTTTGGATCGTTTTTCATTCTTCTTTGCCTTTAAACGCTCTTCGCAGCCGAAGGTGTATCGTAAGTTGGGAGAATTAGATGGCTTTGATCACCTCCACTTGTTTAGACTCGTTAAGTATAATATCTGAATGTATCAAATATCAAAAACATAAGTCAGGTGGTAAAAATATTTAGTTAACTTCATCTCTCCCTATACTTAGATTATAAAACAACATTTAACGAGAAGGGGGCTTATTCAAAATTCAACAATATTCAACGGTATAAAATGTTGAAAAATAGGTTTCTAACTATTAACTTGAAACTAAAATGAGGGGCTAAAATTCTAACTATATTGCTGATCTTTGTAAAAGGTTATTGTTATTATAAATAACATCTCAACGGGTCTACCTTTCTCATGTTCAATTACCCGAATGATAACCCATGTTTTCCTACGTGCTATTTGGTAGAGTAATTTAAAGTGGACAGAAATTTTGAAAATTTTCCATTCAGTAGATAAGTCTGGAGAAAATATATTGAACATCAATATCTCAATGTCCACCAGAAGAATGCTGTTTACAGTGCCGGATCCACACCTTGAGATAAGGGGGGCGGGGAGCCTGTCTCCAAAAATTTTTTTCGGCTCTTCGAGCCTCAGTTTGGTTTGAAAATAGGGGGTGCAGGGGGGGCTGGATCGGCCACTGGTTTATTTAAGGACTGTTTACTTTTAATTGTATAATGACGTCACCGTGTTTTCATCAGTAGACATGCGTCATTTTTCGTGTGTGAAACAGTTAACTTGCTGTAAATATTTTAAATCTGTATATGTTGTACTGAGAGTGTTCAACTCACCACCCGTGAATTGTTAACTGTTCCACTTGTTTTTAGCTGTATAACTTTTGTCCATCTTTGCCTTCAAAATATTGTAACCTTTCAGAAATAAGGAGATACTTTCATTAAAATGGTCTTCCGGAGAGCCGTAAAAATTACCTTAAAAAACAACAAATTTACCAACCAATAAATTCTACTGATATTTGTCTCTTTCAAAGTAGTCCTTACTAATAATTTCTTTGCTTTTAACATGTAAGAATTAAAAGCGCGTGGACTTCCCTAAACTTAGCACCCGCCGGGAGTTCGTTGCAAAGTTTCATTCTATTCTGAAGGCGGGGCTGAAGGCCGTTTACAACGCCGACTAAGATATGCGGATACTGTGCGAATTAGTGGGTAAACTAATTGATAAAATTACTTCTTAGTTATTTGGATATGTAGTAGCAATGATTTTGTACATTAAATAACTAGTTGTTCAGCTATCTTGTGTTCTAGTCTTTATGTCGTACCGCAGCGTACAAAATTAATGTGTTCATGAAGACCTTTGAGCCGTTTGGTTCTTTGCGATGGACCGGTACTGTGTATATACAGACAGAGTAAATCTCAAGCTTAGCTCAGCCTCTTTCCTATGTCTACCTTCGGAACGAAGTTCTTTGGGCGCAAACTTAGGGCACTTTCCATTCGTCAGAACTGACTGGCCAGACTATTCCCGTCACAATGATAATTTCACGTTAAATCAAACCTATCCAGCCTGGTCAATCAAATCCTATATAGTATGCACGAGGGAGATGGGTTTTTAGCAAAAACTCTTGGAAAAAGCCGATGTCATTTTCAAACTGACTGTTCCAGCCATGGTCCGGCCGGCCAGTTCTGACAAATGGAAAGTGCCCTTAGTGTAATTTTGTGGGAGTTTATTTACGCTGTTTCTTATCGATGTATGTGGCACTGATTTAAAAGAGGCCGGCGAGATTAGTAACATTTCAATACTTAGCTAATGACTTGCTGATGATATTCAGACATTATTTCTCCCACAATTGACAAACAAGACGTATTAACGTTACCCTGAGAGTTCAATAAAGTAGTAAAACGCCTTTAAGATAGAGTCATTAATAGCCAGTCATAATGGTGAAGTGCGGGAGGGAGCTTGCCACCCGGTGAGAAGGAAATACTAAGATAAAGAAAAAAAGCGACAAGTTGCCAAATGAATGAAGAATTTCAAAAATAATAATGACGATAATCTGCTCCCAAATTTTTGAGAAACAAAGGTGTATGCCGCCATAGGAAAGCCAGATGACAATGTACTACTATATGTTTCGAGGTGCTTCTTTCAAAAGTAGGGTATTTGGTACGGTTATTGGCCTTTGATAGGGTACTTCTAAAATTCATGCGACCTAAACCCGGAAAAATATATCTGAACAACAGGAAACGGATCGACTAGGCTTTAAATTCTACAATTTATGAATGTCTATGAAGAGAAAAGAAAACAGGTTATGATCTTTTCACACAATCAGTTCTGTTCATTTTTCTTTTTGGTATAAATAAGGCTGTTTCATTTTTCGTTTTGAGCGGCCTAAAATTGGGTGTTAATTTTCGATCTTCTAAATAGGACCAGAGGAGACGGCATACACCCAGTATCCAAAACTGTTTGGAGCAGACCTCAAAACGCTTTCTCACCCAAATGGTGTATTACCGCGGGTAGTCCTTCTTCTTGTTAGAGGTCGTCAAAAGTCGCGCGAAAATAAAAAAAACTGCGGGGGATCTATTAACCGCCAACGCAAGGGGGAAAAAACAAGGGAAAAATGTCTTTAGGACAGCCTGTTCTCTAATTCAAATCAGTAATTATCCTACTAACGTTTTTCCTCTTGCTGTTAAACTGCCCTTTAATTGAAGCCATGCTTTCATTTTCCCACAAAGTTGATTTGCGTTTGTAGCAGAGAAAACACCAAGAGGACGTTTCGCGATCTCAGGTAAAGGCAGTTGTGTCGATCGTTATCTTCAGTGGTGGTACACTTTTGCTTTCCGGGCGATGTTATGAATTCCAAGTTCCGATTGTGTCCATTTGTATTTTCGTACGTGTTTTTGTTCCTCTGAAGAAGTACCCACCTTGACATCTAGCAAATCAGTTGAGCTTTTCAAATGACCCGAATTTCAGGTATGAAACGTAGCGATTTTGACGGCGTCAAAATTGCCCAAGCTATCTGCAATTTTACAACTAAGCATCAATATTCAGTAAAAAGAAAAGTATATTATAGAATCTTGGTGAAACGAAACCTAACATTTTGTGCTATTCCTCTTGCAGAAATGATGAGGCTATCGTGTTTGCTCTGGATTTGTATTTTTTTCACCGTTCCTTCGATTTTGTTTTCCCGGCCATTCAAGGAGGGTGAGAGTGACTTCTGTTTTGTAATGCGCAGAGGTCGTTAAAACCCGGACAGATCCTAGCTTGTAATTAAAGGATTAGAAAATTTCATCTTTTGCCAACATGTCAAGTAGTTCACTCAAAACGGTGTCAACACATTACAGTGCGGCCTTTGGAACTGCACAGGTCATGGTAGACCCACTGTACCTTACTGCTACTTATTTCGCGGGGCTTAGGCCTGGTTCAGACGCCGTACTTTTCATGTGCCGAACCTAACTGAATAAGTTCGACTTTGGAGCGACACTGGCGCGACATCTGATTCAGACGGCGTACCGTGTGTCGAACCTAAGATAAGTTCGACAAAAGTTCGACAGACTCTGTCGAACTTAACGCTTTTGCCGCACCAAACTAAAACTGCCGTACCAAATTGATTCAGACGCCGCTCTTTTGCCGTACTTAATTCATCAGTTAGGTTCGGCACATGAGTGGAGCGGCGTCTGAACCGGGCCTAAATTTCGTGTTTTCACCTGGGTCTTAAATTTCACGTTTTTTTCACGATCGAATAAAAATCGTTCAAATCACAGAAAAAAGTGATCATGATATAACATGATAAAACATGTTATAACAACAACCACCTGAGGATCCATTTGAAGATTTGTTATTATGTTTAAAACATTGCCGCGAACTACTCTTTTGCCTAAACGTTAATATTTAAATATGAGTTTTGCTTGCTCCAGTTTATCTAGAAATTTGAAAAGATCAGATGTTTTTTAAAAATATTAAAATGGATATAAAGTTACGCCCTTTTTTTTTTCATATTTCCCCGTTATATATTTTGGCGAAAATAAAATCCCGTGAAATATTGTCTGGCTAAAAAGTGACATAAGGTGAAAACAAACTCGATTCAGCTGCGGTTTTCGAGATTTATTCCCCTTCGGCATCCTTTGTCCTTAAAAACGAGTTTGTGCACTGTTACACTCGGGGCTCACAGATCTGGTATTGTCGCCCACTAAAAAGTGATTTTGGCACTAAGGAAGAACTTCTTGGTTAAAAGGAGCTATGCAAATATTTATATTTTTGTTGTAACAGATAAAGCTCCAACGGGCCCTGATAAGAGAGTCCACAGAGACGAGCCGGCAAGAAAGATCTTAAACCATCGACCAGGATACAAAGTTTATGACGAGGGCCCTGATTCTGTACCACAGGATGAAAGGACCTTTGAGCATAAGACTAGAGGCAAGGTTAACATTGAAGATCCTCATCCAGCCCTCCCTGGGAAAAGATCCTTCAATTATGGCACCGGAATAGGTCATCATACCCACGACGATGAAGAGCAGTATTTGAACGATCTTGAAGAATTACTAGACTCATTTGGCCATATCCTAATTGATGAATCATAGAGACTATATTTAGTACCAGCAGGGTAAAGGTACTCCTGTATTTCTTTAGTGAATAAAGTCGCTAAATGAGCCAAGGAAATTTAAAATTATTCAGCTTTATTATCATCACAACTCTCACATCTTCGGGTTTTATGATAGATTAATTCCCCCAAAAGAGAATAATGATAATAAGAAAAACGTGAGAAAAACGCCAACTGTAACAGTTATCAGGCTTGCCCCAGCCTATTTTTATTATATTCTCTTATCGATCCAAATCTTCCCACTTTCAAAATAAAAGATTAGTACTTCAAATAGGAAATATTGAACGCTCGCTTCCATCCCCCGCCCCCTCCCCTTCAAAAACACCTGCTACTCAGGCTTAGTAACAGGGAGGTTTTTTAAAATGTAATTTATTTAACAATGTATAGAATATTGTTCCAGTATTTAGCCTATGAATTGTTTACAATGAGGAGCTGATGCAACATCTGCCTTTGCCTGATTACTATAGTCCGACATATCCAAACAAGTTTGACAAAAATAATTTCAATGACGAAACTTTTTTCTTCTTAATAATAAACAGTTACAGCTGCAATAACTAATAAACTAAAAGACAGGTACAACTAGGCAAAAATACAAGAAAAAGTAAAGAATGATACAGAAGTTGTAGTAATTCACTTAAATCAGTGTACGAAAACATTAGATCCGTAAATTAATTTTGTAACTTTTATCTTCGACGTGAAAAGGCAAGGGTAATTTTTTTTTTCATCGTAACTTATTTTGCTCGTCAGTTTGCTAAAGACGCGGTACGCTGGCCGTGGATTGAAGTACGACGCGTTTCAGGCTTACAGCGACAAAATGTTGCTTCGGAGATTAATTGTAGAGTTCTTGTTGTTTTTGTTTCTTAATGACAAATCAAACTCCATAGCATGATTTTCTAACCAGCTGTCAGACTGAAATAAAAGGCATAATGTGACGTGCCGTTTTCGCGTGTTCCAATTAGTCTTGTCGTTCCTTAGTTACATACTCAGCGCAATTGACCAAACTATCAATTCCCTTTGCTTCTTTCAGGACAATTTGTTGAATATCAGTACTGAGAATTTTTTAAAAAATCAACTGGCCTAATCTGCTTAACCATGCTGTTTTTTATTCATACATCACGTATTTATGTCCTCGGAATATTCAGTCTTTTTCTTCGAAGATGACCTTGTGATCTCAGGTTTGTCAAAACTAAAACGCCTGTAAGCTGTGTAAGTGGCATTACAATATCTGTCGGGTTCGAATGCTCACTGTTATTCGAGCAAACTGACCGTTGCTCACAAAACCTTGTACCAGGAGAGAATTCAGAGAATTTTTGACCCGATGTGCCGAGGAAACGATCTTTTTCCTTAACTAATTGATATAAGGAACATCGAACCACGCATGTGAAAACGCAGGTGAGGAAAATGTGGTATTATAGTGTTGTTGTCGAAGCAGAGTATATCGTCTCTAAAACTATAGACTGCAAAACAGTCCGTATTCAAGTACGCGCGAGCAGTCAAACAAAAGGCCTGGAATGAGGCTGAAAACAGAGAGCTAGAGTCTTACGCGCGCCTCGCGCGCGTAAGACTCTTACGCCACGCTTTACCGATTTCTTTACTGATTTTGAGAAAAAACCCGACTGTTTTGCAGTCTACTAAAACTACGCCTAAAAAGATATTCATAGGTTTCAAAGTCCGTTATCTATAGGTATTAAATAACGGCAAACATTTTGATTTAGAACGGTTTTGATTCTGCATGGCTCAATTTCATCTTCTTTAAAAAATACTAATCGGCTCTCCAGCTTGCAGTGCTTTAAGGAATTAAGGGTATTCAGGCAAATTTATTTATTTAAAAGACGGCCTCTGAAACCGTCCTGAAGAGAAGGAAAAAATCGGAGGATACAGGTCCGTATTAAGTGTTTTAAGGAAGTCATCTTCAGTTCATTTAGTTTTTTTTAACGAACTGATGGAAACCTAAAGTACGTTATGGGGATCGATTCTGCGAGCCGCGGTGTCTTTTTCCTGATACTACTTCTGCTCTATTGCCTGCTAGAGTTTTGTCACATAATTCCAGAGAAGAGGTTCAATTCAGTCTTTTGCAACAGAGATTATTTTTCAGCCACAAAATTCAACCCTCATCTGTTCCCTGTATGACAGCTAATAACTGTACAATGGATAAATCTCTTAGAGACAATACTCTAAATATAGCAAAACTCTACGAGATCTCGCACGTGGAGAACCATGTGATAACAACTAAAACAAAAGATCACAAAAGACACTCGAGTGTACTTGCCCGGCAGTGCAGACTGTTAACGTACATGCTGACAAGCGCGCGAGCAAAGCTACCGCGCGCTTAGTAGTTTTCCATTTTTCATCTTAAAAACACTAGAATTTTCTCAAGAATTCACAGGTGTGTATCCCTTGGAAGTACTCCTCTGTATGGCTAACTCTACCTACAAGAATTAAAGTAAATGGGGCGTATTTGCGATAAACTTAGCGCCTCTTTAGGACCTGTCCTATTATAATCTCCTTGGCAGGATAAATAGAGGGGTCGTAGTCAAGGTCTTATTGACACTCTATTCCTTTTTCTGCTCTGGAAGCTGCGTCTATTTTGGCAATGGACGATCACAGGCACCTTAGAAACCCCCTTAGCCACGCCCTTTCTCCCACCTCATCTGAATAGGAACCCCACCAGATCTTATAGAAACCATCAGAACGTACGTCAATACTATTTACCTGCGAAACAAGCACGGATATGAACATCCTCCATTACTTTTTGCGTTTCCTTTTTGCCTTAAATAAAGATTCTTTCTCCTTTTTGTTTTCCTTACAGTTTGCACAACTGAGGAAAAATTACAAGGTGTTTGACCGGAGGAGTGCAGCTTGTACTGTTCAATTCATAACCTAACATTGCAGTGTGTACCACAGAGGAATGCGGCGTTCTCGTCAGACAGGTTATACTCCTTATCTGGTGTACAGTTATGCAGCAGCAATGGCGTTCGTTAGTATTGTAGTCTTATTCTATTTAGCTCTATATTCACCTGACAGTCAAAGCAGTTTTGCACCAGTTTGCGGACATTGCGTTTCATTCACATCGATGATTCAAATGGAAAGGCCTGACATCAATGTGAAAAATTATGTGGACTTGAAAGCACAGGAGAAAAAACACATAGCTGAATTGGGAGGGGTCACAAAAGAGCACCATGAATCATCTAACGCCACGGACATAGTTTTTAACGAACTTCGCAGAGGATTCTTTGCGGCAGTGAAAGAAAAAAGCAATAAAGACTCTTCACCAGAACTCTCTTTGAGCACTGTCTGCGTTTCAGAACCAACGCTTCTCGAATGCGAGGGGACTGGGTTTGGTGCTCTGCTACTGGCTACCTTAGATCACGTGTCATACTGTCACTTGCTAGGAATATACAACATTACATTTCAATGGAGAAACTGCGAAACCTACTGTATAAAAGACCCCGAGCAAAATTCTTGGCCAGCATATTTTGAGCCTCTAAACACAGATTTTGACTTGAGTGCATCCAGAGTTCTTTGTCTGGGTGGTTTAATCGGCGGACGAGTATTAGCACGCGAGACTGCAAAGGCAGTCAAACGCTTAAATCCACAACAAATTAAGCAATTTGATTGGGGCTTGAGGACTAGCTCCTTGTTAGAATTTGGGTTTAGAAAACGGCAGAGCGTCCCAGGCTACGAAGAAGGCGCGATAATCACACCGCAACTAAGAAAATGGGTACATGGCATGATCACTGAATACGTCCGACCACAGAAATTTATACAGATACGAGCTGAACAATTTTACATTGATAACATGCAAGGGTTCAATTTACTGGGAGTTCACATACGGGGTACTGATCATTGGTCGGAGACAGAGAACAAGACTTTACCGGCCTTGGAACAGTGGATTCATGATACACAGCAAATATTTGACACTCTAGAATATCCTAAAAGAATCTTTTTGGCTAGTGATAATAACGAGGGTGTTCAACTTTTTGTGAAACATTTTGGAGAAGATAAGGTAAGATCTTTGTCACTGGCACGGTATTACAGAGGCAGCTAGGAAAAAGTCAATCCCTCCCTTCTTCTGATGATTCTTATTCTAATTCTCCTTTTCCCGTTTCACCTCGTGCAGAAATTATGTGAATGCCTGGACTAGATTTCTTACAAATGTTTACTATATATAAAAAGAATTCCGGGAAAGTGCGAAATCTCGGTTATATCCCTTTTCTTCTGTACTAACCAGAAAGCTCGGAAGAATTCTCTACCGACGTCTCTTAAATCAAATCTATTTTGATTAAGGAAACCTTTTTCGATCGAAAAATTCCTCATATGTTCGAGTGGAGCAGTACCACTGAAAGGCTCTTAAGACCGATTCATTCCGAGTTGTTACGTTTGTCTTTGCAAATGGTGACAATGATAAGCCCACCTGGACTACATAAAAATTTTTGATTTCCACAACCCAAAAATTCAATATAGTTCTGAACCAGATGATGAGTTCCCTTACCAAAGATATTTCAAAGTGCTTTCTTTACTCGTTTTACACAATGAAGCGGATGCTACCCGCTAAGTAAGACAAATCGAAGGACATGTGCATACATATCCTTCGTTCCAGATACTCAACGTGTTACAGTCTAATAAAATTTGATTTGCGCATAGTTCCTTTGTAATAATTTCTACTCAATATTTGCTTGTTTACAGGTGGTTGTTACTTCGGCAAAAAGAGCGGAGAGTTATCATTCCCACAGTCCAGTCAATACTCACGTGACCAACAATGCGATTGAGATTGGTACCCAGGTCCTTATCGACATTTTATTGCTGGCTAAATGTAGTTACTTTCTCCATGCCGAGTCAAGCGTGGCTTCTCTTGCAGCGTTTTTCAACCCGGAAATGAAACTGTTCTTTCTTGGGCATTTGCACGACAACATGGTGAGTGGTTTCTAAGCCCTGCTGATCTCCTTCCTCCCCAGAGGGAGGGGGAGGGTACTTGAACAAAGTTTTAGCATACACTGTGAGGGCAATACCTACAATGTATATATAGGACAACCTTGAAGGTACAGCGTGTGTTTTATGACCCCATTTAGACAATGACGTTAAGAAATTAATTTTGGTCAGTCAGAAAAAGGGTGAGGGTTACCCATTCAATAGCTTTCCGATCAGTCTTGCCTTCAATTGCAATTTTAAGTGTTATTCTATATTGCTGACTCTAATCTACACAAGATCCAGCTTTCCCTCCCAGCTGGTTGTTTAAGTGGTCCCTGTTCGTTTGCTTTGGTGGGGTGGGATACGGCTACTCAGGAGTGTTGCTGAACTCCTCCAGTTCTCCTTGAAAGAGCTATTCATTTTACCATTTGGGTCATGGAGAGAGACAATTTCTTGTCTAAAAACAGGGCCGGCAACAGTACCGCGCTTAGCTTGTTGTGGAACGATACGATAGCACACGTGGTACACTGCACATGCATTTGCAGCCGAAAGCTTTTGTCTTTACTTATTTCTTGGTACTGTTCACAGGTTAAAGTTGCAGGAATTTTTCTTATATTAAGGTTTCATTTCCTTTAGGTAGATAAAGATGTGAACGTAGAAACCTTGCCTGAGCTAAGCGCTAAAGTTGCAGAGGCTGAGTGGGAAGAGGGATGGATCATGGAATCAGAAACATTAACTCAGTGTTACAAAGAGAACAGTCCATACAGCGCATGCCCGAATATGGCAAGGGGAAAACTGATCGACTCCGAAGATGTTCGAGAATTTTTGTTTCAATAAAAACTTTTAGATACTCCTAGTCATGCAGTGTTGGTTATTCAGACTTAATACGAATAGAGTTTGCCAATAACAGAAATAAAATTGTGGATTTTTTCTCATTCTCTTGTACGTTAGTTTGCTAACATTTAGGACTCATTTAGCATGTCGCGATCTCATGAAATCATTGCACTCTGTCTCAAACGCTACGTGTAAGGCGGGCAGGCGGAGCAGGACTCATTCTGAGGCACGCGCACCTGATGTAACAACAACAACTAAACTCGCTTACAAGAGGTCAATTTAATAAAACATTTACAAGTGTAATTTACAATTGTAGCTATTGTTTTCAGACCCTAAAACAATACCTACAGTTGTAAATTATAAACAATTATTGGATTCGTTTTTTGTGATATCCATAGTAATCAAGGTCTCGGTAAGGTTATCAGCCTTAACGAGACCTTGATTATTCTGGACATCCCAAAAACCGAATCTAATAATTGTTTTATTACTGCATTGAAGGGAAAAGAAATGGTCACGACAGTAAGTGGGAAGGAACACCTGGAAGTCATGTTTTTGCTTCTTGATTGACAGCAAACAACACAAAATGCGCGAACTTGCCATGATTACCCTTAAAAATTATGCACCGCGGTCATGCATGACATGATTGCCCGTGACCTTGAGTGTCCTTGCCATGATTATTGTATGATCTGCAGATAAATGACGTCCGAGGCACTGATTTCGAAAATAAACTTTACGCTCTCGGCCAATCAGAAAAGAGATAGTGAGTTGAATTTATAATAACACTTGTAAACTTGTTATTAAATTGACCCCAGCTGATAAAGACACGTAACATTGTGATTGAAAATCCGCTTAGCGATGGGCTTCTTACTTCACTGTTTTTTTACTAAATGGGTTATCCATAGGCTCGATTACCAGCCGCTGTTCGGAAAAATGAGGCCGCACTCACCCCTCCGAAGGGAGGATCAAAGACCGGTCCCGGGAGACGGCGGAAATCGAGCCTAGGTTATCTACTACTGTTGCGAAGAACGTTCGAAAATCTTTTATGTCACAGAATAGAATATGATTAATGCAATGGCAGATCCAGATCTTCAAATAAGGATGGGAGTGGGGGAGGGGGTGGTCATCCAGACCCTGAGATAAGGTTTTTTCGACCCTTACGGCCTCAGTTTAGTCTAAAAATAAGTGGGGTGGGGGGGTGGGGGTCCCCCGGGTCCCTTCCCTGGATCCGCCACTGTAATTGTAATGCAGTTATTTACATCGACTGTGAAAGGTTTGAACCCAGGAGCCATTTTGAAAATAGCTTGAGTTTGATCGTCCAGGTGAACGTAGTCCTGAATTTACATTTACTCGATGTAAATTCACGACTACGTTCACCCGGACGATCAAATACAAGATTACATCGAGTTAATCAAGATTACAAACAACCAGACTGCGAGCAGCTGCAACTCGCCCGACTTCACTGCTCAAATTCTCTCGCTTACAGATTTTCCAGCATAATCTTTAACACATAATCTCTTCTGTTCCGTTGTCCCTAGTCCTTCAGGCGAAAATGTTCCGGTTATTTGAAATTTCTAGAAACTAGTGCTATAAATCAGCGGTTACCCTGCAAAATTCAATATGGCGGACGAAGTGGAAGATTGTGAGCAGTTCCTGTGCCTCTTTGCTCAAGAACATGTCGATTTTAGGATTTCTGTGAGTACAGAGATTAATCGAAAATTATAATTAATGTAAAAAGGTACAAATTTCCCTACGATCTACTGTTTAGATAGTAGAACGTTAACTGATTACCGCAAATTCTTCTAATACGGTCATTTGTGTGCGTTTTGTTCAATCTGTTTCAGGAGTTATTGTCTATTTCATCAATGTTTGGTTTCAATGTACGATTTCAAAGCAAGGATCATAGAAAAGAGGTAAAAATAACACTTATTCTTCTACTTTTGTGTACAAGGAAAGTCGAGTATATTAAATTTTATCACATTTCTGAAATCCTTCAATTTTGCTCAGAACCCACACTTGTTGATATGCTTACCAAATCAAGAATGTGCAAGACATTTGCTGTCCAGAGCTGTTACCATAAAGTAAGACATCATTATGCATGCAGCTTTTCAAAAGTTAAATTGCCGTTTATATTAGATGTAGTCGCAATGAGAGGATAACCACTGCAGGACAAGTAGCTTTTTTCTTACAGTGATTATTTTTTGCATTGCATAGATCTGTCTATGAATTGTGGGGACATGGAAATAATTTAACAGAGGTCAAAAACAGTGTTCTCCAGTATCCAGCTCATAAAATGGTATGCTGCTAATAGACAACTGCTACTCACAAAATTTTTCTAAGTGTCGAAACGGCATCAACTCTGCTCTATGCCCAAGAAACCACAACCGTTCAGCGGTGAAGCCCATTTCTTCCTGATAGCTTGGTTATTCTAATTGAAGATAGAATGCTTTCAAATGATTAGGAAAGGGGATTTTGCAAAAATTCTAGAAAACTTTCTGACTGCCGGGCATTTTTTTAAGACCACTCACAGCTGCCGGGCATATAGTCACAGCATATAATTTATTTTACAATAACTGAGTGAATCCTCGTCCACTGATTGGTCGAGAATTATGGTCTATGAGATTATAGACCGTGGAAATGATGTAACATGTGAAGCAGTGCCGATTGTTTTCGTAAAAAAATAAATGTTATTGTAAAAAACAAATCAACCACAATTTTCCATGGTCTATGCTCTTATAAACCATAGAAATGACGCCATAAAATGTTCAAAACTTTGCAGTAAAACCACTGGCCCGTGGCTCATGGTTCCACGTGAGTTTTGAAGATTTTATGATGTCATTTCTATGGTCTATGAGAGGGTAGACCATGGAAAATTGTGGTCGATTTGTTAAATAGAATAAAAGTACATTTGCAATAAAAGTCCACAAGTATAAAAGTACGAAGCTAGTATATGAACAGTCCGTAATTTCATCTTAATTATTATCATGAAAATTGATTACTCTGTTTCTTCTATTTTAAACTCAGAAACCTTTCTCCTCTAGCAATTCCACATTTAAAATCAGCATTGAAACCTTCAATAAAAAGCTTTCTGTTAGTCAACAGAGAGAGCTTATTGATGTAAGTATTGGGTGGCCAGTAAATCATTTTTGAAAAAAATATAAAGTAATATGTGATGTTAATAATCATTATATTGCCTTATAAAACATGTCAGGTTAATTATAGTCGTGAATAATGTAGTAGTGATTTTTCTTGTTGGATCTGTTTAAACATTCTAGCCTTCCCTGATAAAGGTTAATAAATAATACTGTAGGGGCCATCTCTCATTGCTTCTCCAATCTGACTCTTGTGGGAAGTAACAGAACTACTTCTGTACATGTACTTGGGACATGACATTCTCTGGTACTAGTCACCGCCCCTAGTGTCTACCTGTCATGTTTTGAGGGGATGGGTAGGGACACAGCCTCACATCAATCTTATGAGTCCTGTTTTGTGCCAATAATACCTTCCCGGAAGATCTGTGCCTAGTAGAGCAGATAATCATGCTTAGTAAATTAGTCAGGTGGTGGTGTACCTTAATCATTTTCCAGAGGATCTCAGTTACAGTAGGTTTTTCGGAATCCAGGATTTGCCTTACTGAAGAATAGGAGTGAGGGAAAGATTTAGGATTGAAAGTATCCATAGGATGAGGCTTGTGGAAAATAACCATTGGGATTACAAGATTGAGGGAAAATTTGGGTTCAGGATGACTGAATTGAAGGATGCTATCTGGGACCCCCACTCCAGCTAGGGTAGAAACTCTGACTACTGAAAATATAACAATATTAAAGCAGGTTGATATAGATTATGAAGTAGCATTATGTTTACACATTTTTGTGCCATCCAATCCCCAGCAATTTGAATTTCTTCCATTTGAAGGCTGTGTCAACCTGTCAGCTCCTGATCATGTGTTCTCGTTACTTGTGGACTATGGAGATGATCCGAATGCTGCCCCACCCAACCCTGAACGACTATTTTTTGGACGCTTGGTAAGATTGGAATGCAGTGAAATGTTACCACCAATATTTTTGGTTTTGCGTTTAATTAACAGAAAAGTGGCATTACTTATAATAATGAACTGGTCTTTTTTGTTAGATTGGACATGGGCAACGTCACTTGTTAAAGCAGTATTCTCTAAAGACGAGGCATTTTATTGGAAACACATCCATGGATCCTCAACTTTCCTTCATAATGGCCAACCAAGGACAGGTACCATCATTAGAACTGACAAATTTAATTTTCTTTAAAAAATACTTGGGTCAGTTTTCATTCTGAAAACTATTATGGATTATAAACTGAAACAGCTGAAGCTCTTGTGAGCAGACACCCTCAGGTGTCCGTAACTGGAGCTAGCCACTTACGGGAATGTTAAAATGCAGCATTTCTTTGTTTTTTTTTTTAATTAAAAACAGGATTTTATGAAGACAGCTGTTAGTAGCACTGTCACCAAGTGTCTGTTTGGAGAGCTTCTACAGTATTAACGTTTAGTAGATGAGAAATATATAGTTTATATAAACAGATTTTTTTCAATTTAAGGCATTGCAAATATTACAAGCAAGGAAAAAAATGTTTAAGCAGTGTGCAAAGAAAGTAGTGTCTGATAGCCCAGGGCTAGTGGATTTTGCTATCGGGCTAGTGAATATTTCCGTTATTAACTTGCCTGACGGGCAAGTGAAGTGTTTTGAGGAATTTAAATTACAGAAGAACTGTGAAATCAATCTGCTCATCCAAACGTTTTTGGGGCTAGTTGAAATGATGTTTGGGCTAGTATTAAGTAAATGTTAGCTTCAGCTTGCCCGAATGGCAAGCTGTAAAAATGACTTTCTTTGCACCCTGTTAAGAAAACACTGCAGGCACCGTGAAATAATCAAAGTGAATTTTATTGTTTCTTTATTTTTAAGGTTAGCCCAGGAAGTTTTGTTTTTGACCCATTCGTTGGCACTGGTAATTAATTATTCTTTAGTTATTTATTTCAAAAGCACGGAAACAACGTAAAAGGCAATAATTATTTGTGTTTGCAAAAGTCCTGAAATGTCATCATTGACATTTCAGGACTTTCGCAAAAAAATGAACCTGGGTGCTGCAAGAAGAACATGAAGTGCATGTCTAAAGTGTTTTTTTTCACCAGGATCCCTTGTACATCTGTACTCCTTGTTGTATTATCCAGCAAGACGACAGTTTCATCGAGTTCAGAGCAATGTATCTCTGCAAAGATAAAAGCCACATGCCAAAATTTATTAAGACTAGTTTGGAGTAATCTTAAAAATGACAAGTAAATCCTTTTTTGCACGAAGACATTATCGTTCCTCCAGCCGTAGTCACTTTGTAACAGAGCATGTTAATCAGTAACAAAGCCTGTAACTCTCCAATGAAGTGCTTTTCAGACCAATGTTGATGGCATTAATGTTTGTTTTAGGTAGCATTCTCTTGTCCTGCTCTCATTTTGGGGGCTATGTTATGGGAAGTGACATTGATTACACACTACTTCATGGCAGAGGTATTTTTGATAACTTTTACTAAATAGGCTATTTTAAGCAGTTTTTTTTTTACAATTTTAGCATTAAATTATCATGAAAAAAAATATCCTTTCAAGCTTTAGAATGCAAAAGAAATGCAAAAACCGCTAAATGGTGCGTAAATGGGCAAACCTGCTGGTAATTATCCTGAAGAACAGGATTTCTCAGCTGGCTAGCAAAACGAAGGCGCCGAGTGCGATGGGGGACTAAAGCTTTTTCTTTTTTGCTGCTGCTTCCTTCAGTGCGCGTGTCTCACGCTCCACCCTCGCCTCATGCGGTCTCTGCTCGCCTGAAAAACGCGAAAAAATAACACCTATTCTGCAAGCCAGGCAAAACCAACTCTTGTCGGATCGTTCACGTTCAAAGAAACACACGGACCACCCATCTAAAAGTCTGGATTTAGATTTGTATTCTTTGGGAGTTTTGATTTCTTAGATTCAAACTCCAGTTTGGATTTTGCTAAAGAATCGCAAAATTTGTTTTTAGATTAGAGAATCCAGGGTTTTGCACGCCCTAGTCAGTTTATTCGTCTTTGTTGTTTTCAAGGTAGAAGTTCTCGAGCAAACAGACAAGGACAGTGGAGAGGTATTGTAATAATCTCATTATCTTTTTTACAAAACACTTCACCTTTGTATTTTAAAAATGAAATGCAAGTAGGTCTCTTTTTTGACATGTTCAGTGTATAATCCTTGGTACGTGACACGCATTTTCAACTAGCTTTAAACAAACTAGACTGAGAGATTTTTCTCTTGTCGTCTTTAACCTTTGTTTTGGTTGTTGAAAATGGCAAAATCTAGTCACGGGTGCAACAGAGAATACTAATTCTGCCTAATTTTACTCAGTGTACTTGCCTTACATTTCCTCTTCACCCTTCATTGCGCATAAGGCCTCACTGGACTGCATTGTAGATATTCTGCCTTACTAAAGGTAATGTTGTTAATTCCTTACTTTTCAAAGCTCGAGATGAGAACTTCAAAGCTAACTTCACTCAGTATGGTCTTGGCAGTTATTTTGTGGACGTGCTGGTTGCAGACGCCGGGAGACTGGGATTAAGAGAAGTTCCATTATTTGATGCTATAATAACTGATCGTGAGTAAATTCGTCAATTTCTGGCAGGTAACACCTGTATTTTTTTAAAAAAGGGGTACACTGAAGACTTCTTTAAATAAACGTTTTGAATGCAATCTGTTACGGACATGTTATCCGAGGGTCATCTGGTGCGAATATTGAATGTCGCCAGCAATTTATTTGATCCTCTTCTACACTTTGACTACGCAATCATTGCTTTCCCAAGCTTTTTATGTTGAGATAAATACTCGTTTCGAATGTCTTCAAGGCTTCACTAGTTAACATGGCCACGCACGTAAGAGTAAATTTCAGGTGAAATAACTTTGAGAGTCGTTTTTCCGGGCGATCTTTGGTCATTCTGGTAGCTGTACGGCAAATTTGTATTATACAAAGATGTTTTTATCATGTCTGGCTTGCAATTGATTGCAGTAACTAAACTGTACCCAGGTTTTTTATTAACATTAATCAATATTTCATTCAGTACATCTTATTCTTCAAAATTGCATTGAATGAATTTTTGACGAAACATTCAGACATGTACTAACCCTAACCCTAACCCTTCTTCCTTTACTTCTATTTTGTATCCTAGCGCCGTATGGAATCAGGGAAGGAGCCCGCAAATTAGACGCCAACACAGAACTCCAGGAATCTGCCAGTCAGTAGGTGCAATTTGCTCAGTAACTGATTGTAAACGCTGACTGTTTTTGTCTTTCCTGCCGATTTGTCTCTCTAAGTCTATGGGCTCTTTCCATTCAACCCAAAATTCCGGAAATTTCGGCTGGTTCCGACCGGAATATTCGGGACCAGCTTTGAAGGTGGTCCACTTTGACCGGTCTGGACATTTCGGTCGGACGGACCGAAATGTCCCTTTTCATTTGACAAAATTGTTGTTCCCATTACCGCTCTTTTGTGTTCTGCTTAAAAGAACAATACCCAAACGCGCGGTGGCTTGGGTTGGGTCTGTGCAACCGGAATATAGGGTTCCATTGGGCGTGAAATTTCCGAAATTTCAAACCGGGATTTTTGTTGAATTAAAAGCGCCCCATGTCTACACTACATCGGATAACTTTTCGTACGAACATGAAAGCCATTCGCTACAGTATGGACAGCAACGTTACAGAACTAGGAAGAAGTCGTTCACACACATCGAACATCGTACCGGAGTGCGGCCCGCGAGAGGGTTTGGTGAACTAAGTCCACACTTCTAAATAATTATTTACTTCCATCTCAGAGGTTCAGTTCCAGTCCTCTTTTCTTCTCATTTTCTTCGGCTACGACCCGATTACCTGTTCACACTCCAACGAAGAGTGGCAGAAACCTTTCAGACATGTGACGATCTCATTCAAGATTAGCGGGGCAGATTCGCTCCGATACTAGTCTGCTACACAGCCGTTTTTAGTATCGTCACGCAACTCTCCTCCCCACCACGTTGCGTGACGACACTAAAAACGGCTGTGTAGCAGACTACTCCGTTACAGAAACCTCGCCGAAATTGCGTTTCTTATGTGTGATCAGAAGCCCTAAATGTATGCCCGGGGGAGGTACTTTAGGAATTTCTGGGTGGGGATGTGCCGCTGGGACGCTGGAACCCTTAACCTATACCAGAGCTAGTTCAGCTGAATTTTGCTACCCTATACTAGAGTAAACTCCCCAAATCCCCCCTATCCTAGAGTAGCTGTTTCCCTTGTCTAGATAAAATCTTCAACCAGCTGATCAGTTTCCTGAAAAATGATACCCTATTCTAGACCCAAACGCTCTGATTTATATACCCTATCCTAGAGTAAACTGCCTGAAAACCATACCCTTCACAGCGGCACATACCTATACAGCCCATATATGGCAGTACCCCCCCCCCCGGGAATGTATGTCAGCGCAAGAGTTATCCGTTGTAGTGTCAACGTAGCCCGCTTAGATCCTGGTAGAAGGTCGTTCCTACCAGAATATTTAGGGTCCAAAATGTTTTATTCTGCCAGCACGTATTAACCAAAGTTTTTTTGCTTATCTTTTAGAGATGAAACACCATTTTGTTCAGCTGTGCGAGGTTGCCGTCTATCCGAGATAGTCACCATCTTATTAGAATTAGCAGCTCGATACCTAGTGCTTCATGGACGACTGGTATATTGGCTTCCAATCTATCGACCCGGGTCAGTATAGAACTGATCAGGAGCCCGCTCCTGAACAGATCTATTGACTAGTGTAATGTGAATAGCAGAAAATCCTCATCGCATTTGTACGTTTAACTGTTTTATTTACTTGTTTATGTGAGTGGGTGTGCATGCATTTTTTTCTTACACAGCGCATTTTTATTAATTGAGTAACCTGGGTGTGTAGAGAACCAGGTTTTCTTGTATTTCGCAAAATAACGATATGTTCGCCACGTTATGAACGTGGAACACGGCTAACGGTCCGGATTCTGTCCCATGATCTGCCAAACACATTGGGCAGGCGCTCTATTTACTGAGCTACTGGAGATACCGGTCAGGAGAGTAACGCTTGGCATACATGTTCGATAAGCGACATATACATCCTATATTCTCCTGGAATCAGCAATGTTGAGACCGGGGAAGGTTAGTTATATGCCGCGGATACAAAGATGGCGCTAAGGTGAGCCGAGCACTTTCCATCGATGTGGCACTGGTTCAAATCCCGGAATAGACGCTACACTGTGGATCCTCAATAGGTTTTTCGGGATGCAGGATTTGCCTTATTTGAAGGTCGCGATTCGGGATTTTAAAGCAAAATAGAGTCGAGAATCGAGATTGACTGACTCTTTGCTCGGGATGCCGAAAATAACCATCGCGATTACGGGATTAAGCAAAGAATCTGGATCGGAATGACTAATAAACGCCCGGGGCGTCTATTTGATTTTAGGGGTTCAAGCGGGGGCTTTTAATAGAAAGAAGGCGTTTAAAAAAGAGAGACGCGTTTTTTCTCATTACTGTAACAAGCTCAACCAAACTAATATGCTTCTGGCAAAGATATCAAGAGAATTTATAAAATAGCGGAATACACCCCATCGATTGACATGTCCAGGCCGTGTAGAGATCCATATCGCTTCTCCAAATCCCAACATTGTTGTCAGAATCCTTGCTCAAGGTTATTGTGTTTCCATCATTAGTCTGTCCTGACTTTGAACTTGAAATTGAACAAGATGAAATACGCAAAGCCTTGTTAATCCACAGGCAGCCCAAGCGCACTATTTGTGGGTTCGGGCTTCAGAGGTCATTTGGTCGGTATATACTAGAATTATTAGTGTATTATCTGATGCCAAATAAATGCAAAAAGTCTTAAAGATATGAAGTCTTCTTGTTTGTCTATCTGTACTAGTAGCCTTTAAGAAAACGAAAAATCGATATTTCTTGCATTATTACATGTGATTCGGGCCCTTATTGTTCGAATTTTATCAGATGTATTCGAATCTACGACGCTAAGAAAAAAAAATCATGATAACGCGAAATATTGATTCAAAAAGCTTACCTTTAGTTCATAGCCACTCTGTGTCCTACGGACAGTTTAAACGCCGTTTAGTCGACTTTCTTTCCATCGAATACTGAACACTGAATACTAGTGAATTGAATGATTTGGCTCTTTTTTGCTAATTCCTAGTATTTTGGAGCTGTTCTCCACAGGAAGCGTCTATTAGACGGGAGACGTTTATTAGAGAGGGGCGTCTAATACAATTTTAACAGCTAAGAGCGGGCGTTTATTAGGTAAGAGCCGTTTATTTGGGAGTGGGCGTGGTCATTTACGGTACCCCATAAGCGGGCACCCGGCTCCATACGTGGGTAGAGTTTGTTGCTGTCTATCCTCCTTATTATGGTCATTCACACAAAGCTTGTTGTTGTTGTTCCTCGCTCCTAGACCGACATTTCGAAATGGCTGTTTGATCCGACACTGATGGAATACCCGAAAATATTAAACCTGAGTTTTATTGTTGTCGTTTACAGATACTCAGAAGAGCTTATTCCAAGTCATCCCTGCCTGAAACTTGTGTCGAACAGTGAACAGTGTTTGTCACGACACGTGTCTCGGCGTTTAATCACCATGGAAAAAGTCAAAGAAAACAAGGTAAAGTACAAGTAACTCACTGCCCATTCCACCCACGGACCTATACTTCTAGGTTTAAGGAGGTTTACGTAACAACGCGGTCAACCCTCGCATCCATTCTTCTCGTTAAAGTATCGACCGCCCGGCCTGTCATTTGACTTTAGCTTCATCTGGCAACGTTAAAAAAGTTCCTTAATAACCTCTGGGTCTATTATAATAGTGACTCGGTCCTAAATTGAATTGTTAGCTAGTTGTTGGAACTACAATATGTATCCAGATGACTACTGTTACTCTGCTGATTTTTTTGACTCTGAAATTCGTTCTTTTCTTGAAAAGTAAGATAAAATTCTGTCATGTGCTTTAGTTTTGAAAAATTTCGAAAAAGAGAGGAGATACTTTCAAACTTACTTTTTCGTTAAACTGTTCTAAAACAGAAACAAGCGTTCCCTTGATCGAAATCCAACCACTTCTGACTTTTGCATACAACACGTGACACACCTGGGGTGTTCCCTTTCTTTGTTGTTTTGCAGTTAGAGGATCCGCTTCTGTCTGTGGTGCAACAAAAGTTTCTTGATTCCTGCGATAATTTCAGGGACAATTACTTCAGTCAGTCCACGTGAAAAGGGAGTGGCTGCATGCAGCTAAAGCTGTCACGAGCTTCAAGTGATCCTCCTACGCTTTGAGTACTTGTACTTTCGCTCTAGTCGTGCGTGACCTGTCTACGGTCCACGTCAACGTGCCACAAGCCCTTATTTCACAAACTGGAACTTTGAACGAGCTTAAACGAGTCTTCTGACTGTTACTAGTTCATTACAGTCCACCGTCAGCGCATCGTACCGAGTCTTGTTATCTTACTGTCCTCTGAGGTAAAAGAAACATTCATTTGGGTCCACCATCCGACCGTGTGACTATTTATAAGACAAGTCAATCACTGATCGAAGAACTAAACACCTGATACTACTCCCGGTGATAACTGTGAACGGTTTACTATGTGCACTTCAGACTGTTTGAAACAAGTATTTGTTCATTCTCCCGAATGAGTAACAGACCACTTTTTGATGACATTTCAAATCAGTATTTTGTTTACTAACGGACGGACCATTAGAAAAGTGATTTGGGAGGCGTTGGGGGAAAAAAACAAAAAAAAAATTCGTGCAACGGAAAATGTCCGTGAAAAAATCAATGCAAAGAAAATCCCAAAGAAAAAAATTCAAACTCTAGATGGGCTGCGTTAACGTATTGAACTAGAATTACAATTCTACCAAAGTGCTCAGTGTAGGGCTCTGCCACCAGAGCCTTTGTAAACCTCGAGCAAGAGAGGATATCCTCTCTTGCCTCGAGCTTATAAAATAATGTTTTATTATTTTTCTCTCAGTGGGAGGGGAGAGGGAGACCTTCAGCTAGAAGTAGAGTAGCCTGTGCACAAGCTCTCCATTTGGGGAAGTCGCGAGAAGTCACGCGAGAGCAGCACGCGAAAGAAGACGCGAGTGCGAGGGAGGGGTTCTCTCGCGGCTCGTTTCGCTTGTCATGAATGGAAAGCTTGCTAGCAGGCAAGAACTACAGAACAGAAGACAAGATCAGAAACTCATCAATAATTTGTGAATAGAATAAAAAGGGAATTAATGTTTGGTGTGTGACTTTACATCTAATAAAAAACACCGCTGAGTTTTTAGCTTCGAATTTCTTGGCGAAGGAAAGTAATTAAAAATCCAAAGATTTTTAGAAATATGAATAGATCAAAAACCAGTTCCCAGCTCAGTTTTTTTTTATTTTCTTGGTCTGAAACATTCACAATTATTTGTAATTTAATACACATACATTGATATTTAAACTTGAACAGCGACCGTTTTAATAGAACAATAATACTGTTACAATCGTATACAATTTTCAATATTTTTGGAGACAATTATATTTCCTATAGATCAACTCTTGCAGAAACAAAATTACCAACAAATGCTCATAGAACAGTGACATTTTGAATACAGTTAAAGTGGAGCACCTCGATTCAGGGGACACAAAATTGAAGGGACACCTTTATTCGGGGAAAGGGACCTTTTTTGGGGTCCATAAACGCAGGTCTAACCTCCATTCAGTGTAGAAGACTCCTTAACAGTCAAAAAGTGACTGACCGCAAAAAGCGTTGATAAGTTTAAGTGTACACCAGTCACAGGGATAGCCTGCGAGCAAGCTCTCCTATTTAGGCAAGCGAAGCGAGCCTCGTTTAACACGCCCAAATAGTAGAGCTTGCTCGCAGGCTATCACAGGGACGATAGCTTTCACATCATGAACTATCTATCGATGTACTGCACTTGTGGGAATCGCAGAGATATGTTAATCATGATTCTTCATGCATTACCTAGCCGCTTGATGACTGAAGCAGAGTCAGAGGCAGAATAAAAGAAAAATATTTTAATGTGTTGGTTAATTATTAACAAACCCCAGCCCAACCTCCATTCAGGAGTCACGGCTTGCCTTGATCCCGGGGGTGTCCCCTGAACAAAGGTTCCATTGTAATATAACACTTTAGCTCTTAACTAAGCTGACCCTGGAGAGAAAATTGAATTTCAAGTTGTCCATAGTTGAGTTAAAAAAAGACATTTCAAGTAAGCTCAAAATAAAACGGCACCTGTTTTTATCATTCAGACATGGAAATTTTCCGACATATGCTACTGGCTTTTTTTCGTACCGAAACCAGCACGCTGCATGCGAGCTTAACGTAGCTCCTTCAGTCTTCTCAACCGAGGAGGACTGGAAAAAGAAGCTCTGCTGACTCAATAGCGTCAAGCTTTTAAGGTCGGCGCAGTCCTAACTTTTAGACTAGTCAATCTTTTTTTCTCTCGTCAAAGTGTTTTCTTTTGAATGCGCGCATCCTTTTATTGATTATTCTATCGACGTGGCTGGGTTAAAAGAAACCACATTATTATCCTGCTGATTTAATCCAAATATAAACGTTTTCCTTCAGTGCCTGTATAATTATCTGCCGTTACAAAGGAAATTTCTTAAGGAATGCAAATTACAATAGTCCTTGTTAGCATTTTTTTTTTTTGCCAGAAACACAATTTAGATTGCGTAATTGTTACTATACAGTGCTAGGTAATGACAGCTAAAGAAGCATTATTGGAGTTACGGCTATTGTTCATGGTTATTCGCTTTTTAGATAGGAGCCACACACTATCTGCCACCGCCCCTGACGGGTGACACCCTTACTCCCCGAGGCGGTGGCCTCGGCCCCTGACGGGCCCCACTCTTGCACAAGAAAAATCCTAGAAAGGTTGAACTAAGAAAATTTTCGTACAGGCAATCGGCCTCAAAAGAATCTTTGAGAGCTCAAAATCTCTACTCCCCCAGCCCCCAATCACTTTTCAAATAGTTCGTCGCTAAGGTAAAAGGGATGATTAGGGTCATCGGCGTCCCATGAGAAGTATTTCCGTTGATTTAGCAATCTTGACGGGTGAGGAGACATAGTGGAGACGAATAAGACGGTCATGTGACTTTAAACATCACCTTGCTCATGTTTGTGCGAGAGTCGGTCCATGTGGCTCAATCATAAAACTTTCAAGATTTTAGCCCTTCGGTTTTGTTACTATTCTTGGTTTGCAGCGACGTGACAAGGTGGCCATGTTTGGGGTCAAAACAATGGAATTTTTCTTCGAAGAATTTACAGGAAAATGAAAATAAAGTTTATTTCCCAGGGGAGAGAAATGCTTTCGTTCTTGACCACCAACATGGCTGCCTTGACGTCACATGCAAACAAGAAATTCCTTACACTTTTGGTAGGTGAGCGAAAGAGTAGCAAGTAGCTCGCTTCAGCCTCCGTCCCGTTCATTCACGCAAGCGCTCTTTAGGCTGTTGAGTCCTGCTCTTCGTTTGAACGCCGTTCCTTGCACTGTGAAATTGTGTGTTTTTGGTTGGCTTATGCAATGCATAGGTTTCCAATTTCATTATTCTCTTTCCCGAAAAATCATGCCAACAGAAAGTTATAGCGGACCACACAAGAAATAGAATGTAAAACCTGCACAGTTGAAAACGTGTTAATACTCGTTAAAAATGGTGGTGCAAAGGAGGAATGTAATTTTATATCATTTAATAATCAGTTTGTTCCCCGCTGCGGAAGACAATTCAGGTAATCACTCTTGTCATTTTTTTTTTGACCACTGTTTCTTTGAAAGTCGAGTGGTTTTCTGTTCAAAGTCAATGAGGCTTATTGGCTTTGCAAGGACAAAAAGAGTCGGGTAATCTAGTATTTACAAATCTTTAACCCTATAGCTAGTCTGGATCAGTAGCCGTGCCAGCTGTGCTATTTTTCACATCAAAAAGGCTGCGAAGACAGAAGGCCGGCAGGAAGGAAAAGAAAAGAATGAATAATTCACAGTCTTACAGGGCTCATTCTTATATATCATACCATAATGAACAGTAGGAAATTTAATTATCATGTAAATTTAATCACGTTTAATGATAGTCAAGAATGGCATCTTACTTTAAACTCTTCCATCCAAAAACAGTTTATCATGATGCTTTCATTAACCTTTCTCATCTCTTTAGAGGAGCCATGCTTAGAGGAGAACCGCTTGACTCTTGGTGAGATTCTTTCGCGAGTGAGCACCGTGAGCACGACGTCTTTCATTTTCACCTTCAACGTTTGTCTAAGAGGCTCGGTCGGCATGTGCTTATCAAACTTCTCTCTTTTTTTAGCTGACGTTTGGAAGGTTTAGGGTCATAGCACGATGCGTATCAGTTAACCAACAATTCTAAGATAATACTAAGACTTGTCTGAGTTTGTTTTCGTTTTCGTAGGAAAAGAACGACCACGTTTACAATTATGATGTTAATAATTTTTTCTCAACCCTCAAGGGCGGTATTTGGTCACTGGTAGATTAATATTACTGCCCGCTGATTATTGCATCAAAGCTTACTCACATCTGCTATTAAATTCCGTTTTAAATAGAAGATTCCACGAGGCGATAATATTCTTTGTACAGATACGCCACCGCAATTTAAAGATTAAGGGTTTATAAGAAGATTATTTTAAGTATCATTTGCTCCTCCTACAGTAATAGAAATAGAAGATCGATAGGTAGTTTGTGGAGACTTTTGAACCCAAAAAGATATGGTCCAAGACTGAACAGGGTTGTTATTTTCTCGATCAGCAAGAAAAGAGATCGCGCGTTTCTTTCTTTGAACGTACATCTCGATTTGATCTTCCAGTTCGATAATTTTTTCTTCGAGTTCTACTTCTGTGTTTTCTCGTTCTTGGGCTTTAGCTAAAGCTCGCTTTACTTTAGCCTCTAAGGTTTCCATTTGGTGCCAGCGGGCATCACGTTGTAACTTTCTTTCGTCCAAATCCTGAACACGTTTTTTAATTGAAGTTAATTGTTCCTGTAGTTCTCTCAAGGCTGATTCCGCTCTGATTTGACGCCCTCGCGCCCTCTCCGTTTTATCACGCAAAACACGTTCCCTGTCAACGCCAGCGTTATATTTCTTTTTGGCTTTTTCTGTTTTCTCGGTAAATTTGGCAATCTCTGTATCGAATTCCTGATCTTCCAGGCCACTTTGGTGATACCCGGGTACGAGAACATTCATCTCTTCGTAGAATCGAACTAAAGCATCCCATTTTAGCTGAATACTGGTAATGCGAGCTTCTGCTCGTTCGAGTTGCATTTGCCGTTTTCTAATCAGATCTTCCATCTTCGATTTCTTGCAAATGGCCCTAATAAATCTCTTCTCCACAAGTTGAAGGCTTTGTTTCGCTTTCTCGGTTCTTCTTTCTGCTTCCTGAATACTGCCTTTGTAGCTGGCTAGTTTCTTTCTTACCACCTTTGGTCCTTGAACTTCCATCACACAAGCTTCTGATTCAAGCCTCTTTGAACTGCTGACCAATAACAACTTCTAAAACCTATTTTCAAGACTTTTTTACCTTTTTTCTGTGCTGACACTTTAGTAGTATAGTTCATGAAATTTTCAGCCGTGTTTGCTTTAAAATTGCAACTGAAATCCTCGACCGTAGTTATTTGTGTATTATACTTCAATGAACCGGTTTGCTTGTGTTTTTGGACCCCCAGACAGCAGCTTTATGTTATGATTCTCGTGATATCACGGCATCCTACAGCTTCTTGTATTTATCCGCTGTCATCACTCTTTCAATGCTCGTTTACATTACGACAGCTCTGTCCCTTTGTTTTTAAAAATTCTTGGTAAGTGAAGGGTCTGTGTTAAGAGCTGAGACGGGTTAGCTTTCCTTGCCAGAATCAAACCGTCTCTACGTTCAAACAGTAAAAGCAGTAACAAATTATTCTAGGTACGAACCCAACAAAATAACGTACAGTTACAAGAAATAGTCAGAACATGGCAGGTTCGCTTGTTAGGCTAAAGCCTTTCCACACTCCCGTTATTGACGCATGCAAATGAAATTGTTTCTCTCTTTAAAGAAAAAAATGGCACGATCGATTGACATGACCTCACAAGTTTGGTCAGTTTGGGACGTGCTGTATGTTGATTTCTTTTGAATTAATTTTCTCTCCGAACGGCAAATAATATTTTGCTGATCTAATACAATGTGGGACAGCTTAACTTGTATTTTTTCTTAAATTGTCTCGTCCGCAGTTCTTTTTTTGTTTCTATGCAGTCACTTAGCCAATTAAAATTAGGGGATTAATAAATTAAGAGATTGTTCCCGACAAGTTTGTCAGGCCTTTTTAGAAACATAAGTACCGTTACTATTGGAGTTAACAAGCTTAAACACTTGGAGTTATAGGTCATTTTTTATTAATTAACATATGCTGATATAAACTGCAATATACTGATATAATGTTTACAAGATTTTCGTGTTTGAGCTGTCGTCAAATTGACTAATGAGTATGGAATGCAAACTATGTGAAATCGTATCTGCCAAGTTACGTCTTGTCGGCTTCTTCTTGGTTCACTTGCTAGGTCTTTTCACAACTCTCTTTTTTCTTTTTTATTTAAATCCCATTTTTTTATCTGTTAATGTTGTCAAGGAAAAAGTTAGCGGTCTTCTCAACTCTTCGTTTTCATCTTTTCAGAAAAAATCTTTAGCTCTACTCAGATTTGTTTTTCTTGGAGATGATCCTATTCCAATCAGGATAATACAATTCTTTCATTCTCTGAGCGTGCTCACCAAGATTCGTAGCTTTTGTTTTGATTATTTTTGAAAATGGACTCGTTGGGCAATCCAAAGCTGAGCCAGCGATAAAGGCAAACAATCCAGCGTCAGCTAGACAAGGCTTGTCACCAAACAGAAATTTCTTTTGGCCCAGGATTTCAGAGACCGCCAGCAGATCTCTTTCAGCAATTCCGTAAATTTCCTGCTCAGTATGTCGACCGATACCGTGGCTCCACAAATCCTTCCAAACCTTTCTCTTAATCATGTAAAATACCAGATACTTAAGAGGCAGAAAAAGTTGACCAAACAACTTCTCTCTCATCCGTGGGGCGAAGTCGGACAACCAACGGTAATACACAAGAGTCCTGCCAATCAAACACAAAAAGCAAATTAAAACCTTTTCCTTGTCCATCAAGAGAGTGGACCTTGCTTGACTTGTTCCCAGTTCCTACGTCTTTGTGTAAAGTGTGGGGGTTGCGGGGAATGTTGGGAAGGGTAAAGAAGCAAAGCTTCTTCTGTTTTAGCGTCTTTGATTCAAATGATCTGAGTCCCATTCAGCTTGGTCCCAGGATTGTACAAGGTGAACCGTCCCATGCAAAAAAACAAACACGGTGAAAGCGGTAAGGTGAAAACACCTTCGACAAACAAATTATGTAATCAGTAAGATATGAAAATGTTTCTTAAATTAGCTTCACTTTGGAGAAAGGAATTGTACTGGCGATTTCACCCCCCCCCAAAAAGTAATAGAAAAAGCTCAAAATGTTGTCCATGTTTTTCGTCCATAAGACACTAACCTAAAACTTTCTAAAGAAAAGAAAATAAATTAAACGCTGAATGAACTGTAACTTGTCTGTCCTGATCCCCGGCATAAGATATTACTCTTGATCCAAATCATCCCACGATGGAATCTGAATGTACAATACTGACTATCTACAAGTTTGATCCCAAGCCTTCCCGTCCTCGTTATTATTTTTGTATTATTTTTTGCTTATTTCAAATCCGTTACAATCTTATCTTTTTGTGACGTCGGATGGCTTTGTAATCCTGTAGAAGAACTTTATGGTCATGTAAATGAATCTATTTATGACCCTACGAAATTCATGGGCGCTTAAGCTTATAAAATGTATCTCACTATTTCGATAAAGTAACTCAGATCGGACCTGGGAAAATGTGTAGAGCTCCACTTGATGAGCAAAACGAAGTTATCGAAATAGCAATACGAGCATCTCGATAATATAACTTATCCTCATAACCTTTTGTTTCATATTTCCGTGATGTGTGACATGTCGTACATAAATGCCCAGTATTAGCATTTGCTTTTGCGAATCAACGAGCGTGTCCAAAATATAATCAACATCACTTAAACGCCCGAAATTCGTTATGAAACCTGAAGTATCAAAACTACGAGTTTTTGTTCACCTACCAATAAGTGTTTTCTTCCAACATTCTACGTACGCTGTGACCAATGGCTCTGTCCGTGAAATTCAGATGCGAATCCATATCCACTCGAAACTCTTTCATAAGAAATCGAATGCAGAAGTTAGAATCGGCAATTTCTCGGCCGTTGAATTCGATCCAGGGCACTTTTCCTTTCTTTGAGAACTTCATGCCGTATTCACTTTCGTAGGGTATTTTTGTCATTCGAAGAAAAGTTTCCAGCTTTAAACACGGTGGGGATCCACTTACAGCTAAATCGGAGGGAGAGAATTGGTGTAAGAGGACTGTACCAGGCTTGATAAATCTCTTGCTCTCTTTGCCTTGCAGTTTCTTCACAATGAAATAAATTGCAATGAAAGCAATGACAGGGACACCAAAGTAGACTAAAATGTGCATCTTTAACAATGAGCTGATATTTCCAGTACAACCGGGAGAGAGTTCTGTGCTGGCGTGCGGCTGTAACGCAAAGACCCTAATCATGCACAGATAAACTATTAAAAAAGGGTGCTCATATAATAGTGACGTCATAAGATAGACCCACCATATCTCGATTGATATATAGCAGTGGAAAATTAGCGCAATTTAGGAAATAGTCGCATGTGAAGCTTTCCAAGCTAGCTTGGCTTCTAGTTTTTTTTAGTTCAGCCTTAATTGCTATTATTTTCTTTATTAGTCCTTTATTGTTCTCTTACTAGCCTGCGAAGCGCAGACGAATTCTCTCCCTCCGAAAATTATTGCTATTCTCTTACCTTCTTCTTGTATGTTAGGTGTTTCGGCGTGTCGTATATCGTTAGCTTGGCCGCAATTTTTTCTTCATTGCTATCAGTTTGTTCAGTCAGGTCAGCACATATCGGGTATTTTGTCCTTGAAGTCATAATCGTCTTATAAGTTCGCTTTTGTTTCGTTTGTCGATTTTTCTGCTTCTCTTCGTCCGATACATGTAACTTATTTTGTTTTCACTTTGTTTCGTTTACTCATTTTTTTAGGCACCGTATCGCATCGCATCGCATTTGCATCACTTCATTCTGTTTTAGATCTTTGGTATAAATAAAGTCTTGTTTCGCCTTCGGTGGCCCACGCTCAATAAATCATATTAGCATTCAATGGGCGACTTAAAACGTAGCATACTTGATATAAAGTATTTTGGAGCAACCGTCAGTTCGGAGATTGAGAAGATTTGTATGAGATCATCATAAGGAATAAACGCATTTCTGGGAAAAAACCAATCTTATCACCGCAGTTAAACTAAGATGGCCAAAGAACAAGAGTGTCTACGATTTCGATGGTTTCACCTTTTCATCTGTGCGCTTTTAAGCCGATTTCTACCGATCTCGAATTGCTACCGCTAAAGGAACCCTTGCCCCGGACGAGAGTGTGGTCAGCACGACACCTTTAATTTAGAGATCGTGATTTTTGTATCTTTTTTGAGTCGTGGTTGGTCATTATACCTTTTTACAGACTGCCAAAGACATTTGTACGATTGTATTATTGCAACTTAATGGATACGATGGTATTGTTTATCTGAAGTAGCCTGAGTGACAGGAGTTGAAAGGGGAGGGGTAGGGAGGAAAAAGGGAGAGGGGCTATACTGAAAGGACTCCGAAAAACCTTGAGGAGACTCAAACTGGCCGCGTAGCAGCCCAATTAAATTCATAATGGCAAATAAAAGCAATTCTGATATCTAATAAACAATCTGGGGGTGGTCTGTACTCAGACTGATCTTGTAGTCTGTCTACAATAGCGATAGCATTGTGAGGACACTACATGAGGGTCCCTACACTGTTATTCACTAGGAAAACCCTGCCAGATGTTATCGATACCCAGCCCAGCAAGATTTGTCTTGGCACCACTAAATGAGTACTTGGTGGCGATGAAAGTTATTAAGCTTGGTTTGTTTTAGTGTTAAACAGCTTGCTCTTTTTTCATGCCAGCATAGATAGAATACCCGTCATCAATGCATCAGTCATCTTCTAAGTATAACATAAATTCCATGATTTGCATTTCTAGCCGAATTTTTGAAAACTAACCTGACGAAATTTGCAGTCATTTGAGTGAAAAGGCGTCAAAAGGCAGGTTTCTTGACTGCCGAGAAGCTCCAAAAATCTCAGTAACGGAACGGAGAAAAAGAAAGAGCTAGGAGGAAGAAGGGAGGAAAAGAGAAAAAAGCAATGGCTACACTCTTAGAATTTGTAATAGCTACTTTGGCGGAAAAAAAAAACTGTTGGACGCAAAAGGTCCATTTGGCGATTACCTTTTTAAAAAATCCGGCCAGATTTACATTGCAGTATTTTATTTATATATGCTGCATAGTAACAAAGCCATACAATGCCAAATCATGGCGACAAAGCGGCGTGATCTTGATACAGGAGGGAACTTAAGCACAAGACGTTCTTGGTACCACGGACGCCAACCGGAAGTATTTTTGCAGCATGACAGCCACTGCGCATTTCGAGACGTTCTTGGGCTGCAGTCACGGACTTCAAAACGCGAGTTCTCAGGTTGAAACCAGAGGTTCAGAAACGTGAGTATGAACACAGTTAAAAATGTTAACATTTGATGTCCAGTATAACAGTTTTCAATCCTTGTATGTTCTTTTGTTATGTTAGTACTTTAAAAGCGTTGTAGAATCTTTGAAAGGCATTTTTAACAGAATTATTATGTCGGCATTCGTGATGGTTTCACGTTGGTTTGCTTAATGATTTGCATTTGGCGCGTAAACCGCGTCCCCGATCCAGTTCTGCGCGGCCAGCCATGCCGTTCGTGAATCAAGAACGTCTGTTGCTTAAGTTCCCTAGTGAGACCAAACAGACGGCAGCAGGTCCAAGTGTCCTCTCTGTAGGAGGGCTGTCCGTATTGTAAGGTGGCCCGCGGTAAGATGTGTTTGTAGAGAGACGTTCGACGCCCCCCATATAAAGTAAGGGAATCCAAAACAGTCTTGCATTCTGGATTCCTCCGCCTCTGAGTCCGAATTCCGGGAACTGCATTCCGGATTCTCTGTTATATTCCATTCGTTGGAGAGATTCCAGATTCCTTGAGCTGTATTCCTGATTCCAATGTCCAAGGTTCCGGACACCTTTACATGGGACGATTGGATTGCAATTACTTTTAAATATTATTTATCAAGCTACATGAGAAATTTTAACATGCACATCAATTATTCTTATATTCTAGAATGGGATGGCAACTAAACAAGACAATATATAATTATATAGTTTATATTCTTGTACCGTACAGACCTTATCATATTTTTGGAAGCCATCTTGCCGGGTAGGCAACCGCGTGAAAAAAATACATTGTTTGTTTGTGAATCTAATGCCCAATAATTTTTGTCAAACAGCCGGCTTTTTTAATGAATTGTAAACTAAAGTTACCCAAGAAAGGATTTTATTGACAAAATTAACAGCGCTAAAACCTCTAATTAAAATTTTCTGCAGATTTGTGTATAAGACTTTTTTTTCGGCTGCGGCCCCCAGAGTTTGCTAGTACAAAACTTTGCTGTGACGCTTGAGTTTACAATTCCTGTTTTTTTTTGGCAGAACAGCCGTTTTACGAAAATTATTCGACAAAGATTCCCCGACACATATATACAAACACTGATTTCTCATGTGGTTGCCTACCCGTTAAGATGGCTTCCAAAACCATGATAAGGTCCAATCTTCTTACTAGTACTACCAGGTGAAAAATGACTCCCATTTCCGAAGATCAGACATACCAAATTCTATGAATTATTGTTAGTTTGTTCAGATTTGTTTTTTCTTGGAGATGATCCTATCCCAATCCGGATAATACAGTTCTTTCATTCTCTGAGCGTGCTCACCAAGATTTGTAGCTTTTGTTCTGATTATTTTAGCAAAAGGACTCGCAGGCAATTCCCAAGCTGAACAGGCGGTGAAAGCAAATAATCCAGCGTCAGCTAAGCAGGGCTTGTCACCAAACAGAAATTTCTTTTGGCCCAGGATTTCAGACACCGCCAGCAGATCTCTTTCAGCAATACCGTAAATTTCCTGCTCATTATGGCGGCCCATACCGTGGCTCCACAAGTAATTTTTCACTTTTCTTTTTAGCATGAAATAGGCTAGATACTTAAGAGGTGGAAAAAGCTGACCAAGCAACTTTTCTCTCATTTCTGCGGCGTAGTCGGAGAACCAGCAATAATGCGACATAGTCCTATTAACAAACAAACAAAAAAGACCGAAATCAAAATCAAGTCACGCACTCCAATAAAGAAGTAACAGGGGCACCCAACGACAATTTTCGGAAGAATATCTGTTCGGAAGACGATTTGAGATCTAGAATTTTCGAAACATTTGTTGGAAAATTTCTTGCTTGCCTGCCTCTCCTAGGATTTTCGAACATCTAAAAAATGGTATAATTGCCTATTTTTAACGGATTTTGACCCTAAAAGGTCACCTAGAATTTTCGGGAGCCTTTTATCTGGCTGAGATTTTCGAAAAGGTAAGTTTTGATCCCTATAATTTTCGGATCACTAGACTTTCAGCTAGGAAATCCGAACAGATGAAAAATTTTTAGGGGATAAAAATATGCCTATATCTACCGTTTAAATACTAAAATACGTTTAACAATGCTATGTTTTAGTGGTTTTGAACTATATTCTCGTTGGGTGCCCCTGAAGTAAGTAAACGTGTAAAACGAAGAGTACTCTTTTAAAGGGATTCAAATTAAGGACACGATCGTTTTGCTAAGCAATAAGGATTGCGTAATGAGACATGTAGGGAAACTCATGCAACTCGTAACTGCCAATACAGAACTGCGGAAGTGCTTTTTAGCTGTACTGTTTGTAGCTAGCCTGTGAACGGGCCTTTGGTCGAGCGGTGTGGGGAGAGGGAAAAGCCCGGGGGGGGGGCACTGCCATATATGGGCTATATAGGTATGTGCCGCTGTGAAGGGTATGGTTTTCAATCAGTTTACTCTAGGATAGGGTATATAAATCAGAGCGTTTGAGTCTAGAATAGGGCATCATTTTTCAGGAAACTGATCAGTTGGTTGAAGATTTTATGTAGACTAGGGATTGTGGTGTAAGGTTTTGTTTTGGCTAGACTACTGTGCTAGTGACTTCAGTAGTTTCTGGAAAACAGCTACTCTAGGATGGGGGGATTTGGGGAGTTTACTCTAGTATAGGGTAGCAAAATTCAGCTGAACTAGCTCTGGTATAGGTTAAGGGTTCCAGGATCCCAGCGGCACATCCCCACCCAGAAATTCCTAAAGTACCCCCCCCGGGGGGAAAAGCGAAAAGCCCCCTTCCCTTCCCTTTCCTCGCTATTTTTCCCAAACAGAGAGCCTGTTCACAGGCTACTTTGTAGCCTGCGAAAACATCCGTTTCTCCCCGCTGTTCGCCGCTCGGGACGTTTCGCGCTGAGGAACGTCGTTCCTCCGCGCGAAACGTCCCCAGCGACGGAGAGCGAGGAGAAACGAGAAACGGATGTATTCGTAGGCTATACTGTTTGTCTAGCATACACCCTTCATGTATATTATGTATATTTGCCTTCTTGTTAATTTGTGATGGCCATGCTAAAATTGTGCTAACCATTGTCTGAAGTCATTGCCTGAAGAGGCCAGGTCGTGCCTTACAAAATATATAGACCGTTTTCACTGTCACGCACCAAAAATATAAATTGGAAACCGTCCAGTGGAAGAAGCCAAGAAAATGAAATGTTAAAATAGACTAAAATATAAACGATTTGTCCAAGTTTCAGGTCTTTGTGGCCCACAGTTTCTGAGTTATTTGCCGAAACGTTTCATGCACCTTAGTAGAGCTTTGTATTAGACGCCATAATCGGTGTACCGTTTTGGTCCACCAATATGACCGCCGGAAATCAACAAAAATATCTGGAGTTCACTTTTTTATAAAAGCCCTTTCTTTTCACTTGAGAACTAGCATACGTGCGCATAAACATATCTTTTAATGCTTGAAATGGTTATACTGCTGAAAATCAAAAGGAGAGACTTTTTTTCAACGAAACAGCATTCCTATTTTGGTGGCACGCACTGTAAAAACTCGGAAGTTCAAATTGCTGTATTTTCGAAATGAAATATGTTACGAGAATGGAAAATTGTACAAAGATTCATTTTTTGTTTATCTTCAACCTAGTGTAAATTAGAAATCGTAAAACCTCGCTATTTTGACTTTACAATTTGATGATGTCACTATGAAAACCATCTCTTGGAAGTAAGCGATTACGAGGGCACGCTCTCTCTTAGACTACGAGCAGTCTCTCTTTTTTCTGTAGTCCGTCGAGCAAAACGCGAGACACGCAAATGGCCACGCGCGTGACCGATAGCGCGAGACAGGAGAGGCACGAGAGAGGCAGGAGAGGCAGGAGAGGCTGCACTCAGGCAGACTAAGAATGCCAGTTTCAATATAGCTTGTCGATTGTAAAGCGGAGAGACTTCTACTATCGATCAGTGCTTGTTCGCCGGCTTAGAATAAATTACCTCTTTCTATGTGGAAACTATGCACACTCTTTGCTTTAAAAAACACTATTTGCAAAAGTATTTTTAAAAATCAGCATTTATTGTGTCAGGAGCCCATGATTGTGTAAATTAATTTGATGGGTGTTAGACCTGGTGCTAATGTTTTCTGAGGACTTTTCAGTTTTTCAAACATTCAAGTTATTTTTTTTAATGTTTTAAATATTCTCAATTTAATGTATTTCATTTTATTACCTTGTAATTTAAAACTGGGCCAGTGGTTTGTTAGTGTCAAGTTTTTACTCTAATACATTCATTTTCATACCTTTATAGTCAGCCCTGCTTTTTCACGTTTTGCTTACAAAAAAAAGACATGCTGCCTAGATCCACCATGAAGGTTTTAGGCACCTGTGGCGGTTTTTTGTACGTTGAACCTTGCTATACATGCAATGATATGTCGATTTTCTTTACCCCAGCAACAGTAAAAGATATCGAAAAGAACCTTGATATAACGAAACCTCATGATAGCGAAAAAAATTTGCTGGTTCCTCTGAAGAAGCAAGTAAATTCAGAAATTACCGCTGAGTCTGGCTGATTGACAAAAAAGACACGTTATCATTATGGACACTAGGTTGGTTAATATTAAATTCGTGACCTTGGGTTTAATTATAGCATCCACTAAGTTCCAAATCGTACAAGTATTGTGACTCAATCTTTGGTTTTTCTGTCCTTTTGGAACGTCGAAGTTTGTCCGATTTGGCTGTCATAGCTTGTGTACCGGAGATTGCAAACGTTACGAGAGTGGTACAATAAAAAGTTTAAGGAGAGAGCGGCGTAAATCGATTCTAGGTCTGCTAGCGAAAGCTGTACAAGAATGACGCTACGAGAATGACATCATATATCCAGATACAGTATCTAAAATGTCAACGATCTAAGAGGTACTATATCACTTAAGTAATCATGTTAGGCCTGTTTCAAACGTCGTGCTACTGCCGTACCAAGCTGGCTCGACTGTAGCTCGACTGTAGCACGACACTAGCACGACTTGGTTTCAGACGTCGAATTCAATTCAGTCGAATACAACGGCTGTTACCGAAAACAAAACACAAAAATACAGAAACGGTTTAGCAAACTTTTGAATGTATTCTAATGTATTTATTATTTGTGAATTGAGTTCAGCACGGCGGTAGCGGACGTTTGAAACCAAGTCGAGCTACTGCCGTGCTACACGGCAGTAGCACGAGGCGTTTGAAAAGGAAGGGAAAGGGTGTTTTAGGCGCGAGAGAAGCGCGAGGGCCGGACCCGGGGGCCAAAGCAGGCGAGGAGGGAGGGAAGGAAATGCCTGCCAGGAGACTATTGTTTTCGCCATCCCTCCTACTAATTATGTATGCAAAGATAACACAACTGTGAATGACCAGCTGTCAAATTAGTCTGGCCGCGAACACTTATTTTTAGCTTCTGTTTTCCTAAAACAAGAAAACTGAAGTGAAGGGGAGTGAAGTTACGTACTACAACAAAAAAAGTTCAAATGCGGCCGTCCGTTGAAAGAAGAAAATTGTAACGATGCGTGACTTGTTGTATAAAATCCAGCATAAATCTATTACGTCGTTTGCTGAAGGAAACGTGCTGCACGTCGCAACTTGCTTGCAATGTTCTGAATGTTTGTCTGATTTTGCTAGCTCTCGAATTGGATCCAGCAGAGCATACAAAAGAACGCTGGTAGCAGGGAAAGAAGAGCTGAACTTCGAAGATCTACAGGAAAGCTGCAATCAATTATTAAAGTAAGTTCCTGGCGGCTTAATAACGTCTATAACCAGCAAGACCAAAAATCGTCTTCAACAATCTGGTCCTTGATAACGCGCAGCCTGCGTGGTAGGCGTATTAGGTCAAACAGCAGATAACAAGCACAAAGCTGGCAGCATGATATTTCCTTTCTTTCTTCTAGTGAGTAAAAAACAAGCCATTTGACAGAAAAATCCGGTTGGGGTGTCGAAAGCATAATGGTAAGCGATTTGCCAGTTTACCGTAGAAATGCGATATCCGTTGGTTTGAACCAATCGGATAGTCTGGAACTGAGAAGGAACTGTGGATTAAGCAACATTCCGTTTGTTTTGAAAGGAAGTACTCCTCAATTTTCGGTTGACCAAACAGGATTTTAACATTCGCCGTTGGTGGATGTTACTCAAACTAATGTTGATTTCAAAATCGGATAAATGTTAGGACTCCTGGCAGGCATTCGCCTGGTGGTTTACAATGTTCTCCTGTCAGGCGTTTCCTTCCCTCCCTCCTCTAGCGTCCCTGGCGTTTCCCTCGCGCCTAAAACTTCCTTTCCCTTCCCTTTAAAACGCCCACCACGCAGGCTGTAGCACGACTTTGTTTCAAACGTCGCGCTACTGCCGTGCTTAAGTCGAATTTAATTCGAGCAATTGTACAGACGTTGATATTTTATCACGCGCGCTCGACGGACTTTGAAGAGAAAACTAGAGGGTCTGTGAAAAGCCTATCATGTTACGGCGATGACAGCACATGTCTACCTCTGTTGGCATGAATTAATGCACCATGTTTATATGCTTGAAGTTTGTAGTTGTTATTCAATATGTGCCCTTTAGTGTTTAATAAACTTGAACTTGAACTTGAACTTAAAGCCTCGATCACTGAAGAACAGTATAAGACGAGTAAGACGGATTATAAATCAGCAGAGCGTAAGAAATCAATAGGCTGTAAATAAATCACTAGTCAAGTGCAACATGCAGCGTGAATATCAAGTGTGGGACTAACTTCAGGGGAAGAAATTTTGTGGGTGTTTTTCTCAACAAAGTCACTTTAATGCCAAACGTAAATTTATACAACGTGACCAAGTTTTCCCTTTGTACTTGCCTTTCTTCTTAATAAACATTAGTAGTTTCACTTTAGTTTTATCCATAAGAATTGCATCGTATTGTTTGGACTCAGTTTTTTCGGTTCATTTAATTATTTTTAGAAATTTCCATATTTGCGAATCTTTTGAATCTTACACGTGGCTATATAACCAAAATCTACACCTACACATTTATTAGTTGACAACGTTTTCGCATCAAGTCAAATATCAAATCTCTCCATTGCGTGAGTTGCTACTGTTTTTTATTTCGCTGTCAGTTTGTTTCATTATCCTTCATATTTCTTTTTGTGAATCAATCAGCGAGTCCAACATAATATTAACACATCCTTAGGGGATGAAATTCCACTGAAAAAACCACAGAATAAAACAAAAAAACATTCAAACCAAAAACAAACAAAGAAGCAAACAAAATCAAAGAAGCAACCTTCTCTGAGTTAAGATTCTGTTACCTACCAATAAAAGTTCTCCTCCAACATTGTACGTATGCTGTGACCAATGGCTCTCTCCGTACAATTAAGATGCGTATCCAAATCAACTCGAAACTCTTTCATGAGGAATCGAATGCAGAAGTTAGAATCCGCAATTTCTTGGCCGTTGAATTCTATCCAAGGCACTTTTCCTTTCTTTGAAAATTTCATGCCGTATTCATTTTCGTAAGGAATTTTTGTCATACGGAGAAACGTTTCCAACTTTAAACAAAATGGTGATCCACTCACAGATAAATCGGTTGGACTGACCTGGTGAAGGAGAACGGTTTCAGGCTTAGTGAATCTTTTTCTCTCTTTGCCCTTCGCTTTCACGAGAGAATAAATCAGACAGGTTATCGCAGAAATAACGAAGAAGGCCAGAAACTGCATGTTGAATTGTCGAATTGTCAATGGATCAGGTCAACCTTCACTGAGTTTAAGTTAACAGTGATAGTGACGTCAACACTCTTTGTCGATAACCGAATCATTGTATACTAAACACAATTTAGTCAAGTGTTGCAACTGGTCCGAGAAAATCGATGGACGCGAGCATTTGTTAACTGGCTTGGGAAACGATCCAGCAATCGAAGTGGACATCTGCTCACAGCAGTCAGGCTCAGTTCAACGTAGTTCATTATGTCCCCACTTGAGGATTAATGGATAGAGTTCACGTTACCTTATACAGTAGTAAAGAGGCATAATTGGCTTTGAAGGAAATTGTTTGGCCGCTAGATCAGAGGACAAACATTTCTAGGTTATTCTTTAAACGCAGCCAACCTAATCTACGTTCTTCTAATACCAGAAGACACAATTGTATTGACCCTTTTCCGGTATTGCTTCAGGGTAACGATACTCGCAATAACATATGTCTCAGTCAATATTCTGCACCCGGCGCCAATTCCAAAATTTTCCCTGAAAACAAACTTGCCCCAATTCGCACTGAGTTGCGCGAAGTTCTGAAGCAGTTCCTCGATCAATCGCCTCTGATGTAGGCGGCACGAATTTTTGCGGGTTGAATTAAATGCGATTTTCCCACAATACATCAGTACCACGCTAATTTTCTTGATGGTCGAAATTATTTTAATGTTTGTGGTTTGCTGAAAATCGTCCAACTTCCAGCTGTCTCTACGGCAGCTCGTCCTGGGAACGAGCTTGCCTTCTTTTACGGTCATGAACGGTTCTCTCGGTTTCAACGAAACCAGATTTTATACAAAGCCTCACCCCATCATACGGACCCCTTTATAAAGAGCACACTCGGGTATATTTCTCTGGTTTCAATTTGTAATTCTGAGGACGAAACGTGAACTTATAAACTAGTCCCAAATCTCTCCTGATCTAATGAATGATTTCTCTGTTGTTTCATAGCAAATACAAGGCCATGTGGAAATAATCTAGCAGTTTTAATATCCCTTTGATAATGATTACCAACTGTTGTTTGGATAAAGTTAAAGTTTAGGAGACGTCGGGAAAGGAGAAAGAGGAAAGAGGAAAGAGGAAACTGGAAAGAGGAAAGAGGAAAGAGGAAAGAGGAAAGAGGAAGCTGAAAGAAGTTCTAAGTGTCACGAAACATGGTTTCGTTCTCTGAGCTCAGCATAAGCCAAAGGCTAAACTTGAGATCTATAAAGCGTTTCAGGATCGCTTGACTTTTCTTAATCGACATATGATAGTTTGGGTTGGTTGGGATTGTTAGATAAGTCAAATTTATTGAACATACCGGACTGTCGGTCATTTAGTGTTTTGAAAACCTTGACCGGTTACGGGCCATATAGCCACAGCGTTGTACATAATGCTTTCCAAGACATTTGCGATATGTTAATCACAGATATCTAACTTTTCGCTGCTTAGCGATTTATAAATTACAGGTTTCTAACTTTGCAATTTATAAATCGCAAGATACTTTACTTTAAATCGCATGACTGATGTCGGACTTGTGATTTATGATTCGCAAATGTGCAATTTAAAAAACTCAACTGTGTATTTTATGCATCTCGAATGTGCGATTTATAAATCGCAGATATGCAATAATACATCGCAAATGTACGATTTAAGCCGCAAGCCGAGCAAAACTTGTTACTGCGGGCTCGGACTCTAATAAAATTTGGGCGGGAAAGTCATTCTTGTTTTCAACAATGGCGGAAGGATCTTGCAAAGAAGTCTCTCATCAGCCACTTTGAAAGCTATATCTGAGGCCCACAATGATCCAAATCAGGCATAGATGGTTCTCATATTTTCGTTTTACGAACTGATTATTTTTACTGCTCTAACATAAGTTCGGCCGAGATTCAATCCGGGGGGATGTCTGTGCCATATAGGTATGTGTCGCCCCATCGGGTAGGGTTTTTGCGCCGTTATGGTCTGAAAATAGATATAGACTTTGCCCATTTTGGTCTGGAATCGGGTATGGTTTTCGAGGGAACCACTGGAGTGAATGAACGTATTTATCCTTTTAATTCCAAATGAGTAAGAAAGAAAGAGGAATGGGCAAATTAAGAAATCGCTTTTGTGACCTTTTGTTAGTGTTCCAATCTAAGTAATGATGACATAATTTCTTGGAGGCCAGGTCTGAAAACGGGTGTAAAAATGACATTTTTTGGTCTCAAATAGGGTCAGGATTTGGATAACAGGGCGGCACACTCCCAGCAAGAATTCCCAGGAGTACCCCCCGGGAATTTAATGGATGTGTTGTGGTTATATTCGATTTGCAGAGCTCCAGTGATTCCATTGCATGTTCCAGCGCCTCGTCAACATCCTTGACTTGCACCCGCCCTCCGGGAGATCAGACATTCGAGTGCACATCTGCGCTTTATAAATCGTACATTCGAGAAACATAAAACACACAGTTGAGATTTATAAATTGCACATTTGCGATTTATAAATTGCAAAGTCAGACATCTTGCGATTTCTAAATCGCAAAGTAAAGTATCTTGCGATTTATGTATCGGTCAAATCGAAGCTTCAACATGCCCCCCCGGGCATACCCCGGGCATTTGACACCTTTGCCGTCCCGGGGAGGAGGGAATTTGATTATCAGAGTCTTCTCGGGGGTGGGGAATTTGATCCCCATGCTTTGGGGGTGGGGAATTTGAACTGCACCCTCGATTTCATGTAAAATCTTAAGGATTTTCGTGGAAAAGATTGTGCCTTTATGGCCAATTGTTTACGAGGAAAGGGCTTAAACAAGCTTTGTGCCGTATTTGAAGGATTAAAATTTTAAAATTTTTAATATTGGATTCAGGCTTTGAATGTATGAATGTATTTTATTGTTGAGTTTACAATGAAATACAACACCTATACCGGCGATTCAATACAACAACATAAAATAGAATAAAAAGCTCAGGTCAACTACTTTTACCTACTGTAAGTATGTTAATTAATAAGATGAGCGATGATGCATGTCAGTGAAATGGTCATGATGTAGTAATCTCAATAGGTGGAATCTTTTTTTATACAACGCGTTGTATGTTGCATGACGAAGAAAAGCTGAGCATTTAGTGACCTTGTAGTAGCGATTTCCGCCGCTTTGCACGAGACTTTTGTTCGTAGTAAATACGCTAACCGCGTTTCTCAGTTTTTTTTATATTTATAAAGATTTTGTTCGACAACTGAAGGCGTTTCCGCCGTCCTTCTGTCATTTTTGTGCCTGTGAAATGTCCCCGGGGTGGGGGCATTTGATCACCTGAATTGACCCTAGTGTGGGGCATTTGAACCGCATTTTGGCCCTGGTAGGAGGGAATTTGACCAAAATTTTTCAAAAAAGTCAAATGCCCGGGGGGTTGCCCGGGGGGGGGGGCATGTTGAAGCTTCGATTTGACCGATACATTATAAATTGCAAAGTTAGAAACTTGTAATTTACAAATCACAAAGTAAGGTATCTTGTGATTTAAAGTTAGAAATCGTGCAATTTATAGATCGTTTTTCAGCGAAAAGATGGATATCTGTGATGAACATATCGCAGATGTCTGCGTTATTTATAAATCGCAAGACAACTCTTGTGCTATTAATAGCACAAAAACTAGAAAAACAGTGCAGAGTTGGGCCTTGTTTTGAACACATGCCTTGATATAAATAATATTTTTACATTTTGCGCCCCATAGGCTACAAGTGTTGCGATTAACCTTTAAAGAGAAAACAATCAAATTGCCGGAAACAATGTCATGGTCATTAAAAAGGTGTTTTATTAGTGACTCCTGTCTGATATGCTAAGACAACCTCGATAATGAATCAATCCAACAAGTACACCTTGCATAGCTACTCTCTATGGCAAAATCTAGTGTATGTCAATAAATCTATCTTACAAAAATGAACACAAAATGACTTTTAATTTCTAAAACTCTTTACCGACATCAGATAACAACTTACAAACCGCTAAGTTTCCTTTGACCAGTCCCTCGACTGTGTAGGGAATATTGTACTTTGAACAAAATCTCTGAAGAATCTTTGACGCCAGAGGCAAGCTATGACGTGGCAGGGTCGGCCATATATGATGTTCCACTTGATATGCAAGACCACCGCTGAACCACATGTTGAATACCGTAGGCGTGATATCACGCGTGGAGCGAACCTGTAGGCGGACGAAGTCAGTGTTTTTCATTTCCTCGGTTGTGAAGATGTGCATGGCGTTATGACCGACAGTAAACACAACAGCGATGAACAGGCCCCCGAGTGACTGACAGACTAACAAGAAGACGATTCGTGAGGCAGCCGTTTCTAATAGCAACGTGATATACACCACTGCAACGTAATGGATACCAATAGTGACTATCTCTGCGATCTTCATCGGTAGGCCCCCAACAAACTGGTGAACGGGTTCAAGCTGGAACATTAGGGACTGCAGCAGCCACGATAAACGCGCAGCAGCTAAAAGCGGCAAATAAAAGAACTTCTGATGTCTGATCAAGAATCTGGGAAGATCCTTCAGCTCTTCGGAGTCGCCTTCAATGATCTTCTCAGACCATAACAGCAATGGCATTGTCAGGATATCAGGATCGCCACCTGCCTGGGTATGTACCACATTTGGTGAAGCGTGATGGTGATTGTGCTTCATTTTCCACCAAGAAGTAGAGAAACCCTGCCAGATGTTCCCGACACCCAGCCCAGCAAGATTGTTATAGAAGCGATTAGTAAACACTTGATGATGAAGAAAATCGTGGGCAAGCCATCCACATTGCTGCCAGAAGAGAGCGAGAAGAACACCGCCTATTACTGCTCCGGTCATGCCATTGAGCACTTTAATGGCAGCAATGGCTGCGGCAAGTATTGCAGCATTTGATACTACCTTGAAGGCGTAATACAGCTTAGAAGATTGAAATGCGCGCGCTTTCAACAGCTCTGATTTCATCTCTGTAATATCCCGTCTATATTCCATTTCCTTTTTGGCATCAGAGGGATCGGAGCAGGGATCTCTCACCAGTTCTCCAACATAAAACCGAGGCAGCCATTTGTAAACAGATGCAGGGTGGAAAGCATTGAACACGTCCGTTGCATCCAGCCCCGCATGGGTGAAGATGATACTTCCGCCGGGATGCTCCCGACCAAATCCTGTTACGTCGTAAACTTTGTTCTTGATTGCTATCCATGAAGGAGATCCATTCACGCCGTTGTGCTCTTTGAGCGTCTGCTCGGTGATAAAAGTTTTCTTTTCCGCCCCCTTGGAGAATGTTTCCCCTGATTCCGTTACAACTGCAGCCTTTCGATGAGCAATGTTTGGTGCCATGGTGCCTCTTTTTAGTCTGTCTAGAAAAAAAGAGAATTTTAGGTATAAAGGTTGCAAATTGCCTGCGCTGTAAATATTTCTTAAAAGGAACGATCAGGGTCCAAGGGTTGATTAACCATTTTGCCGAGTAGAATCATAAGCTACAGTTTAAAATATAACCACAGAGTCACTTAGTGGCTAGTCTCCCTCGCAGCCGTTTTTTGCATGTCACGCAAAGCCTTGCGTGACATCCAAAAAACCGGCCCCGAGGGAGACTACTTAGTGGCAGGCCAAGATCACGCCCAGGGGGGTACTCGGGATTTCAAGTGACGGGGATGATCGAATGGAGCTAAAAGTCTAGCCTCCTTCGCAGCCGTTATTAGGGTCGTCACTCGTCACGCAACGCTCCTCCCCACTAGTGGGGAGGAGCGTTGCGTGACGAGTGACGACCCTAATAACGGCTGCGAAGGAGACTACTAAAAGTCAAGACCCAAAAAAATCCCTAGGGCTTCCAGCAAAATCCAAAAAATCCCTGGACCAAAAATTCACCCCAAAAATATCCCATGCCGATTTTGTGGCCCTTAAGTGTTCTAGAAAGGGGAAATGCGATAACACAAAGAAAAACATTGGAAATTGAACACTCGTGTTTGTTTATTCATCATACCATCTGAATATATCCTTTTTCTCATCTGATTCTTTTTAATACCCCCAAAAAATCCCTACTCAAGTCAAGCTACCCAAGCCAAATTTTCATACCAAAAAAACTCCCGGAATGGAAAATGTTAAACCCAAAAAAATCCTCCGATTATCCCCGTCACTTGAAATCCCGAGTAGCCCCCCTGGAAGATCACGTCATACATGTACACAGGTTCATGCAAAAAATTGCGACCATTTTTTAAGGACTTTTCAGGTTTCATGGACCGCCTACCAGGAATGTAATTTCACACACTGTACAAAAAAAAAGCACATTCCCGGTCCATTTTAAACGCACTTTAAGGCTTAACTGTTTGCTTCAGCAACATTTGTCAGTTCACTTGTCTTAAATTTATATAGTTAATTCTTGCATAAAACGAAAGACGCTGTATGTAAATCACCAATAACTTCTTTGAGCTATGATTTATATTCTGTCTTGGAAAACCAAAATGCATTAAAAATCCTTTTCAGGCCATTACATTCAAAGTTGAAGAAAATTTAATGACTTTTCAAGGACTCCCCCTAAAATTCAAGGACTTTTCAAGACTATGCGAACCCTACACATGAGCACCCAACGAGGATATAGTTCAAAACCACTTAACATAGCATTGTTGAATGTATTTTAGTATTTAAAAGGTAGATATAGGCATATTTTTATCCCCTAAAAATTTTTCATCTGTTCGGATTTCCTAGCTGAAAGTCTAGTGATCCGAAAATTATAGGGATCAAAACTTAGCTTTTCGAAAATTTCAGCCAGGAAAAGGCTCCCGAAAATTCTAGGTGGCCTTTTTTAGGGTAAATATCCGTTTAAAATGGGTAATTATACCATTTTGTAGATGTTCGAAACTCCTAGGAGAGGCAGGCAAGCAAGAAATTTTACAACAAATGTTCCGAAAATTCTAGTTCTCAAATCGTCTTCCGAACAGATATTTTCCCGAAAATTGCCGTTGGGTGCCCTGCCTACAGTACAGTAGTAAGCCCCCCCCCCGGGGGGGGGGCACTGCCATATATGGGCTATATAGGTATGTGCCGCTGTGAAGGGTATGGTTTTCAAGCAGTTTACTCTAGGATAGGGTATATAAATCAGAGCGTTTGGGTCTAGAATAGGGTATCATTTTTTAGGAAACTGATCAGTTGGTTGAAGATTTTATCTAGACTAGGGAAACAGCTACTCTAGGACAGGGGGGATTTGGGGAGTTTACTCTAGTATAGGGTAGTAAAATTCAGCTGAAGTAGCTCTGGTACAGGTTATGGGTTCCAGGGTCCCAGCGGCACATCCCCACCCAGAAATTCCTAAAGTACCCCCCCTCCGGGACTAAGCCCCACATATTCGTGTTCACACTTTCTCAGTTTCTCGGACCCGATTTCCTAGGAGCCTGGAACAAGTTAATTCTTCATATGCTCAGTGACTGTGCATTGACACTTCAAGAAGTGTTACATAGTCTAGAATACTACGGCAAATAGTTAAGTAATTAATATGCACAGGAGCGAGCCCACAACCCTGTTAACTGCTGTTATGCAATCTTATTACTGTATTTGCTTGTTTGTTTGTTTTTTGAAGTCAATAAATCCCTTCTTCAAACTTCCAAGTTTTTATCTGGCCGCAGTTGAAAACTTGTTCAAAATATCGAAAAGTTATTTATTCAATTCTGTGCTAAAGGTGAATTGAAAATCCTTGAGCTCTCTGTTCATGCCGCGCGCATGACAAACTATCGGTCAGATACTGGAATAGTAAATTAGTTTTAACGTGACGGCGTGGTATGACCATGTGTTACATAATCAATCAGGGGGTTTGAAGACCCTTTTCATCAAAGGTCACTCAAGGGCACACAGAAAGCTCTTCTTTACCCGGTGAAATCATCACAAAGGTTAAAACTTTACTGAATTGTAGTATTTCTTTCTAAAGAGTATCCTCTTTTCCGTTTGGTTTTTAATTCTTTTCGGTCGAGGAAGAATACGGCCGAACTTTGTGGAATTGCAATCTTTTTACGGCAAGTTCATCCATAATCAATTACCTGCGAGCAGAGGCACCAGAGACCGAAATATTAAAATTCAATCTCGAATATTTTATAAACAAGGAAATTTCACTGTGTGTTTAAGTATTCCGATAGTGTGGGTGATAAAATTTTTAATACTACATTAACAAGATGCTTTCATAATGTTTAATACTACGGACGTATTAAACCGCATCGAGCAACAAATGTTCGTCTCACTATAGTGCCATTAAGCTAATTCATGCAAGAGAGAAAACAATACAACTTACTTCGCCTACTGCAGTTATTTAGAAACCAGTGAGAAACACTGCCGATCAGTTCAACAGCTTATTCCAAGAGATCAACACCGTACCAGGGCAAGCAGGAATAGAAGCACAGGTCAGTATGAAAGATCTTTTTCACGGCGTGTACGTTGATGAGCATGGACTGGGCACCCGTGTTAATACGCGTGTTGTCCTCGTGCATGGATAATACATCCTAGTCTAGACGTTTTAATAAGCCACCTTCCGAACAACAGTGTTTATGGCCGGGGTTTATGGCGTGTATGATCCCCGCCAAAATGACCTAACCCCAATTTAAAAAAAAACAACAACAACTTCAGATCAGTTTAAAAAAAACAGTGATATCAATGCCCCTTTAAAGCCTCCATACCTAGCCGGTTTAGGAGCCCATCCATCTTAAAGTTTTCGCCATGAAATTTAGGGGTTAAATTAACATTGCCAGAGTTAAACATACGCTTAACAAGTGATTCTTCATGAAAAATCTTTTTTCAGTCATACAGATTGAGGCTCAGCTAACATAGGCTTGGTTGGTAAGTATTCTCAGGGTCTTCAGAAACCTGAAAAATCTCAAGGGACGTCGACAACTTCCTCACGTGCGGCTCCACATCTTTGATTAAAGGCCTCTAAACTAAAACAAGGATACATACCGTAAACACTCAAAATTGACGACAAAGCTGATCGGACAGCTATGGATGGGTAATTTATAAATTATATAAATTACTCATAGCTGTCCGATCAGCCTCGCAAGGGCCATGACTGTATTTTTCCCCTTGCAGGTAGTTGTGTTACGTAACAGAAATTGTAAATATGATATATAAGGCTAGGCGTTCAGATAGTGGAGTGTGAGATGGACCCAGATGGAGTGCGGTCACGTGCACGGCGAAGTCAGACCTCCCTTTTTCCTGCTCACATATCAAATCTTTGCACCTACCCACAAGCTGAACGCCTTGTATGACGATTTTAGCGATTATTATTTGGGAGTCAAAAATAGTAATAAAGGTACATCAGAATTTCTTACCTTCATTTGTTTAAATTATGGTGTGTTCTTAGCATTTTTGGTCTTTTCCGGGCGTTTTTACCGAGCATTACTTCTAACTTTCCGATGTATCTTAATTGCTCTTTTCGACCCCTTAATTAATTAATAACGATCGCTAAAATTCCTATTCGCTCAAACCCTTATAATATTTCTGTTACAAAAACAACAATCCTCACTCGTGAGCTAAGAGGGTCTCAATGGGGTGGTGGCTTTACGGTTATCGGCTAAAATTTTGGCTCTTTTACGGCTATCGATTAATTTTTTTCCAGTTACGGTTAACAACAAAGTTAAAAATTAATTTCTTTTGTTTCAAGGAGTTAAATATCAATAAAGCGGTATTTTTTGTATCTTTAAAGCAAAATAAAGGTCTTAGGATCATCTCGGGATGCCATTCTTTTAAAAAATTTTAACATTTGATAGATCATACTTTTTATAAAGTATTCCACTGCTAATATTATTTTACGCATACAAATGTCAATAGTCAATTTAAAGGTAATCTTTGTGAAAAAGCAGAAGCCCAGCAGACACGCAAACGCCCAACTCAAGGCCGGGGCGCGACATTCATTTATAACAGAAATGGCCGTTTTCACACTAGGGGCGGATTATTCGGGTGAGACAGGTTATCCGTTTGATAATTCGCGTCAGATAGGTAATACGTCTTAATTTGAAAATGGAATGGTTTTAATTTTGAATCAGAACAATCCGCCTGGCTTTCTCCGTCAACTTTGACGGACAATTTAATTGAAGATGGGTTATCCATTTCAGATAGCCTGTGTACAGCCGCCCCCTCCCCTCAGAAGGAGGAAGGGAGAAGGAGTGTCTGTGGGGGAGGGGGTGACTGTACATAGGCTAGTCTCAGATGGATAATCCATTTCTAGCTCTAGTGTGAAAACGGCCAATTTAAAACAATTCCCGAGTCCAGTGTTTTTAATGATAGCGAACGACTGTACTGAACGACTGTCTGCCGTTTCCTTGTCCGTAGGCCTCATTATTCCGCGCGGCTGATGCGTTTCGGGGCACGTGGTGTGAGCAAGTTTTTTCTCAGATACGCCACCGAAATGCCTTGACCAAGATTGCGTGGAAAGACGCCGTAGCATCAGAGAAAAACAGGGAATTATTACTTGGAATTGTTGTTTATCGGCGACGTGTTTTACAAACAGTGACATCTCTGCGTGTTGCTAGTATTTCGAGAGCAAGACCTGAAAATCTCAAATATTAATCCCCAGCAAGAAGCCAGATTTTCGCTATGGAAAAAATTAGTTCCCCGAGAGAGCGGTGGCGGAAATGGAGCCTAGGTCTAGGTCAACACCTAAAAGCTAGGCGCTTGGCCTAACGTGCGTACGCAGTCAAAGTAGCCGGGAAATAAAAACGCAACCATAAGTGAGTTTAGCACCTTCCTTAAAACTAACAAATCTAGGAAACAATTTCTTTTACGGTTAACTCTTTCTTACCCTATTTACGGCTAATGGTTAAAACTTTTCAATTTTTACAGCTATCGACTAAATTTTTGGCCGTTTTACACCTATCGGTTAACCCCATTGAGACCCTCAGCTAAGTGTGCTCCCCTTAAAAAGTAGTAGGCGAGCTCCATGGACCTACTGACACTACACACGGTTATATATATCTAGCCGAATTTTTGAAATCTCCAAAGTAATAGCCATTATAAATTCAAACTAAGAATGCAACTATTGCTTTCACAGTTTCTGTGCGCTTTTGTTCTGCGTGTAAATGCTAAGCAGGTTAACTCTGGGGGAGTACTCCTGGAATCCAGGGACAGGGGTGGAGGTGTGCCGCCCGTTTCTCAACATCCTGACCCTAGTTCAGACTCAAAAAATGGCATTTTCCATACCCATTTTCAGACCTGGGGCCCTTTTTCTCGAAAGTCCCGGTATTTTTTCGGGCCTGGAAAGCGGAGTTGTGTTTGCTATGTTTGTATTCAAGATCACACTTTCAAAAATTTTCGGAAAATTTTGCAATAAAACTATCAGTTAACGAAGAAAAATTGACTGGTTTTTGGGCTAGGACAGGAGCCGATTACTGCCCTGCCGCTAGGAACTGTCCTACTATTCAACAGGTTTTGATTTCAAAATTTGCCTTCGGGTCCGAAAAGTTTCTGGGCCTTTCGAGAAACGGGCCCGTGGTCTCTAAGAAATGATGTTACCGTTACTTAGTGTGCTAGAGAGCAAACAAAAAGATTTTCTTGAAATTCATCTCGAGTTCGCATATTACTCTGTCCTTTCTTGTTCATTTGGAATTGAAACCGACAAATAGGTTCATACACTCCCGAAGTTCCCTCGAAAACAGGGACCGATTGCAGACCAACAAAATGGGCAAACCATGCATACCTGGGGCAGAACATACGGTACCCAAATAGCTTTGATCTCGACTTCTATACGAGGGACTACCCCCCCCCCCCCCGAAGCTAACTCGCTCTCGAGGTAAAACTTGCGTGTACGGGGTATGATGTGCCCCTTTTGACACCTGTCTGTTTTCTAAAAAAACAGCGACGACAAACTGTAACCAGAGACCTTTAGAGATAATCATTCAGACTCCGCATTCCGTGCAAAGACTTTCATTGCGAGCAAATCCATCTGAAGTCGGACTATCAACAGCTTTTTACAGACGCTGAAATAGAGGAGAATATTTCTCAAGGTTTTGCCATGAAGAAGACAGCAGACAAGACTGTAAAGCCTAAAACTGAAAAGCGCATCATGCTGATGGCCGTGGTTTTGATGGCCGCAGCAGTTGTTGTTTTGATCATCGGTATGGTGTGGATGCAGGGTGAAATACGAAGTCTGTTAAACACTCTTAAAAAGTTCAAGGCGTTACAAGGTAATACTTGACTGTCTCACTTATAGATGAATGCCTCTTTGCAAAAAGTACTTATGCTGATGAAATAGCTATACATTCTCTGTATACTCTGTTCTTAATTATGACGTAATAGGTCGATAATGAGCGCCTTTGATCTTGAATCTGGATAACTTGCGATCAGGCGATCCTTCTTCCATTTTTATCCTGAAAGAAACAGAGTTGCACAGGAGTCGAAAGATTGAAGGGGTAGCCTGCAGAACAGGCGCTATTTTCTTGCGTTTTCCAGGTGAGCACGAGGCGGACGTCGAAGCGGGACACGCGCGACAGGGGAAGGCTAGCCTGCAGGCCTGGCTAGCCTGCATAACAGGCGTTTTATGAGCCACGAGAGGCAAATGCGGCATTTTGCGCGAATCTCAAAGCGAGTGTAAGGCGCGAGACGAGGGGAGGCCGCGTTTGCCTCGCGTGGCTCATTAAGCGCCTGTTATGCAGGCTAGGGGAGGGCGCACTTTTCCCCGTCGCACGTGGCGAGCGCTCTAAGTCCTTCTTGCTCGCTTGAAACAAGGGAATACTTGAAATAACGCCTGTTCGGTAGTCTAAAGGATCCCTAAAGAAAGGCAGTGTGCCTTCACCCGTCGGCGTGCAAAAGTGCCAGGGGATCTGTGCCTAAACATACTAGTTCCACAGCCACCACTAGGCGCACCAAGCTCTAAGCTGGTGGCTGATTCCTTGCAAGCACCTAACCACTATAACTTAGTGTGTTTACTGAATATTACTAGGATTCATATGTACTAGTTATACAATGGGAGAGGCTTGAAATGGGCTGCACACAATTTAGGTTTTTGAGCAGGGATTGTAAGTGAGGTTCTTTCATGCGCGGATCTAAGATAATATATACTGACCGATTTCCAAAAACGAGCACGGAAGGCGTAAGTTCCTAGGGGGATCCGGAGGCAGGTTCCCCCAGAAAATTTTTGGATTTTAACTCCTTAAAGTCCCCTTTCCTGGGTTTTGTAGTCATTCAGACAGGATATTGGCCAGATTTCAACTTGGAAATTGTTTCTTTATTACAAAAAATATAATTCTTATGAAAAATCTGACCCATATCCGCGCCTGTCTTTGTCCCTTGCTTGCCTTGCTGGCGTCGCGTGGGTAGAAATGTTTCGTCATTACGAAAAACACCTTAACGTCGCAGGATATTTAGCGTATTTAAAGTGTACTCCCCAGGTGTTTTGTTAAAAATTGCCTAGCCAATGATTTTTTCGGACCTATTCGCGACTTCCATCCTACGAGCTAAGAAGCAGAATGTTTAGTAACTCTTGAATGAGTATAGAGACGATCAAATAAGAATTCCATGTTGCAAGTCCCATTTCGTGCATCAACATGTGACTAGCGTAACGAAAGGCCAAAAAAATGTCATCAAAGATATGTGTCAAATAGCTTTAAGTCAAGCTTTGTTTACCATGGTTAAATAATTCAGTATAGTCTGGCGATGACAATCTCCCTGCAGGATGATCAAGTTTTGGAATCTCTTCACTATGTTTTTAAAAAGGTTTTAAAATTGAAGTTAAAGTTGTAGCAATAATTGGTTTTGAAACAAATTGACCCAAAAAAGGTGAGCATAATAGCGGAAATGCTTTACTGAGGCTTTCGATCAGTTCAACGCCGACGCAAAAATTTTTGTGTGGGTCGTGAACACGTAGTCTGCGAACAGCAGACGCATTTCCGGTCGTCGCTTGCAGACGATGCGTCTGCTGTTCGCAGGCTAGTGAGCTTGGGGTGGTGAAAAGACGCAAATATCTTTGTGAGGGTGGTGAACCCTAGTCTCGCTCGCAGCCGTTTTTTGGATGTCACGCAACGCTCCCCGGTGAACCCGGGGTGGTGAAAAGAGGACCTCGAGAGTGTGTGCGCGAATGGGACAAGCGCGAAATGACCGCGCCACGCTTCGATACCAAGCAATTTTTACTAAAAAGAAGAAAAACCACTGTTCAAATTGTAACGAAACTGTTTCAATTTAAACAGAGAGTCAAGACAAAGCAAATAGTTCCTACTCTTTGGCTGGTCGCCAAAACACTCGAGGAGATGTGATCAGGCGGCTTTCAAGGTCTCAGCCAGGTAGGTTAATGCCCTTTAGTAAAATCCAACTAGTGGTCTATTATCAATGCTGCATTCTGATTGGTTGAGCTATTACTAGGCTATATGTTATAGCCCACTAGTAGCGAAAAGCGCGGGCTTTTTGGCGGTAAAAAATATTAAAGTCTAGCTTTAACTAGCTAAATATTTTTTTATTCTCGATATTTTTGACCAACTATATGGTTGGATTTTACTAAAACAATTATTCCTCTTGCCCTCATGGCCTCTGAGTCAATAGCCCAGCTAGTGACTCAGAGCCCATTCGGACTCGAGGAATAATTGTCAAATCTAATTTAAAGGCTCGTGTGTCATTCGTGAGATCATTCTCTCTGTATACTGCTCGAAAGCATTGCATAACTAGTATATGAAAACTGACCCACCTTTCAGGATTTCTATTGCAACTGAATCGTGCAAAGTAAACCGACCATGCATACTAAGCAAATCATATAAACCAACATTATATTGCTGTAAGTTTTACTATTGGAATATTACAAAACGAACAAGTCAGAATGAAGCCGTTCCTTACCCCTTAATGTTATCTTGATTCCTTCCCTATACTTTTCTGCTGTCAATTTTAGCTACGCATACCGACCATACCAAGTTGTATCGGCCAGGTTTTTGATTGACGGAGGAGAGGGTGCAACCTAAGATAACCAAGTCTGTGTCTGAGTTGACGAAGGGATACCTGGGTGTACTTCGAACCAGAGGGTGCATGGATCAAACCTACGTAAATGCAGCACCCTTCTTTGACTTTTCTTTTTTGAGGGGCAGGATACGGGATGCGGATGCGGATCAGCCTTTGACGTGTGGAGACGAGCGGAGAAGGGGGAGGGGTGGGGTTGTTTGTGAAGTTAGTGGTAGCGTTACACTACAATCACTTTTTAATGTCTTATTTAATCAGCTCTTGTTGTGTGTGGCAAAAAAGCTATGCGTTTGTTTGCCGATGATTGATTGATCATTGATTAAATTTATTTTCTTAATTCCTTTCTGTAGGTGCACATCGCTGTGAGCCTATAACAATTTCATTCTGTCAAAATATGCCATACACTACGACCCAGTTTCCAAACTTCTTGAAACACCGGTCACAAGACGATGCCAAGCTAGCGATAAAACGCAAATTTGACCGGCTCTTAAAAAGCAAGTGCTCTCCTGATATGGCCCCCTTTTTATGCTCCATTTTGGCACCTCCTTGTAATGGTACCCAGAAGCCTGTTTCTCCCTGCAAAGAGCTCTGCAAGCGCGCTATGAAGAGCTGTAGAAAAGAACTCCAGCGATTTGGAATCAACTTAGGTTCAGCAATGAAATGTCGTAATCATCCTAAAGAGGCTACATCACAGTGTTTTAATGGATCGTGGCCAAAAAACACAATTGGTAAGAAATAACTTGGAATTTCCTTTGCCATCTTTTTTTCAATTTATTTAATACATACCATCAAAACTCTAATAACGGGCACCTCTGTAACACAAACACCCTCAGGTTCAACCTTGTTATCATTCACCTTAGTCTGCAAAACAGTTGGGTTTTTTTTCTCAAAATCAGTAAAGAAATCAAGCAAGACTCTTGCGCGTGCGAAGCGCGCGAGCTTCACTCGCCCGTCGGGTGTCTCTACCCAGTCTCGCTTTCTGTTTTCAGCTTCGTTCCGGACATTTTGTTTGACTGCTAGCGCGTAGTTGAATATACAAAAATACGGACTGTTTTGCAGTCTACATTCACCTCCCCAAGACCAACAATAGGCGCGACTTCGAGGTCGGTTTTAGAGCTTTGACTGTATACAAGTCGTTTTTTAACAAGTTACGAGAGGCGAATTATGCAAAATCTGTGTAAACATCGGATCTCTAAGCGTAAACTCCGTACCTATTTCAATATTTTGACAAAGCTTTGCAAATCAAAAGTTTAACTTAATTTAGCGGGATTATCCCCACGAGTGCTTCGTGTGTAGGGATAGCCATGCACGATGTCGAACTTTGGTGTACTATGCCCCGGTCTTATTTCCTTGATCCATAACTTGGAATAAAGCTCATCCCGCTATCAAGAAAGAAGTCTGAAAATGAAGGGAGAAATGCATCGACTGAACACGAGGAAGAACTCTCTTGAATTTTCAGAGGCTAAGAGGCTGGTAACTGAGTGTTTTTACAGCTTGATACTTAGGGTTGGTGTCAAATATTAGGACAACCATAAAAAAGTATTCTAACGACCTGAGGCTATTCTCGCAAAGCATATAAAAAACGGGGTTAATAATGCTTTTATTTATTTAACACGTACGGTTGTTGGCTTGAAGTTTTTGTGTATAGTTATCAACTGTGATGAAAGCCATGCATCTCTTTCGTTCTTATTTGCCCACACAGCAACAGGATGCCAGCCAATAATGTTAACCCAGTGCATGGCACACAACAAGACCCTTCAAGCCGGGCATGCACAGATGCCTAACTACTTTGGTCATGTGACTGAGCAGGCTGTCCGCGCAAGCTTTAATCGGTTCAATGACATCTTTTTAATCGCTCCTAAAGAGTGTTCGTCCATGTTAGCCCGTTTTCTGTGCCCAATGTACGCTCCATCTTGTGCAGACTCCAAGACCCTTTTGCCTCCTTGCAGAGAATTCTGTGTGCAAACAAGATCGCAGTGCAAGCGTTTTATTAATCAAGCCCACAGACAAAATTCTTTTCAATGGCCAACGGATCTCAAATGTAAAAACTTCCCACGTAAAGATGAGGCTAGCTGTTACATGGGGCCTTCAACTGAAGTGGCTATTTCTAGGCCACCACCTGTACCAGGTAAGATTTATTTAAGACGAGTTTTCTTAACCATTGCCGCCCTCCTTGTCCACCAGGCTCCATCGATATTTCCATACCTTGATGCGCGAAGCAAAGGCTCACTGTCAGTGGAATTCTTGTCATAAAAACTTTAAAATCGTGAGAAGCATGTTTAAGCATGAACTTGCATAAAATTTTTCAAAACATGTAGGGTTGATCAACTTTCTTGTTAAGTGGTGGAAACATAAATTTGGCATTAACAGTGGAAATGTGCATTTGACTTTTTACCGGCTTTTATGCATTAATTTGAAAACTTGTTTTGCTTTTTGGTCGTGAGCCTCTTTCAAAATAGTTTTCAAAGGTGAAAATAACTGAAAACTTCATAAATTCTCTTGAAAGGGGCTGTTTCAAAATTGCCAAGTTCTTTTTCTCTATGGTACTCAGCGTTAGTGAAGAAACTACTTCTAAATATGAAAATCACAACTTCACGGCAAACAAAGGTGTCTCCAAAGCATTAAATCAAACGTTACAAAAACGCAAAAGCGAACGTTGAAAAACTGTTTGGCTAACAAGTTTTGAAAGCCACTACTCCAATCCGTTTTAATCTTCTGTTTACATAAATATTCCTTCTTCTCATGTTTTGAGCGGATATTTTCATATTTTACTCAATTTGGCGGAAGTTCTCAATGTTTGAATTTTGATGAATTTCGTGACCTGTAGCTCCTTTATTTTTTTTTCTTCTCAGGCAAATGCCAGGTTTTGACGATTCCATTATGCCAAACCTTACCGTACAACATGACGATGTTTCCCAACCTTGTCCATCACAAAACCCAAGGGGAGGCAGCCTTGGAAGTTCATCAGTTTTACCCCTTGGTACTAACCAACTGTTCTTCGTATTTGACACTATTTCTGTGTTCGCTCTATGCACCTATTTGCACGATCCTGAATAGACCGCTACCGCCGTGTAGAGGTCTCTGTAACCGAGTAAAGAATGGGTGTCTTCCTTTGTTACAAAAGTTTGGTTTTTCGTGGCCAGAGAGCATGGCGTGTAAAAAGTTCCCTGAGAGGAATGGCCTTGGAATATGCGTGGACTTGGCGACCATTGCTGCAGTCACGACCCAACCGCCACGCCCGACGAACGGTAAGATTAGTGTTAATGATATATGAAATAAATCATATATGAACTGCGGAAATGAAATGAAAGTGAAGAAATGATCGTCGCAGTTAACACAATTTATGCAAGTGCGTAAAGAAGCCTGAAAAAAATTCACGACTTCAACGGGGTTTGAACCCGTGACCTCGCGATTAGCGGTGCGATGCTCTACCAACTGAGCTATGAAGCCACTGGTACCAGGTACATAAGATACGTGAACGTGAAACTAGAGTCACGTTTGACGGCAGCCCTTTTTCCGCCTCCTATTTCTTAGGCGCGTTCTACCCAATCTATAGATTATCGGGGACTGATTGTTAACATTTTTATCTGAACCTGTACTGATTAAAAATCAGAATGACGCTCTTATCGCAAGACTGTGTAACGGACAGTCACGGAGAAATGACTAGGTAAAAGACTGGCTAACTGCCTTACAGGCTTATTGTGTCTTAGATTAACGAACAGACTGCAGGTAAAATGAGCGATTGACTAACTTTTTTCGGGTTTCCTGCCAAAGATCATTGCCAATGGAAATGATTTAGCTGACTAAAAAACGGATTATTTCAGGTAATCTAAAAAATGTTTGTTTTATTTTTGCAGCAAAAGACAGATGTGAACGAATAGCTGATGCTACATGCAGTGCTCAGCAATACAAAATGACCCGGATGCCCAACTTCTTTAGGCACAAAAGTCAAAGCGAGGCTTCTGGTGAACTAAGCAAATTTCTCCCTGTTATTCAAACAAACTGCTCATCAGAGTTAAACTTCTTCCTGTGCTCCTTGTATATCCCGCGTTGCAGAGCATACAAAACTTTGCCTTGTAAAGAGCTCTGCGTTCGTGTCAGAAAGAGTTGTCGTGTTCAATTTCGCGAGATAGGATTCAAGTTTCCAGTGTCTTGCTCTAAGTTACCAAGAAAAGACGAGTCCTCTCAATGTATTGACGGATCGAGTCCCACCCAGATGGCCAAGACCACACCCTCTTCCGCCGGTAAGTAGGTCTCACCTTATTTATATTCAAACTTTGGGTACTTTTCGCATGCCTGCCTGACCAGAACAACAACTAATAGTAGTTAGTTGTAACTACAACTGTAGTTGTTGTACACAGAACAACAACTAACCAAGAAAGAATGGAACGACAATTAATCGCAAGATCTTCTGAGGTTTAGCCGGCGGAGATCTCCACTTGGTCTGACGCGTGTTATGACCAAACGTTTAGCTATGTGTAGCTCCCTACGAGATGGGACTCCTGGGGGTACTCCTGGGAATACTAGGTGGGGGTTTGCCGCCCGGTTCTCCAAATCCTGACACTATTTCAGAGCAAAAAATGTAATTTTCCACACCCGTTTTCAGACCTGGCCTGTGGGCAGAAATTATTTTATCATTACTTAGATTAGAGCGCAAACAAAAAAATTCTTCAAATCCATTTCGAATTCGCATGTTTCTCCTTTTTTCGTACTCATTTGGAATTGAAAAGATAAATAGTTCATAAACTCCCGTAGTTCCCTGGAAAACCATACCCAATTCCAGTCCAAATTAAAATGTGCAAAGTGTATACCCGTTTTTAGACCAAAACGGCACAAAAACCGTACCTGATGGGGCGGCACATACCTATATAGCTTATTGAAAACGTTACCGTCAAGAAGACTTTTGCAGGGACTGATCAGACAACGTGAAATAGAGTTAAGTTACGATATTTCAACTCGCCAATACCAATACTAGTATTGGCCAGTCCAAATATTGCAACTTAACTCTATTTCACGTTCTTTGATCAGTCGACCCTGCAAAAGTCTTCTTGACTGCGACGTTTTCAATTTGATCTACTTTGACTGATCAAGATTTTGTTGGATCCGACGCGGCATGTTGAGCAAGATAGATCGTACACGGTTTTTGCAGTTTTTTTTTTTTTATATAAGGGAGTACCCCCCCACAAAGGGATCGGACTAAACAAAAAACGAAGTGGTTACTGCTGCCGATCTGACTGGTAATACTCCTCTCTTTGAAGCGCGGGATGGTCCACGTTTCCCAAAAAAAGTCAACCTCCGACTAGAAGCGTTTCTTCTATTTTTTTTACCGAATTTCCAGTGATTTTGGCATTAAATATAAGCACCCTCCCTAGCACCTCCTGTGGATGACATGGGCTTCTTTTCTACCGTAGCCAGGGAAAATTGGATAGAGAAAACCATCTCACCCGCAACGCAGGTTTTTAGATCAGTGGTTGTGGACAGTTAAAAGCTTTTTCCGCGATTCGAAAACAAAACGCACTCTCGACGCATGCAAAAATCGCTTTGAACCAACTTATCTTTGCGGGTTTTATGTTTCCTGTAATATGACTAGTCATTACGTTTCTTCATTTTTTAAATTATCATTTCAATCATTAGTTTCCAATACAGGCCGCTGTGAAGCACTGGTCATTCCACTCTGCAGTGATCTGCAACAGAACATGACGTTGTTCCCAAACATTTTGAACCATCGAACACAAGAAGAAGCCGCTTTAGAGGTTCATCAATTTTTTCCACTTGTGAAAGTGGGCTGTTCCCCGTATTTGGCCCAGTTCCTGTGCTCTGTTTACGCTCCGCCCTGCGAAGAACCACGCCAGCCTTGCAGAGAGCTTTGTAACCAAGCAAGAGAGGGCTGCGAGGCGCTTATGCAGAGATTTGGCTTCACCTGGCCGGGGATTCTGGCTTGCAATAAATTCCCAACTAGACATAACGGGACTAATTGCATTGGCTGATTCACTGAAGTCCAATCTACTGCTATTTCAACCAAAACTTGTAGACAGTGAATTTGTGAGTTGTATCATGCATCATCAGTGTTTTTAAACAAGCTTTTTTTTTTTCAGCACTGACTTGTCCCTATGGCCCATTTCATACTATCACTAACCTAAAATATGAAACAACTTAAGGCCGAAAACGGACAATATCCGGCCAGAATGGCGACTTGACCGGCCAAAAAAATTCACGCGCCTGTCACGTTGACCAGTCACGGCTTATTGTATTCGACGGTACGGTACTAAACGAAACAATCAATCTTTGACTGGACAAGACTTTCCTCACACACAGTTAGGCAGCATGTTTCTTTTTTCTACTTACATGCTCGCCTTTCATTAAGCCACTTTTTGAAAGGTATAGCGATAACTAGAACTGGTAAAAGATAGTTTTGAGATTACAAGCTGTTATTAGTGAACTTTTTTGGTTTAATATTTTTACCGGTCGAACCTCCCTAAAATCATTTTTAGCACTGCAACTGGAGCCCGTCATACTTGACTTCTTTTACTCGAAAACTTTAGCTTTTTTGCATGGTTTAGCTCTTACTATTCTGCAATATAATCATGGGTCTGTTACTGTGCAATAGGACCTGGAGCTTGGAGTCTTTAAATACAGTAAAATATAGCATTTGTAATTAAGAATAGACACACGATAAGCTACGATAAGGCACGCCAGTCTTCGGCAGTTAATTTATAAATTGGAAGTTGCTTAAACGCTCCCCAGTCCTTTCGTGTTCCAATCATTTGAGGGATCTGAACTCTTTGTTGGCAGGCCTAAAAAAATTTGGCTGGAAGAAATGTGTTTTTTATAATTTTTGCTATCTTTTAACTTAGAATTGATTTATTTCCTGTCTTGAATTGTAGTTTACATCCGGCCACGAGTATTTCAAATAATTTAATACTGAATAAAATGATTATTTCTATACAACATTGTTGCGTTTTTTACTTACGATATTGCTCAAAGTTTTGATAAAACGTGGAGGTAATTCCTTAGGGGATACTCGGATGATTTCTTAAGGAAAATGTTTTTGCTTGTTTTGTTTGGCGTTATTTAAATGGATATTTTGGGGGTAAAACGGCCTGAAGATTCATGAATCATGAGAGCTAACAGATCCATTTTATGTCTGTGAAAAACTCGAGAAAACGTTCTGGTTTTTTGATTTATTCATACAGCATTTTAAAGACAATGCATTTACTGCAGTTTAAAAGGGATGCAACGTTCCAAAACTACTGTAGGTATGTGAACGGGTTACCATTTGTCAATCAGGGGGGGGGGGGGGGTTACCTTTTCAGTCAAAAGGGGTATATAAAAGAGTAAGGGTAAGGGATTGGCCTTCCCTTATGAAAACTTTCAAGTATCCCCCCCGGTAGAATCAAACTTGTTTTTAACAGATTGCATTGCATCTCGAACTACATATTCCCAAAACCAGTTATAAAATACTCCATAAAGTGCCCGAGGTGAATCCAACAAGGGTTCTTGGCGTTTAATGTTTGGTCTAGGGATTTTATTAGGTTTGTTAGAATCACAGGAAATTTTTTTGGATTTGATTTTTGCCCTCAAAGTACTCCCCCGGGGGCCAATTCTCTTTTGTTAAAGGACTTTTCCTATAGCAGGCCTGAAACAACATTAAAACGTAACTGGTTCGTCATCCCAAAACTCCCGTTTTATTTAATTTTTTGTGTTCGCACTTACAGTCCCCGCGGACCCGACTATCTCGGAGCCTGGAACAGGTTTGGCCATTGATAAAGAAAGTAATGTAATATTTGAACTTTATTAAATGGAGTTACACCAGGTCAGGAGGTTCTCTTGTACAGATTGTAGCAGTCACCAGCAGTAGAAAACTCAAATGAAAAATTCGATGAAACAGAAGATGTAGCAGTCCAAAAAAGCTACCATCCCATTTAACACCTCACTGGTCTAACCTGAAGCAACACTACTAAAATGTGTTCCTCCTACTCAGTGAACTAATTATCATGTGGACAATAAACGGTTTATATAATATTTTTGAGAAGACTTTAATTCCTAATTTCTTACACGATCTACACGAGCTTTGATAATGAACGACTTTCTTTCAGGAAACAATAAGCATTATACATATCAAAAATTACATCAAATACTTAATGAATGATAATTAAACAACATTTTCACACTTAAATCATCAACAAAGCAATACTTTTTGCAGTTCTAAATGCCTATTTAAAAATCTTTAGCTAATTCCTTCGTTTATGAAGTCCATCAGCTTTCGACATCATGTCTTCCCATAAAACCGATGATATTGAAGTAACCATTAAGTTAAGTTATAGTCTTGCAGTCCTGTTCACAGTGCTCTTAGACAGTTTGGTTGGCGCAATGTTCAAGCTTCTGCAGGATGGACTCGATCGGCTGCCAGACGCGTGTATCGATTGCACGTGGCGGTTCAAAAAAACTTGTGATTGCTATCACTACCAACCACAGACCGCCCAGTAAATATACACCGAAAAAACGTCCGGATGGTAGCTGATCCTGAGACGTAAGTGAACAATGTGCGTCTGCTTGTTCTAACCAAGAAAGAAACGTCCAGCTCGGTTTTCTCAAGCTCATGGCTAATTCCTGGACCTCATGATTTTACCAGCGCCACTGTCTAGTTACTGCTTCTGCCTTCGAAACGGAGCATCTTTAACGAAGATGCACCGCACAGATCTAGACTTTACACAGGAACAAAACCACTGCAGCACACATCATCCTCGAGAAGTCTTGCAGCGAAGCTGATTGTTACGAAACACGCCAAAACCAGGACTACAATACTTGTCTCCAAAAGAAACTCTTGCGGAGAGTACAGCCGTCTTAAACTAGACTCGATCGGCGTCTCTGAAGGATAAGACAAGGAACTTTGTCGCTCGAGTTGGGTGTAAATCATCTTCTTGCCTTTGTGAAAATTCCGCGGAAATTTCAAGTCTTCAGGGATGATACTCTTGCTAGCTCTTTCTATATCTTTCTGCAGGAAGTTTGTAACAAAACCGTTTATATAGGGTTTCTGGTCTTGTACCCCCAAGGGGTAACTACTGTTTCTAAATCAGGAATTGGTCATGTTACCTCTCAGCAGTGTTCTGGCCGAAAATAGAGTGGAGTTGTAATCTTATCCAGTGCAATGTTTTACTATTTTGCTATTTATCTAGCCTGCTATAAATGCAATCGTCCCTCTCCCGAGTTAGGAGTAACGGCTCTATTCGCAAGTGGGATCGTGTTAAGTAAGTCATGCTTTGTTGCGTTGCATATTTTCTAATGCCTGGACAATTCAAGACACCAGGTGACAGTGAACTATGTATTTTGTAACACTCCCCGTGGTTTTCCAAAAAAAGATTTCTGTTTTGTTCTCCCGTGATTAAAAAACCTGCCGTATATCATTCAAATAGTGCGGCGGGAGATTTTTTTAGAAAGAGGAAACAACGTGACCAGCTAAAAATAACGTGATCGTCGGAAGTAAGATCAGAGTAACTTTGCATGTGACATTTGTAATATTTGGGTTAAAACTTTACTGTAATAGTTTTCATAAGGAACGTTAAAATGCGTAAGACTAGCAGGCCAGTAGTGATTCTGGAAGCTCTTGAGAGAAAAAGGAAAAAAGAATTATGACAGGACTAGAGAATATATTTTATCCTGATTGGTGAGTAAACATCATCAGCTGTTATCATGGTGCGGACTCTTATAACCAGGGTAATGACAGCAAGCGTTGATTTGGAACTGGAACGTTACACAGCTGCGAAAAAAATGAGTGCTGTTGTCATTTGGTTTCTAAAAGAGAACGAAGCCAGATTTATTGCAAAGTCTGTCATATTATGATCGCAAAGAAAATGGCGTTGTAAGGGACTAGTACCAGATCTTGCGGCCATGTAAAAGGATCCACAGATCGACAGATTCGCTCAGGTTTTAGTTTACATAGCAGTGTTGTAAAACAGAACATGGCAAAAGTGACCTCTAAGCTATGGAGGTGTGACTGATTATCGTTATGCTCTATGATCGACTCTATGATCGTGGAAAGTTCTACTGAAATCTACACTGATGATGCAGATGCTTTTGGAACCAGTCGAAAAGAAACAAAGTAAAAGTTTAAATAATGCACTTTTTTCACTTCAATTTTGCAGTAGTCTTTGGACTTATTCAAGTAAATTTTTAGCTGATTAGTTTTCTCTCGAGATCTAACGTTGACGACCGGCAGCGCCTCGTCCACGGTTTTTGCCGTTTAGATTTGTACTACATGTCTCAGATAAAATTTCCAGTACTCATGGGTTTCCGGCCGGTCGCTAAACATTACAAAACAATACCAGATCTATTTTTAGCCCTGCTTACCAAAATTAACCATGATCGCAGTAAAAATAACCAAAACTTGCGTGGTAGTAGCCTGTAAATACGACCGTCTGTCCTGTCGTCGCCGCTAGCTAGGGACGTTGGAGCAAGTAGAGACGGTTGTAATCTTGTGCGGGTCAACAATCTCTAAATTTTTTCAGTTGAATGCACGAAAAACACGACAGGGGCACCCAACGAGGATATAGTTCAAAACCACTTAACATAGCATTGTTGAACGTATTTTAGTATTCAAACGGTAGATATAGACATATTTTTATCCCCTAAAAACTTTTCATCTGTTCGGATTTCCTAGCTGAAAGTCTAGTGATCCGAAGATTATAGGGATAAAAACTTACCTTCTCGAAAATTTCAGCCAGGAAAAGGCTCCCGAAAATTCTAGGTGGCCTTTTTTAGGGTCAAAATCCGTCAAAAATGGGTAATTATACCATTTTGTAGATGTTCGAAAATCCTAGGAGAGGCAGGCAAGTAAGAAATTTTACAACAAATGCTCCGAAAATTCTAGATCTCAAATCGTCTTCCGAACAGATATTTTCCCGGAAATTGCCGTTGGGTGCCCCTGACACAACAACTGACAAATGCATACAAACAAAAAATTAAAATATGCTGAACATCTGTCTATTTGACTGAAGATGATTGACGTTTTCTTAAGAACATGAAAAACTACTATTGCCAGCAAATTATATTCAAACGGGTGGTTGTTGTCCTTCATTAACTGCCAGCTTATTTAGACAAAAATCGACTAGAAAATCTGAAGCGAGGAAATCAAAAGCTCTTTTTTATTCAGTGTTTGCTCGTAATCGTTTTTTAGATTATAGGTGAAAAAGCCCTTTCGGTTTTCCGATACACCTGCGTGGTGCGTATGTTCGCGTGTGGTGGATACAAGCGCTTTGCTTTTGAGGTATGACGGCTATAAACTTATCCGGGCTAACTTCCTACTCTGCGAGCAGAGGTTTCTCTCTTGCATGGCTTTTTTACGAAGTCGTTCGCCTGGCTTGTCTGTCGCGTAGTTGGTTTGACACGCGAACGACTTCGTAAACGCTAAAAGCCACGCAAGAGAGAAACCTCTGCTCGCAGCCGGTACTAACTTCATTATTCGCGCGGCCCGCCTTAAAGCAGACTACAGGGCAGGGGGACGGGAGGGGGAGAAAAGGGTCCTTTATCTTTCCTCCCCAATCCAACCTCGTCCCCAGGGCGCTTTTCCCTGGCTTTTGATGAGGCTGTCCGCAATCGTCTCTCCCTCCTTTACTGCTTCCCGCACCCCTTAGGAGGCTACCCGGGGGGGGGGGGGGTACTCCCATACATTACCTATACGGGTATGTGCCGCCCAACGGGGTCGTGATTTTGAAGCTCCTGATTTAGAACGGGGTATCCAGTTCAGAGGCGTTTTCTAGAACGGGGTATAATATTTCGAACGCACGAAAGCTCCAGTTTTGTAAGCAGCCATTTGAAATTATTCAAGGACAGATAGATTGCTTTTAAAAATACGGTTCAATGCGTTAACAAGCAAACTGTTGTACTCTTTGCACCTTAGAACGGGGTATCATTTTTAGGGCGAATTCTAGAACGGGGTATCAATTTTAGGGGAATTTTTTTTTAGAACGGGGTGCCAATTTGGACTCCAGGGCGGCACATACCCACCCAAAAAATACCCAAGTGCCCCCCCCCCCCCCGGAGGCTAAGACCAGTAATCGGCTCCTGCTAATTCTAAAACTCAAAACAGCCATGAATAAAGCCAGGAATAAAGCACATGAAAACTTTGCAACATTGTTATTCTGAGAAATTTGATCCCTGATTTCTTCCAAAGGGGCTGATCGAGTCACTTTTCTTGTCACACAACCGAGGAAATGATCGCGTGACTAACTTGAAGAACATTTGGCGGGAAATTTATCGGGCAAGCACGGCCTTGATCGTGTGACGTCACCAGTACAAAATGGCGGCGGCAAAGGTAAGAACGTTATCGATCGAAGCGTTTTGAAACCAAAATGGTTGAATTTAGCGAGGTAGCAAATTAATGATTTTTCACCTTAAACGTCAGCTATACATTTGAGGTAACTGGTTTCGAAACTACGAACGAAAATGCTGTCAAAATCAATGAAACTTTGTAACTATAAATGTGAAGTTGACGGTTGGGTATTTCAACGACGATCTAAGTCCTGTAGAAAGCAATTCTAAAAGATGACGTCGAGTTACTCTCCAAGAGATGAAAGCTTCATTTAGTTTAGCAAGCTTTCCCTGACGTGTTTTCGTTGGTATACCATGCTCGATACTTGGGTTAAAAAGTATTACAATAAAGGATTTGGGCGCTAACGTATTGGGGAGAAGTGAGCGAGTTAGGGGATACTTGAAATTAAATTTCTTTTATTTGGAACAAAGGAGAAAAAGCTGGGGTATATCGATCAAATATAAAACTACAAGGTCAGAAAAGAGACAATGGGTCAGTCAAAAGGTTGACAAGTCTCCCGGGACTATTTGAGAAGAGCTTCCTTTCTGTACTACCCTGATTTGTAACAAAGTGACATCACCAGTTGTACACCATTCCTGTAGGCGCAAAGCATTAGAAGGTGTTTGCTGGATATCGAGGTTGTTTACCATTTACATGGGCAAAGCACAGTCTTGACAAATGGTAAACAAAATTCAAGACTCATGGTAAATTTCATTTTTTGGAATCATGTTTACCATTTGCACGAATCAGTTCCTTTAACCAAAACATGGCTGCGAAAGCCTGAAACACTGGAATCAAAGATGGGTTTTAACAAATAATGGAACACCAATTCCTAATTGGAACATTCCATCTGGAAAAACAGGACTTCCTCTTAGATATTCTGTTGCTCCCCAAAATTTTCCACTGGAATGATGAGAAAAGCCATGTTTCATATTTCACTATGTCTTTTCAACAAGATTTTTCGGAAGCTTTTTGTAAATGGTGAACAACCTCAGACTCCTCGCCCAGTCTGCAGAGTATGGCTGGTGTATGCTTAAGTTTTTTAAAAAAATTTGTAAGAAATAAGGGCCTAAAAACGGCCTTGCATGTGGGAGATCTCGTCGAGTTCTACCATACTCTGTAGACGGGCTCCTCGCCCTCCCAATCTTCCCCTGCTGCTAAATCAATGTGACGTGTGTTGTTTATATGTGTTGTTTACACAGGACGCTGTTGTTATTATTCTTGATGTCAGCCCTTCAATGTGTCAAGCAGCACCTGGCCATGCTACTTCCCTGGAGACTTCCGTGAAGGCCATCAACATGATCATACAGAGGAAGGTTAGAAAGTTCTGTTTAACAAGCCCTCGAGCTCCTGGCCATTTGATTTGATCAAAGTAATCACCAAAAACAGGGCTAAAAAATAATGGTCAGTCAAACGACAATGTCTGACCAAGATGACCATTTGTCACTTTACTGGCCATGTAAATAAGTGCCAAAAGAAAAACACATTTCACACCATTAAGTTTTAAGAGGACAAGCTTTTTTTTCACTGTATGTTTTTGCTTTTTAGGATTGCATTAACTTTTTGACCAGTCAGGAGAGAGTTGTGAACGAGCTAAAATTTCTTTGGCGCGTTGACACGACCAACAACAGTCCCAAATTTATTTTGAGCCTTAAAAAATGTTAGTAGTGGTTATGTTCATCACTCTTCTGATTCAGGTTTTTGGGTTTAAAATATTTTTGTAAAAGGTTGAGAGGCTTGGGCTTAAATGTTTACTTAAACAGGATCATCACATTTGTAATTTTCTAATTCAATTTTTAACCAGGTTATTTGTATTTTAATTTATGATACTGAGACTGCCCTTACAAATTTAATTGTGTGCTATTTTTCTTTAGATGTTTGCAAACACAAAGGATGAATTTGCTCTAGTCCTCTTTGGTACTGAAGGTATGCAGCATAATAATCATACAACTTTTATAGTTTCTCACCCATTAAGAGTCAAATTTTTTAGCCAGAGTTTTTACTCCTCCTTCACAGTTTCATAATTTACTTTATTTCTCTCCTGTCCTCCCATTCCCTACCATTTAACAGGCTACCCTCCCCCACGCCTTGTGAGGTTCTAATAAGTGGTTATGTGGAAGTGCCTGTAAGTTTAAAAAACATGCCTGTGAAACTCTTTCCATAAATAGACCCAACCATTTTTAAAGAGTGTGTTAACCCTTTACCCCCCAAGAGTGCCAATTGGCAGTCGGTAGTTTTTGCACGGAGATCCCAAGAGTGCCAATTGGCACTCTTTTGGTTGCTATGTTTAGACCAATAGAATCCTTTCTTATAGTCAGCCATTCGTTACTAAGGGGTTTTGACCAATCAGAAAGAGGCTAAGAACGATGTTTGCAATCATCGCGTGGGTCTCGTTTCATACAAGATTTGTGAGAAATTTTATGTTGAAAATTTACAATGGCGGCTCGAATCAGGACTTATCTGTGTGGCACGATTCGATCAAATCGTCACGGCTTGCCTGCATCTTTGTTGCCGAAGAACGCCGAAGTAAAAGCACTCAGGAAAGGAGAGTCAAGGTTCCGCCGTCGTGGAAATCTGGTGGCCTCAGTTTGGAAGGATACCAAACTGGTATCCTTTCTTAGCACGCAGTCGAATCCTGTGGGCGACGATCACGTAAACAGAAAGCAGCGAGATGGTTCTATTATCGAAGTCCCGACTGTTCCTACTGCAGTCAGCTACAACAGCAACATGGGTGGCGTGGATTTGAACGACCAACATCGCAAGTATTATTCTGTGGGACGCAAATCACGCAAATGGTGGCGATATCTACTTTGGTTTTGAATAGATGTGAGTATTGTTAATGCTCACATCTTGGAGAAAGAAGCGCTCAATCACTTGTCCCGTTCGCAAATGTACTTCAGACTAGAACTAGCAAAGATGCTTATCGGCGACTTTTCTTCCCGCTCGCTCTCTGTTTCTGATGGGAGAAACACAGATGGCCACTGGCCTAAGGCAGCAAGCAAGGGACGTTGTAAGAGATGCTTGAAACGAAAAATAGTTAAGTTTTGTAGATTGGCGTGCACGTCTTGCGACAAACGAATTTGTTTGGAGTGCTTCCCAAACCACACCCAGACAGATCTGTAATGGCGCGAATTTTGAAATCACCTCAGTGTTACTGTGAAGAAGTTTTGCCAGATAGCTGTGCTTTCTGTGCACAAAACATTGCTTCCATAAACTTTGTGAAGAAAAGGTATTCCAAACATGCATCTTTTGTGATTTTTTCCATGACTTTGGCCTTTTATCATTGTAAATATAGTGCTGTTATTGTTGAGAAGAACTGAACATTGCCTAAAGAATGACACGAGACAGTTTGCATAATTTTGACTTGCATTTATTCAGTTTGTAACGTGAATTTTTAACATAAGATTACATAAATAAAAAGTTTATTCAATTCCCAACAAAGTTTCTTTCTACTGTGTTGTTGTGCAATGCTTAGTTTTCTCCCTAGAGAGCTTTTTGTGAAGCCACCTCAAATCACTCTCATTTTGGCCATTGGCCATTGGCCCTTGGGGAAAAGGAGTCATGCATCTCATTAGTCCCTTGGGGGGTAAAGGGTTAAACTCTCCTTGATAATAAACCCTACTGCAAACATGTCCTTTCAAAAATCAGATATATGCTGTTTGGGATTTGACAGCTTCTCTCATTCTTTATTTTGTTAGGAACGTCAAATAGATTAAATGACAAGATGGAAGCTGGCTATGAGAATATTACTGTTGCTCGCCATCTTGGCTTGCCAGACTTGGAAATGCTTCAGTTTGTTCACAGTCAGATCACGCCAGGTAGACTGCTCAGCTGAGGCCAGTCAATAAATAAAATTAGTGATCTGAAAGTATGTGTAAAAGCAATTTTACTGTCACACCAGTAAAATGTGGTTAATGGAATGTGAAGGTACAATGAAGGACAAAAGTGTTGAGACACTTCCGTAAAATGGCCCCTTTCTGCATAGTGGACATACCTATACCCTTCCCCTGTCTACCCCAACCCCCTCCCCCCAAAATCTATGTTGTATTTTGGACCTTTAAGTCTTTCTTTTACTTCAGACAACGTTGATTCGGGGGATGAGGGGGTTTACGGCGTTTAAAAGGAATGAAATAATAAATGAATTAAATGTTTGATAAAAGCACCCATTTTAAACAAGTGTGTCAACTACTTTTGTCCCTGATTGTAGTCATCAGTAACACTTTTATGGTGGTCTTTTTTTCAGTAAAGCAATAATATTGTGTAGTCAAGTTGCCAAGGTCAGCAAGCTCTAAGATACATTGTATGCTAGCCTAGAACTTTAGACGCCCTTGTTGTCTTTAGCAGGCTAGTACAATCCACAGCATTGGCGAATTTTTTAAAAGCACTATTCATGGCTAAGAGTTTGCACGTGCAACGCTGAACTGTCTTGTAGTACAGTCTTTTCTGTCTTGGTCCATAAAAACACAAAAAGAAGCTGTTTTGATCTCACACTTGGTCAGTAATGCAAATAAATTAATATGTATTAATATTATTTAATTACAGGCAATGTTGAAACAGACTGTATCCTTTGACTATAAGACCTTTTAATGTCAGTTGTATAAACAGTGTTAACAGAAACCTAACAAAAATGCGCCTGTTTTGGAGAAAACCAGGAAAAAAAGTGGCCCAGTCTCACATTTATACTCAATTATTTGTGTGTTTGGCAATAAGAAATGGGGTGTGGAGTGAAGCCACAAGTGACAAATAATAAACTGCCAGATTCTCCTTTTAGTTATCTCCTTATATGCTTGCAAATCAAAGGCAGAATTTGACATAAGATCTGGTGTCACTGGGATTCTTCTGTGCACCTGTTCTTATCCACTTGGTATTAAAACATGATTCTGACTTTTGAGAATGTAAAGAAAGTTGTGTCTGATAGCCTGGGACTAGTGGATTTTGGGATTGGGCAAGTGAATTCTGTTCTTATAACTTCCTGATGGGCAAGTGACATTTTTTGGGGGGAATTCATTACAGAGGTACAGAAAGACAAATGGTTTAAATTTCTAATAAATTCATGTGGATCGAAACCTGTTTTCTAAGCTGATTTAACATTAAATTTATAATGCTAAAAATTAAATAATTTAAGGTGCAATAATAAATGGCGAGTAATTATTTATCTTGCTCATCAAAATTTTTCAGGCCAGTTAAAATGACTCTTGTGCTAGTACATACTTTGCTCCTTGTCTGTTCCTTAACTGATCTTAAGTTATTGATGCTATTGTTGTTGGCATGGACTTGTTACGTGAAGAGGCAAAGTGAGACAACTTAACTATATCTGTTACGTTCAAATTAATACAGTCAACTCTCACCTTGTGGACATCTCACTGTAATGGACACCCCGATAATACGGATGGCTGCTAAATCCCAGACAAAAATGAATGGAAGATGTTTGACTGAAATAAACTCTCACTATTAGGACGCTAGCTTTACAGCGGTTCCTACAGTGTTGGCTATGAAGAGAGTTGACTGGAATTTCCCTAATTTTATTCTCAGAGTTTGGTAATGTAATTTCATTTTTTCAAACAGAATTTTAGTCATGTGTAATAATATTTTATATTATTTTTGGTTACGTCCTGAAATGCTTATCATTGACAATGGACTTGAGTTATAATTATCATCTCTATCTATTAGATTATTTTTTATCTCCCACCCAACTATCCACCCATTTATATATTTATTTAATATTTATTTGAATTAATTGATTTATTTCAGTGTCAAGTATGATAAAAAGATTTATTTATTTTCTGATCTGGGATCTCCCTTTGGTAATGACCAGCTGGAGACAATCACTAACGGTTTAAAGAGCCTGGAGATTCACCTTACATTAATGTGAGTAGTTTACCTCAGTCTGGTAATAATAAAAAAATAATATTATAAGTATGAGAAATTTTACGCATACCGTGCAACTGGTTTGTTGATTAAATCTGGCTGTGTACATACAGGGTTGTCAAAAGTAGCTGGCTGCTGGCGAAAATTGCCGGCTACTTGGTTAGTATCAGCAGGCTACTCTGCTTAGCATTTCTTCACAGATGGCATTTTTTAAACTGGCTGTTTACTTTGACGACTCAGCCGTCTACTTCAAATCTGACAACCCTGGTACATACAACAGTCTATATTGAAAAATTCTATGAAACATAATTTTATGATGCATGTTATAATGCATAGATTGTTTTAGTATCATTATATGGCAATGTGCTCTTTCCATATTAAACAGTGGACCAGATCTTTATGATGACAGTACGTCAGACACTGCTGGTGGAAGTGAGGGTGATGATAGTGGTCCTACAACTTCTGCTGGACTTCACAGAAAGGAGAAGACACCACAACAGGTTATCGTGTTTTCTAATTAATTTGAAGAAAAAAATGATATTTCTGAACCTGAACGGGAATGGACATTAAAACTGTGTGAATGCATTTTAAGATCCTTTCATTGATTGCTGGTTGTTCCTTATTCAAATGATTTGTCCTGTGCTCTGAACAGATTCTTATGAGTGTTATAGTGTCCATTTTGCCATTCATGGTTATATGGCATTCTTGTTATTCTGTGTTGATTAAGACCCGTAGTTACTAAAACCCGGAACGACCCACAACGATCCACAACGATCCACAACGACCCACAACGATCCCACAACGATCCACAATGACCCACAACGACCCACAACGATCCACAACGTTGTGTTACATAAACTGGAACTGACTGAGGACAATTTACGCCCATGTGATTTTGTTATATAATACGTTTTCCTTCAAGTGTGGCACGGAAATTTGTTTTCGTTTATTTGACTGTCTTTTCGCTAGCTAAGGATTCCTTTCTAATTTTGTATCATTTCGCAATTTTTAGCTTCAGATTACCACATAACTACGTTCTACCGCGTTGTTTTAATAAATACTGAAAATCCAGCCTTTGCCGTGGTTTTGCTCCTTTGACCCATCGGCCCAGCACTATTTTAAATAACGTCAACGTACCATTCAAATATACATGAGGTCTCTGCCTGTAAAGGGAAGCAATTACGTAACAATGGAACTCGTGGTAGATATATACATGAGATCTCTGCCGTCTTGATGGTCATTGTCATAACACTGCAATCCCAGTTTCGTTTTATAGCGCAGAAATGTTTACGGAGAACAAAGCTGATGAAAAATGTGTCTTATGCATATCTTTATTCGATGGTCGGCTAAAGAGACATCGATCGGACATACAAATGTGTCTCTGAATGGAGATTCTTTCTCGTGAAAAGCTGCATTTGCCCATTTATTTTGTCCTGTTTTTACCAACCCTATGAATGTGTTACCGGACTATCAAAGGTATTCTGGGTAGTTGTGAGTCATTATGTTTGCTATTCAGTATGCTTTTCAATTTTTGGAAAAAATTCAAAAGTTAAGTTTTTGATATTTTTTTCTTGGGTGGTTTCTTTCGTTGTCGTTTTGAGATCGTCCTCGGTCGTTTGAAGATCGTTGTGGATCATTGTGGGTCGTTGTGGGATCGTTGTGGGTCGTTGTGGATCGTTGTGGATCGTTGTGGGTCGTTGTGGATCGTTGTGGGTCGTTCCGGGTTTTAGTAACTACGGATTAAGACCAGGTGTTCATAGTCATGTAATATTAAATACTTGCTTTCTGGCCATAAAATACCCGAAAGAAAGCAAGACCAAGCATCTGATAACACTCCACATAAGTATTATCCAGTAAAGATTCAAATGTGATTACTTTTAAAGACAAAAATGTTTATTTTTGTAGGTAGCAGGAGAGAACTGCATGAGACAGTTGTTAGAGACCTTAGATGGAGAGACTTATTCCCTCAGGTGATTATTTGTAACCAAGGTGATTAATTTTGTATGAAATAACGTGCACAAAAGCCAATTCTCAACATTAGTATGACAATACCTGTGAAGCAGAGCAGACAGCTAGCACAACAATATGTAGGTGACATAATATGAACATACTGTTGACAAGTCAGACTAAGTTATACAGTGTGCATGAATGTTTTGCTTCAATTTTTCTTTGGTTTAATATTTATTTTCCTTTGTTTCAAGCTCATTATTATACAAATTACTGAAAAAGTAAAATTAAACCACGGATAAAACTGAACCACAACACATAATTATCTTGTTTTCCAATATACCAGTTCATATTGATTTTGTAGGGAGGACATGGTGCATATGACCTGTGCTGTGACTAAATTTTGCTCCAATCCACTTCAGCAATCATTGGGTGCCAGTAGGTCAGACATGGGAAGCTGTCACTTCATTATCTGCTCCCAGAATACTAACAGCAGAAATGGTACCTAAAAAGTAAGAGTGCACGCCCAATGGGGATGGCGAGGGTGGGAAAAATATTCAATTTGGACTTCACCCTTGGACACAAACAGTACTGGAAAGCAGGAATCATCATCAATAACAAACTACTAGTCCATGTACTGCTCATTATTTTATTGCATGATACATTTTTTTTTCACTTTTTAGTCATGTCCTTCCAATGCTGAGTTTTTTCCAGACCAGATCAGTCAAACAAACCACAGTATTCAGAGGACCACTGGAGATTGGTTCCCAGTTGAAAATAAATGTCTATGGTTATATCAGGGTATGCTGCAGTGTCTTTTAAGATTGCTTAAAATACTGCATGCTGTACTGTATGAAATCAATAGTAATTTTAGGCATGGGTTAGTTATTCAATATTCATACATATGGGTTGCCAATGATAAGTAACTGGACCTGACAAATGCTTATTATAAATTATTAGCAAAACTCTCAAAGAATGTTGAAAAACTAGAGGAAATGGAAATTAGCAACAACAATATTGTTATGTTAATGCAACACAAAAAGACATTACAAGAAGGAAAATATGATTTTTAGTGAAGTGAAGTAAAAGGGAGTATTTTGTGATAAAGTGGAACCTAGGAACAAAGGATATAAAGGGAAAAAAACTCTTCCATAGAACCTCCTCTTCCATCACCACTAAGGAAAAGGAAATAAAGCTTTGGCACATGGTACGTACACCCCCTGGCAACACCCAACTGTGTGGGGTAATTTATAACATGGTTACTTGTGTCAAATACAGTAAAAACCCATGAGTAAGAACCTACATTTTCCAGGGTTAGCCTAAACAGGTTCTTACATAAATGGTGTGGTTAACATAAATTTAGGCTATCTAGGTTCTAATAGGTTCTTAATTTCTTGCAAAAAATTATGTTGTTGCTAAGAAGATTTTAGTGATCAGCACCCTTAAATTTGCATATGTAACGATTGCTTATATTTTAATATGACCATAATAGAGATCTATTCTCACATGAATTTTAATTTCTCGAGTCAAAGCAACTTTATATACATGATTGTGCTGTAAAACACAACATTATAAACATTTTCTCAATGACCTCAATCAAACAACATTTATATATGTACTAACTTGCCTTTTGCAATTGCAATTAGTAAATATTTTTAAATGATTTTTGAAAATAAGAACCTTTCTCCAAATTTTAGGCTAAAGAGGTTCTTATATAGAGGGGGTCTAAATTGCAAATTTTAGCCTAACAGGTTCTTAAATCTTAGGTTCTTACTCGTGGGTTTTTACTGTACATCATTCCAGAGAGATATCAAAGGGAGTGCTTATCAACAGAGATTACCAGAGCTATGTCTCAGTGTAATGAAAATAATGGTTATCTAACAGTGCATTTTTTACTAAGGTAAAGGAAGAAAAACTAGCAACATGGAAAAAGCTCTCAGCCGTATCTCAAATGTCTGCAAACCCTGAGACCATGGAGGTACAGATGCAGAGATCATATCATTTGAATGACGAGGATGACACAGAAGTGGACAAGGAAAATGTTGCACAAGGTGGACACTAAATGTACATGATTGTATTCAGTACTTAAGTAGGTTATCAGTCACAAGTTACTTATTCAGTCAGTCTGATGGCCAGTTAGTTACTTGACAGTCAGTTAGACAGGCTGTCAGTAACTCAACCAGACAGTCATTAACCATGTCGGTCAGTCACTCTGTTGGGCAGTCAGTAACTTAGTTGGACAGTCAGTCACTCAGTCAGTTAGTCAGTCACTCAGTAACTATGTCAGTCAGTTAGTTGCTCTCCCCCCTTTCCCTTCCCTTTCCTTGCTATTTTTTTCCCAAATAGAGAGCCTTTTCACAGGCTAAGCAGTCAGTAACAGGGTCAGTTGAAGTTGGGCAGTCAGCAACAGTGTTTGAAAAATTAATAATATGCACTAGATGATAATCCACTAATGTTCAAGGCCTTCTCTAGGTTATCGCTACGGTAAAACACTGGTTCCATTAACAAGGATTGACAAGGACAGTATGAAACTGCCCACAGAACGATGTCTGTCAGTGCTGTGTTTTACTTCAAATGAAAATGTAAGCGATAAAATCATGATTACGACCTAGCAGAAAGTTCTTAAGTAACCAACATTTTGATCCTCCCTCCCCCCATTTTTGTTGTTATGTTCTTCAAGACAATGTTAATTAAACCCGGTTTTTGTGATATCTGGAATGATCAAGATCATAGATAAGTTGGCCTGAATGACACTTACCTCAACCTGGATTGTTCCGATATCACAATAACCTCATCCAGTTGTAACATACTTGAATAAGTGCCACAGCACTTATTAAATTTTTCATTCCTCAAGTGTGGTGCTTATTCGAGGGCGGTGCTTAATCAGGGGCAGTGCTTATTCGAGTAAATACAGAGCTATCATTATCAAAACATAGTTAAGCCCAGTATCTGTGAGTATAGACAATAGTAAACATGCATAGTCATATTAATTTGTACCACAGGTACAGAGATACCAGTACGCGGGAGAGAATGTTGTTGCCTTCGTTCCGCAGCCTGGTGACCAGGTATTGTTGTGTTTATATACCAGTAATAGACAATGACCTGAGATGCCCTCTTGCATGGCACCATCAGGAGGCATAGGTTTGCATGTCACTTCAATGCCTAAATTATTTGTTCATGTCTTCTGTCACTGTTTGGTTTTTACCAATAATTATTCATTTTCTTCTTTTTTTGTTTCTACTGAAGAAAAAACTGAAGAAAAACTTTGTTTCACAATCATCCTTGTTTCTCTCTGTTTTGACCATCAGGTGCTTTTTTTTTCTATAGTTTTCATTTTTTGGTGGTGTCCATGATGATCATGCATATTCCAGCGAAAGACAGTCTTTGTATTTTAGTGCTTTTCCACCTTATCTGACTGTTTGAAAGCATGAATTGAGGTCAGGTTTTGAATTACAACCCTTCATAAGCTTTGGAGACCACCCTCTCTGTTTTCCCCAATTAAATTCTGTCATTAATGAATATAGATTTAAAAAATAGTTACTATAATTTAATTATTTTTAGCATGCTGCAGTTGCGCTGTCAGCATTCATAAATGGCATGTATGAATTAAACACAGTGGCTATTGTGCGATACTGCAGAGCCAAAAATGCTGCGCCCAAGCTTGGCTTCCTGGCTCCTCACATTAAACAAGACTATGAGGTAACAACATTAAGATTATTGTACTTAAATTTCATTTCAAAAGTTAGAAATTAATGAAATAGTGACATCAGGTCTTATTATGCATAATCCTATGTCAGTGAAATCCTATTGTTTGCATTAAGACTTGAAAAACAAGATGTTTATAAACAGATTTTAAAATAAATGAAAAAAATAAAATAAAATAAATGCACTTTATTTGAGTGCCCATGTATTTAGCATGAAAGTACAAAATTATTATTGGGGACACTATTCTTTATGTCTCCAACGAGAGATGGGACCAACATTTTACTTGGAGCAAGAGCAGTTTGGTGTTTCAGTACTTGCCACACTGTAACTGTTTTGTGTTTTTATCCACAGTGTCTTCTGTTCACTGCGCTGCCATTTGCAGAGGACCTGCGTCAATTTTCCTTTGCTCCTCTTGATGCTAACAAGAAATGGAAACCAACTGGTAATTTATACAATCTATGCTTAAATGTAATTGCAATAATATTAAATTAGATCCTAAGAGAGTATTTTTGATGCATGGTTTTTCAGATGTTACTTAACAACTTGTGTAATAATTTATGGTGCTGTTTAAATCACTATGAAAAATAAATGGCTTTTCCAAGAATCAAATATGTTCTGCCTCAAACAACTAACTTCAAAGGGTTTTTTTGCAGGAGAACAAGAAGATGCTATTGATAATCTCATCACAGTAATGGATTTAACAAATGCACAGTGGTAGGCGACTCTTTATTGTATCTGTTGTTTCTCTCTCTTAGTAAGGTAATTATATATTTTTCATTATCTGACAGTGGTGAAGATGGACAGACCATAGAGGCATTAAAATGCAAAAATACCTTTAATCCAGTGCGACAGAGAGTTTTCCAGGTATGGTTTGTAGATAGTACGTTTAAATTCAAATTACTTAATTTTTTTTTTAGTCATGCAGTCAAAAATGCTTGAACTGAAAGTAAAGAAGGTATTCTAATGATATCATATTTAACACTTTCAGTGTATTCAGCACCGTGCTCTTAATCCAGATGACACATCTTTGCCTGATTTGGAGCCGGTTATTGCAAGGTGAGAATGCTTAGGGAGCAGGAAAAAAAAATTGGCATCATTCTTAATTACTACTTTTTCTCATTTCTGAGAAGTATTATTCAAAGCAACTTCTTTCATACTATAATCAAAAAAATAATTAGTTAATTATCATCAGTTAACAAATTACTACAGTGGAACCCCGGTAATGCAACCACTGTTAGGCCATAATCCAACCTTGACCCATAAAATCCCAGTCCTAATAACAAGGTGGTCGTATTAGCGGGGTCTTCAAATAATAAAATGACTCTGTAATTTTCACATTTGGGTCAAAAGAATATGGTTGTAATAACTAGGTGGTCGTATAAACGGGGTGGTTATAAGGTGGGGTTCCACTGTATTTATTGATCCTTTATAATTCATCTTTAGATGTGCTGGAAGTACAATGAACTTTAAACTTTGAATTTCTAGTTATTTAGAGCCCAGTGGCGAATTCAAAGCAAGATGTGTCCCACAGTGTACAAAAGTCAAGGTAAGGCTGATGAATGAGTGCAATCCAACAATAGTTACTCAAACCTCAATTTATTAATTTGAATTCTTGATTACAGTGAAACCTTGATAACTCAAACTTGAATAACTCAAATTCCCCGCTAACTCAAACTAAATTTCCTTTCCCTTGATCAAAATTTCACTGAAACTTACCCCGATAACTGGAATTCCCAGCTAATTTGAACTGTTTCTCATTTCCCTCCAGAATTCAAGTTACTGGGGTTCTACTGTATCTACAGTTGTTTTTCATGTCTGAAATTGTTTGATATTCCTTCACAGTGTAGTTAAGTTGCTGTAATTCAGGGTGCAAAGAAAGTTATTTTTACAGCTTGCCATTCAGGCAAGCTGAAGCTAACATTATTTTACTGGCTCAAACATCATTTCAACTAGCCCCAAAAACGTTTTGATGAGCAGATTGATTTCACAGTTCTTCTGTTATTTGAATTCCTCAAAAAACTGCACTTGCCTGTCGGGCAAGTTAATAACAGAATTCACTAGCCCAATAGCAAAATCCACTAACCCCGTGCTATGGGACACTACTTTCTCTGCTTGCTGCTGTAATTGCATAACCAGCATTTTTAAGTGTACCAGTATTCTGGATAGCTGGTTAATAACTAACTAACTACTAAAATCAGTTTTAGTGCTTTAGTGATACTGTATTAATGTTTATTGATAACATTTTTTTTCAGGATATGTTCCATCTAGAAAAAGTTGAGAAGAAAAAAGAAACCACAGCTGAAAATGTCTTCAGATCCATGTAATTGTTCTATTAATTTTTCCGTCGTTCCATTGCCTGTTTTGTAGTGAAATACTTAAATATTATTAATGATTTTATTCATTTACTTAACTTCAGTAGAGATGTTGAGCGGAATGGGGAACCTTCAACAAGCACAACAGATGACCATGATGAAACTGATTTTAGCATGGCAAGCTTGGCAAAGGGAGAGGTTACACAGGTAAAGTCGACACTTGGCACTATGTTGAATTTTTCCATCTCCTTTTATATAAAACAAATTGATATTTTATTATGTAATTTGCAGTACTGTAGACCTTTCCTACATTCCTGTAAACAAAAACACCAACTTGCGGTTTAGGGTTTAATACAAAAATACTGACGAGTTTCTACAAAAGACATCATTCTTTATTTATGATACACATGATGCTTTTGACATTGCTGATCCCAGTGGTACTCAGGATGCATATCATACATGAACGTTCTATGTGGCCTACAATGTTGGACAAAACTGTTGAGAAAATTGCATACTTGGGGGGCATTTTTTCTAAACTTCATAGCCGACCATTTCTTCCCTCTCCCCTCCCCCTGAAAGCAGTGTTGTTGGGTCTTCAAAAGAAAGCCGGATCTCTAAGCATTTGTAGGAAGCAACTCTGAATTGGGGAGGGGGTTTTCTTTACGCAAAGCCGTTGATTTGGAAATAGTTTTGTTGCGTTAGGTAGTGCGCATTAATGAAAACATTTTCTCAAGTAGTTTTGTCCAGGATTGTAGCTTGCCGCAAGTACTTTGTAGCTCAGTGGTTAACGCATGTGACCGGTGTGTGGAAGGTCATAGGTTCAATTCTTGCCAGGGACTCAGATTTTTTCTTTGTCTCACGCTCATGACGTGATGATCACATTTTTTATTTCTTCACTGAGCTTAAAATTTACTATCGTTCTTTGTTTATTGCAGACAAGTGATTTGCATAAAATTGTCGCCTCAAGCCTTGACCTTATTTCTTTGAGTAGAGTGTGGCTAAAGGTCATAGCTGTTGCTTCTGCATCATAGGATGTTTTTAAGTGGTTGTGCAGTGTCGGCTCATTTGATTTTTTCAGTATATACCACTCATTTTCAGGTTGGTACAGTTGATCCTGTTGGAGATTTTCGAGCCATTATTAGTCGAAGGGATGAGGATAAGTTTGATGAAGGTGAGTGTCCTGTGAAAACTGAGGATGTTTTCAAAACTTTATAAGCTGCTTGAATTTTCATGTTAAACCATTTTATTTGTTTTTATTTGAAACTAACAGCTGCCAAACAGATGAGAGAACGGATTGTGCAGTTGGTGCTAGATTCCTTTGGAGATCAATTCTATGGCAAAGCATTGGACTGTGTAAAGGCTTTGAGAGTAGAGGCTATCAAGGTAGAGATACCACCTGGATACCCAGATGACTGTCTTTTGAACCAGTGTGATGGCATTATAGTTAATTTGTCTTAATTGTTTCAATTTTGTCTAAAGTTAGCAGAAGCACTTTTGGAGTGCTGCATAACTCATGCCTTTGGCTAAATTTTTATTGCAGGCTGGTGAATCGGCCATGTTAAACATGTTTCTTCAAGAATTTAAAGAGAAGATAATTAACCAAAGGGGGCATGAATTTTGGCTTCTGTTGGTCAAAGGTAGGCACTGCAATTTGTAGAAGGGTATGACTAAACAGTGAGTAACAATACATTTAATGAGCAATGATTTTATAATCAAATAGTGAAATATTTTTTAGTTCATGGTGTAGCAAATATAGTTGTCAGCAGTGCAGATGTTTTGTGAAGTAGCTGTTGGTTGGTACTCTGCATGTCTGCTTAAAATGAAAATTTTAAAAATCAAGATGTTATAATAAAAGTTAGCATGCTGAGTGGCTTTGGTGAAAATTGCATGATCTTACACCGTATACATTGTTACTGAAAAATGGATACAATTATCTTGGTCAGAGCCAGCTATCACTGAGGGCCGGGGGGATGGGGATTTCCCCTCTAGAGGTAATATGAGCATGGCCCTGCCGTGGGCTATTTTCACAGGAAACCAAAGGAAATAGAACCAAAGATGTTTTCGCGACAAAATGAGGAAACCAAAAGTAAATTTTATGAACTTCAAAAGGAGAAATATTCTCCCCATCTAGCCATCCATCTACCCCTGTCAACTTTGAATAATACATTCTTTTGTTCTCCCAAGTCACCCTATTTAAGTACAATTTCTCAACAAGCTGAATCCATCTCCCTGTCTCATAGTGACAGGCCTGCCCTGGTGTATGGTATTGGTTGTACACGGATAAAAATATACAAAGGTGTACTGTATTAATTTTTATTTTGGCAGAAAAAGTAACTTTGATCACTCAAACTGAAGCCGCTGATAGTAATGCTACTGATGATCAAGCTAAAGAAGTAAGCTTCTTTGTCTTTGAGGAGAAATAATACTACATGTACTGTCTTCAGTTATCATGAGATACAGTATCTTAATCTTTTAACTGTTTAATAATAAAAAAGAGAAGAACGAGAAAAACGTGAATTTATGACCATGTCTTTCTCCTATACCAAGTGTTTTAGAATGATAAATAATCATAAAATGGTTGTTTTTTTTAATGTTTTATTTTAGTTTCTAGAAGATGGGAGAGGTCAGAAAGAAGAAGCCCCAGTTGATGATATGTTGGAGGATGCTGATGATTTAGTAAGCGTTCTTATTTCATGTCCAGTTACTCTGCTACACTCAACTCACCCCGGTGGACACCTCCTGTAAGCAGACACTGAGACAAGCTGCCACCCCCGCTCCCTCCCAACCACACATGGCATTTTTTAAAAAGCATCTAGTGAACATGGAGAGCTTTAAAAAGCTCTCCTTGTTCACTAGATGCTTTTTCTAGTCCCAAGGCTGTCGACTGTACAACTGTGAGGAAAATGGGACAGAAAAGATATGAGAAGAGTACAATAGCTTATGATCAAAGCCAAATAATTATTATTTTACAAGTTAGGATTTGTATGGGGTCTTCAGAGCATAACAGTGCTTATATCTCCCCACCAAACAGGCTAATTTTAAGCAAGTGGGCATTTTTTATCATGTTCTCTCTGAATTTGCCAACCTATCCTGTAATTTTACAAATTTAGTTTTTGCAACATTATCATTTCTTTTCTCTATTACGGTTGAAAATAGTAATGCCATCCAGCAGAAAAATAAAATATAATAACCCTACATGCATTTTCCCAACCCACGGTGAATTTTCCTCGGCTCCTCCTTCCTGTATTTCTCATCTGTTTCATTGTTTTTAAACTTCAGTTCATGTTCTCTTTATTACAGTTGGAAATGATGGAATAGCTCTGCAGGTTCTTAGGCTGTGCTCAGAACATCTCATCAGTGGTTACATAACCATCTTTGGAACTCAACCTTCCAATTCAACGGCACCGCAAGTTAGTGAACAGAAGATCAGAGCAGATTAACTCCTGTTGTTTTGGAACAATTTCAAGAACATTAAATATGCTGGATGCCCTGTTGCTTAGCAACCCTTTCTGGTTGTATGCATTCACCAACATGAATTTTCTGGTAGAAAGGATACCAGTGTCACGAAAAGAAAAGAAAAAAAAATCAAACGACATTCACTATGGTTAAAAGGACTTTGCATTTGATAATAATTAGTTACTATAGTTTTCAGAAAATTGTCTCATGGCTACAAAGTATTTACATTTAAAAACAATTAAATTCACCAACATTAAAAACTCAGATTTATCAAAAGAAATGTTACAATTAATAAGGATTGTATTTAAATTTTATTTGTTAGTAAGGTTTTCTGGACAGGTGGCACGTCTTATCTTTGCTCCTAAATGGCAGAGAATAGCAAGTTGTTTTCACACAGAAACAGGAATTTGATTAACTGACTGCTACTGTGTATTTCATTTGGCCATACATGATTATAGCATGACTGTCTTAGCTACATTGCAATAGTAGACTGTACCCCAGCTTTAAGTTGCTGTCTTTTGAAGCTCCTGACACTTTCTTTGGCTTATAAATATGTGGTACTGTTCAAAAGTAAGTTGACACTCGATTCTCGATCCTCGCGAGAATCGAGAATAGAGAATCGAGTCGAGAATCGAGACTCAATTCTCCATTGTTGCGTCTCTCGATTCTCGATTCTCAATTCCTGTGAGACTCATCAAACCAGAATGGCCTTTGTTTAGTTTCGAGTAATTTGCTCTCTACTTTCGATACTCGACTGCTGTGAGAATCTATAATCTTTGTTCAAGTTTTGAGTAATCTTCTAACTTCTCTCACGTCAGAAAAATCTTTGTACTCTAGAAAATAACAAACTCTACTGTACACTGTATTTTAATAGTATCAACTGATAGGTAATAAATAATAATGCTTTCATCCTTGTATCATTATAGGTCTTCATGCACAGCAAGTTTCTTATCCAGTTTTGCACCATTTTCAGTCTTAGCTTGGGGCCCATGAGGAACATCAACAAGTCGTGCTAGTGCCTTTAAAGTTTCCCTTGGGATATTTAATATATCTTCTTTTGTGACAAATCCCTTGTGTTTCTTATCCAAGTATTTTTCAAAAGTTACTCTTGGGTCTTCTTTGATATTATCATCATGGTATTCATACGGTTGTTCCTCGTAATCTCCCCAGAACTCTACAAACGCCTCCTTAGTTAAGTTTTCTTCATTTCTTTCTTTCATGGTAGCTAGAAGACTGTGCCTCATTACTTCTACATTCATGTACCCCATCTCAATATATGCATCCCCCTTTTGGTATGTCCAGTGCACTTCCACGTCACTGAGGGGTGTGTAATTTAATGTCTCATTACAACCCTCAGGTTTAAAGGGTGTGTCCAAAAGAGGTCCAGAGGTGAAAAGAATTGTTGCTGATATTGTTCTCTTGTATGATCTGACCTGGTGGATGCATTCTGTTGAAAAAACAAAGCAATGTTTTCATTTGTTTGTCTGCCTTGAACTAAAAATCCCAACTGGCAGGAGATAAGCCAGTGGGCTATTTTCCAACAGTGCAGAGGGGTGAGGCAGGGGGACTTTCAAGACCCATTATCAAAATTCATAATATTGACACTGACGAGAATAAAACAAAAGAAATTAATTGTTTACCTCTGCATCTCCATTCACTTTCTTTTGCTTTATACCCCTCAACCTCAGAGCCAAGTGTACACGTTAAAAATTTTTTAGAACTGGCTGATTCTTTAAAGTATCACTGGATGGCGGGGGAACGAAGTTTATCACATGAGTTGATTAAGTAAATTTTGCATTGTAAACAGCTGACAATTAATTTTGGATGTTGTAGACCCTTTGTTAGTGAAAAGAAAGGGATTGTGGGTTGTATGTGGCTAAGATATCGATTAGTGAGGAGAGTACACTCTTGATATTTGAATAAAAAGCATTTGTCGTGATGAGTTTTTGGGGATAATAATTCAAAGTGCAATTATAATTTTCACTTTAGATTCTCATAGCTTTCTGTGTTGCTTTGATCCAGGTAGAGACTTTGGATCACCATGTGTTGGCTAGAATGATCTGGAAGATAACAATTTAATAAAAGATTGTTGATTTTTTACTGATATTTTTTACCTGCAGGAATATAGATACAGTCTCCTGGGCTGAGTGTAGCATATGTCCATGGAACCTTAGCTACTTGTGGGAATTGCACCAAGTCGACACTATTAGGGTCAATTCCAGAAAATGATGATCCTGAATACTCTTTCTGAAAAAAAAAAAATCAGAAAGTAAAGGGTTACCTAGGATGGCTGAAAGTTAATTTAAATGGGGCAGTTCATGTTGGAAAATGAAAAAAGCTTAAGAATAGAAATTATATAATATTCAGTTTGTGGGGCACTGGATTCAAATAAGTCGAACAAGGTCATAGTCAAGAAGAGATTTCAAAGGTTTAGGAGGGTTTGGCCTGGCAAAGAAGGTAAAGGTTTATAGGGAATTAAAGTTTGCATTAAAAGAGGCAGGTGGGTGTTTAAAGGCTTAAATAAATGAAGAAACTTATGATGTTTGACAGTGAATTAGGGTACAGAATGGGTTTGGGTGGGGCAAACCAAGAGGAGAAAATCTGAGGAGAGCTGCATTAGGAGGGTTTCAAACATGATATCGTGGCAGGGGAGAACATGCTGGGTTTGCTTAAGATAATAATATTATTTTGCCAAGAAATAAGTCTATAAACTTTCCTTAGTTAGCCTTAACACAAATTTTTGGTTTTTTGCATGCACTGTCCCACCTTGAATAGTCTTGCTAGCTCTGGGCAGTGCTTCTGTTTTATTATCTGCTTCTTTTAAAATAAAGTTTTTGTTAAGTCTTTCAATAATATTATTACCATACCATTTCAAAGAAGTACAAGTCTTCAGCATATTTTCTCTCAATCATGATAAAATCTTTACGTCCAGAAACCAGGCAGTGGAGGTTGTGATCTGCATCATAATGGATGACTGAGCGTGTTCCTCCAGAGCTCATCCAAAAGTTGGTTTCATGAATGTAGTCAAGGAAAGAACCACATAGGCTAAACAGTTTGGAACCTGCATTAAAAAGATGGCTCTCTTTGAAAAAAATAATTTTTTGTAGCCTGATCCAAAATCTGGAGTTCATCCCTTTGTCATTTTTAGGCTTGCCCTCATTTGTTTGATGGAGGAGAAGTTTAAAATCAACATTGAAAACTGAATTTACCGGACAAGATGCATTCAGAGAAATAAGTCGTGAAGGTGTTAATTACGGTGTAAAATTATGGACATTAAAATTTTTACTTATAAAGAGCTACACCCTGGTTACCTGGATTTCTTTTCTCATAGGATCTGGTAGAAGACTAACAGCGTAAATATCTTCATGTTTGTACCGAGACAGAAACTCGGAGATGTTCATTCTTCTAGTCGAGTGTGCTCTATCTTCTTCCTTTAACTCGATTAGTACATCTAATTCACCGTAGCTATCTCTCAAATAATCATCATTTATCCACGTATTTAAAGCTGGTGATTTTCCAATTCCTTGGCGGAGCACAAGCGGAACAGAAAGGTTCACATGCTTTTCCCAAAACTCTTCCGGTCGGACAGCCTCAGTGTACTCTTTAACTGCTCCACTGGGAGAACGTTGATGCCCAAGTGGCTGAAGGTGTCCGGTGAGAAAGTTTTTATCCTCATACACAATAATTCGCGGAGGGAATTCAGGAATACTTAAGCTGTTGACACGACACAGGGTCAACAAAGTCGACAAAAAGGCACGAGTAAAGTAGTTTTTTGCCAGCATGATTTCTCAAGAGTCTTGAGTCCTTCTTTGAAGATCAAGGAACAACATAATGCTAACATTTCCACCTGCAGGGAGACAACATATTGATAACTGTTGGATGATTAGCCACACAATGCAAGAAACAGCATCTGTTTGAGAGTCGTGTTTGGCTGACAATAACGGTAATATACCTTACATAATGTAGCTTACATAATGTAGCTTACATGAAAGGAAACACGATCTTAGTGCGTGACATTTCGTCGACTTAAAAAATCATTTGGTTGAAGTCGTTTTTTTGGTCTCATTTTTGCATTAAGTTCTCCGCTAGACTACACAAACTAGGAAACTAAGCCATGTTTTTGTATAAATGTTATTATGTGGCTTTAGATGATTCCACTTTAGCCTGAGTATCAGGCGTTTCTGGGGAAAAGGGGAAGGATGGAAGCGAAAAAGAGAGAGAGGTTAGAGAAACGCCTGACACAGATGCTTTTACTGGAGCCTTCCACCCCCACGCAGCATGATTCGATACCATCCAATCAAAATCACTTCCGGTCATTGGGTTGTCAAAACGTGAAAAAAGCTCGCCTAAAATAAATCTCAGTTTACGGTCTGGCCGAGCTCCGTTGCTTGTGTTGCTACGATTTCGCTTTTTTTTCTGAAACCTCCAATGAGGAGTTTTCGAATACTTGTACTGTAAAACCGCCATTTAGGAGGAATTATAACAGTGTAAGATCGCCAACGCTCTGTTTGTAAATAAACGTGTGCCCGGAAAATTGTAAATTGCTTTTGTTTACAGAGTTAAAAATCAGCCGCTTGTCTGGCAGCTAAAAAGCTGATGTTATCCTCGTATTCTCGGGTGGTTGAAAGGAGCTGCAAGAATAAATAGGAAGGTGCGATGATGAAACAATGCCTAGAAATTATCAAGCAGCAGATCTTCACAGAGAGCTCGTGAAAGCTGTTTCAAGTTCAAAAAGAAGTGAGACTATAGCAAAAAATCGAAATATTGGTTGAAGACATTTCAAAAGTGAGAAAATTTTTTTCACACGTACGCTATCGTAACCGCAACCAAAGTCAAGCTTTTTAAAAGCATTTGTCTCTTATCTCAATACATGGCTACCTCGCTCTATTTTCATTTACAGTAACAATGCCCTTTTAACGGCAGGATGTTGTAAATCTGAACTTAGATATCTGAAAACTGATATTGTCTTCTTTGTCCCGGTCTTGTGAAACCATATGAGGCTTTTCCACACTCCGAGTACATCTTTCCTTTAAACTACGAGGCCTTGAAAACACAATTCTTGCTCGGGTTTTATTTTTATTCCAGAAAAGAACTTGAGAGCGCCCTCTAGAGCCTTTTTGAATTCCTCTCTGCGTCTCTGTCTGTAAAAGTATCACATACCGGTAACATGAAATCAAAACGTGTATGAAAAAATCACAATGACCGCCTCCTTGCCGATCGCTCTTGCGGTCAGTGACGTCAGGGGGTATTGTGTGTTATCCAATCACTGCCACATCCAGATTTTGGATGTGTCACACGATTTGCTGAATGGTTTTGTGTCAGGCCTTCCTTTCTCTTCTCCCCCTCCCCCTCCCCCTCCCCCATCTAAAATCTCCTCTCCCCTAGCCCCTTAGGAAGGCCTGATACTCAGGTTAATTCCACTTTGTATCACATAACATAGTACCCGGGGGGAGCGCTTATGGGAAGCTTGGCAGTGGTCTACTTTATACTTCTGAGGCCTCCTAACCCCAGAGACCATTTCCCCCTTGCTCAAGGCTTCTGGTTCAGAACCTCTTAAAAAATCTGTTGAGGACCCTGCTTGACTCAGTCAATAACCCGAAAATCATACTCTGTTCAGCTCAGTAGCACATAGATGTTTTTGTAGGGCTTAGGTGAAGTCACGCAATCGTCGACCGAGGTGGCCTAAAGCGAGAAAACTGGAAGACCTGTCCTTTGGAACTGGTGGGAAAAAATTTCGGGCCGACCCTTGAGTTATCCGTTTACGGAACGATGCTGTCTTCTACGGCCAAAGTAAATCCTGATTTAGCCTTAGAGCGAAAGAAGGCCTCTTTTAACCCGATTGAGCTCAGTTACCTGCTTCACGGCGGACGGCAGAAGATCGAGAGAAAAAGATACCTGGGTACTGTAATTTTCTTAGATATTTTGCAAAAACCTGCGACGTTAACTCCAGTTTTCGGAAAGTCAAACACGCTCGCTCAGTATGAATTTACATCTGTTATACTGTTTCTTGAAAACAGGTGGCGAGCATACGAACACTGATTGAGTTCAAGAAAGAAAAGTCATCATATTTTTGTGTACAGATCACAGCTACACTCACAGCTGTATAAAATTGCACAAATGTCTTGTCCAGGCTCATATGAAGCAACTTTTCCATAAAGTACCATTTAATGAGCACATTTATTTCTTTTAGTTTTTCATCTAATTTATGTCTTTTTATCATTCATTTTAGTCTGTTTTTATCCAATTTACTATTATGTCTGTTAGTCATTCAATTGTGCCTGCTTTTGTTATACAGCTTTTTACCTCTGTTAGACTAGTCATTTAAGGGCTATTTGGATGGAGGGAGGAAGATCTATTGTAGTACCAGGCAGATCCTAGAAGGCAGAAATTTTGGTCGGTGTGGTGCCCAAGTAGAGAAGGAATTAATGATGGCAAGCGACAAAACAAAACTTCATTTTGTTTGGGCCCTTCTGCTCTTTCTCCAGCGTTAATAACTACCTTTCAGCAGAATTATCACAATAATCAGCTCTTGGTAATGCCAAATGAAATGTTCAGCCTTTATTACAGTGATTACCCACTGAATGACCCACTATTCTTGTCTGATTTGTCCCCCCTTGACGACTCATTTTTCATGCAATTTTGCCAGTCTGCATGTCATGGCTTGTTGCCATGATTTGATTGCTCAACCATAACTGATCACTTTTCTCTGAACCTGCGAAAGCATAGTTGGATACTAACACTGACAAGTGCATAAAGGGAGGCAAAAAATGGTGTGTAGACTGATCTGTGATGTCAGTGAAGGGGTGGTAGATAAATATGTACCAATAAATGGCAAATATAAAATACCTATTTATATTATGCGTAGTTCACTTTGCTCTAAATGTACTTAACATCACAACTCGACGGTTTTGTCAGACATGGTGCTGAGCAACAAGGCCATGAAAGGGCAAGAAGCTGCAAAAGCATGTGAAACTGCAAAAGCGTGCGGAAGAGTGACAAAGTCATGAGAAAAATAACTATTGGTCCCACCCCAATCTCCTCATGGCAGTTTTACTGCCCTTGCCTGCCTTGGCTTGTTTGTGTGCCTGACCAAAACCACTATGCTACGCAGGCTAGGAAGATTGAAGGAGGCTCTGCAAACAGGATAATTATTTAAGATTACTCTGAACATTATTTACGTAGCTGAATTCATGTATAGGGTTGGCAGATATATGGTAACTAGTAAGAAAATTGTGGGTTTTGGAAACAATGGTTGGTGGTGAGTCTTGAATTCCTGTTTTTTTAGTTTCTTTGTTTCTCAGATCTTTGAACTCAAAGTCTAGATGTCTTGTGGTTAGTCTTGTATTAACCCTTACTTAATATGGAGTCAACAATGACTTGCTGTATCATTCACATGGTGCAGGCTGTTATAGCAAAACAATTTCTAGCACTGTACTGCTCTGAGAGGTCATATAATATTATCCTGTATAATGTCTTTCCATCCTTTACATTTTTAGAATCCTTGCTTGTGAAGGATCCCATTTTTAGCAAGGAAGATGCGTATGTTTGTGATCGCAAGCACCAGTATGAAAGATCTTGTGAAAAAGGGCTGCGGATGTTAGAACTTCATAAGAAGTACAACATTACTGATGAAGATGACATTCGCATGTTGAACAGGTACATTATTTTTGAATAAATTACTCTGGTTTTTACTGCATGGTAAATATAATTAAGCTATACATGACAGTGAACTCTGTCTAAAACAGACACCTTTGCAGTGACCAGAACTTATAAGCAGGGCTCGAAAAAAGCCCCGCTCGATAGTCCCACCGGGATAAGTAGATTTTTTGCTGGGAAAGTAACTTTTAAAGCTTATACTTTCCCGATGGGTGAGGATCCAGGCATGTCATCCTCTATAGAAATCATTCACTAAGACAAACAAGAAGTGGCTCTGAGCAGGCAAAATGTGAGAGCTGCTTGCCCTGCAAAGAACAAGCTGGAAATCAAGTTTTTTTTTTTAGCCCTGACCAAGTCTCCATCTTAAAGAGATGTCTGTCTTATAGAGAGTCAGATTGCAAGTAAAGGATGTAGAGAAAGGCAGGCCGACCAACTGTAGGTGTCCATTTTACAAGGTGTCCATTAAGAGAGAGTCAGCTGTATTATTTTTTACAACAAAGTCAGTAATGTAGCCTTAAACTTCCTCTGGGGGAGGAAAAACAATGACGCAAAGAAAATTCTTTACCTCATTGTCTTTATGGCGTCTCCGTGGCTACAGCAATGTAAGGCTGATACTAGGTAGAAAAATTGTTTTTGTAAGACATCAATATGGACACCAAGAACTCAAGGGTGTGGCTAAGGAAAAACTAAACAGGGTTCTAGCCATAGGACTTCTACTCAACTGCACCTTCAGAATTACCCCACGTCAAAGGAGCTGGATATTAGCATCTTCCCAGCATGCTTTGCACCTATTTCGGGGTGATTGTTTCTGCTCTGTGTGATGAAAACATGAATTTTACTTAAAGTTGCGGGGACATTCGCGGCTTTAAGGGTGAGATTTGGAGGTAAAGTACTAGGTCTTTACCTAATTTTTCATCTTCCATCTGGATGACAGAATGATTCCTTGATTAAAGTATCCTGTTTTCTTAATGTTTTCTGTAAGATTTGACCATGTGACCTTTCTCTCCTTATACATCGCTGCTTATCTGTTGTATGCATGGTGTTTTTGGATTACTGTAAAATTCCGAAAATAAGCCCCAGGGCTTACATTTTTCATTTTTTCTTGGAGGGGCTTATATTCGGAGGGACTTATGGAATTCGGCTGTTTGATAATATAGTTTGACCACAATGCATGACAGGAATATGGTAATATCCTCCTTTCCCCACATCTTGAGCAGCTGGCTCCTAATGGGATAGAGAATGTGGTACAATAACTGCCCTGCATATAAAAAGTTATTGATCTTTCACATTTTAAGCATTTTTTGTCAACTTCTCTCTAAAACTAAATAGTTGTGAAATTGTCATCAATTATTACATTTTTGTTGGTGACTACTGTACATTATTGTTTGGTTCAAAATGGATAAAAGTAAAAAAGTGTCTGTTTTTAAGGCTAGTACTGCATTTAATATTTACACAAGGTACTACACTTTGAGCCATGAAAGATTAACAAAAAAATGTTTTTAGTCTTTCAGGCACATATTTTCCATATGGTCTGAGCAACGCAATGTTTATTCCAACAATAAAGGTAGGCATGTACAAGATAAATCAGCCTCTTAACCTTAATCAATTAAAAGTCAATTTACTGTGAAGAGTACAATTTAAAATTCTATTAACCATATACTGTTGCACTGTTGATGTGAAATAATTATAGCAAAAAATAATGCATGTGATGTCAGGTTCAATGTTGGGTGCATGTATTCCTAGTACAGTTGTAGCTCAGGGAATGTTTTCCAGAAAAATTTTGATTCCAAACACACCTTGATTTAACAAGTTCAGAGAGTGGAAGTCAATTTTTAGTTTGTAGTGCAACCTTGCCAAGACTAGCTCGATCATGCCCAGTCCCAATGACCCCCCCCCCCTCCCCCGAAAAATTGACCCAGCCCCCAATGGGAATGACTTAGGACATTATATGACGTCTTACATGATGTACATACTATCAAAATTCGAAATCATCGTTTTGATGCTATAGAAATAATCTTTGTCAATGACTAAATACGTGCAAAAATGCCCCAGAAACTGTACTGTGAATAAGAAAAATTCAAGTTTTGAGCTAAAAATGGGCTAAATCTCAAACTAAGTCTGTTTTATATTTTACTAAGTATTCAATATTTATAGTGGATGTAAAAAGCGGGAGATGTATGTACCAAAGCTGGAGAGCGGGAAACGAGGCAAAAAAGCGTAAGTCTCCCACCAAAAGCGGGAGACTTGGCATCACTGAATATTGCAGTTGACTGCAATGCACGCAGGAGTTAATGTTTATGGGTTCAATCCCCTGGGCTGGGCCAATACCTAATAATGAAGATTCTACCTTTGCCGGGCTGCAAATGGCTAGACCTTCATATCTTAGATGACTATGTAAAATGATGGCCCTGTGTCGAGTAGGAGATGTATAGAGATTAGTATATAAATTGACTCTCAAATAAAGAGTGTAGATGTTTGCAGTTTCACTGGTCAACCTAACTTTGCTCCTTCCTTATAAATTTGTTTGTGGTGTCCACATAATTTTTGCCACTGATTTCTTCACCATTTCCAGCAACTGTGGTCCATTTATTAATTTTTTGTCAACTGAATGGTATTTACAGAGTCAAGGGACCCCTGAACAAAAAGCCAAGTGGCTTCCTCTGGCAGAGTCTTACCAGATCATTGGAACCTATGCACAAACTGAACTAGGCCATGGTAACAATTTTCGAAGCTTATTATGAATTATTAATACATCTCAATAAACTGTCTTTGCATGAATATCTGAAGAAAATTTGATGAATAATTAATTAAATTTGATTCTACAACAAAAGTATTACAGTCAACCCCCCATGTGCGACCACCCGACCACTAATCCAAAACACCAAAATTTTCCCGGTCAAAGCCTTGCAGTTGGAACCTCTAGTAAATGACCACCTCATGAAAGCAACTGCAACCACTTTTTGGGCCTGACAGTTAATTTTCCATTGTTTTTAACCTCTTGTAAGCAACCACTTGGCGCGTTCTCTGATCTCTGTTTTTGCTGTGTGCACTAGGTTACTTAGAATATACGAAGCACTTTAGCGATAACATGGAACTACACATATCCTAACATAAGCGTTGCATGCAATAAATTATCTTCCATAAAGTAGATGTGCCTGGACCTCTTCTTGGAAGAGACCCCCTGCGGTTCGATTCTTGTAAACGACCAACTCCCATAAACGACCACTCAGTCTCTGCATTTTAGGTGGTTGCTTATGGGATGTTTGACTGTATAAGCCATTATAATGGCCAACTTTGACATCATTAACTTACTGGCAAGTTATAGTTTTGGAATCTAAATATTGGTTAGGTGCTCTTTCATTTAATAATAGGTAAATTAAAAATATTTTATAACTGGCCCAAGTTTTTCAAACAGTGGATAGTGCTATCCACCACATAAATCACTATCCAATGGTTGACTATCCGGGAAACCAGTTGCCTTATCCTGTGCGGGATAGAGATTTATCCAGTGGGTAGCTTGGCCAGATGGTTATCAGCCACAGAATGAATTTTCCCTTTTTTAAATAATATTATGGAACATTTTTGGCTGATAATAAGTTCTCTAAATTTTAAACTGGTTAAACACTAGGTTGCACAGGTACTGTAGCCTTGGGAAAGGTTAAAAAAAATTTAACCCAAAATCAGATTTGACTTTTTGTGACAAGTGCATAACAAATTTAGAGATCAGGCTTCTCATGCTTGAGTGCTTTTTGAGGAATTCACCGTAGTTGAAGAAGCAGAATAAATTATCATAATCATATAAAAATGACAGTTATAATTATTTTTTTAGGAACTTTTATTCGAGGCTTGGAGACAACAGCAACCTATGATAAGAAAACTCAAGAATTTGTCATCCACTCACCATCACTTTCGGCTTCCAAATGGTGGCCAGGAAACTGTAAGTTTTTTTTGGACATAATTGCACAGTTTATGATTGCACATGCTGTACATTTAAACTGTTCAGATACATCTCACAGGATCCCACAGACTGCTACATATTCATTCAAAGCCTGTTTACTGAAATTTGTGAAAATAGTCAGAGTAAAAGAGATCATCAAATTTTCACAAGAGTGAAGGTGACTTTAAACTGAACTGTATTTGTTCCAGGTCTGGGTCTCCTTTCTGAGGTTGCAACACTCCATTTTCTCTAAGATTGCACATTATTTTGCAAATTCTGTAGACTCACAAGGTTCAAATTCAGAGTGATGGCTAACAAAAACACAACACGTTTTTCGGATCTCCACAAGGAGGCCTAGCGAGCTCCTAAACCTTAGGTCATCGCGCACAAAGAACATAGTCTGCTGAAAAACAATCTCAGCAGAATGAGAAACCTGTTGAGAATTTGAATCTGGTTTTTGTGGAGAGAGGATGTGTGACACAAGGCAAAATCTTTCACTCCATGCCATCATGAGGTTGCAGTTGTGGGATGGGAGCACTGCCTCTACCATTAAGTCTGTAGTCACTGAAGATTTCAATTTTTTTGTAGCTAATTTAACCCATTCGCTCCTGGAGATTTTGCCGAAAAACGCGTTTTGAAGCTAGTCGAGTGGTTTTCTGGTCACTGTCGTGCTATAAAGAGCTAAAACTTACCACAAACTGGTTTACAGGTTGAACACTTTCTGGCCTTGTGATCCAGATGCAAAATATCAGCTTGCGAAGTTCGGGCATGCGCAGAAAGCAAAATTTCGAGATAGTTTTTGGGTTTAAAAGTGACACAGCAGTCTTGACTTTTACTTTTCGCTTTCTCTCCTCCCTTCTTTTTTCGCTTTTCTTGCCTCATTTTTTTTTTCTCTTGCTGGGCATTTAGTGGGCTTCATTTTGGTGGGAAGAGTTTTTAGGAAAGCTTTTAGGATCTTAGGATTAGGTGAAAGGAAAGGTAGGTGGGTAATGGAACAAGATTTTCTTGGAGATTTTCAGGTCAATGTCACGTGGTTTTTGGCTTGTTTCTCTCGTGTCCTTGACTGAATTGTGCTCATTCTGGTATGGTTTGAAAGATCTCTTCACTCTGCACAAGTTAGCGAAGAAAGTTGTCCTTGACCATTAAAACTAACGATGGGTAGAAAGGACCTGGATCCGCACGGGCGGTTACGGGCGGTTCAGGAGCGAATGGGTTAAAGAATTTCTTTTATTTAATTTATTTTATTGATACCTTTTTAGTGGGCAAGTCATCCAATTTCGCCATTGTAGTTGCAAGGCTTATTGTGGATGCAAAGGACCATGGAATACAGATGTTTATAGTCCAGTTACGAGACTTAAACACTCATCAACCTCTTCCTGGTGTGTTTTGTAACATTTTCTATATAGTTTTGTGATATTAAGTTTTAATAAATTTCAAGTCAAGTTGCCTTTAATTTCAGATGATCTGTATTCTATAAAAAATTACTAGAAATTTCAATCAGAAAGCTTCAGTGTATACTGTTGTTAGTATTAGTTAATAGCAGGTGACCTTGCTTTTGCAATGACCTGACATCAATTTTTTTCTTGTGTAAGGAATAACTATTGGAGAAATTGGTCCCAAGTTTTCCGGCTCCCTGGACCCAAATGATAATGGATTTTTGTTACTTGATCATGTACGAATTCCACTGAATCATATGCTAATGGGACTAGCAAAGGTATGAAATGATTTTATTTGTACGTCTCGTACATGTATGATGGATGCACTGTTAACCACATGTACTGTGCGGTGATTGAACTTCCATGTGCCCCTGCCTCTTGTGAGTGACCAGCTCCCATAAGCGACCAGTTTCTAGTCATCTACAATACTCATCAAAAATCGTGAAACACTGGAGTGCGTTTCCGCTTCCGCGGTGTTGATTTGGGTATTACAGTCATCTCAGTGCTCCAAAATGTGTGTGGCTCGACATTGGGGAAGGAGAGGGGCTCATCTGAGTAAGAAAAAAAGTGCAATGATTGAATGTAAGAAGCAGTGTCTGTTTCAGCGATTTGTGATGAGTATTGTAGCTTCTATCCGGTCACTTCGTTCCATGGACAGATCATTCCAAGCCAGATCGTTCCACCTTATCCTGCACCCGGTCATTCCTTTAAGGGATCTCCAGTTGATGAAGCTTGTGTCTACTGTCAAGTAATTTTATTTTTATTGTTACCTTTCCCAACAGCTTTCCCCTGATGGTACCTTAACAAAGCCAGCAAACTCCAAACTTCTTTACGGAACAATGAGTTTTGTACGTGCACAGATTGTTTTCTCATCTTTTCAATCATTATCACAAGCACTGACAATTGCTATACGTTACAGTGCAGTAAGAAGACAAGGCAAGCTAAAACCTGGGTAAGCTTTCTGTCAACTGTCCAACTTATGATTTGCTGGGAACCATATGCATTGTGTTCTGTAGATTAAACGATACAATTGGAGTAGCCTGTTAAAAAATTTAATGTACATTTCACGTCACAGATGTATTAGAAATTCCTGTGATTAAAATATCAGGCCATGTTCACACGGCACTGGACGAATTTTTGACCGGCTGAAGAAATTTGACGCGATACTTTTCACACGGGATGGTTCAACTTTTTCGCTCTGTTTACAGGGAACTTTGAATGGCTAAGCGTCTATATTTTCATACTGTTAAATTTTAAGGTGGTTCAGCGTGAATGGAACACCTAAATCCACAAATTTTCAGCCGGTTGAAAATTTCGTCTGGTGCCGTGTGAAGGTTAGCCTCATTTTCTCTGCATGAGTACAATAAGCACTGGAGGCAACTGCCAACATTTTGCGACACCACCATTGGCTTCCCAGTGAAATGACGTCTGAGGACAAGAGCATAAATTCTATACTGATGACTTGTCACTACCCATATTAGCTTCAACCAATCAGATGCCCTGGGTACTCTTCAGTTACTACTTCTGATTGACGTTGGTCTAATAATTATACGATGTCTTCCTTGACATAGTAACCTCCACCACCTGATCACGACACCAGTGGTTTCCCCACAAAATGACGCCTGAGCAACAAGTGCAGATGACATGTCACTACCCAGATCTGGGTATGCCCCTTGCAAGCTGAGTGATACCTGAAAGGTTACTGCAGCCACCTTACACAATGACTAAGTACACTGCTACATCAGTTACAAGATGTAAATAATACATATTATTTATATATCTTTTACGTCAACAGTGATTCTGAACTACAGGTTATTGACTATAAAACTCAACAGTACAAACTGATACCAGGATTAGCGATGGCCTATGCTACAAGATTTGCCTTTGATCATGTTTGGAGTTTGTACCATGAAACTCAAAAACAGATAAGAGCTGGAAATCTCTCCATGCTTCCCCAGGTAACGGCAATATTTTTTGCATTAAAATTGATAGTTGAAAGATTTAAGGATCGGTGTTTTTGTTTATTAACGTTTGCATTTTTGGGATAATGTCATAAAACTATGAAAGGTTTGAACCCAAGAGTCATTTCAAAAGTAGGTTGAGTATGATCATCCAAGTGAACGTAGTGCTGAACAGGACTGTTGTTGTTGGTAGTGACTGACATTTCGACGACCTGTGCAGTAGTCATCTTCAGAGTAAAAGTGAGTTGTATCACGTCAGTTGATGGTATTAATCTCTGGGTATTGTCTTGATTGGTCCGTTAAGTCACCATGTTATTGGTTGTCTGTCAGTTAAGCCGTGATGTTATAGGCTATGAAAATTTGCTATGTCAGCAATAACAACAACAACAACAGTCCTATTCAGGATTACATTCACCCAGATGATCATACAAGTCATGTACTCAACCTACTCAACCCTACTTACGGAAAATGTTATGTTGCGTTACATTATGTTAATAACTATCGCTATATTTCAACATTTCCCTGTGTTGTTTATTTTGCAATAATATCTTGTAGGTTCATGCTTTCACCAGTGGTCTTAAAGCCTTCTGTACGTCAACATCCATGCACCATGCAGAGACATGTCGGTTGGCTTGTGGCGGACATGGATATTTACTGTATAGTGGTTTGCCTATGTTGTACTCGTTGATAAATGCTGCTTGTACTTACGAGGGAGACAATGATGTGCTTTATTTGCAAGTTGCTAGGTAAGCTGAACATACTTTACATCACATTTTTGTTGCTATTCTGTGCCATACATCTATACCCTGAGGATACTTTGGCTAGTTAAGGATAGGAACGTGCCCGGAAGGTTTTTCCACTTCTTTAAGGGGAAAGGCAAAATGGATCTTGACTGGTTTGTTTACATCTCTTTTCTTCACAGGGACATTTGTAACGCTTAGAGATCGGATCTAGCATAAACATAATTGAATCGTTTTGCTGTAGGTCCTGTGCTTTTAGGTTTCCTATCAAAGGACTTTGATACCAAAAAGGAAAATTCTTTTTAAGAATGATATTGAGCCCCCTAGAAACTATACAGCCTTGTTCCATGGCACATACAGTGATACCTAGATTATAACTTGCTTATTGGAGTGCCCCGGCTTTGCCTCCCCTACGGACAACTGTCCATTGCAAGAAAATTATTTGTCATTTGGACTTGCTGTTAAGCACATAGACTGTTGAGGTCACCATTTCTAGATGTGGAGCCAACTGGCAGTCCCCCACATTTTTCAGCTCTTACCAATTTATTTTGATTCTCGACTCCAAAGAAATTTGGACAGTCATCTTTGTCTAAAAAGGATACAACCCAAAGAAAAACCTTCAAGTTATACTTATAAAATTTCACTGCTATTTTGTGGGAGATTACGACTGGCTGAATTTAACCCTGTTTTTGTTTAAGGGAAGGGCGTGGCTGTATACAGGCTAGCTGCTGTAACGTATTTGGTGATAAGGTCTTAAAGATTTAGAAGGGTTTGTCATTTGTTTTTGTGGATGTTGCAGGTATCTTGTCAAAATTGCTTCAAATCTACGGAAAGGAGAAGCTCCACCGGAATCACTTTCATTCCTCTTGCAAAAACCGGAACTGTGTCCAGCAACAAAAGCCTGTGAATTTTTGGATCCCAAAGTACAAAGACGGATATACCAGGACAGGACCACAAGGTTGGGTATAATTATAATAAGTTCAATCCAATAGCCATTTCCTGTTTTCTCTTTCTGCTCTTTTGACTGTGCCCAGACCACACAAAAATAATGTTGTGCTTTTGCTGAAGATTACTTAAGGAATAATCGTTTAACTCTTCGTTCATTATTATCTCTTAAATATGCAGTGAGGTAAAGAGTTTAGCTGAAAAGTTGCAAGACAAAGTAATTTCCGGAATGGATTCTATAGATGCTTGGAATGATACATCAATTGACTTAGTTCGCTGTGCTAAGGTAAAAAAGGCTTTGCATGATTTGTAGGTTGACTTGTAGGTTTAAATGATAAAATGACAAATTATTGAACGCCTTTTCTCAAGTAGCTTTTGTACAACTTGATGATGACCATGTGGTTTATTAAATTGTGAGGTAAAACAAGGTTAGTGATTCAAAGCAAGAGCCATCATTTGCTGTTCCAAACTCGATAGTGAAGCTTTATTGAGCAGGTGGTTGGGTTGGGAAATCAGAGCAGGGAAACTTGTTATGACTGTCTATAGCTCTGTTCAACTTATCCACCACCTCCAGACTGCTATATTTTAAGACCCAACCTCGTTTTTTTACCTAACCTTCGTTTGCCATGGGTAGAGTCAATTAAAGGTCACTGAGAGTCACGTTTTTTCATCTGATGTTGGCCGGACAGTTGTGGAAGATTGCCATCTGTGGTGCAAGTTAAGTAAAAAGTAATGAGATTTATGCAAGTACTTAAACGTTAATATGTTATCAGATTAATCATAGCTGTTTGTTTATCTCCTGGTAGGACTACAGTCACTGTGTCATGGTTATATTTCTGCTTGAGTCGATGGAGAAACTTTCTGGTATCAGTCAAAACTTGCGCACTGTTCTCAAGTCCTTGGCGGATTTATTTGTTCTGCATGGCATCACTGAGAACTCAGGCAGTTTTATCGAGGTAGGAGACATTGAAGCCTCCTCTCTAGTATATATAGTGACAATACATCACAGTTGTAATATTTTAGTTCTTTCACTGAGCAGTGAAAATGAAAACTTGTTAGATCGTATTTACTTATATTTAAACAAGACTAACAAATTGCACTGAAAAGTGCAAACATTCTATTCCAGCAGTACCCACTATTGCATCATGAAGGTTGTTGCTTATTGTACTGGTAAACTGCCCCCACTATATATACTCCTGACATTTTCGCATGTTCATCCCTACTGCTTTGACCGACCCTTCCCATGTTGCATCAGATTTGTGTTCTGGATTACACTAATGTAACCAAATCATTTCTCTTGTGAAAAAAAAAAAATCCACCACAATGCCAGCATTAAGAGGTATTTTCTGTTTCCTGTCATTATAGCCAGGAATTCTTAATGAAAAGCAGCTGCAAACAGTCCGTCAGCAAGTGTACAGCTTAATCAATCAACTTAGGTTAGTACAGTTCAAAAGTATACTGTAAAATGGTTAGAGACCTGTTTGATAGGTACTTTTGGTCATTGCTCTTGTGGCTTATTATCATTTTTGATAGCACTAATCTTGATGTGCATGTTATGTAGAAATGGGCCTTAAACCTTCTATCAACAAGTGCATTGTTAAGGTTATTTGGGGTGCATTTGGAGTAGAACTGACAGAATATCTTTCCATTTCAGTAAAAGCTACGTTCTAGCCAAGTCAATGTTCTAACTTGAAATTTGTTTTGTTGGCTCAATCTACCTTGTTTTAACAATTTTTTGGGGATAGAAAATTTTTAGACTTTACAGTAATCAAAGCAAAATCTCAACTTCTAAATCCTGCTGCAATGTCCACTTACTGAAATGAAATTATTTTTGCCTTTTAACTTGCAGACCTGAAGCAGTTGCTTTCGTGGATGCGTTTGATTACTCAGACTTTGTTCTCAACTCACCTCTTGGACGCTATGATGGCAATGTATATGAAGCCCTTTTCAAGTACGCTCAGAAGGCAGCTTTGAATGACCGTCAGGTAATTGATCCAAAATAATTATAGCAAAATTAAAAACGTAATGCCCACATTCTGTCACATTTTGGTCACTCAAAACTCAATCATCCCACTTTGCTTTTTAGTCACCCTATCCCTTGTGGTCTCGCCCTCCTGTGGTGTCACGCCATCCTATATCCCATCCTTTGTGGTCACATCATGTTATAATCTTGGCTTTTCGTTATGTTACAGAACATTGTTGTCACACCATGCTTTATGATAATATAATCCATTTCATTTACAGCATGATTTCCACCATCCTTAATTATCTCACCATGCCCCTTGTTCACAACAAGTCTTCATACCACCTATTGAATACACACCATGCATGCCTTTGACTTTCGTCATCCTTTAAATTGGTCACACCTTGCTTCAGGTTTTACAACTATCTTTATGGTTACATTATCCATTGTGTTTACACCGCCATCCTCTTTCGTCACACTATCCACTGTGTTGTCACCATTGCTTTTGGTCAAACAATTCTTTAAGGACACGCCACTCATTGTGTTCTCACCATCCTTTCTGGTCATGTAAACCCTTCTAATTGATCAATTTATTATGATCACAGAACCCTCTACAGTCACTGTCTACCTCATAGTCACACCATCCTTTCTGGCCACAATATCTATTGTGTTCTCACCATCCTTTCTGGTCACTTTAACCCTTCTAGTCATGCAATTCATCATCATCACACAACCCTCCATGATCACTTCTTACCTTATAGACACACCATCCTTTCTGGTCACACTATCTGTTGTGTTCTCACCACCCTTTCTGGACACATCATTCCTTCTAGTGACACAATTCATTATGATCACATAACCCTCTATAGTCACTCCCTACCTCATGGTCACACCCTACTTTATGGTAACACCATACTGGGTTTCTCTGGGGTCACACTATCCAATGTGGTTACAACTCTTTTTGAGTCTGATGTGATACAACTAACCAGACGCTCTTACCACTCACCACTCACTTTGACTCTGAAGATGACTACCGCACAGGTTGTCGAAATGTCAGTCACAGTCAACAACAACAGTCCTATTCAGGACGACGTTCACCTGGAAAATCAAACTCAACCTACTTATGAAATGACTCCTGGGTTCAAACCTCTCACAAACTATCCTTTGTTGTTTACACTTTGCCTTGAATTTCTATTTACATCATCCTGCATTGCTACACCATCACTGTTAATCATTACACCTTCCTTTGTGTCTTCCTTTTTCAGGTGCAGCCAGCTTATTACAAATATTTACGTCCTCTAATGCAGAGCCAGAAATCCAAGCTGTAGATATGCACTCTGTTGTGGTATTTGGTAGATAAAACACCCTTTGGTTAAGAACCATGTTATAAACCAATAAGCCATCAGTAATGTTACCCCTTCAAAGTGAAGTACAAATATAATTTTTATTAATAGTGCAGTACAATGTTCTCAGTTAAAGATATGTTAATATACATGTATAACCGTAAAAGGAGCCATATCATGATTTTTCAAGGTTTGTTAATTACAGAAAAAAAATAACTGATTATCAAATTCATTCAAAGGGTGGAGCTGGGCTAACCCCTTGTTGAGAACGAATTCATTATATCATGGAAAATTGACAGCCATTTTTTTTTCTTACTTTATACCCAAGAGTACATATAGGCTTTGTCTCTTTTTGGGGAAAAGGGCAAAAAATCACAAGGAGTTTCCCCTTAACTCTAAAGGGAAAGCCTCAATTTGCAGGCTAAGTAGAAATAACATGCTACTCCATTGCTCTTGTCAGTAAGAAAACATCCTAAGTAGCAAGATTGACAAAGTAAGTGATGATTTAAACTCAAGAAAGAGTTCTATAACGGCAATGACAACTGAACTCTCAACTGTACAACAGCCAGCAAGACGAATTTTATTTATCTTTCTTGGTGGTTATGTTACAAACAATTTTTACAACGTAATTTATGCATTCTAATTCCATGGGGCCTGGGGCTGGAGGCTGGATTCATGGAGACACCCTTTAACTAAAATTTACCCTGAGTTTTGTTTTCTAAGAAAAGCATAATGACAACACTTAGCAAAAATCTCAGCTTAGAATTAGCTTGGACCAGATTCACATGTCATAGATGGTAAATCTGGTTTGTCCTACAAAGAGTGCAACTGGATTGTATTTTACTATTTAAAATTCCTTGGACCTAAACAATCGTACATGCCCCTGTTTTTCAAATGTTGGACAGTTCTTTCCACCAGACAAATTAGGAATATCAGCCTTTCTGAGTAAAAAAAATTTAGACAGGAACTTATTATTAGTCCACTGCATTGTAATAATATTTGCATCTCTCCACTGGAACACAATCTTTCAAGGCCTTTTGCTAAGCTTAAGGCCAATGTGAGACATACTGCTGTTTTTTAACCATTGACATACGAGTAGAAACTAGTTGTAGTTTTAGTATTCAGTACTTGTGAAAATTAATGTAGGTATTTTTTTTATCAAGTTTTTTTGCCTCACAATAAAACAGTGCAAATTTTTAACGTTTGTTTTTGTCATGTTTCATATGTTGTGGTTCAATTTTATTCCTGGTTTACTAACACAGAAAAATACATGTACCAGTAAAATGTAGACCAAAAATAAATTTGAACCACAACGTTAAACAAAGCGGAAAAATACTTTATTTCTGAAACAAACGTTCAAGTCCAACAACATCAAGTTTCCCCCCATTTTTAGAAACATATCATTTTTACTTTGTCTTTCTTTGAGGAAAAAAACTACTGAACACTTAACCCTTTAAGTCCCAATGGTGACCAACATCAATTTTCTCCTAACAATGTCCATACATTGTTAAGAGATTAGGTTATGAGAAGTAATAATATGATCAGCAAAGAGAAAATACCTTGATCTTTTATCAAATTCTCTTAACTCATTCTTTAAGGAAATGTATGGAGACCAGTTTGGAGAATTTGTATTTGGATATATTTGGGACTTAGAGGGTTAAAGGTGTTACACAATACCCATGTGCTATCATAGTCTGGACAGACCAGTAGCTTTCTCAAAAAAGGTTTTAACTTTCCTACATCAAATTGTATAAAAACAAGAACGTTTTGTAGCCAAAAAGGAAACTTTACTTATTTTGCTGAAATGATGAGTGGTTAACATAGGCAAAGGAGATTATGTCTGCACTTAAAGAGTCCTACACCAAGCTTTACTTTTCTTAAACTGACATGACCCTGTCATTATTTTTGCAATTTATTATTTGAACTTCTAAATTTCCAGTATTATGGCCTCTACTGGTTTCTGCAGTATATTATGGTTTGGGTGGATTCCAAGACATCACGTACGGTGCCTTGTAGAGGTCCATCTATTATTTGACACCAGTCTTTCCAACCACACTACCTGTATATCTTGTATGTTCTAGCACATGCTACATTTGAATTCAATGGCTTATCTCTCCACTGAGTTACATTAGTCAGGAAACAGTGAATAATTTTAACAGTATTGGCATAGACAACTTCAAGCAGCTACATGTATCTATCATTGGTGCCACACAGTTTTATCATTACAATGACAGTCCAATAGCTACTGTAAACACAAACTACCTAGACCAAGCCCCCTTCAAATGGCAAACTAATGATTAAGTCACATTTGGTGGAACAAATACAATGTAGGCTACTTTAACAGCAGTAGTTTTGTTTAAATTGTCATTACTCCAGGCACATCTTCAGTGACGCCGCTTGCAGACGCAGATGGTGGAGCATTTCCTGTCTGTGCACTGTATGAATATGGCGGAGGTCTTTCATGCTCCTTCAATTGTTGCTGTCAAAAATGGCAATAAATTGTTTTAGACCACAAAATCATAGATGTAACTCATAATATTTTGAAGTTTAAGCATCCCTCCTCATTACCTTGCTATTAGCAGTTTTGACAAATGAAGGTTAAAGATTTAAAATAATTGGGGCTCGAACTAGAAATTTAGTCCAATCCCGCGATCTTGAATGTAATCAACCACATGTACATGGAAAATGTTGCACGTACGTGAGATGAGGAGCAATGGGAGAAACAGCCTTCCCTTCTCACCTTAACACATGAGTGTCGTTTTCATACAATCCATTTTTCCTCTCACCGTTTAATATCTAGTGGATAACTGGAGCTGGCTTGCATACAGTAAGAGTGGTAAAGATGTATGTTTTATTTTTTAATTTTTGTTATGAGAATATAACTTGATCTGCCTCTATGTAACCTGTAAACCCAACACCAATAGATGGGTGTGGGGAAAGTGCCTGGTCAAACGGAGTGCAGAAGGTAACCAACCACCTTAACATGACTACTACAGACTGATTACCTGATACTGAAGTTGTGCAGTCGCAGTAGCTCCGGTAGCACCAGCACGAGATGTGGATGTGACCGGAGGAGCTGGGTTGGGTCCTGATGGCATGACCCAGTAACCTGCTGGCTGTTGCCCTGGTACACCTGGCTGCAGTGACAAAGTCATGAAAAATAATATTAGATGTCATTTATAGCCACAATGAGTTATTTTTTACATATAGTAGGTGTTCGCCCATTTCCACAGTTAGAAATCTGTGACATAAATTGAATATCAGACTACTGTCTTGCTGCTCAAAACCAAAAAAAAAAAATTTATTAGTACAAGGTGATTACTAGCTTATGAGACTGTGGATGAAATTCTTTAGTTTTAGCATTCAAGTGGAAGCTCTTCAGCCACCACAAAGGCAGTTGATGTTTCATAAAATCTTTTAAAAGAGTGAACTAGGCTTCAGATCCCATGATAGAAAAAAGCATATTAAGCAAACACAAGCTTTTGAGATTAAACAACTAGAGTTTTCTTTGCTAAGCCTCATTCATATAAAGATGTGCTTAACAATGACAGACCCCATAAAAAGGTGTCAATCTTAACTAAGGCAGGATTATGTAAATTCAGGATTCTATGGGACCACTCCCAAGTTGCACAAGAAGCAGATGTTCTATATACATGTAAAAAAGTTCTTACTTTTCTCGTATTTAATACCTGTGGTGGCATGAAGGCACCTTGCTGTCCTGCTACCATGTAGCCATGAGGGATGGGTGCCATAGCACCATCAGGTTGAATGACAACCACACCAGCTTGGCCTCCTGGGTACATTTGTTGGGGATGCATGTACGTTGCTGCTTGATAGGATGGGACCTGTTTCATGATAACATCATAAAGTGTTTGACCTTATAACTACACATTTTTAGACATTTTTAGACATTTTAGATACAGTTAACACCCTCACAGAAGAACAAGTGGATTTTAATAAGAAGATCAAGCTGAGAGTTGCAGGCTACTATCAAAAGCACCATAATATCAATGTTCCAGTTAATTCTTTCAAGCGGGGGGTCATGTAGACCATCTGAGGGATGCCATTGCAAGACCATGCGCTAATTTTTTTTGGTTATATTTAACTAACACTTGTATGTCATCTGTCGGGTCAGGAAGCCTTCTTTGTCGGGTCATTGACCCGAGACCCATCGCTTATCTGGAACACTGAATATATCCATAAAACATGTTATTATTTTTTGTATAAAAAGAAAGTGGATGCCAGAATTAGAAACCAATACTAACAGTAACTCATATTAAAGTACTAAGATGTGCCAGACCATACAAACTCTAAGAGCCTGCCTTTCTGGAGCAAGCAGCTGGTGGGATATAAAATACTCATGAGTGACTGACATTTTAAGTTGTACTGAGTTATGTAATGGTCTGTAAAGTAAACAAATATTTATTTTTTATTTTAATAGGCGTAGTTGTTGAACATTGGAAGGAAGGAAATAATGTTATTTTTAAGAGCATCCAATCATTAACTTGTTCACAAAAAGAATTAAACTGAATTCACTTTTAAGCCTTCATATAGAGCTGCATTCAAATTTCACACTAACCCAGGTTTGAACAACTCAGACCTCTTCCCCTCTCCCCCCACTCCCCATTCCCCCTTTATAAGAAGTAATGTCAAGTGTAAATTATCTTATATGTACAGGTACAGTATATGTACTTACTACATGACCAGCAGATGATTCACAGCAAACAGCCATGCAGCAGTAGATAGACGATGCAAGGGCGACAAAGAAAACCACAAGGGAAAAAATCAATTGACAAGAACCCAGTCCTGCACCAATTTTAGCTGTATTACGCTTCAAATTTGTGCAATCAGAATCATACCATCGATAATAGCTGGATGTTGGGTAGTAATTGTAGCGGTCATAGTAGTAGTCATCTCTACATTTGCGAATTGTGTTAGAGAATTCAGATAGAGCAATGCAATAACAAATAAACATGGATGCAACTTTAACACAGCCAGCAATGGAAAATCCCATGAAACATCCAGTCTGTGGACAAACAAAAGCATGTGGGAGTTAATGAAGAAAGAGTTGAAAGAGAATGATGATCGAATCCCATTTGGTGGTTTATAACACCAGAGTTTAGCTATTCTATGCTGAAAAATAAAAGAGAGTATTGGTAGTCTGCAAGAAAATTACAAGGCAACAGAGTTTTTGACTGCAATTGGATCATGAAATTTAAAGAACAAGGACATTACCATAATATAACTGGTAAAGATTAACTGAAAAGTTTTGCATTAAAAGAACATTTGAACAACAAGAACAACAAGAAGACTTTCAAGAGGACATGACCCATTTTCTTCTTCACATAAAGTCAAAAGATAATAAAAGAGTTAATTTTGATTCAGAGGTGCTTTATGGGAGAAATGTATAAAACCCAATTTTATAGTGCAAGCAATGCCAATTAAACCATAATGCAATAAGGCATCTGAAAGAGGGTTCTGTGAGTTCTAAAAATGCCCAGCATTCTTCAAAGAACTACCTGTATGCTAATCTAATTGTTTAAGGATCAGACTTGGCAAGGAGAATGCTTACCCCCCAAATTTTTAAATTCCCTGTTTTTGACAAAGGAGAGGTGGAACAGTTTACCTTTCAACCACAGGACTTCTTCATTCCTTAAAGGACGGCACACAAGGCAAGCGCTTGATACACTTACTATTGGCTTTTTTTCAAGCCGTATGATGAAGGAAAACACAGTCCGAGATAGAAGGTGACGACCCGGGGGGGTACTTTGGGAATTTCTGGGTGGGGTGTGCCGCTGGGACCCTGAACCCTTAACCTATACCAGAGCTAGTTCAGCTAAATTTTGCTACCCTATACTAGAGTAAACTCCCCAAATCCCCCCTATCCTAGAGTAGCTGTTTTCTAGAAACTACTGAGGTCACTAGCACAGCCTAGCCAAGACAAAACCTTATACCACAGTCCCTAGTCTAGATAAAATCTTCAACCAACTGATCAGTTTCCAGAAAAATGAAACCCTATTCTAGAGCCAAATTCTCTGATTTATATACCCTATCCTAGAGTAAACTGCTTGAAAACCATACCCTTCACAGCGGCACATACCTATATAGCCCATATACGGCAGTACCCCCAGGTGATGACCAATTATTGAGGACCAGTAATTTGCAGCTATGCCACTCCCATCATGTGCTTGTTTTAAAATGACTTAATGACTTGATGTTTTCGCTAAAGATTTTGCTAATTTTTATCAAACCTCTATTTAGCAGCTAACCTCCATTAAGCAGCCACTTGCCTAAGGATGGCCACTTGTCACAAGGACTACTCAGATGTATTTAGTAACAATGAGTATTCCTCAGAAGAAAATAATGTATCATAGTGTGGATGAGCGCAAATTACTATTTCCAAAGTTTGCACATGTTAAATCCCCTCTTCACGAAAATTCCGGCATCAACACCTGTTTTGTCATGCATTTATCTTGTCAGTACAATGCAGTACTGCATTCCAGAAGCTGAGACATGAAAATCAAAACTTACTAAACATTTGTTTGGTTTTGCATCATCCTTTGCACCAATATACCCCAAAATTCCACTTATGAGAACCTAGAAGGAAAAATGTTTAATTGTCACTTCAAAAGTTTATTTGCTGCATAATGTTATTTTCTAAAGATAATGGATGATGATTTGCCAAAGATCAATAATGGGACATTCCATTTTTTATTGGCAGAGCCCCCTAACAATGGAAGGTTTTTCATTTTGGGCATCAGTTTGGATTAAATGCTTCAGGGTTTGAAATTAAAGGGCGTCCAGTTGTCAGGGATGACCAGAAATTGACACTGACGACCAAATCACAGAACATGGTTGCCCCCTATATGACTAGAATTAAGCTGCCCGCTACCTGAACATACATGTATGAAAAGTTAGTCAATATTTCTGCTTGATACATGGTACAGTGTAATAATTATCAATCCGTTCATTTACGATACGTACGTACAGGAACGTTCGTATTTTCCGCCATCTTGTTTTGTGTTTTACGATACTGCTGTGCAGTATAGTCCCAAGCTCCAAGAAAATTCCTGGATGTAAATGCCAAGTCATGGCAGATTCACCCAAACGGAACAGTTTGGTCACAGAGATTCAAAGTAAACAAAAAGAATCAAATGTTTCAGAAAAAAAAGACTGGTGACGGTGATATCAGTCATCACCTTGGCAAACAACAAAACTAAAACAGAGGTGGAATATTGTAAACCTCAACAGTGGTTAAAATTTAGCTCTTGAATTAATACTGCATTCAAAAACATTTTTTAGATGCAAGTTTTGGTTTTGGTGGAAAAGATGCTAAAAAAGTTGAACAATGGCCTACTTAACTAGCAGCGAACAGCCATCTTTGTGGGGAAGGGGACGGATAAAAAATGGAATTCCATGAACACAGTGACACAATCAGTGGTTAAGTCTCATTTTATTTAGCTCTTGAATTAATACTGCACTATACCATTTATTAGTAAGCCACGGGCATTTTCTAATAACGTCTATTTCAAGTTTTGGTTTTTGGTCCACCTTAGGTTTATTGGGCTCCTAGATTTCACCTTGGTCACCTAGATGCTAAAAAATGGTTGTCCAATGGGTGGCCTACTTCAAAAGTTAATTTCGAACCCTACGCTTTGAACAATTTTTCAAAGACTGTGCAACAAAAAAGAATTTCGTTTACTGACACATTATCAGCACATTTTCAATTCTACATACAGTTATTTAAAGCAGACTGGCGCTAAAATGATACCAGTAATGTATAATTACGCAGAACGTCAAAACGATGATGAGCGGCAGCGCACGATCTTCAATACATACCCAAGAGCCGACCCATACTCCAAAGCCGACTCTAGACGACCAGTGGTCTACAGAAAAAATACAAGCCGCACCAAATGTGATCATTAAAGCACCAAACACCATCTGAGTGATGGCTAAACCGCGGAGAGCCGACGCTCTATAAACCATGACTGCTTGAAAAATGGCGACAACTGTTTTCGACAAAAAGGAACAAGGAAGTGAAGTGTATAAATAAATATTTACGTCACACTTTGTACAAGCGAGAAGGGATGTGGTCTGAGCGCTGGCTCATTTTCCGAACAGCGGTAATAGAGCCCAAGACGGTAGGTATTTCATATATGATTCCTATAGTGTAGGCCAAGACACAAAAGTAGGCCAAGACACTAAAGTAATCCAAGACACTCAAGTAGACCAAGACACTGAAGCAAGCCAAGAACCTAAGTAAGCCAGGTACCTCGGTACACTAGAGGAAAGACTGCACTATAAACTAAGAAACTATCGATTCTTCTGAGTTTCTACTTTCACGAGGTATTGCAGTACCTAAACACCTTTACATAAACAAATTTTTGGTTCGAAAGGGTTCTTCGTTTTGCGAGAGAGGACGCTTGAATTTCCAGGCTTTTGCGTGACGCGGCATTTTGCTGGCGGCCTGGAAAGCTCTTATGTGGGTTAAAAACATTACCGATTTTGGGAGATTTTGCAATCTAAATATTCCTTGTCTCAGAATAAATATTATTACTGTAATCTTTGTGAGTTCCTCAAGGGAAGAATTCACGCATTAGTAGGAAAACTCGAAAACAGATGTTTCTGTTGGTATCCGGCGGCCATATTGGTGTTCCTGAAAGGGACACCAACATGGCGTTTCCATCCCTAAATTTGGGTTTTTCCCAATATAGGTATTTACAGACCTGGCCCCAAAGGTTATTTATCTTTTTCAGCCGTTTTGGTCATAAATTGAATGGTATCGATTTTCATTATTTTGCCGCCATTTTGGTCATAAATAGGGTAACGATTTTTGCACTGTAGTCTTGAATGCATTTTTTAGAACAAAAGTTACTTCCTTATCATGTCCCATAACCTAATAAAAGCAGATAAACATTGCCTTTAACATTGGTCTGAACTAGGGAAATAATTATAAGGCGGGTCTGAAAAAGGGTATTGATTTAAGGGTCAGGTCATAAATAGGGTAGCAAATTTTGTTAGGTCATAAATAGGGTAGGGAAAATCGCAGATTTTGGTCATAAATAGGGTAAGGGTTTTGAGAAGCGGGCCGCACACCCCTACCCAATTTTTCTGCGAGTTCCCCCCCCGGGAGGGACACCAACATGGCGTTTCCATACAAAGCTTTATAAATTTAGGTAAACCGTTTTTCCTAATATCTCGCATTTGAAATATTTTACAGACCTGATTCTTGGCAAGGGGTTTTGTATATTTATCTTTTTTCATTTCCCAGATTTTAGTCCTGCTGTGATTGAATGGTTTGCGTTTTTATTTTTCATTGCGTGACAGTGCAAGCCGAGAATACCCACAGAAATCCCTACTTAAATCAAGCTACCCAAGAAAATGCTTGCCATAATTTTCCAACCCCCTTTCCCCCAAAATCCCGAAATCGAATTTCAAACCCAAAAAAATCCTTCGATCATCGTTTTCACTTTTTGTTTTCAAAAATAAAATATAAATAAATAAAACAGATCTCATTGAAAGTACCCTTTCGATGAAGTGGCAGCCTATAATGAAAATAGTTATTTCGCAAAATGAAAGGAGGAAAAGGAAAATACAACTTTATCGTATCTGGACTCACAAGTGAGGGAAGGGGAGGGGAGGTGACTCTTATATGAAAGATTGAGGGTGCTCGGAGACGTTTTAACTTGCAGATTTTGCTATCAATTGTATGACGGAACACCAACATCTAAACTTATTCTTACGGGACCTCTTAGGGCTATGCGTACACAAATGAGTAAAACAAGAAGTAGAGAAAGAGTAAGGAAAGCTTTCGTTACTCTGTCTGTTTCAGAATATTACATTTTATTAGAGGTACTCACACAAGCTTATTGTCTCGCAAAGATTACTCTCAGTTAGGGTTCATTTCGTAATAAAAGTCGATCTTAGTGCCCATGCACCCTAGGGATCTGGAGTACTGATGAATTATAATCCACTTATTTTTACATAAGCTCGGATTCCTTTGTTCTTTTCGGTGGGAATATATTGCATAACCCCCGAATCAACTGTCTGAAAAGCTGGGTGCGGCTTTGATTGTTTGAAGGGAAGAGCGGAGCTAATGAGCAGCTAATTGAAATGTGAGGGGATTATGTATTAATATGCAAGGGGGATAAGTGACTTATCCCCCTTGCATATTAATACATAATCCCCTCGCATTTCAATTAGCTTTTCATAAAGAAAAAAATTAACAAATGTTTATTGGAAATGTTAAACATAGCCTGCGTGGCAGGCGTTTGAAAGGGAAGGGAAAGGGAGTTTGCGAGAGAAACGCGAGGGGCGCGCCCCTCGCGTTTCTCTCGCGCCTAAAACTCCCTTTCCCAAAACTCCCTTTCCCTTCCCTTTTAAAACGCCGGCCACGCAGGCTATGTTAAACACGACACTACAATTACTAAAATTAAACTGAGCTGCGTCTCTTTTGCGCCACATTCACGGATTTTCTCAGTTGTTGGTTCATTGATTTCTACAGCCCGTGACAGCCAAAACGACAGTCCGAAATTGATCATGAACAGCGTCTTTTTAACTACTCTACGGTTCCACGAAAGTGTCGCTGTCATGATAAGGTGTACGGACTTTTTTGCGGTCTATCGAATTGGCAGCATTTGGTAAGACGTGGGCAAAAAGTACGAGTTTATCGACGCTTTTGTGGGAGAAAAAGCGGATACAAGAGGAAAAAAAGAAAGAAGAGAGGGATTGATGTTTATGTTAGAAATAGCCTAAGACCAGGTCCTTTATAACTAACAGAGCTCAAAGGGGCGAATAACAACGAAAGGCCAACGGCCCTCGTTAAGTTCGGTTGACTCGCCGAATTTTTTTCGCCCCATTTATTCGTCTTTTTCCCAACACAGGATCCTGGTTACCCTGGGTGTCAGAGGTTTTTTTCTCGCGTGGATGGGGAGCCTCGCTTTGTCGGCCGCAGGCCGACACGTCCAGAAACCGCGCATAAAAAACCCTGGCACCCAGGGTAGATCCTGGTCCCATCCCACGTTATTCTGTAGTTACTGCAGTTACGAAAAAAGAGCTTCTTGGTAGATTTCTGGGCACTTCTTGCAAATAAACTGGAAAAGCATGAGACAAACAACTTGTGATTTTGATTTTTACTTAATTACACTCAAAGAAAACAAAACTCCATGATGTGTTAACTCAGAGCCAAGCAGTGTTTGCTGGTGAAGTCCCCGTAGAATGAATTCACCTCTTAGCCTCTCTTAGTTGTTCTTTCTTTTCTATGACACACTATTTAAATAGTTAACGCTATATAAAATAAATAGGTATTGGGACCCGCCCTGCAACAAAGTAATAACACTGTGTGGGCCATAAAATGAAATCCATTTTGTTCATACGTGTGTACAAAATGCCCGCTTATTTCGGTACACGCTCTATTCGCTACAACGCGAACGTACGTGAATTGTGTGTAGCTATTTTACAAATAAATTTGGTTTAAAAAACGCCACCAGATTCGTCCATGTGTCACAGAAAACGCAACTGTCTAGTTACGACGGAGTTAATATATTATAAGCCCAACAAAACGGCCGACATTTCACGACACCAGCTGACGGGGAAATCGTCATTTTTGCATCCGGCCGTTTTATCAGGCTAGATATTATGGTATGCATCAATTTAAAAATGAAGCGTTACAACAATACCACTTATACTAAAACTCTTCAAACTATGCAAACAAAAAGCGTAAGAATAAATACTGGCTTTTAAAATTTCTACGCCAATGACAAAAGTAAAAAGAGAATTGTTACCTGGAAATTTGTAATGTAAATTGAAGGCCCGATATTTTTGAACGAAAATGTTACAGTGTGACCCACATTTACAATGTATTATACAACTGCACATCATGAACATACCGAACACAAAGTTTTGAGATCCTGGCGACGTAACGTATCTAAATTAAACTGCTCTTCCTGGTACTACTGACATCGACAAAAAGGAAATGCCAGCCTTTCAAGCTCATTTTGTAAATTATCGTTGAGCATGTAAATAACTAGCCTGCGAAAACAGCGGTTTCTCCTCGCTCTTCGCCCGCTTAAGGACGTTTCGCTCCTCGCGAAACGTCCTCAGCGGCGAAGAGCGAGGAAAAACCGCTGTTTTCGCAGGCTAATAAATAACACTCTTGACTGACAAAAAACTTTTACAGTTTGCCAGAAACCTCTCCATTTGGAAAATCGCAACAGACACAAGGTCACCTCAGGGCCGCAAAATGTATAGCTGGACGGAAGTTCCTGTCGAGGAAAAATAAGGCAAATTTTTGCCACGAATAATTTTTTCATAGGACACAGGACACACGGACCAAGTGTCTAGGTCGTAGTCTCCCACACGGCCGTCATTTGGATCGCCACGCGAAAGTAGTAAATAATCTTTATGATGACCAAAGGATTTCATCCACAGACTCAAAAGTTAGAACAATTTTTACTAAATATATAGTACCATGTGAAAGTACTGCTTAGGAGGTTTCTGTCGAATGGTCACACTGCGGTATTTGGCAGGGCTCGAAATTGCGACTGATACGGTCGCCAGTGCGACTAACGTTTTCTCCTTGGCGACTAAAAATTCTGGTTTACTTAGTCGCCACTTTGGCGACCAGATTTCTCTATTATTTAGATTTAAATTAAACGAGTAAAGTTAAAAAAAAACATTTGTCTCATCTTGTTCTGCTTTCGTCATAAAAAAATGTGCCAAATCGCATAAACAAAGCCAGTTTACCTCCAAATTTATACCGACTTCTCTCCGCGAAATTTTCAAACAATCAAATCTGATGGATCACGCCGTACTATGAGCTGCGGCATTTACATTATACAAACTGGCGACTAAAAATTTGCCTCTGGCGACTGTATTTTTCCAGTTGGTCACCTACGGCCGACCAAAGGATTTTTTTTAAATTTCGAGCCCTGTTTAGTTTGAGGATTCGGAAGACAAAGCACCTTCCAAGACTCCATAATTCACTCTGAGGGAGAGATGAAGCCGGGTTAATAATTATGTGCAAATAAAAATAACTTATTAACCGACCAGCTGAAGCAACTGTCACTCTATTACACATACAAGTAACTAAAGCAAGTCCCATCAATTTCACTGCAACAGTTTTGTTTAAACTGTCATAACTCCAGGCACATCAGTGACTCCGCCTTCAGATGTCATTGATGGTGGGGCATTTCCTGTTTGTGCACCGTATGAATATGGAGGAGGTCTCTCTTCACTCTTCATTGCTTGCTATTAAAAATGGAGTTATACATCAGATCAGAATACCTTCAAACATGACAATGATAAGTTAGACAAGGTAAATTACATCCACATCAAACCAAGTCACTCACGGCTGGCAAGAATGCTTATAAATCTGTGGACAGTGCAACAAGAACCAGGAATGTGATGTACAATGTATCTATACTTTTAAATGCAAACAGTAAAAGAAACAGGATTCACCTAGTAAGATCCAAGATGGGGACCTGAATTACAAAACATTTACTTACAATAAAACTTCTCAGCATTTTGCGCATTGTTTTCTTACATACATATACAGCTCTTATATGGAGTCAAATTTTGCAAATTTTATTTCAATGCTCCCTTGTTTTTTCTACGTGATATTTTGAGCAATAATTATTTTTCTGAAATGTAAAAATCGCGAAACTGAGTTAGAATCAGGTGGTAGGAGTTAAGATCATGCACAAAACGTTTCCTATGAAACCCAATATCAACATACAAATTTTCTTAAATAATTATTAGTTGAGAGACTTTTGATAAAAGATCAAAGCATTTTGCCAAAGTAATCATTAATTCTCATATCTTTCTCTCTTGATCATGTATTGACATTGTTAGGAGAAATTGATGACGGATAAAAATAACTAGTGCGTTACCTGAGCTCCTCCCTGGCTTGGAGCAGTTGCCCCAGCATAGGACATAGGGGCTGTACTGGGATAGGGGTTGGCTCCTGCTGGAACGGCTCCACCTGGCATGGACCCGGCTGGCACAGCCCAATAACCTGCAGGCTGCTGAACAATAGGCTATGAGATAAGATAAAAACAACTAAGGACCTTGATTAATCTCTTAAAGGGAACCTCCACTCTTACTACAGAATAAGTTTAAATCGAATAAAATTACGTTGATAAACAAATTTTTTCGAAATTTGTCTTAAAAAAAGTGTTTATATCAGGAAAAGTGAATGTTAAAATTGCTTACTTTCACTTTCAAATTTCGCGGGCGCCGCCATCTTGAATAATTGTGATGTGTTACGGTTGCTCTATTGTTCTGACACAAAGAGCTTTTGTTTAATAACTATAGGGCAACCATTACACGTCACAATTATTCAAGATGGTGACGCCCGCAAAATTTGAAAACAAAAATAGGCGAATCTAAAAGTTATTTCTTTCGGATACAAACGCTTTCTTTAAAAATAGTTTAGATTGACTTGACTGTAACAGTTATTTCCTGTGATTTAAGGTTATCTTTTTGTTGAAGTGGAGGTTCCCTTTAACAACATCAGGTCCCTACTTGTTCAAACGAAGGATCATGCTATACACTGGATAAATCACTATCCAGTGGACAAGTATTAACCCTTTAAGCCCTGAGAGTGATCAGCATCAAATTTCTCCTTGTGATATCAATGCTTTGTAAAACAGAGTGGTTATGAGAATTACAGACATGATCACACAAGATGAATTTCCTAGATATCTTATCAACTTCTCTCCACTACTTCGGTAGGAAATGAATAGGGGCAACAAATGAGAATTAAAATTTTGATCTTAGGGTTTTTTAAAAAGGGTTAAGGAAATTAGTAGCTTTTTCTACTGGATAGATATCAAATGGATAACATCATCCATCTTTTGAGTAACTGGGGCCAGAAAATAATAATATATTCTTTGATAACCAAGATAATAGAGAGCTTTAGATTCTAAGACGAGTACGACTACGAGTACGAGATTTTCTCATCACTAAGTACTGCACTCGCGTGAACCAGCGTCATTTTGGCGGGAAAACGTGCTAGCCGTCGTCATTCTACTATGAGTTTTAGCGAGAATGTCGAAGTAGCGGAAACAAGTTATCAAATGTTAGAAGTTTTATCATTTTGCCATCAGGAGAGGGTGCAACCTCCTTCACTAAAGGTAACAGTGCTAACTTTTCTAGTGAAAAATGGTAAAATAAAGCTTTCCGGGATGTCTATATTTTGAGAATACGCGAAAAAACTTGAAGTCAACTCTCGCACTCGTAGTCGTCCTCGTCCTGAATCTAAAGGTCTCTAATATTGAAAACAAAACAATGCAGCCTAAATTTTTAGTTCAAACCTGGCTCTTAACAGATAGCACCTCTACCCAGCTGGTCTGCATTTGATTTTTAAAAAAAGTATCTAAAGGGCATTAAATCAGAGTTACCTTAGCCTGAAGCGACGACCAGAAATACGTCTGCGCTTCGCAGGCTAGAGTTACCTAGGCAACTGCACCGTTTTCCAGGTATTCCTTGTTTACCCTCTGTTCCTTTGCTTTGTTTTTTCTATTTTGCTTTTCATTCATCTTTGATATTTTTGGGTACGCAAGTACATACTGGTGTATAGGTAGCAGCCCCAGTTATATCCAACAAGAACCCACCCTCATTAAGCTGTTACCCCTTTTAAACTCTTAGATCAAAATATGAATTCTCATTTGTTGCCCCTATTCATTTCCTACAAAAGTGGTGAGGAGAAGTTCATAAAATATCAAGCAAATTCATAGATTGTGTGATCATGTCCGTAATTCTCATGACCACTCTGTTTTACAAAGCATTGATATTACAAGGAGAAATTTGATGCTGATCACTCTTAGGGCTTAAAGACTCTGTGTAATGGTTGTCTAGTTAATCTTGTTAATATACCATTAATCCTCTATTAAGTCCCCTGGGGGCTTATTTATTTCAAGCACATTTGACGGGGGGGAGGGTTAATGGAGATGGGGGGCTTATTTAATTTAGAAAAGACGATAATATCAGCTCTCCATAAAGAACTAGAATACGAAGTGGAAAAGCTAAGTACAAGAACGTTGGAGGTCACACAGCCAAGGATCAGAATTAATTCCAAACTTCCAGTTGGTAAATAAACCATCCCGGATGGACAGTTCACAAGAAGTTTTACAGCCGTAATTGATTAATACAGTCTATCATTTATTAGTGAAGAAAAATTAGGGGTGGGGGAGGTTTAATAGGGTGTGTGTTGGGGGGGGGGGAGCTTATTAACTTTCTTGTCCTGAAAAAGGGGGGGCTTTTTAGGATTTACAGTATGCCAATTGCGTGTCCTTAATTGCCATGGAAATTGATAAATTGCCTGTCAAAAGTAATAATTACTTGTCGCAAAGCTGTGATTTTTGCTACTCACAATGTGAGTAGCAAAAACAAATGTCAAACAAATGTCTCCCATCCTATCCCAAGCCATCCATTTCAATCTTGTTCATGTTTGTCCATCTGTTCCCCATATTATCTTTGCTGTGTTACTTATACCTTCTTTTCTTGATATGAGCAGTGATTTATGTGTTTCACTCAGTTTGTTGGTGGTGACACAGCCCCTCTAACATAGAGCATTAGTTACCTGTGGAGGTATGACAAATGTTTGCTGTCCTGCCATTGAGTAACCATGAGAAACAGTTGCCACGGCACCGCTTGGTTGAATAACCACAACACCAGATTGGCCCCCTGGGTACACTTGTTGAGGTCCAACATACATCACTTGCTGGTTAGTAACCTACATTAAATTTATAATAACAAAAGTATAATTACTTATTTGTAAGATAATACTTTTAGGGATTTTAGAGAAGCTGCAAGGCTGAGCCGTTAGAGTGCTCGGAGAGCTAGGGTGGCACAATGTTGAGAGCACTTGCCCCCCACCAATCTGGCCTACGTTTGAAACCTGGCGTTGACGCCATATGTAGTTTGAGTTTGTTGTTGGTTCTCTCCCTTAAGTAAGAGGTTTTTGTCCAGGCACTCCGGTTTTCTCCTCTCCTTAAACATGAAAGCAGTGCATAATCTTCATGATGACCAAAGGATTTCATCCAGGGACTCAAAAGTGAGAACAATTTTTGCTAAATAAATAGTACCATGTGAAAGTACTGCTTAGGAGGTTTCTTTCGAATGGTCACACTGCAGTATTTGGCAGGACTCGAAATTGCGACTGATATGGTCGCCAGTGCGACTAACATTTCTCCTTGGCAACTAAAAATTCTGGTTTTTGTCCAGGCACTCCGGTTTTCTCCTCTCCTTAAAAACCAACACTTTCAACTTCCAATTCAATCTGGAGCACACAGACACGTTTCAATGAGTTCTTAAGAACTCCTAAAAGCTCCATGGGTAAGCAAATTACAATTTACAATTCTTTTTGGCCTTGTAATTGGGAGACCCATAGTTCAATCCCCATCCCGACTGCTCCCTGGATTTGTTCTTGGTAGCTATGAGATAGTGAAGATCCTTGGCAACACTCGTAAAATAGCCAACTAATTCCCCTCCAATCAGTTGGGGTTCTTTACCTTGCTATGGAGCCTAAGAAAACAGCTGACATTTGGCAAGCTACCACTGGTTTCCTCACCAAATGACATCTGAGAAACGAGCACAGAAATTCCATACTAATGATGCGTCACTACACAGATCTGGGTAGTGCCTCTGATTGGTCGTGCCGCATGGGAAATTTGATTCAACCAATCAGAAGCACTACCCAGATCTGGGTAGTGGTGTGTCATCAGTACGGAATTTTTTCGCTTGTTTCCCAGACGTCATTCAGCGGGGAAACCAGTGGTAGTGTTGCCAAATGTTAGCTGTTTTCTCAGGCTACTTGCTATGTTTCATTTGAATTATTTGCTTCATTATCCAAGAAAAATATCATAAAGGAAGTGGATAATTAAGTGTTTAATATAAATTAACACAGCAATGAGTACAAGAAGGGTAAACCAAGTGAGAATCATGCTACTTACAGTACCCACAGCAGGAGCTCCACAGCACACTGCATTACAGCAATAGATGGCAGAAGCAAGGGCAACAAAGAAAACCACAATGGAATAAATCAGTTGGCAAGAACCCAAACCTGCACCAACTGAGGCTTCATAGCGCTTTGATTTTGAGTAACAGAATATATTTTGGTTGTGATAACGCTGATAATCATAGTAATAACTATTATACTGATAAGTCTGGCAGCGCATGATATGGGAGAATTGCCCAAGAGCAACACAGTAGCAGATGAACATGATTCCAGTAATGACACAGGCAGTGATGGAGAATCCCATGAAACATCCAATCTGTTGACAAAATGCAGATATAAGTCAGAATGAAAAGCCTCTATCAATAATCATAATTTATAACAATAAGAATGGTAACAATATGTGACACCCACATTCGCCACTTTAGAAACAAGAAGAAACTGGGCCGAGTTAACTCGACTTCTGGGATGGTTACCAGGCACAGTGGAAAAATTGGCTAATAGCTGGCCGGTGAGTTCCCCGGTAGCTTAATTATGATAAGAAAGTTTATGAAAAACTATATGAAACAACTTGTAAGGCACGTCACATGCGGTGTTATTACCCTGGGTACCAGAGGTTTTCCCACATGCAGTAGGATGCTTCGGCCGACACATCTTCGGGTGAAGCCGCAAGAGAAAACCTCTGGTACAGAGCAATGCCATTAATTATTTTACCATTCCTGTTGAACTTTGAGCTTTTTTATTGCAGAACATATGAACAAATAAGATTGACCATCTCCCACTGTGATCATATGGATTGGCACGTGAAGTAATGCCAGAAATAAGTTTTCAATTACAGACAAAAAATAAAGTAATACAAGTCGTTTTGACAAAGTTTGATGTAAAATATAATTTGCAACTTTGTGAGGTTAAATTACTAGCATAAACAACAAAGTCCCCACCATACCATTTCAGCATAAGGGCATTAATCAGACACACAAAAAAAATCATTATAGGCCATTAATTTTATGGATACTCATTGATCACACACACATTCACAGTCCAGTAAAATTGAAAAAAATTCAGCAGGAGAGCTGTAACAACAAAGACATTCCACTCCCCGCCTGAAAGATCGCCAGAACATCCTGGTTTGCCCCCCAAAACTTAAACATGTCAGTTATTTGCCTCGCGCTTCACTTCTCTCTGTCAAACAATTTTTTTTTTTTTTGGGCCTCGTACTTTCCATCACTACTGTTCCAAAACATTCTTCAGAGCAAGAGCAGAGTCCATTCCTATCCTAACATAAACAGCACAGTTTGAAATATTCTTTCATGTGGTGTCCTATTCTTGACAACCAATTGTAGCATTTATTAGATTCAAAGTCCCTTAGGTGGCTTAATGAACCAATCAGCCATCATGTCCAAAATCTGGACCAAACCGTTCTTACAACAGGGCTTCTGATAATTCGTGGAAAAAAAGTCAAATTTCACGGGATTTTTGGGGACAAAATCGTGGAAAAATCGGCCGATTCTGCGGGAATTTTCGGGCAAACTTGGCCACAAAGCGATCGGTAAAAAAACGGCAGATTTTGTTGTTATTTTCAGGGCAAGTTTCACAAGAAATTGATCGGTTTTGTACTGATCAGACCAGCGTTTTTAATGTTTTTCTCACAGACGACATCATTTGCTCTTTCAACAACAATACGCTCTAGAAATGAACCAATGGCAAAGTCTTTAACATCATGGCTAGTGCCCAGTTTTTTCGCAACATAATCTATGCCTGGTAGTTTCGGAATGTTGTTTGCACGTTTCAGTGACAAAGTTTTGACATAAATTTGTGAGTTTACGGCAAGTAAATACCCCCAGTAGCTGAGACAAGTTTCAAAATTGCTGTACAGAAATGTATTTGATAAGATTTCTACCGAATTTCACGGTATTTTGCGTGTTTTTGTGAATTTCGCGGGATTTAGCGGATTTACCTGAATTTCGTGGCTCCACGACCGCGCGAAATATCAGAAGCCCTGTTACGATTGGCTTGGTGTTATCAAAGCACTATCCAGAGGCTTTCGAGGCTGACCAAAACCACAAACCACGCATGAAAATTCTCTGGCACCCAGGGTACCATCACCTAAAATAACAACAATATTTTGTACTTCTAACACTCACCAAGCATTTGTTTGGGTTTGCATTATCTTTTGCTCCAACATAACCCAAAATTCCACTGATAAGGACCTACCAGGAGATAAAAAGCACACATTTCTCAAAAGGCCTAGGCTAAGCTTACATGAAATGAAAAGATACACTATGACAAACCAGGAAATTCAAGTTCAACTCCTGTTCTGAGCAGTCTGTGCCACAAGTTAACAAAGATTGTTTCTCATCTATCACCGGGCTTAAAATTCACCATTCAGCTTTATAATCATCGCAAAGAATTTATGTTGCATAACTTCACACAAAAAAAGAAACAATTCCAAAAAGGGCTTGGTTATGTGATGGCTGAGAGAGAATTATCTTGTTGCACTGATTTTTTGTGTTTCTTTCCATCTCTAGTCTCTTGTGAAGTGGTCTTGTTATTCACTGAACCTAAATTGAATGGGTTTCCTTGAGAGAAGACAACTAAGAAATTGTGGCAATATGATTAAGAAAGGTACAATACCAATGACTTTTTGTGAGTAAGCAAATGACCTCCACAAATTTCACATACATTATTTTAATTAACAAGGAGTCTTCTTCACGGTCCTCGATCTACTGCAAACATGAAAACAAAACTACCTGCTTTACCTGAGACCCTGACAGTCGAACAACAACCAACAAGCAAATTATCACTTTCAATCATTAGAAACGTGACCATTTTTGGCAGAAGTTTAAGGTAAATTGCCAGTCTGATCCGATCTGAGTGATTGATGTGTTGCTATGGCCACCTCGAAGTGTTATCAATCAACTACTCCCATGGTCCCGCAGTGACCAAGTACAGTGGATAATTCTACTAAAGGTTCAAGTAATCAAGAGTTCAAGTTATCGAGAGATTGGAGCAAACAACCAAAAATAAGGGTAAAACACTTTTACTGTACAGTCAACATTAAATGTAAAACCACATTAAATTCTACAAATGTCAAGTGAAAATAGAACGATTCTTCCAGATTATTAACCAGAACATAAAGTAACAAAACAGGGCCTTAAGAAGAGTGTGGTTTTTTTCAAGCACTGTTTTGAGAAGTAAAGCTGTTTCACATTCGATGGAGAATCAGCATGAGCCTCAACTGACAAAGAAATTCAATGTTTTGGACTGCCGTACACTGTTTTGTTTTTGAATTACTTCGAGTTAGCGGGGGTGTTTGAGTTACTGAGGGTAAACTTACAGTAAATGAAATAAAAATGAAAGAAATCCACAGGAAATCAATTTTCGTTCGAGGTTGCGCCAGGTTTAAGTTACATTTGTAGCGAGGGTCAAGTTATTGGGAGTCAACTGTATACTACAGACCTATTGTCCTGTAAACAATGAATCTATAAATCAGGTAAAACATAACAACTGATCCTAAAATCCTATTGTCGATTAATATTGTAATACCAGGTAAGTAGAATGGCTGCTCTTACAGTCTCATATGTGCAGTTCTGGAGCTGAGAAATGATCCCTTAATTTTACTTAAAGGATTTACAAAGGATGCGCATGGAGCCTGACTTGATTTTTGCACTTTTTATGTAGATTTGGACGACTACAGGACTGCAGAGGAAGATTTTCAAAATGTGTAAAAAGAAGCCAGCCTGGAAGATGCAGAGAATGAAAGCAAAAGTGCTTGTACATGTGCAGAGTTGCCATGTTTGCTCCCAGAGGAGGTACTTCCTTATAAGAGGCTAATGGGATGTGCCGCTGGATAGGGTCGCATTTTCACAACTGGGTTGACTATAATGGAGCCACATTTTCAATAGAGTTACTAGAATGGGGTCCCACACTTTCTGATTTTTGGGGTTAGACAGTTCTTCATATTTACGGTATGCTAACATACCAGAATGTTTGTACTGTAGTTGAAAAGTATTGTGTTCTTCATTCAATATAAGGTGGATTGCGAAAATTACATATTTGGGGATCTATAATTGGCCACAGAATAGCCTATAATGGGGTAGGGGCTCTAAGAGGCCAGCAGCACATACCAAGCAAAAATTAACCCAAGTAGCCCCTCCGCGGATAACGCTGCGTCCAATGACGAAAATTTACAGCTGCGACGCTCAAAATTAACTTTCACCGAGGAGGCTGCTCGTAGATTTTACATTTAAAGAAATCGCACTACATTACAAGTGTGAAAACAAAATTCAGTATTAACAAATCACCTCTAACTGATATCTAACGCGCGTATTTTAAGCAGAGTTTTAAGTTACAATGTCCAACCAACAACTTAGTTCAGATAATAAAAACCAATATTAACTTGTAAACAGACATCCACTTTGTATCCCATCCTCAGTTTTCTGTGAAATACACCAAACCGCCCGAAGTGAACGAAAAATCTCTTCAATCTTACTTCCGTTTGAGCAACAAAAATTGCGCATCAAGTTCCTTCAACTTAAACTATATAGTTTCGATTCCTTACCCAAATGCCGACCCATATTCCAAAACCAGCGTAGGAAGACCAGTGATGTACAGCGATAATGCTTGCAATACCAAATACTATCATTAAAGAACCAAATACAAGCTGAGTGATGGCTAAGCCTCGGAGAGCAGACGCTCGATAAACCATGACTGCAATCAAAATGGCGACGACGCTTTTCCTTGCATGACCTTTCCTAGACTACCTTCGAGAATAATAACATTGACGCAGATTCGTCCCCAGGGTACGAGTTGAACATTGACGTCATGTTGAAGAGGGTAAAAACTGGGGAGGGGGGAGGGGTAGCCGCCTGGATGATGATCTTGACGCAGACCAAGATGAGTTTCACAATTTTAAATAGCTTGCATAGCCGGCGGTATTGTTTGGGTGCGAGATTAAAGTTTTGAAGGCTAAATTTTAAAATTCAAGAAGCAGGTTCTACTCAACGCGAACCTCAACGCCGGTATAAAATTAAACCGACTGGTCCCTTCTTGCTGGATCTCTAATGTAGAGATGCTAGAACCAGAGGTCACTTGAAGTGGAAATTAAGACAAAACTGAATGCAAGAGTCATGCAAGGCTGTCAAAAAAGCATGGTTGACTTGTTTGGCACAAATATTTCGGCTAACAAAATTACTATACCTCTAGTCTGCTACACAGCCGTTTTTAGTGTCGTCACGCAACGCTCGGCTCCACAGGAGGAGGAGGAGGAGGAGGTGAGTAGCGTGTAGCCCTCCCCTTTTTGCGCCTGCCATGCAGGCTAAGTAGCGAGACGACACTAAAAACGGCTGTGTAGCAGACTAAATTACCTCCTGAGGAAAGCTAATTTTGTAAGCCCAAATATTGGCCTCGGATACTGGTAAATCAGCCCTGCCAGCCTTGCATTCAGGTTTTATTTTGAGAAATCCAGCTCGCATGTAGCTAAGAATGAATGAAACTCCTAAGAAGAAATAAACGATGTCAATTTTCCCCGGGGGGGGGGGCACTTGGGTATATTTTGGGGGGGGGGTATGTGCCGCCCGGGACTCCAAATTGGCACCCCGTTCTAAAAAAATTTCCCCTGAAATTGATACCCGGTTCTAGAAATGGGCCAATTTGTTATGCCCGTTCTGGAATTCGCCCTAAAACTGATACCCCGTTCTAGAAATGGGCCAATTTTTTTATACTCCTTTCTAGAAAGTTTGTAAATTGAAATAGCCCTGTTTTTTTAAAAAGATATTTCTTCATTTGTTCGACTTACACATCAAATAAATGCTTCTTCATAATCAGCAACAGTTTTAAGCAGAAGATAAAGCCGTGATCCACAATTTTTTATACCCCGTTCTAGAAAATGCCTCTGAAATGGATACCCCGTTCTAAATCAGGAGCTTCAAAATCACGACCCCGATGGCCGGCACATACCCGTATAGGTAATGTATGGGAGTACCCTCCCCCCGGGCAATTTTCCTTGTAGCCTGTGACGGACGTCAGCACTGAGGAAAACGCTCACTACGCATGCACAGCCTTTTCTGGCTTTGTTACGCGTTCAACTCATAACGAAACCTTAAAAATATCTATACAGCTCGTAAGTGTCCCCCTACTTGAATTTTGTAGTGAGATTCTCCCCTGCCTTCGACTTTTCTTTCTTTACTTAAAGAGCTAAATAGTTTCAGATATCTGAAAAATGTAAGGACTTGAGATTCACACGCCTACCTGTCTTTTAATTGTTTCACGTGACTTAACTTTCTTACTCTCTAAATTGTAAAGTCACGCCAGGTATCTCCCTCAAACGATCGTCTAATGTCTCTAAGCTCGTCCGTTTTCTAACCCTATGCCGACCACGTCTAAGCCATTGTCGTTTGTCCCAAAAAATTCTTATTTAACACAAGACAGGAATGATGAAAATCACCACGGATTCAATAATTTGTCCGCCAGTACATTCAGCGTGGGCCTTCGAGTTCTCGGATGCAGGTCGCTTGATACTGAAGGCACTCAGGGAATTATAGGGACAGTAACTGAGCTCAGATTATCGCGGGACAATACAGCAGTGATACAGTGGGACACAGGAATTAAGGAAACTTACAGTGCGGGGCATCACGACCAGCAACAAATCTTTGTTTTGGATAATGCGTCTATCGGTAAGATAGCGAAAATTTACTGTACTCGGTTGAGAGCCGATGATTTGTAGGGTTGGTTTTATTTTGAAACGTGCTTTTACAGTAGTGAAGCTTGATACTAAATTGCAACCAGTTAGAAGCTCCCTGTTATAACTTCCATGTAACTGAAAAAACAAAGACATTTCTTCAAGCTGCTACTGTGCTTGTGTTGACATTTGCTCTGTTTCTTTTGAGTAGTCATTGCATGCATAATAACTTCCGGCTTTAAGAAAGCGAAAGAAAAAGTGACGTAAAAAACAGAAGCTACACTTTCACTCTCACCTCCATTTCCGTGTACGCATGCGGATCAGATTGTTCCAGCTGTTTGGATGATGGGAAACAGGCCATTCTCAATTATCAACAGATTCTCATAGAAAACAGGCCGGCTCCTGTAGAAAGTCAACCTCACTATTAAATGTGGACACTTTATTTAATAAAGTAAACCCCAGTGGGCATTCAACAAATGTTTATACGTGGAGGCTCCACCCCGATCCGCCCCGAGGTCTAACCGCTTACCCTTTTATATACCATTTTTCACGAAAAAGGTACCCCTTTCGTATACCTTCTATCGGCAAATGGTACCCCTGTCACGTACCTTGTTTAGAACTTTGCATCCCTTTTAACAGCTGTAAATGCACTGTCTTTTAAATAGGAATCAATCACAAAAATAGAACGTCCTCTCGACTTTATAAAGCCATAAAATTCAGTCATGTGTTATAAAAAGCCAGTGTTCTCCAGAAGCGCGGGCGACCGTCGGTTTCGCTGGCTACTCTTTTCCAAAGTGCCGGTTACTTTTATTGCACTGAAAACAAAAAAACCGTCTGTACCTTTTATCTTGAATTTTTCGGAAGGTCAAAAAGGAAACGAAAACAATAACTTATCGTAAATAAAAGCTCTTTGGTGTATGACAATTTGCCTTTTGCTAAAAGTATTATCGATAAACTCACCAAATGACTTTTCGTTAGACATTGTCAGATAATATTTTTGAATAAAATACCTTGGAATCAATGTAACACTTTGCATGTAAACAAGTGTTTTGAAAAAAAAATGTACATTGCTACTTTCAACTAGGATTCTCGTGAATTGTGTACTTTTCCATAAAAAAAACTGAAGACAGGCAGCCTTAAATTGACCTTGATTTTCCTGTTGCTGTAAGCCTCAAAATGCATCAGATTGCATCTCTGGGCCTTTATTTTTTTAAAATTTTCCATTGGAGCAGGCCCTCAACCCCCCTTAGAGACTCGCGCTCTATCGGCGCTTGGTGTCAGGCACCAGTTACTTTGCATTGGGAGCTGGCTACTCCAAAATTTCTGGAGAACACTGCATTGTTTGCTCTTTTGGGCCCTTTCACAGACCCAAATGACAGATTTCACTACCCTTTTATATACTTCAACGAGTGAAATCCCTACCCTTCCTTATACCTGAGGCCCGAAAAAGATACCCTTTTCGGGTGGAGCCTCCCCGTATAGGCCATCATAGGGAGTACCCCCCCCCCCGAAGTTAAATTGTCCTTTTTGAACGAATAAAAAAACCTTCAGATAACAGCATGTCTGTGTCCCTAACACTACGTCTCCCCGGACAGAATAAATTGTAGAAGCCAGTTTCAGACTATTTAGGCATCACACGAGTTACGCAGAGAACGGTTCATGATTAAGTAATGTATAAAATCAGCGACTTTTAAGTGTTTCCGTAGACACAGTCCGCGGAATTACGGATTTGTGAAGGTTACAGACGTTTAATTTGACGATGCTAATGTCCTGTCTTATTTCGTTACTATTTTGGTATTTTATTCAAATAGAAGGTTGTGTACTGTATTTTTTTACTTCAATAACATGAACCGCCTTTTACGGACACTGTATATGGCCGCTAAGTGTCCGCATGAACGAAGTTTCACTGTAGAACGATTTAAGTTTATCGGAGTTAGCGCCTATTGAATGTTTCCGTGATTCTTCACTTTCAAGACAGAACAGTCGTGTTTTTTTGCAAATAACTTGATGGCAGCATTGTTAATGTTTGCTTCTAGGTATAGCGCATGGAGGGACAACGTGCGAAGCTTGTGAGCAATGTCCAATAGCTGGATTACGATGGAAGTGTTTAGACTGTAAGGAATCAAGTGTTGACTTGTGCACATCATGTTACATGCGTGATAAACATGACAGAGATCATAGCTTCCTGAGATTTGATTCTAGTGAAAAAGACGGGTGAGTACGAAAGACAAATACAGTACACTTTCTTGAAAAATGTGTAATCCAAAGTCGTCTTAATAGCAGCCAAAACAACAACTTCACCTCACTACAACATCAGTGAAAGCACCGAAAGCAGTGAAACAAGTTTCTATAATGGTCATCCTGGCCAAAGGTACCAGAGGACAAAATTGACCCTTTACAATATTCATTGCCATAAAATCTTATAACAAAGAAAGACGCTTAATGACAATGTATAATCTTTACACGATTGAATGCCGCCCTGGAATAAACACCTCACCCAATCTTAATAATTTCCCAGCTTGCCTTTATTCGAGAATTACAAGAGAAAAAAGTACTTGGTACGACTCAGTAATACATAAAAGTCAAGAAAAGCATTGTATCTTTAAAATTGTTGTTTTACATAATATTTGCACGTGATCATTGAAAAGATTTACGTTAATTTTGTTGTCAGTGATTTAAGATATGTGATTTTAAATCAGAAGCGCTAAAAATTTTATAAACACCACCGACTTCAATCAGCTACGGTATACAAGACGTCGTTGTCTTAACTTTTCCTCTCCATAACAACAATTAAGAACACCGGTAGAAAGACGAAGCAAAACAAAGAAAATTCAATTAAGAGGGATTTTCCTTGGCACCAAAGTCACAAGAGGACCTGATTGGCAATATGGTGATGAAGATGGTGGACCTGGGAAGTTTGGAACAGTGACAGAGATAACAAGATGGGAGGAAAACCCAACAGGTGCAGTTAGGGTCGCATGGCATTCTGGTTCAGAAGGTACTTACAGGCTTGGCTACAAAGGCAAGGTAAATTTAGATGATTATCAAAACTACTTTGCTGTTAACTTTGTTTCGAGGCAAATACAAATTTGCTATTAAGCAGGACACATGACGTCGTGATTGTCTTATGAACCTTAACGTTTTCTGTTAATTTTTGTTTACAAAAGAAATTTTTTTATGTAGAAAAGATGCTATTAAAATTATCCCTTTTAAATACAAGTCTTTTTAGAAAAGCACAATTAATCAAAACACAAATAGAACAGCTTATCTATAGGGTCAATCTTTGTCCAGTGAGTATGACGATTAGCTTTTAAAATATCTTTTGATGTACTGTATTGATCTTGTGTAAGTAGTACAGTGGGGACCGAATTGATCCCTTTTTGCACAGGAACACATTAACGCCGATAACGTCATAGCCTTTGTCTCTATCTCGCAAGTGAAATGTAAGGAATTCGCATTAAGACAACAGCGCGTGTTGATTTTAGGTGGTTTAACCGGTTTGACAGGTTGTTCAATTATTCTTATGCCGATGATTTTCTTGGTTTTTTGATCGGGTGACTAATAACTAAGAAAAGTTTCATTCATGTTGTCCAAGGAGTATTAAAAAACGCTAACTCGCGATCGCCTGTGAATCAAAGTCATGGCGCCGTAACATAACTATAGCGGACAACAAATTGTTCCAGCTCTGGATCACTATTTGTTGGCGCACAAATCGTGCATATTAAGGCTCTTAGCGTTAATGTATACCTGATCAATTTATGGAGATTCCTGTACATAATAGGGTTAATTCCGTCCCTACTAGACTACTTATGTAGACACATATGATGTTTGGTTGTCGAGTTCTGTATTTATCTTTATGATGTAACTGACCTTGTGTAAACTCCCCAGATAAGGTTTGATCATAGTTAGTAGAGACTGGTTATGAAAGCCGGCAAACGTTGAAGCCAACGGTGCTGTAGTTTATGTTGGAAGCTTCCTGACCGAGCACAATCCCTTGTCTTTTGTTCACAAATTGACTGAATAAATTGATCCGATGTTTCTCTTAGTAAGTAAGTTCAGATCCAAGCAAGCTACCAAAAACGTATAACAAAAAGATACGAAAAAGGATTCTAACGGGTTTCATAACCATTCCACTTTATTAACTATGGATTGATTTAGGTGGACTTACAGTGCACGAATGAAGCCTCAGGAGGGTTCTACTACATGTCGCATTTACCAAGACTGCAACAGTGTCAGCAAACTACACCAGAAGCGGAAGGAAACTTAACAGATATATCAGGCGCATTACGTGAAGGGCATGCTCTGACAAGCCACTGCGACATTCCTGTGTCCAGTACAACACATGATACAGTCATGCAAACGTCTCAGGGGCCGGCTGCTGATTCTCAAACGGTAAAGTATTTATTTCACTTATTCCGTTATCTTACAGGTACAGAAAGTATTGCCACCATAATGATCTATAAGATTGTTTAATTTTACGTAATTTCAAGAAGTAAAGTACGTCACAGGGGAGAATAATGACTCTTTTATGGGATCATATGACTCTTTTTGCATAATTCTTACTACCGTGACACTTACCCCCATCCCCTTGTCTGAATAACGTAATTCTCAAGGACTTGCCACAAGAACTTACCCCCAAGCAAGCTCTCTACATGGGGGATATCGTGAGTCAAACGCGAGCAAGCCAACAAAGGACACTCCACTTGCCGCTTCGCGCCTCGCTCGTGCGTTCTCGCTCGTCACTCGAGGACAGAGAGCAGGCCCCGGTTGTTTAAACGCTGGATAGCGCTATCCACCAGATAAATCGCTATCCAGAGGATAAGTAGTACGAAAACCAATTGCGTTACCCTTTGGATAGTAATTTATTTAGCGGATAACGCTATTCACCTTTTGAACGGCTGGGGCCTGGTGTATTGGAGAGGGGTAGAGAGAGGTAGACAGAGAGAGAAGAGGAACAGGCGTCATGTTGTTAGTTTTGAAAATGCTAACATTCTTTTTACTGCGCTATTTCGCTTGTGCATAGCCCACAGTTACAGACTGGGAAAAGAGAGGACAAGAGGCAAAGGTAGGTCTGTGCTTTTTTTTCCTGATGCGCTATGAATCCCTTAAGTACTTTATTTAACGCTGCGACATTGTTGTCTAAGTTGTCTCCACTGAGGTTGATTGATTCCCAGGAAGTCTGCTTCAGGTTGCTTCTGGTCATTAACTGTAGCCTCCCACGCAGATGTTCTTAGGGGTTCGTCACCTGTGACGAAGCTTTAAGAACGTTCGCGTGGGAGGCTACATTAACTGGTAATCATTAATAAACAAGGCCGTCAGAGACATCGAAACCGGTGGTTAATTTATATGTTATTTTCACTGGCTTTTTATATTTTTGGCGGTGATTTTTTTTATCAGAACTGAACGTTTTTCCCTGGTTACGTTCGATCCTAATTTCTAAAAAAGTACCTTTGATTTAGGCATCCAGAAGTAAGCTACACAAGGAGTCTATTAATGGAAATTCAAAGGCTGTGAAGATGCTTCTTAATTCTGGTGAAGATGTAAACCAAGGCGATAAGGTGTGATCTAAAACTACAAAAATCATTTTTTTTAAACTTGTTGATAGATTAAAGAAACTTATATATATTGCCCTCTTCACGTTTTTAGTTTTTGTTGACGCCTCTTCATCTAGCTGCTTGGTATGGACAAGAAAGTGTTGTTAAACTGTTATTAGAAGGCGGTGCAAATGTCAACGCGACAGATATTGTAAGTTGGTGATTTTGTATTCAGTGGTGACCGCAACCTTATTAACGATAGGAGGATACATGGAATGATAATGCAATAGGTTTTCTGTTGGCATGTTGAGACATTTCTTAGGTTGAATAAAATTATAATGCATGATGTTAGGTAAGATGTTAGCAGTTGTCAAATTTTTGGATCTGTTTTAGCTTCAATATATCAAAAGGCCACCGCAAAATGATGCGAAAGTTGGGGCTTCGTCATTCGTGACATGAAGCCAGCCTCCAAAACTAATAAACCTCAGTCTCCTCTTACACATATTTCATTTTTGTCAAAATATCGTTTAGTTTCAGAAAACCCCTCTGCAGAAAGCTGAACGTCACAACCATCAATCAATAATTAAGATTCTCCAGAAATACGGTGCTACTCAAAGTTATCATCAGCCGGTAAGGAGGCTAGGTTTACTTACCTATTCAAAACAGAGAAATCTTGCCCAAGATACTCCAGTGCTTCCCAATAGGAAGGCCCTATTACCAAGATGTAGGCTTTCCTTGCAAACAGTTTCTACGAATAAGTCTTTGATTGTGAACCGGTATGAAAGACGGGGAATAAACGTTGGCCGATGCTATTCAGTTTGCTTACACCATGAGTATGAACAAGAGCCATTATGGCTCTTGGTGTGAATTAATCCCAGGGGGAGGGGGGTACTCGATAAATCCTTGGGTGGGGAGGTGCGGCCCGGCCCCTCATACTGCCTGAACCTGTTTTAGACAAAAATCGCTGATTTTCCTACCCGTTTAAGACATTTAACCCGAAACCATACCCTGTGTAAGACAATAACAAAATATCGAAACTCGTTCTTATTTAATCCATTGGCAGTCACAAAACTATTTACAGCTTGATCAACAGAGTAACGCAGGCTGTTTATCGTCCAAGAAAAGATACCCTGTTTAAAAAAAGACAAATTGATAAAATCGATACCCTGTTTAAGACAAAAATCCCGAAAAACATACCCTGGTTGGCCGCACGTCCCCATTAAGCCCTTATAAGGGAGAACCCCCCCCCCGGGGGGAATTAATGTCTTTCTTTTGTGGTCTGAAGGTCCTCTTGAACATCAGTGATTGTACCTTTAATTAATTCATAACCCTAGCGCAGTTTGCTCCAGAACTGCCTCTTAAGGTGTTGTTCATTACAATTCCAAGCGCGTATATTTTAGTACAAGGGAATCGTGGTAATTTGTCTGTTAGTTTTCTTATCTTGATTAATCATAGCAAGTAAAATAAATGAGTGAGTAACAATACGGCCGTTGAAATGAGAGAAAACAAGCGCGCAGTTTACTCTGGCCGCGGTTTACATAAGACGGAAGACGGAAACACGGTAAGGTCATGGCTTATTCAAGCCGCGGCTTATCCTGCTGAGGAGTTTTGGGCTGTGATTATCGGAATCTTGCGGATTGTCTTGGACTAAAACGCTGTCCACGGCTTGCTGAAGCCGTGAACGACTGATGAGCATGCGCTGTTTCGTCACTGTGGCCTAGACTTCCTTTTTTCATTTGCTCCCGTCCATTCGCTAGAAGTGAAAAATGTCAAGCACGTGTGACTTCAGACAGCAGTTTGTTTCCCAAAAAATCACTTTAAAAGCATTCGGTTTATCGCTTGCCATCTCTTTGTGGAGATTCGCGACTTTCCTTGATAGATTGATTGTTTTGGAGTGTAATACCAATCTTGACTGGAATTATAATTTGAAACGAAACAGGCAAAGAAAATATAACGCAGTTTCTTTGACAAACTGAGTCGTTTCGCTTTTTTGCTCACTCAAAATGCACATCAAAACGAGGAACCAAAAAAACTAATTATGTTATCACTGGACTAGTTAGCCTAAAACTAAGCCGTGAACCATTTATACGAGCAGTTCTGTTTTTATGTAAGCCCTGCTCGTATAAATAGTTGTTTTCGCGTCTTTTGTTAGCCGAGCCCAGAGTAAACCTCGACTTATTTTCTCTCGTTCAAACGGCCCTATTCTTGTTTCTTATTCAATCGCAGAGCACGTTGAAGTCCCTCTCGAAAATGGCCTTCGTAACAGTCGATCGACACTCAGGGTTCAATCTCTTCCAAGCCATGGTCTATGAGGGAAATTTTGAAGGCGTATTAACTGCCAGTGTCTTCCTTGATGACTTTGTGAGAGAGTTGAATTTCGAGTCGACAGCAAATAACGCAAAGATTTTTCCATCAAAGACTGCCTATGATATGCTCTCAACACTTGAAAAACACGACCATGGGAAGATAAAACGACTCTGTGAAGAACAACTAGAAAAGATCAGAACTTTCACTGAGTTACACGAATGTGTTGACAACAATGACACGGAAAAGGCTGTGGAACTTGTTTTGCATCATGGTTTGGACGTCAATTTCCCAGCCAAGGGTAATCGAACCCCTTTATTGTGGGCTAGTCTGCGATGTTCCAGTGAGTTTGTTAAGACCCTTATTGATCTTGGAGCTGAAACAAATGCTCGAAGAGAAGACAAATGTACGCCTTTAATATTGGCAACATACTGGAACAATTACATGGCTGCCCACCTTCTAACGAAGATTGGGGCTGATACAGATGCACAGCAGGTGGAGGGAAAGGCAGCACTGCACATTGCAAGCTGTGGTGGGTTTGCTAGTATAACACAGTGTTTAATAGAATCAGGGTGCAATGTCAATTTGCAGTCAGCCACTGGCAGGACTCTACTTCATCTAGCAGTTCAAAACAAACAAAAACACATCGTCAAAATGTTGCTAGAGAACAATGCTGACGTGGGGAAACGGGACAAACAGGATCGAAATGACAGGGTGATACTGGTGCGTGGCAAGGACAAAGGAAAACCAGCTTGGCACTTTGTTGAAGTGAAGAAGGCTTTGACTGGTCTGTTCTACAAACGGATTAAAAGTGGCAGTCTGGACGTGGCCGATTTTGGTACTGTCCTTGCATCAGGATGGGGTACAGACCCACCAGATAGTAAGAGAGAACAGATTCTTAAAGCTCATTCTGAAAATACAGTCGAAATAAAAGACAAGACAGCTCTTCACATTGCTTGTGAAATCGGTGACGTAGCAATTATGGACCTTCTAGTAGAGCATGGTGCAGATTTTAATGCTCTAGACGCAGACGGGTTTACTCCTCTACAGTTGGCAGCCATTCGTGGCAACATGAAAGTTGTAAAAAAACTTGTTGATCTTAAGGCTGATGTAAACCTGACCACAGCAGATGATAAAGATGCGGCTGATTATGCAAAAATGAATGAAGAAGCGGAAATTGAAGAGTTTCTAAAGTCAAAGAAAAGTCTGTTTAAAAAATTTTGGAACAGGTTGTCAAGAAAGTGATATGCATTTCAGTCTCATGATCGTATTGCCGTCACCAGTCTACAAAGTATTGACAAGTTTTGTCGACATGTTTTCTTCAAATGTTTAAGAACTTTCGTGGGTTCCATATACTATCAGCTGGCCTGTCCGCCTTGCGGAGACCTCACTATTACGTGGAGACCACCCAGTAATGCCGACAACAACTAAATTACGGCATAAAGAAATTGCAGACGTTTAACTGAAATATATTCCAGTTACTTCGGACCTTCGCTGTTACGGACACTAACTCGCGGTTCCTGGGGTGTCCGCAATAACGAGATTTGGCTGTAATGCAGTAATAATCAAAATCCAAAAAGGCGAAGAAGGAGTTTCAAATAAGTAATTGAAGCGTTCCAAATTGCACGATTCCGTCTCCGCAACACCTTGGATTTTGACTTGTTCAGCGTTATATCGAACCCACCAGAGTTGTCAAAGATTTTTGAGTGGCGTGTGGAAAACTTTTTAGCACGATAATGTCTGTAATTTAAGACCATTTTCATAAAATCCAACTTAAAAACTCTCGTAAATGAAGTATTCACAATTTCAACAATGATCAGTACAAAAATGGGCTAAAGCAGGAGCCCATAACCAGTTATTCAGTTATAACGAGTCTTCAGGATACAAAAATGATAAAATTTTCATTACGGGAAGATCTACCCACCTTCTTAACTTAAACTTTAAACAACAAGCATTGTCTTCAATTTGCTTTTAGTATGATCGATTTTCAGAGGTTTCCAGAATCAAAATAAGACTGTTTACCTTTCAAATGATAAGATACACACACAGTCCGTTGGGCCCATCGAACTCTAGTAGTATAGTAGGGATGAAATTAAGCTTTTTTGAAGTGGATTTAGCCTACGCAACGGGCGCTACGAACTAATTGGTGCGAGATAGAACGGGCGCGCTCAAGGGAGACACGCGAGTGAAGAGGACTCCTTTCTCGCGCCTCCAACCCAATTCCGAAAGTCGAGGGTCAGAGGCCAAACTAAGGTTAGCTCACCCCGCCTTTTATTTTTACTGCAACCTTGCAGCAAGTTCTTGGGCGAAGGTTAAGGGACCTCACCTGGACTACAAAGGCGTCAGTTAGCAGTTGCGACCATTTGATTTATCACAATGTCCGTGGAAAAATGTGGTTGTAGCTCAATGTATTAAGGGACCTCGGAAAAAGTTAGGAAACGTAAGTACAGTACAACATGTAGCATCAGAATGAAATTTTAGTGTGAACCTGGAGCAAACCTAACTGTTTGACGAGGAAGGTTCCAGTTCAGCTGTATCATTCATACTGTCGTATTGCCGATGTTATTTTACAATAAATTATTTACAGACAAACTCAGGTAAATGCTAACTTATTAACACAAATACAATGTACTGAGACAACTCCCATCAATTTTACTGCAACCGTTTTGTTTAAATTGTCATTACCCATGCGGGCGCATCCGCAGTGACAGTGCCTGTAGACGCCGTTGATGGTAGAGCATTTTCTGTCCGCGCACTGTATGAATGTGGTGGAGACATATCCTCAGTGACAGCGCCTACAGACGCCGTTGATAGTGGGACATTGATTGTCCGTGCACTGTATGAATATGGTAGATGCACATCCTCAGTAACACCGCTTACAGACGCCGCTGATGGTGGGACATTGCCTGTCCGCGCACTGTATGAATATGGTAGATGCACAACCTCAGTGACACCGCTTGCTGACGCCGTTGATGGTAGAGCATTTCCTGTCCGTGCACTGTATGAAGATGGTAGATGCCCATCCTCAGTAACACCGCTTACAGACGCCGCTGATGGTGGGACATTGCCTGTCCGCGCACTGTATGAATATGGTAGATGCACAACCTCAGTGACACCGCTTGCTGACGCCGTTGATGGTAGAGCATTTCCTGTCCGTGCACTGTATGAAGATGGTAGATGCACATCCTCAGTAACACCGCTTACAGACGCCGCTGATGGTGGGACATTGCCTGTCCGCGCACTGTATGAATATGGTAGATGCACAACCTCAGTGACACCGCTTGCTGACGCCGTTGATGGTAGAGCATTTCCTGTCCGTGCACTGTATGAATATGGTAGATGCACATCCTCAGTAACACCGCTTACAGACGCCGCTGATGGTGGGACATTGCTTGTCTGTTCACTGTATGAATATGGTAGATGCACATCCTCATCAGCACCGCTTAGAGACGCAGTTGATGGTAGAGCATTTCCATTCCCTGCACTGTAGGAATATGGTGGAGGTCTCTCATGCTCCCGTGCTTCTTTCTGTTAAAAACGGTTTCAGATATTTGAATGTAATCAAGGGTGACATGAGAAAAGGAGGGAAACTTACTAGCTGAGACGTGGTGAACGGTGAGAAACTTAGTTCCGTTACGTACAATACAAACTTCCAACGCGGCTAAGTGATAGTACATATGAGAAAACATCCCAAAATAATGTTCATAGTATTGAATCGGTTGATGAAATTTACACAAAACTATTGTAATCATCGACGGTACTTTCGTTACATAATTGTTTTTTGTTAGCTAGAAGCAATAGCTACCAGTGGAGGTAAGAAGACTGTTTGCTGTCCTGCAGCAAAAAGGTAACCATGAGAAGTACTTGCTATGACACCACTTGGTTGAATAACTACAACGCCAGCTTGGCCTCCTGGGTAGATTTGTTGAGGAGGAATATACATCACTTGCTGAGAGGCAACCTAAAATGTTAACAGAATTATCCCTTTTTAAAATATAAATGACTTTTCCTGCAAATCGTTTATATCACACATGAAAATTTAAAAATAACCGCACTCGATACCAACACAAAGACATCGATATCAATGGTACTGTTCTGTGACTTGTCGAGATAAGAAGCACGATCAAGCAACGAAAGGCTTCCATGTACATTAAATCTGAAGACGTCAGCTTCGAGCCAGTAATTAGTTAACCGATCCCAATTTTATTTTAATTCCGAGTCCGACCTATAAATTTCATCATGACAGAAAACCTTATCATATTCGAATGAAATCAATGGGTAAGAAAGGGCGACACAAAGGCACCACAGTTCACGATAAGTGACTCGCCGCATGTTATGGAATGTGAACTCCGGAATTCGGGAAATTGTTGCCTGTGGAATCCGAAATCTGGGAAAAATTTTGCTTGTGGAATCCCGAATCCTGGGCTTTGAAATCCAAAACACAGCTCAAGGAATCCGGAATCCCACAAACGATTGGAATACAGAATCAATTTTCCCCTGACAAAGACTGGGATCCAATACCTGTAACCCGGCATCCGGGGGCGTGGAATTCAGAATCCAAAACTGTCTTGGATTCCCTTATACGGGGCGAAGTAACGAATACCATGATAGAGAAAATAGAATCATTATATGCTACTTACTCCGCCTACAGGAGGAACTCCACAGCACACTGCTTTGCAGCAGTAGATGGATGAAGCGAGGGCAACAAAGAAAACCACCACGGAAAATGTCAGTTGACAAGATCCCACCTCTAAACCAAATGAGGCTTTGTTTCTTTCAGAACGTGAGTAACAGTACGTGTCAAGACTCCACCAAAAATCATCAGCCCTGCAATGAATAATGTGGGAAAGCTCTTGAAGAGTAACGCAGTAGCAGATGAACATGATTCCAGCAATGATACAAGCAGTGATGGAGAATCCCATAAAACATCCAATCTGTGGACAGATGCAAAAATCACTATTAATAAAGATCACCTGATAATTTATTGCTACCCTTCTAATTCGTTTGCTGTGCCACTCTGGTCGCGAATTAAATAACACTGCCAGTTTAATAGATGGCAAAGAGCAAGTTCAAATTTTGACGAATTATCGCAAATTTTAATTACCAAATTAATTTTGCCATATAAACGGAAAATATTACGTAGCGTATGCGCTGTTGAACAGGATTTTTATTTAAATGGCCACACAATAACGTAACAGAATATTTCGTGTCCTCATACTCAAAAGTTAGAACTATATAGATTTACTAGAAAAGGAGTACCATAAATGTAAAAAAGGCATTTCTTAAATGTGAAGAACTTTATCACAGTTGTGGACGACGTTGTGGACGCAATTTTTGCAACAGCGAAAAGAAACTTTAAAAAAATAAAGGCTTGCACAGGAGTTGCACCCGTGACCCCTGCAATACCGGTGCAGCGCTCTACCTCTTGATTTAACAAACCAACTGGTAGCTTCTACTTTGCTGTCATTGTTGGGATCAAAGCCAGGGCTTCCACGCAGATAAACAGGCAGCGGTGATTCTTAGGCTTTGTGGGGTTAGGTTTTGTACATTCAAAACAAGATCTGAAATAATAGAAAGGATACTAACCATGCATTTATTTGGGTTTGTAACATCTTTTGCACCAATGCACCCTAACAATCCACTGATCAGCACCTAACAGCATACAATACAACTCACATGACACAACTTGGAATCAGCAAGATTTTTCATTAATATTTCGGAGGTAAAAAAATCGATACATTGTTTGAAATGAGAAATTTTTAATAGATAATGATATTGACGAAAGAAGCTTTCCAAATTGTGGAATTAAAGATTAATTTCGAGTCGTTTATTAGTCTGAAAAGCAGTGCTGTTGACACCTGTCCCCTGAGTGACTGCCTCGAGCATTGTCACAGCCGATAGCAGTATCGTATTTTGTAGACCCCCAGTCATAAGACAGAAGCCGCTCTAAGTCAATTAAGCCAGAAATAATGAATATATGAATAATATATTTTTGAAAAGCGAAATAAAGAAATAAATGAAGGTTTAATTTCCCAAATGCATAAGTTGCGTATTTAAATGTGATGATCTTGTCTGCATTCTTTTAAATTTTCATTTGACTTTTGTCCGGGGGGGAAGGTATGGGTTAATTGGTGGGTGGAGTTAAGGAGGCGGGGACTATAGTAATTTGGTTTCGGTGAGAATTTGTTTTTCTCCAAACCTCTGGTGATAGATTTTTTTCCCCGACATACAATGTAACGGTGTAAGATTTTTTTCCAGGATTATAAGCCATGAAAGTGTAGGAAATTTTTTCCGCTAGGTATTTCCTTGCAAGAATTTTTTTCCCTCGAAATCAGTCGGCAGGATATTTTTTTTCTACAATTAACCGCATACTCCCCTCAAAAGTAAAATAGTATAAGCCATGAAAGTGTAGGAAATTTTTTCCGCTAGGTATTTCCTTGCAAGAATTTTTTTCCCTCGAAATCAGTCGGCAGGATGTTTTTTTTCTACAATTAACCGCATACTCCCCTCAAAAGTAAAATAGTCCGCCCCGAGTAGTTAATAAAACCAAATTCTCGTTTTTACCTTCAATTCAAATCAAATTCATATTTTCCCTATGTACGTGAAATTTGCGTAAATTTACCTTACACCAGTAAAAAAACGTGCAAACAGGAAGTCCGCGTACGCGTTTACGCACGTACAGTTCATTTACTTCCGCTTTAAATTTTTACATACGTTGGTGTTCATTTAGTGCTATTCCACTGTAATTACCATCCTTTCCAACCAAAGGATACTCCCAAGAAGACTTAATTTATCGAGTAAATGTTTCTTTCGTCTGAAAAATTGAAGTGGTGAAAGCAAAGACGTCACCGAAGAGTTGCCATGGGAACGCTACTTAAATAAAGTCGTGCCGTTCACAAATTCACCTTCAGATGTGAGCCGCCTAAAAACCAAGCTTGATGATAGAGGCAAGGTGAAAATCCCAGCTTTTCAAACTTAAAAACTAAATTCATTTTTCACAAATTACCTATAGTGGGAGTTGATGTGCCTCTTATAGCTGTCAAACACGAGCCAGCTCTTCGTCGGACCGAAGGAGTAGCGCTTTAAAGGTCACCTTTTGAATATTATTAATACCGTATGGTAAATAGACTTAATCAACTCAGTATTTTTCACTTTTTGTCAACGCAACAGTATTGTTTTTTTCTGCCGAAAACTAAACCTTTTATTTATTTGTTTCCAGTAGAGAATGTCCCGAAAGAGTTCTGAAATGCATGTTCACTTACTCAAAACGTGAGTCTTACAAACAACAAGTGAAGAATCACTCTCATGAATTGCATATTTTGTCATAGAAATGTCCCATGAATTTAATGAAAAACGTGACGCAAAAGTAAGCTTAAATATGAGGTACTTACTAGATATTACTCTTGATACAATTAAATCCTAGAAAGTTAATAATTTTACTCACCCAAATGCCAACCCATATTCCAAAACCAGCCTTAGTAGACCAGTGATCTATAGCTCCTAAAATGCTTGTTATACCGGCTACTATCATTGAAGAACCAAATATCATCTGAGTGAAGGCTAAGCCTCTTAGAACTCGTGCTCGATAAACCATGATTGCAGAAATCAAAATGACGATCGATCACCAAGATTTAAAAAAAAAACAAACTTACCTCGGAAATTATATTGACGTCAAAATTTCAAGAGGGTATAACAATAAGTAGCGGTTTGGTGGGTTATTGATGATATATTGATCCGCTCCAATTTGTTTCCAATTTGCCGACCTCAGACAGGATTTGTTTGCTCATCCAGCTATCCCCACTACATTCGACCCTCTATTAGCCACCACTCTTAAGCGACCAGTTCTAGTTACGACAAGCATTTGAACTAAGACGAGACCCCGCTGTAACTCAGTAGTTTAAGCTTTCTCAAAATAAAAGGTTCTTTTAGTAAATAAATAAATAAATAAATAAAGTGTCTTTATTATTCAAAAGATAAAATTACATATCTTATGTTACATTTAAATATAACAATGTTAATAGGCTAAAGTATGTCTCTAAATAAGATCAGTATATACATAGAAACAAATACAAAAATCAAATACAGAAAGTACACCCTTTACAAAGCTACATTATAGTTAACGACAATTCTATTAAAGAATGTATTCTTAAAACGGTCCGTGTGAAGCTGTGTGAATGGCGGGCATTGCGGGAGATTTATTCCTTAAGTTGTAGCTTGTAATCTTAGTCTCAGGGAAATTAGCTCTAACAAATTCTATGATCTTGCACTCTAAGTAATTCACCTATCTCTAATTTCTTGGATATGTAACTGCGTTTGAAACATCGATCTAAAAACTGCTGGGCTATAGTTAGCTCTGATTCAGAGGCCCCATACACAGATAAAACATAAGTAATATGGAAGAGAATAAATGGTCTACTTTTGCTTGGCTGCATCCTTCTTTTCGGAGGCATCTGATAGCTTTACATAACTTTTCTTTAAGGTGAGTGCTGAATTTGCGGTTCGGCTGAAATGTGAGACCTAGAATGGTTACTGTACTAGTCTGTGGTATGCCTAAAATACTATTGTAGGCATCGGCAGTGTGTTGTTTTTTATACATAATAAGCTCTTTAAATTTTGAAGAATTCGAATTCATTCTATTTTGGCCTGCCAAAAGAGAGAAATTAGAATGCTCAAAGAAGTCATTTTTTGTTTCAGGACTGACAGGGGTACAACGGTGCAAGTGACATCATAACATATCACCTGATAGGTAAAATGACATCATCCGAGCACAAGTACATCGTAAATTCGTTGCTGGGGTGTAGAACATCATTAACTAATGGGGAGGTACGAGTTATATATAATGACTTCATCGTCTATATTTTAATTTTGACTTCTAAGCTCTTGAGTTTATTATAATATATACATGGATTAATAAAAGATGAAAATAACGACTCTCGAAGGAACATTTTTAGATCCGCCTGGATCTACACTTTTTTTACTAAAGGAGTGCCGTTCGGGTGTATTTTGATAGCTCAGAAAGCTTCGTTTCAAAACTAGTAAATTTCTTTCAAAATCTTAAATTAACAAAATGTACGAAATAGAGGAAACCGAACTGCGACATCAGTTATGTTCTTAGTGACGCTACAAATTCAACTGAACTGGTTAGAATATAAAGAACTAACCGGCCTCGATTTCAATGAGTATTACTCATTGTAAAACTGGAATAAATTAAACTTAAATTAAATGATCATCTCTAATTTGTTCACTGAAAAAAACTTAAGGAACCTATTAGCATTGCCCTGCCTAAAATTTTGTCTGGTTTCTAACAAGAGATCAGGCCCAAGTTAAGTAGCTTTAGACGTCTTAACGAACGAAAACAAGGCTTTATCTCGGTTACTAGAGTTTCTGATCTCGCAACTCAAGCTATTCGCCCGCAGCTTCAAAGTAAGAAGTTAACTTTAAAATATTTCCCAAAAACTTGGCCCATGTAGGTCATTATGGATTCGCCTCTGTCTATTTCAAACGGCGGGGATAAAACATATACATAACAAACAAGCCTTTTATTGACATGCAAATAAAACTCACTTTAATTTGCATCGGGCCTCACTAGTGTTTAAAGACCTCAAAATGGCCTATTAAAATTTACAACTGATTATTTACAATTACTTTTAGCAATGCCACCTTATTAACACAAACGTCAATCTAATGAGGCAGTTTTGTTTAAATTGTCTCTTCCCATGCAGGCATGCGCATATTCTCAGCAGCACCGCTTACAGACGCTGCTGATGGTGGCACATTGCCTGTCTGTACACTGTATGAATATGGTAGATGCACATCATCAGTGATGCCGGCTGCAGACACCGTTGATGGTGGGGCATTGCCTGTCTGTACACTGTATGAATATGGTAGATGCACATCCTCAGTGACGCCGCCTGCAGACGCCGTTGATGGTGGGGCATTGCCTGTCTGTACACTGTATGAATATGGTGGAGACATATCCTCAAATACACCGCTTGTAAATGCCTCTTGTGGTGGAGTATTCCCTGTCGGTGTATCGTATGAATAGGGCGGAGGTCTCTCATGTTCCTTTGGTTCCTGCTGTTTAAAATGGGTTTACATACAAACAGAAATCAATGACAAGTTTCTTAGATGGATTACGTCCAGAGGCTTTTTTATATGGAACACTGTTACAGTAAATGAAGTGGTACTTCATTTTAAATGTAACGTAAAGTAGCAATTTTTCCAATTAGAATGAAGACCTACACCCAAAGGACATTTTTAAAATGGTGAACGAAAGGTACCGGGATTGATACCCGCGGGTTCTCCAGTAACATATGTTGGGGTTGTTCGAGCGACTCGCTCGCTAAGCGAGAAGATACTAAGTCTTCTTTTATATCTTCGTCTTTCCTCGTTGTCTTCGCGCCCGTACAAAAGGTTGGGGAAACCTCGGTCTGCTATTTACAAAAATTCTCAAATTCGGCGTATAACGTCCTGCTGTGAACCTCATTACAATGAGGGAGAAACAGCAACCCCAGTGCAACAAACAATTTTTCTTTTAACTTAGTAGCCTAAATATACGAAGTATGTGATCGGTCCCTAAATCATGCAGCCTGTTAAACTATGTTTACTCCTTAGATGAGATTTTTCAGCTATTGGCTTTGTGGTATTTTGTGTTACAGAACTAAACGAACGATTTGTTAGCATATGCGGTTGTTAGCATGCAGCACTACTGTCTGTCGTTACCTGTGGACGTAAGAAAGCGGCCTGCTGTCCTGTCACGGGAACGCCGTGAAGAGTAGTCGCTATGGCACTAGCTGGTTGAGTAACCACAACACCAGCTTGGCCTGCTGGGTACATTGGTTGCGTTCCAGCATACAGTACGTGCTGCGTAGTAGCCTAAAAATATTTGTTATAACAAAACAATAACAAAATCAGCAAATACTGGTTGTTTGCTTTCTGGCTCTCATCTGAGAAGTTTGCATGTTTTGGCTCCGAGGGCATTGATATCTTCTCATGAACTTACTTATGAAATTTATTAGTGGAAAAGTAGTCTGAGGAAATGTCCTCAGTAAAACGGTTAAACCTTCCCTCAACCTTACAAAGCGGCAGCGTGGTTGTTTTGGTATGAGTGCAGAACTAATGAACATGCATGCATGGCGAAAGAGCTAAAAAATAAACGTAACTGCCATACGAAATAACGAAATAACAAAACTATTGACTAAAATAATAGGAACAGTACTCCAAAATATAAATGCCAACGGCGTTTTGAGAAATATCTTAGGTTAAACGACAGTTTGATAATTAAGGGATAATCAAGAAATAAAGGAAATTCTGAATCAAGGGAGATTAGATACTGCTTTAACCTGAGATCAATTTTACTTTCAACATATATATTACTATAAAACAATTTTCTTTCAGTATCGGTAAATCTTTATTATTAGGAAAAGTATAAACCTCATCGCTCCAAGGATCAGTAAATGCTCTGCCATTATTCACCTCAAATTTTAACTAAGAATAAAAACAAATGGTCCGAATAGTAGGGTGAGTCAGAACGTGGTCTCAACAAAACAGAACATTCAACCAAAGTTAGAAACTAAGAAAAATTAAGTCAGGAAACATGTGTCATGCTACTTACGGTGTGGCCAGGTGTTCCACAGCACACAGCTTTGCAGGAGTAGATAGATGAAACAAGGGCAACAATGAAAACCAATGCGGATAATATCAATTGACAGACACCCAATCCCATTCCATCTGCAGCTTCACCTCGTTTTGTACTTGACCGGGAGTCTGAACAAGGTCTCTTATACCGGGCGCCTTCCACAAGCCAATCTTCCCGGCAATTAACGATTCTGGAAAACTGGCTAACAGCAAAGCAGTAGCTGATGAACATAATTACACCAATGACACAGGCAGTGATGGAGAATCCCAGGAAACATCCAATCTGTGGACAGATGCAAAAACAACTTTTAAGTTGCTTATTATAAATCACCAACTAAAGTTGTTTATAATAAGCCGCCACTAGGTTAGCTTGGTTGGAAGCCCTGTACCGACCAGTGTCTTACACTTTATTCACTTTTAAAAGCCAGAGCCGCAATCTAAAGTTTAGAAAAAAAATACTGAAAATTTAGCAGCCTGCAGAGTTGAGTTTCAGATAATTACGTTATTGAGCACTTGCGTTACCTTTTTTGCTCGTATTCGTGAATGGAACATAAAGGACCGCTCATTGCCATTCTAAAAAATTAAAGGACATATACCCCAGTCATGTGTTGTCTACAGTGATGGGCTTAGAGATAAGGCCTTGTTCTTTACAGATTTATTTTAAGGGGGTTATTTCTTGGAAAGTATTTTCTAGACATCTCATGAGTCAAGAGATCATAATAATATTATGGCTCTTGCATGAGTCCATTGCATATATTTTTCAAGCCTAGGGTCGCTGAACAGTTTAATTTGTTTGTTTGTTGTTCTTTTTATTATTATATTACTTGTTTTCTCTTGCCCGTTTTTCCCTTTATTCCTTCTGCTTCGTGAGCTTTTGCGTTACAAGTATTTCTAGTTATAAGAAAAAAATATTCAAAGTTCACGCAGAAGAAAAGTTTTAATTATTGATGAAATTCTTCCGCTTTAAAATCCATCAGTTTTAGAGCTTTTAAAAGGAGTTCCCTTTACCAAGATTTAGTTGGACTAAGAAGGACTATCTGTAGTCAACGATCGCCAATTACATTTACATGTACGGAACACTTCTACCCATTCCGTACAAATTTTGTATTTTTATTACTTTAGGTTTAATTTTTTAATTCATAGATCGAATAATAATAATAATAATACATTTTTATGTACGCTTATAGTTTTGCAGTCTCTGAGTGCAACATATGTTCATTTTCATGCCTAATTCCATTATGAGTAAAAGTCCACACCCCACACCCCAAACTTAAAGCCGAGAACAGAAATTACGTTCTTTATCCGCCACTGCGTCAAATTTATTTGTAGTTTTAACCTATCCCGTAGGTTAATCACATCATAGTTAATTGAGTGGAATGGTTATGAAACCCGTCAGACTCCTTTGTTACATGTTTTTGTGGACCTGAAAGTGCACAACGTTCAAAAGAATTCCTATCATTTTGATTGTATTGACCAATAAAAACGTTGCATTAATTTATTCCGTAACGATTTGCCAACAGAAAACAAAGGATTGTGCAGTTTCACGGTGCTTTGAACATAAACTGCAGCACTGTTGTTTTTATCATTGATGTTTGCCGCTTTTCATAACCAGTCTCCTCTAATAACTATGATCACGTATAGTGCAGTTTTTTAGAAATTTATCTAGAAAGAATGATGTATGCATTCCATTCTTGATAAAATTGTGGAGATATGCTAACAAAATGAAAAATTCTCACCAGGCATTTGTTTGGGTTTGTATCTTCTTTTGCACCAATGTATCCTAAAACTCCACTGATAATTACCTAAACATGGATGATATGAAATGATTATTCCATTTTAAAATATTAAATGTGCATAAAGGCCACGCTGAAATAATATAATATAAACAAAGAAACAAATCGCATAGCATTACATGAAGTGTACGTAGCTTTGCATATACCTTAAAAATCTAAATTCACTACAGCTCTTCACTATTCATGCGGACTATACACTGACTGTAGCGAACAAAAGCTGGGCCAGGAGTCACTTTATCCGTGTCCTTTGAAACACTGACGTTAATTCGAGCTTTAGCTCTTCTTAATGGCCTACGAAAAATTCTCGACACGGGGCCAGCTTTCAAGTCTTTCTTTCTCTCTCAATTTATCTTATCTGCTCAGTCAAAAGAAAAAAAAACAATGTTTTCTATCTCACTATCTTCAAAGTTCTGCCATTCAAAACGTAAGTCGATCGATCTTATCAAGAAAAAGAAATCTATAGAAAAATCCGAAACACATAATCTTTTCAATTGACCTGCTATTCCTTGCAAGGAATATTAAGGGGAATATATTCCTAACATTCAAGGAGCAGAATTATTGAAACCGATCGAAATAATGATGTTATTTCTCGCGTCACGGCTGGTTTGCAAAACAACAACGAAAATGGCGGACGTCGTTAGTGACAAATGAACGGTATTTAAACGAGGAACACGAGGTACTTCGTATAAAAAGGCTTCACTGGAGCCCAGAACAAACACTGGCACATTTCCGCACATTTCCTCGCAGAAATTCACCCGCTTTATTTACCCTCCCCCTCCACAGACGTTCTTAGGGCTTCTACAGCCGTTCCTTCCGTCATTTCGCAGTCAGCATAAAAACTCCCTCATGCCAACAGCTTCCCTACGTTCTTTTAAGATATGTTATGTATTTTCCATACGAAAGTCAAAATATCCTCTGCGTCATTCAAATTTCCCCGATCTCGGCGCTTCTAGAATTTCTTCTACGAAAAAATATAATTTAAAATGTATTTTGCTTTGACAGCGTTGACAGTGAAGCTAATATGTTAACATTTTTTCTGAACCATGCAATATGAGCAGAAATGCAAATGTACTCCTGCATTCGAATCCACTCTGCAGATTACTCTAAGTTTCATCAAGTTTATATCTTTTCTTACCCAAAAGCCAACCCATACTCCAAAACCAGCGTACGTACTCCAGTGATGAACAGCGAAAATGCTTCCAATACCAAGTAATATCATCAAAGAACCACACAGCATCTGGAAGATGGCTGAATTTCGGAGAATTTTCGGTCGGTAAGCCATGATTACAGTTCAATTGAATAGTTACCTCGTTAGAATTTTTCATAATTGAAGAAACCTTCGATAACAACATTGACGTCAATATTTCAGGAGGGTTACAATTAGCAAGGGTTGAGTGAGTAATGATAAAGATATTTTTATCTCCAAGATACTAACAAGCAAACGTTTTGTTAAGTTAATATCGACGATTAAATCCAACTAGGTTCTGGAAGTCGTCATAACGCCATTCTCAATTTAAAAATGTTTCAGTAGAATATACTGTAAGCGAATTAGGCTATTAACTAAAGCAGAACTTGTTGCTGACATGACTTTGTAACGGTTGAGTAAATTATTTTATATTTTGATTCGAAAATAGCGTATATTGACAACACGATATTGCAGATCAGTTTAACGCTTGATCATGTATTCTATAAGGAGGTTACTATTTGCAAAGACCTGAGCTAGGATTGGCTTGCTCATCCGGCTATGTGACCCTATGTATCCATGCTAAACAACTAGCGGCCTTATAAGAGGTGTCTTTACTGTTCTGATTAAATTTTATTCATTTCCTTTTTAATCTTCAAACCTGTCTTTAAAGCAGATTCACCTATTGCATTAATTTCCTATAAATCTTTTTGAAAGATGCCTTTCTTGCAGCAGTGCAGTAGTAAGTTAAT